TGTCCATGTCTATGATGTGATACAAAAGGCTGCGTTGAGGATCCACGAGAGCGTTTTCTTTAAAAACATCAATTATGATACCACAAATATCCAGACATTCTTAAGCGTTGTTTTTATAGGATGTTTTTGTGATCATTCTTTTCGGAAAAACTTATCGTCAGTCGTCTTTAAATAAGTCGCATTCACTCCATGTGCGCATCTAACAAGGTTCACAATAAACTAGTAACTCTGTTTCCTATCCCTACTATAAAATGTTTTGAAGATTTGTAAAAACAAATCAAACTTACAAGGCATTATTAACCAAATAAAAGTGGGTCTTCATACTATTATAATTGCAGATGTTGACAATACAACGATAGTACACTTATCCAGTACATAGAGGCTGTAAGAAGATAAAAATAAAAATAACATCCGACCCGTTTTCTGGTTTATTAGTACAAAATAGAGGGGGAAGTTAATTTCTTATAAATAAAAATACGTCATCATTTTATTATTTAAAGGGTCATATCGAATCGATTCTGTCTATGAAATAAATGCTATGTATTTAATTGGAAGTATTTATAAGAAGTATAACTAAGATTATAAAACAGAACAATTAAAAAGTCCAGATAGAGCACTAAAAGTAAGTACAAAAAAAAAATGGTTAATTCCCGATGCAAAACGGAGGTCGAAATTACCGCAACGAAGTGGAGGTCAAATTTCGGTCACGTTTTGTCTTGGGAATTAGACAACGCCTGAATCGGTCGGCTACTTACTCCGCTGTTTTCACTGACTAAGAGCACTATCCGTTTCTCGGTTCACTAAAATGACAGTGATGTGCTAAGTGCACTATCGGGGTTTTTTTTTTTTTTTTTTTTTTTTTTTTGCCCACTTTCGGTTTTTCTTTCTTTCTTTGCCTAAACCCAGTACACTAACAACACACAATGTTAGGTCAAAACATTGTTATAACAGAAGATTACATTCCTTAAGAAATGCCGAATTATATTAAGACGTAAGATGTAGCCTATTGCTAAATAACTGAATATGATTTGTGGTTCACAATTTGTCTCAAGCTTTACGGAGAGTGGAACAACAAAAATACTCATGGGCCCAAAAAAGGACTACACCCCGTTTATTGTATGCTGGAGCAAGAACCCATCTAGTCCTCATTGTGGGAACACTGAAAAGCCATCTATCAGGGTTACGCCTAGTGGAGACATACATTATAGACAGGCGCACTGGAATATAAACAAGGTCTAAATATCTGCTGCTGAGGTTGTAAAAAACAAGAAGACCCGACTTGATTTTATTTGATGTAGCTTTTGCAATGGCCAAAAACTTAAAGGGTGTGAAGACTTTAAAGACCCTGGTTTATCTCTTCAAAATCAGACTGATAATATCCTAAAAAATACAAAGAACCTTGCTTTTCGAAGAGCAGGGTAGACGATGTAAATGTACTAGTCGTAACGACAATCACTTTTCCGAAGTCTTTATGCACACAAACTCTGTATTCGGTAATGAAGATATGTGTCAAATAAAATGCACTACCAACATCGTCAATTATATTTTTTTTTGTTGTAGGTAAATTGGCTTACAGCGGACACTTTTTGCCGTTATCCGATGCCGAACACTCTGGTAGCTCTTTTGTGTTCAATACTTTACGACTCTCATGCACTACTTCACCACCAAAAACCCTTTATTATTTTCATTTCCCTCATTCACAAAAATAGGAGCAAACCATTTTTTTTGTTCGTATATCACCGCAAAGTAATACCTGATCCATTGTTTGATTTAAACTTATTGTAGCAAATGATTTTCAAGAGATAAATAAACTTCCATATGTCTTGATTAAAAGAATTCAAATCATGTTCTATAAACGGACATATAACATTTTGCTTGATCGTGATGGTGCTTCAACCAAACGTTATGCAGGAATTTTGTCTAGATTTGATTTGAACTACTTTTAAAATCTGTGTGCTTTGATGATGTAGTTATGCTGTAGCAGTTTATTCAGTGTTGATGTGTGCTATCTCTGATTTTTGATCAGTGCCCATCATGCGTTATGAGATAACTTCATAATTAAAAGAGAGGGGAAAATTACGTCGATTTAACACATAATTATTGGTCAACGTCGTTATCCATAGAAACGGAAAAGGCACTGGAGAATTTTATTTCCCTTGTTCGTTTGCCTTTTCTTAGATTTAAGCTTGTTGTTTTTCTTCTTGTTGAATGATTAGAAACCAGTTTCCAAAATTGTCTTTTCCAAACACGGAAGAGGTGGAATATACGACATGAGGTGTAACTGAAACGGTTTCAGGTCATAACGTCGAACGAGTGACTTTATTGGTCGCAGCATAAGGAGTGACATGGGTTGAAATTTAAACGCTGCGTTTCCTTCTATTTTTGTACACCGACCAAAAAAACAGCTAAGGAATGACCATCCTCGCAAGAGAGTATGTCAGATCTTATTCTGAATAACGTTGGTGTTAGTTAACAGTTTTTGCCTTTACGATTGACAGTCAATTGTGTTAACGCCACTAAGTTCTTCTTTGTTCGTCATTTCTGTGTAGAACCAACTTTTTGCAAAAACTAAAAATATTTTTTAAAGACGGCCCGTTGTCCTTTTGTGACTTGTCTATTCAAGCGCCCAACACAAAAAAAACGCACGTCTTTCATTTTTCCTTATTCTGACAAAAAACATTGTTGGAAAGATGTCCAACGTCATGCCACCTTTGAAAACTAGGTTGAACAGGTAAATATATTTGCATGGGGGATCGCAATCCTTTTTGTTCTAATTTCATTTTTAGCTTCTCAAATTTTAAAACATTTTCAACCGTTCATTAGGTAGTTTGGGTACTTGATCGTGAGATCCGAAAGCTTATAACTGCACCAAATTGACAACAAGTTCTCATAATACGGTCACTTTTGGTAAAGGAACCCAAGCGACAAATTGGAGTTATAGACCAATGATAGAGCCTGTCTCTAGACGATGCAGAAGAAGCTGAATTGTTATTAAGGATCATGAAACCGTTCAACGTCGATATCCGTTTTATGACATATTTATTTACAATAAGCAGTACAATAGGTCTAATCGACAAAGGAGACCTGGAGAGGTCAAGGTCAAAACATATTGGTGAGTTTAAACATGCAGCAAATACAATAAAAAGCAATGGATTTACACGAGATGGCATGTAGAGCACGAGAGGACCGAAGATTACAACGCATACAAAAAACAATATTTCGTCGATAACGGTATGCTATTCCAACAAATAGAGGTATATTTCGACTTGATGATACGAGCATGATAAGAAATAGGACAATTACGTGTTGAAAAAGTAATGGGGGTACGAATGAAAAAACAAAGATGTACGTCTACGGTAAATATACTTCCCAAGGGCAGGAGAGGATGCAAAAGTAGTGTTAGATAAAAGCGTGCAATTTTCTTGAATGTAAATTTCGTTGGAGGGTGTAATATAGAAAAATGACAACACCAATAAATTAGTATATAAAAAACAAAGAATGTGTTTGTTTTGTTTTCTCTTGTTTGTTTGATTAACTAAATATGTGTTGGACACGAGAGGAACTTTAAACTGTAGCCTTAAAAGATTTAATAATTGAATCCAGGTAATGGCAGTTGCAGCTATTTATGCGAGTTATTTGGACAGGACGTGTAGTTAGCCCTTTGGTAAAAAGGAAAGGGCATTTAAAATAACATTCATAAGGATTTACGATACGGTAATTGTTTTCGTGTTTTGTAGATTTATTTCCTTTTACAGAATTCTCTTTTATCAATGACCAAATAATGATAAGGTCAACGTTTTGAAGCTTTCATACATGTTCTATAATGACCACACCAACTTTCTTTTAATAAATCCAGCGAACAAAAATTGCGTTTAAAGCCATTTTGATTGATGTCGTTATCCTTATTTTACTAAGAAAAAAAATCTTTCTCAAAGTAAACAGTAGGCTTATTTTACGGTCTACCTCCAACTAGATGTTGTGCCATAGTCAAAGCTTATGATTCAATACTTTTTGGCTGTACCTAAGAGATCACATGTTGTAGTGATTGTCCGTTATGCGCTTTAAACCATGTAAAAATAAACAAATAAATATTGACTTGAAACTTTTGAAAGTGTCTGACCTGTTAATAGCGTATTGAGTAGAATATAAAAAGGTTCACATACCCAAAAGTCAAACGTTTGGCGACGAGGTTTATGAGGATGAGAAATAATTTTAAATGACTTACATCAACAGTGAATGTCTTATACGTTCCGGCAGGTAGTATATAATAGAAAGTGTTGTATATGGTATACCTCAAACGGTGTATACTGAGCCACTCAAAATTGTTTGTTATTACGCAGCTTTTAGACATAGCCACGAAAACACGTCTTAGGAAATAATCAAGCGTACTTTGGCTGTTGATGAACGAAAGTCTTGGCGAATTTTCTGTTCAAACGTTCTATCGCAGTTGTATTTTTAGAAATTTAAAAATGGCTGTACCTGCGTCAGTTTTTGTATTTTTTTTTTTTTTTTTTTTTTTGTTATATTTAGTGTTTCAGGTGTGTGATGTACGGTTCCACATCAGTAATAAATTCATTTTAAAGAAAGTAATGGATACTTTAACTTCATACAGATAGTCATGAAAAAGATGCGTGTGCTAAAAACGCAATTAGTGAATCCTAATTTTAAACATTATATACCCATAACACTTATGCGTACACACATAAAAAAAGTGGGGGGTATAAAATTGGTAACAAGCTCAAGTAACGCCCCTTCTAATTTACGTGAAACTGGTTGGGCTTACAATCTTTTGTTACCTTCTTTTAATTAGAACTCAGTTCACCAAGGGTTTTGACATCATCAAAACCTATGTTGGTTTCCAAGGGAATACCTCCGCACACTACATTAAGGAAGTTGCGTTGTTATCGGAAGTTAGATTGCCTTAAAAAATATTTTTCCGCAATTTTTGAAAAACTTCACCTGCTTTCTAGAAATAGTACAACCAGCTTTTCCAACTTTTTTGTAAAATCTATTTATTTGACGAGGATGGTTTTATAAAGGTGGTAGAGGTGGAGCGTAGATGCATCTAGAAAAAAAGCATCTATTGTTATGGTAAAACCTTCATTTCGTATGACAATGTAGAATTAGATAAAAAATAAAAAGGTAATCTCTAAAAGATAAACCTAAGGCATCTGACAGACAGACCCTAGGAAAAAAAACGCCCAACGGTTAACAACTACCACACAGACCAAGAGCAATTTTGCTACCTCCCTTTTTTTCAAGAAAAGCTCGTGGAACCTTTGAAACCATCAAAGCTGCCAACGTCAATTATCAGAAAGTGCAAAAGTAAAAAGATGCCTGAAATCAAAATCGGGATAAATCATGCCTTTTTAAAAATTGATCGTCAAACAAACAAATTTGATAACCACTATCACCAGAATAACCGAAGATTGCTATGATGACTCTATTGAGCATCCACAAAACTTTATCCAGCATTCTACCAATGTTTATTTTCTAAAGGCATCAATAAACGCTTTTTAAAACGTTGGTTCAACCATACGTTTGGCCATTAAATGTATAAAAAGTAGGGCAAATCAAGTTTTTTTTTTCTGGCAATCTATCTTCAAAAACGCAGGTGGAAGCATAGTAAGCTGGTAATGTTCCCTTCAGAAACAGGAAATGGATTTAAATTTTTGCAGTGCACCCTTTGAACACACAAATGTGTTTTAATCACAGAAAGACAATAAAAGTTGTTAAGCGAAACCAGATTCTCGTAAATAAGCGGTAATCGTTAAACAAATCTCATGAGCTTGTTACTATTTTTATACCACCCCCCCCCCTCAATTTGTTTTTTTTTTAGTATACAAATGCGTAATTAGTATATTATTTTTACTATTAGATCCGCACCAATAGTGGTTTTTAGCATATAACCCCTTTTCATGAATAGCTATATAAAGGAAAAGAGCCCAATTCTCCATATAAATGAAATGCATAATTTATATATTACCGTCCATCACACACCCGAAATACTTAAAAAGAAAGGAGGAAAGAGTCAATTATAGACGCAGGTACAGCCACTTTTAAGTTCCTGTAAATAGAAAAGCAAGAGAAAGTATCTACCAGCGCATTTTTTTTGGCTTTTTAAAACGTAAGTGCCACAATGCTTATGAAATATCAAGAATTGGGTCACTTAGGATCGGGTACATTTTTGGTGGTACCAAAAAGTTTGTTTTTTAAGGGGTCCTGCTACACCATTCGAAGTATGCCATATACAGCACTTTCTATAATATACTACTTGTTGAATTGCATCAATCATTCACATTTGAGATACGTCATTTAGAACTATTTTCTCCTTCCCATAAAACTCGTCCCCCAAGCTTTTGTTGATTTTAGTTTTGTGATCCTTTAGATTTATCCTTATCAATACCTTTTTACAGAGGTAAACACGAGCTAATTTTTGTTTACATCACTGCACAAATTATTATTTTCTGCACTGCGGTGGTGAACGTGCATTTTCAATAGGGGGAGAAAAGACCCATTTTTGACGGTTGTTACTTCTTGTAATTAGAGCTATTACATTTGCAAATGGTTTTTTAACGTTGTCAATCAGCTTTGGCTAATGAACTAGTATTGCTGTTAACATCGCCTCTGTAACATATAGAAAATCATTTTAGTATCTGAAAAGCGAACTTTAGGCAATTCAAAATTGTTTTGGAGGGCATAGTTTTTAATAAAACTTACAATGCTTACTGTTGTGATGGAGCTTATATACAGATATAACTCTATCATCAATTCTTTCTTTCTTATTTGATAACCTTTCTATAAATCATTATTGCATTACTCTTTAATTCAAATACATGCTACTACACTTTATTTACTACGCATTGATTACTCATCAATATATAGAAAACAATAGTCATACATTTATTCCAGATAATACAATCCAATGATATGATCGCTTGTCAATAACAAGATTCTCGAAGATACCATGATATGCTCGATCTTTAATTGAAAATACGCCTATTGTATATTTGAAAGGTTTCACTTTAATGATTGATATTCAGCCAGCCCTGAATATGTATATAAAGAACCCAATTTATTGTATAATAAAGACTTTAGTTTATTTTTGCAGTTTGATAATTTTACTTCGTTAAATTTCTTTATTTTATTCTTAATTCGTTGTTTTATCTCTCGAATTTCTCACTTACTTGGTGGCATTTGGTGGTAATGTTGGCAATCGAGCAGACACTTTCAAAAGTTCCAAACCAACTTTTATTTATTTTTTACGGAAAAGGAATTTTTTTTATTTTTTACGGAATCCCATACTGGAGCAGTGTAGATTTGGAAGATTTTTGTTGAAAGTGAACTTTTATATGGGAATCATGAGTAACATGTCAGATATTGAAAGCCGTGAAAGTCTATTTCAAACTATTGCTTAGACTATATAATACTTTTATTATTGAAAGTTTTTGTTGTTGTTGTGCTTTTGTCACCTAAACATTTTTTAATGGAGCTTTTTCTACGAAAGGCATTTACTTTTTATAATTTGATTTTTATGGTGGATAAGAATAGAAAATGGCTACTATAATACAGATATATAAAAACTAGATTTACTTAAGAACTTGTATACGACTGTGTACATCATATAAAGAGAAAGGTAAAAAAGGAACAAATGTTATTCGGAACTGGTAGGCTCGTAGCTGACCCATCAGGCTTTTTCGCCTTTGCTTTTTGCTTTGACGAGGCCGCGGTATTCTGGTTAACATTTGTTTATGAATGGCAGGCCGACTTAAATCAGGGCGTTGAGAGTTGGGGAGAGCAGGGAGGGATTGCATTGGAAGAGTGGGTAAAAGTTTGCATTGGAAGAGTAGGAAAAGATTGCATTGGAAGAGCAGGGAAATTTTGTGATTGTGTCAAATTAGTGTTGACATTTGAACTCGGAAAAGCGTTGTTGGTGGCCATCATTAGCTGCATCTGTGAATTTAGGCACTGTTGTTGCATCATAAGAATCCTTAAAGCTTTTGTCAATGGTTGGGTCATGTTCATCAAAAAAAAATGTTTTGCTGATTGTTTTTGTTGAGCATGTCATAGATATCCTAATAAAGTTAATTGTCACATCAAATACGACATAATCAGCGCTTATGGCATATTTTCTCCCAGCAGGATCTAGTTTAGTTAGGGCCACGTTTATAATGAAAGGATATATATAGGCTGTATAACCTCTTTCCTCTATTGTCATCACAGGTACCACACATCATTATAGCTCGCTACCTACATAGGTACGTGTATAACATTGTCATTTCAGGTGGCAAATTGACATTGAGTCTTCATGATTGTTACTTGATTATTCTCAATTTCACACCATCACAATGGTCTGTATCATTTTTTCGAGTATATTTTGGGCAAGCATATATCCTCAACTCATTGATTTTTAATAAACCCTAATTATGGACTCAAATCCATATCTTCAGTCCCAATAGCAACCACTACATCTTTTTAATCTTAAATGTTTTCAACTATCCTAGTAAGAATGTCTATCCGTGGGTCTCTTTTTTTGCTGATCATTTTGATCCCCTTATCTGTAGAATTGATTTTTATAAATTGATTTTGAATTCCAATATTTTGTGGGTAGACATTTAGGATGTTTGTGTTATTCATGCGTACACAAATCTTTGACCCCTGGTTTTAACTTATGGTAGATTGACGCAGTTATATAGTTATTGAAGCGTAAAAAAGGATCCAGATTCTTGTAAAAGGACTTAAAATTAAAAAATCTCCCCCCATCGCTCCTCATCGCCAACTTGTTATGTTTAGAAGTTACTATGCTTAGTTTATACTGTAAAATTAGGTTTGCCTCATAACCGTCTCCTTGCAATTTGATCATAAGATTGTCCTATTGCTGAAGAATTTTTAAAGACTATGATTTCTTGTTATACGACGGTAGCTGATGTTAAGTTGAAACAATTTTAAGGTATAGTGGCAGGTATAATACGAACAAAGAGTGATTGATAGCAAAAGCAATTTCATGGGATTGGTCCTTGAAAAACTATGACGCGCTTACAAATTTAATGGTACGTGAAAAGATTATCCTAAGCCGGCTTGGACAGAAAAAAAATGCTGCCAAATTCAATGACTGTTTATGCGTCAATAATTGAAACCAAAATCATTTATTTTATTCAAAACGCAAAAAACCTCAAGCAAATAATAGTTTGGTATTTGTTTATATAAGCGTATGCGGTATATTTAAAAGTAAATTATCCAACTAGAACATGATAGGGTTTTTTTTAAGGGACCCAGGCTTGAAAAAAAGAATATATGTGATAAAACTAAATGACCACTTCGATGGATAAATGTCAAAGAACAGATTACAAAAGATAATTACATTAATTACTAACCTTCTCAGTTTTACCCATTGTTGATAAATAAAATTCAGTGCGAAAGATCGTAACCCCTCAGAAAATAGAATCTTATTTATGTAACGAATTTTATTTGTACCATTGTTGAATCTCTCTAGCTCTTTATGGGGTTGTTCATTGTACTGAACCTGAAGTTTTGGAAAGAAACCTTGATAGGGTTCTTAAAAAATTTAAGTCCAAACAAAACCTGACAATATTGCAATATATAAAACAAACAGCCATTTACATCTTCACTAACATAATGAATAGACGACTATCAAATTCTGAATAAAAATTACAGACAAGTAAAAACGTGAATTATTCTACTAGTTGTGTAATACTTAATTAATGAAAAGTTTGATATGGTCTGGTTAGTTAAATTATTACGGTAGATGCGTGCCTCTGTATATTTTAATTAGTTTCAAGATACGAATAATAAAAGTGAGAACCAGGATTTTTTTGTGTCATAGCAATTTCTCTATTATTACAAAGTCCCGCAAAAAAAAAAAAAAAAAAAAATATATGGAATAAATATAGAATCGTATTCATTCAAAATAAATAGAATACATTGGAGTATAAATAGACATAAGGCTGGATACAAGAGCAGGATAACAAGGATCTCCTTCCCTTCGGGTAATACCAGAATAAAGCATTGAACTTCACAATATACAATTTTAAAAAATGGTGTTGTAAGCCCAATTCAACCTCAAAGATTTTGATGAAGATGCTTAGGAACCATGAGTCAGTCTATAGTTTTCCAACAGCAATAATTGCTTCAATTGATGCAACGGTGAGTGCTTTGGTAGTTTTACCTCTTGTTAAAAAAGTAGTGGCGGTGGTAGTAGTTAAACATAGTATATACCTCATATGGTTACCGATGTGTCCTGGACTAGTATGTTCTATCAAAGAACATAGATTGTTTATAAAACAAAGGATAAGTTAATTGTAAGTCTGGGTTAGTATCCGGACTCTTCAAACTTGGGATGAAGAGAATCAAAACAACCTTAGTCAAATAAAGTAAGTAAACAAGTCATTTTTGACCACTGATTTATGCCTTCTGGCCATAGCTAGCTAAGTGTAAAAAACTGAGGCCAGCTCCGTTTCCGGATTTAAAAACACGATACCTCTTATTGAATTTGGTGTGAGAATGTTCAGTGAGGACGCAGTAAAGTTGAATGGTCACATATGTGGTTTGGTCGGTAAACTATTTTATATATGATGCGAGGTAAAAGGCCGATCAGTTGTTAACACTATTGATGAATACGAAACACCATGACAATTATAGAGAAAGCAATTTGGTTAAAAGAAGGACATTAAAAGTTTTTAAGCCAAAAAATATAAATTGCTGTAGCAAACACAGTTTTCTTTAGGATTAAGAATTAATATCACTGTGAGTATCACCTATTTGACCAAATATTCCAATTCGTCTGAAAAACTTTTAAATTTTCATATGAACATGAAGTTTTACTGTTTCCTGTATTGTTTGCCATTAGGACGCCGCAACTCAGCACATAAAAAATAAAAATGTGGGCGAGGGACGCGAGCTGATCCTTTTTGTCAAATAAATTTCCACAATATGGACTCTGATGATGCGGAAGAGGTAAATACTCATGTTGAGAAGAAGTACGTAAAAGATGCCAAAGTCGGTGAGGGTACCTATGCTGTCGTGTATAGTGGTAAGTCATTTTCAATTTTCTAGTGCGATAATTATGATTTAATAAAGGGTGTATAATTAGGTAGAATGGTGACGACAGGACGAAAAGTGGCTATCAAGAAGATCAAAATGGGTCAGTTTAAAGACGGGCTTGACTTGACGGCTATTCGTGAAGTAAAATACCTTCAAGAATTGCGACATCCTAATGTCATTGAAGTAAGTTAGAATGTTTTTCGTTATAAATTATAAAACTGATTTTATCTTTTTAGCTTATCGATGTGTTTTCCCATAAGACCAACTTAAATTTAGTTCTGGAATATTTGGATTCAGATCTGGAACAGGTCATTAAAGACAAGAGCATATTGTTTATGCCAGCAGACATAAAATCTTGGCTGTTAATGATGCTTAGAGGACTTGATCACTGTCATCGCCATTTCATCCTTCACAGAGTAAGTTTAATCGACCGGCTAAAGAAGACATCGCCTAAAAGTATGAACCATAGGATATGAAGCCGAACAATTTATTATTGACTAGTGGTGGTATACTCAAAATTGCAGATTTTGGTTTAGCAAGAGACTGGGGGGATCCAGGAAACCAAATGACTTCACAAGTTGTTACTCGATGGTACAGATCACCCGAACTTTTGTTTGGAGCGAAAGAATATTCTTTTGCGGTGGATATATGGGCTGTGGGATGTATTTTTGCTGAACTCATGTTAAGAACACCTTATGTTGCTGGCGATTCTGACATGGATCAATTAACAAAGATTTTTCATGCTTTGGGTACACCAAGTGAGATCGATTGGCCTGGCATGAGTTCCTTGCCTGACTTTATTCAGTTTAAAACATTCCCTAAAGTACCTTTACGTCAATACTTTACTGCGGCGGGAACAGATGCTTTGAGTTTATTGGAGCAAATGTTGGTTTTCGATCCAAGTCGTAGGTGGACAACGGAAGAATGTTTAGGTCATTCATATTTTAGAAATACGCCATTGGCTACGGCACCAGAGAAATTACCATATATGAATACAAAGCGAGATATTGGACCCAGCGAGAGTTCGTCGGATTATATCTCTGGGTTAAAGCGTAAAGCAAAAGAGGACGCTAGTAATGATAATGCCAAAATACCAAGAAAATTGAATTTTGCTGTTTAAAATTGGCATTGTATATCGCTTGTATATAATAAAAGATGTATATAAAGAAGGTGCTAATTAGGGGTAATTGCTTTTAAAGTCGTGAAGTGTCTAGCTGTTATTTTACGTAGAATTAGAATGCACGATTAAATTGACAAGAACTTAAGTCTTCGTAAGGATTACGTATGATTCAGTAGAAAAATAAATAAATGTAATATACTCTGTTGCCGAGAATGCTATCATTCTTGTATTATGTTTGTACAAGTGCAGAATTCTAACTGACTCACTGTCAGTGACGAGCCCAAATAAAGTCTATTTAATTAGCTGGCTGCATAATCGATATGGCGAGTGATGGAAAAAATTCCTTACATATGTATATGCGATAATAGACCCCACTTATCGTCAAGCTACTAAACCGGAGTGATACTCCTTATAGTGGTATAAGTACAATTGTACATTACATCTAAAAATAATTGTGAAATCAGGCAATAATAAAACCCATGGGTTCCCATTGATATTTTTGTATTTGTTTTTTGCATAATTTGATACAGAATTGCTCTGCTTACAGAGTTAAAATTATAGTAACGTACTGGCAAAAGCTCAGCATAAAGTTATAATTAAAACAAGGTTCGCCACCATGTGCCAAATATATCCTATCCCGAGTCTTGGCGGCTGAGAATAAACCAAGTTTACATAATCTTTTTCTTATGCAGAATTAAATTTTTAGTCCAGATCTGATTCTTCTATCAAAATCACCAAACTAACTAAAAAAGAACACAATACTAAAAGTATACAGAAAGAAACCAATTTTATTATTTATTTCTTGTTATCATGAGATTAAGGTGGTAAAATGATGGTGTAGAGTTTAGATATAGGTGTGTGTATTCACAAGATTTACAATAAAAGATTTAGTTTTCACTGGTGCTATTGGCTTGACAAGAATCAGCTAATAAGACAAGAGTAACATTGTTTTCGGCAATTTGAGAAGGCATGAGAGCAAGTGTCTTGTTAAAGACATCTTCAGCAACTGATGAGGTCTTTGATAAAATGACACCATAAACTTCTTCAGCTCTCTTTTGGGACTCAGAGTCGTCGATGAACTTGGCCTTAGAACCCCAGAGGAAGATGGTATCGACATTTTCTGTAGTGTTGCTTCCAGGTTCAGCATTAGAATCAATCAACTTGCTATAGATAGTAGCTTCGACAGGCTTGCTACCAGGTACAACCTTGCTGCCACTTTCAGTGCTGTTTTCCTGGCTTTGACCGTTAGAAGTAAAGTTCTTCCATTGAGCTTCATTAACAAAGATTTGAGATGCATAGGCCGTCCAGAGATATTCACTGTCGGTCAAGTTGACGGAGCTATCGGGCTGTTGTAAGAAGAAAGCAGAGGCAGCGGATGCATTGACGCCAACATCAGTGCCAGTGTGAGTCAGTAAGGTGGAACCAAATGCATCAAAAGAGGTGTTAGAAGTTTGAGAAACATCCATTTGAAGACAGTTAACATCAATGTTCATGGTCTTTTGAGCGATGCTGTAAAGATCCCAAACATTTTGAGTTACACCAGTCAAGTACCCTACATTAATGATATATATTAGATAAAAGAACCAAATTACAGACGAAGTGATATATAGACTTACATGTTCCATTGAGAGAACCTAAATCAATGTTGGCAGGATATTGAGAAGCAGTTTGGTCTTGAGGTGCTTCTTGTCTTTTAATACTAGCACCGGAGACGGTGGAGACGGCTAAGAGAGCAGCTGAGATAGAGGCGATAGTAAATTTCATTTTTAAGATTTTATTTGTAAAGAATAATAATAGAAAAGGTATCGTAAAATTGGGGACCCTTATATACCATTTATTTTAAAAACAATGATATAATGAAATGACGGTGAAAAGCTTGCCCTAATTTGTCCATAATAAAAACAGAAAGTGTGGAGACATTTTGACTTCCCGTTTCAACGTCATGCAGAAATTGTTTTAGGTTTTTTGTACCACAGTGATGTAATTGCTACACCCAATTGGCTACGGTCCGAAAAGTAAGTTTCTAAACGGTACCAAAAAAAAAAAAAAAATGTAACTATGATGTAATTACCATTGGGACAGGAAGATTAACCGTTCAGGCTTTGTAATTTTCTTTTGAATAAAACAGCTTGAAAATATGCAATTGCAAGAGAACGTTGAGTATTCAAAAGAGACACTCACGCAGTTATATATTATAGAGTTTAACATGAAATTATGCTAGTGTTTTGTTTTATAAAGCTCGCTAACTAGGTTTTTCATACGTTCCTGCAATGCGATTTGATAGAGATTCTATGATGTATCAGCTGTTCTTTATCATAATCTGCAATTGATAAAAATAAATCATGATATCACCGTCTACCCAGAATTAATGACAAATTGCGTCAAAAAGTGTGTTTTTTTGAAAGTTTACGTAAATGGTTTAGCGTGCCTTGATGAATAGACGGAGAGTATCAAAAAGAGAATAGACCTACTGCTGTATTAATAGCTTTTATCAATCTTCAGCCTTTTAGCCAAGCATAAAAATACAAAAAATCAAAGCGAGAAATTCCTAATATATATTCGAGATGACGTAAAATGTAAAAGTGCGTTCAAAATATTATAATAAAAGGTCCTATATCAGATTTAGAATCACACGATTGTGCAGACATACAAGAAAAAAAAACGAAATCTCAATATCCGTATTAAGTTCTCCCGAAAAGCAATAACAGATTTCGCGTCATAACAACGGGAATGTAGTATTTGACGGTAGAAAAGTGTATTGTTGGTTTTACCATCGAGCTCCGTGATGATTTCACGATCCGATCGGCCTAGTTACGATATTTCTGCTCCTTTAGGCCTTCAGGCCAGTTCCTTGGCTGTCCAATCATTGCCACGTTTGCATCCTCTATTGTTAATTTATAATGAGAGTATGAAGATTCGCACCGATTTTTATTTTTAAAAAGCAAATATATGATACGATCGAAGGCAATTATTTTAAGACAATATTATGCCGCTATGCTGCTTGAACAAAGCAAATAAAACAATAGAAAATCTGTCATACTAAAGTTTTCTCCTTGTCATGATTGCCAACTATCTCATAAATATCCATTGAAACATACGATTAATATTATGAACGATTGCAGGTAGATACTGCAAGGATATTACTTTGAATTGTTTGATTTCGTGATAAACGCTTTTTTGTTTAGAATGACAAATTTCTCGGGGCCGGTGTGCAATATCATTTAACTGACTGGAGAAAAAACGAGTCCACTCTTTTTTCTTTACACTTCAAAAATGGATATAGATACAAGACACAACCAACTAGTATTGATATCAAAAAGAGTTGAAAAGGCCAATGAAAAGATCAATGAAATTTTAGAGAAGCTGGGATGGACGCGTAGTCAGTTAAAGCAGTGGCAAACTGTAAATGGTCCATGTTGAAACCAAAATGGGAATGGTCATTAACAGATCAATTAGGAACAAAAAAAAGTAATGATTTGTCCTTTTGACAAGCGACATCAGGTGCCACCATCTACCATGAAGGAGCATTATAGACAATGCTTATACAAAAGCAGAGGCACCCAGATGGTCAAAGTAAAACCGTCGTGTTAATTTTTTTATACTTTTATTCTGACTCCAACCCACATTAAATTTTTAGGAAACCCGACCTCCTAGCTCTTTGTTTTTCTATCAAGACGCACCTTCTATCGTTTCGTTTGTTGATCCACAGACTAAAATTGTTGAACCGCATAAAAATATCATTGAGACTTTGCCGCCACAACAGGAGTATTATGTAGAGGAATTAAAAGCAATACCAACAATCGAAGAAAAACGCCAAGCATATGATCAAATGATAGAGCGGTCCAAGCAGTTAAGGCTAGAGAGTCATCGCCGTCAACTAGTTACATCAGCAATTGATCGTCGTGTGCATGAGAAGCAAAATAGGTTGAAAAAGAAAGCGCATGAGGATCAACAACAGCTGAACAAAAGAAAAAGAAAACAGTATCGTATAAAAATGAAGATGATCACACCAACAGAGGTAAGTTATGTCGAAGTTGGATATAATTGCTGCTTAATTCGTGTTTTATTATAGATCCAAAGGGAACTTATCAACGCTTACATGCAAGAGTATAAAGATTGGAGCAAATAAAATTACAGATTTAAATTGTTTTTATTTTATTTTTTACGTTGGTATATTATTACGTGTACTGTTCTCATCTTCGTTGTATAGTAGCCCCAATAGAGATTGGTGGTTAGGTATATTTGGAAGGGCTGTTGAATTTATACTCATAGCATTATTTGTGGTATTGTAGATAGAGTTATCATAGGTATTCATAGTTTGTGGTTCTTGGGAATAAGTCATACTTTCATCAAATTGATTTGGATATTGCTGTGCGTCGGGCAAATGCAGACTTTTACGCTTAGATACTGTCTCTGCTGTTCTATGCTTCTGTCGTTTCATACCTGGTGATAATAAATTAGTTGTCGTCATAGGTGCAGACATAGATGGTCTAGGCGGTCTATTTCTGTTTCCAACTACTTCGGTCGCAGGTGATATTGACGCTAGTGTCTGCGTAAGTCGCATCGTCATTTGGAGATCTTGTTCAAAATTCCCTTCTTTAAAAATAGTGACTGCAGCCGAAAGATAATGAATGATTTGTTGGATGCCTCTTATTGAACAATACATGTCTTCAAAGGCATTGCACTCTAATATAAGTTCGGTTATGAGTTTTATTCTAATGGCTGCCTCTGTGCAATGGCTTTGATGCGATCTTGTTATAGGAGATAGAGTGTCCTGTTGCTGATGAAACAGTGCGAAAGGACGATGCAGCAGTATAGTAGCAAAACAAGAAGCGAGATATAGAAAACAAGTTGTGTAGCACATACATTCCTTTTGGGGAAATTTGGTGGTGGAGGTAATGAGATTGATTGTGGTTTTAAGTTCATGAGTGAGCTGATCGAATGATTTTCCTTGTCGGTCATTGTATTTTACATGTAAAAAATCCACAATATCCGATTGATTACGCATTATTTTTGTCAAGAGAATAAAGTGCATAATTTTTTCGTGTTCTTGTGCCTCATCTGCCAAGACGTGAGGAATATCAAGCGAGCAATGTACGATATTAAAGTTAGGTCGAGTACCATTTTCGATGCTAGAACAAGATTAGTTAAGGTTGCTTGGGATTGTACTATTTAAAATACCTCATCATCACATCATAACAATAAACGGCCCAAAATATTCTTTTTCGCTTTTCAATTTCTATAAAGATATTAGAGGATGTAGAGGTTATATCACGTGGTAGACCCAAGTCTTTACACATGCGTACAATCATTTGAAAGTAGTATCTTGTCCGCCAGATAAACCCAGGCCGTCTGACGTGTTCATTATATTTTAATAATAGAAATAAAGCCTGTACGGTTGATAATTTAACTTGCTGCTGTTGGTCTAATAAATTGACTGCTATTTGATAGAAACCCCATCCACGCGGCTCTTCCCCACTTGGAGGCGCACCCAAGTCCCATCTTGACGACACACAATATATAGCATTTAATAACAGGTTATTAATAGGTTGACGGCTTCTTAATTGCTGAAAAAAGGATGCTTTGTGTAAGATTGGTATGACTGGATCGACAAACTGAAAGTATATACTGATCAAATTTTCTCTTATAGGTTCGACTGGTATATAAGTTTCTAAGGTGGGAATGAGTTCTTGAATGACTGGATTCCAATCGCTCATCCCGGGTTTATATAGATCGGGTATTCTGTCAGTTCGAAGATACTTGTCAGGTACATAAAACCCTTTTCCGGTAGTACTGATAGATAGCCTATGTGGTTTAGGGTCTTCACTGCTTTCTACTTGACTTGAAAACATTGGTGGTTCTGGCTCATTCTTATCTAGAAGGATCGAAAACTGTTTTAGAAATTGTTCCAAGGCCTTTAATCTCGGTTCATGATTTTCAGACATCGGTTTAGGTGTATCCTTTTTTTGTTGAGGTTTATCATAGATACAAGCGGCTTCTGTTTTAGAGCATCGATCACAAGGCTGTAGTCCATTGCATTTCACCTTACGTTTTCGACATGGTGCACATGCTCTAGAAGATTTCTTTTTGGAATTATCACTCGAGATACTTGACCGTCTATTTAGTGGTTTCTTAGTTACTGGTGGTTCCATTTAAGCATAGTTATTATAAAGGCTCTTTAAAAAAAAATAAGGGGTGGAGGGGTAAAGCTAAAGATTACTAGCACCCTACTTTATTTTGGTGCAAAAAAAAAAAAAAAAAAAAAAATATATAAAAATTAGCCTTCTCTCACACGCAATAAAAAACAGTGTTAATGGTGTCACAATCAAAGGAAAATTTTAAGATGAAGTTTTTCTAATTTATTGTACACTTATTTCTTTGCAGCAACAACCTTTTTCTTTTGTTGCTTCTTCTTTTGTTGTGGTTTAGCAGCTTTTTCTTCTGCCTTTTTTGCTTCTTCTAAAGCAGCTTGTTTAGCTGCTGTCTTTGCTTTTTTGGCAGCTTTCTCTTCTTTTGCAACAATGGCATCAGCAGCAGCTTCTTCGGCAGCAATAGCTTCAGTCTTTGCAAATCCAACATGAGATGTGATACATGTTGCACGACACTTTGTATTATATTCACCTAAAGGTTCAATCTCTCCTTCAGAAGCAAGGGCTTCCTCTAAATCCCAACATTTGATAAGTCCATCAGATGAAACGGAAGCAAGGACGATCTTATCATCACATTCAACAACACTAACAGCCTTAACACGAAGCTTATGTCCAATAACTTCTCTAACACATTCTCCAGTCTCAACATCCCAAATACGAATTGTCTTATCCTCACTTCCGGTAACAATATAATCTTTGTCGTTCTTTTTGGAGTGGAAATATTGCATGGTGTGGAATCTGGATGTATGTGTAATGGTGGTGGCTACTTTAGCATCCTACAAGATATATATTAGAATCCAATTACAAATATTCCTATACATGTACATTGATCACTTACTGCGACATTATAAATATTGATGGATTTGTCAAACATAATGGCGTACTTATCACCAGCAGAGTTCCATAACACCAACATTGGTTCATCTAATAATTATGCATAAGCCACTTGATTTGTTCCAGAAGAAAAAAAAAACTATACTAACCTCTGCCTAATTTGTTAATACTGGCTTTACGACCTGTCATTAAATTCCAGACAATAGCAGTTCTATCAATAGCGACAGATAAAGCGATTTTACCAGTGGGATGGATAGCAATCGAATTAACTCTTCCCCTATGACACACACAGATAAACATGAATAAGTACTCTATTTCCTTTGTCCCTTTTTTTTTTTTTTTTTTACTATATATAAAACTTACTTGTGAGACTTGAGGTTCTTCAAGAACTCCCAATCTTTTGTTCGCCATAAGTTGATAGAATGATCATCACTGGCAGATAACATATACTTTCCATGGAATTGAATGTCTGTAATATCACCAGAATGGTGACCACCTAAAGAACCGTATTCCTTACGTTTCTTAATGTCGTAAAGTCTAATAATTTCATCAGTACTGCCCGAGGCCAAAAAGTGACCACCAATAGCAACGGTGCGAATGCAGCCAGTATGGGCAGGAATAATGAATACAGGTTGAAGACTGACTTTAGTTTTCTATAGATAGTATTAGTAGACATTATAAAGCAAATGCAATCAATGGACCTACGTCTTCGTTCCAAATAGCGTTGATTCCGTATAAAAGACGTTCATAAGTGCCAACTACAATTCTGAAATCTTCTTGGACATTCATTAAAGCTGCACTGGGTAAAAGTGAATTAGCAGAAGCAACAGTATCCAAGATCTGTTTCTTTGCAATTTGGGCTTCGGTCATTTCTTCCACAGGTCTTGATCTCTTCTTTGAATCCATGATTAATAATTATTGTTTTTTAGATCTGTGGTCGAAAAAATAAAAGATTTTTTTTTCTTTAAAAAGGAGCAGGTGTCGAGATCGGTCACTCAAAAAGAAAGTCAACAAATGGTAGCCAATCATATTTTATTACGGAAAGAATTATTTAATGCAAATGGCATTTGGGGGAGAAGCAATACCACCCTTTTTATTCAAAGGTGCACTTGAGAAAAAGTATTCATACACTTTATCTTCAAATGAGTCAGCAGCTAACTTCTCCAAATAAAACAGTTCGCCTAGCATCATACCAAAGCCTCCAATAAAAACGGAATCTTTTTGATTTAAAATAATGTTAATATCTGTGAGTGCGTGCCAAATATTCATAGAGTTGTACTTACGGCAACAGTCATCCATATTGAGAGGGAGGGCTTCAACAGGAATTGCATCAGTAGCAACAGCTGCGATATGATGATCCCAGAACCAACGATAAGTCTCTTCGCAAGCTTTGACTCCAGCACAATCAGGAAAGTCCGCTTCCGAAAGTCCTTTAATATCAGGTCCACCTTTTTCGAAGCGTGCAGTCCAGCCCGTACGAAGCAACAAGATATCTCCTATCTCAATGGTTACGTTTTGATATTTAATAACTTTCTCCAATTCATCCATGGTAATTTCATATCTGTCAAAAGGATCGAAACTTGGGTTGTGAACCTCAGCCCATCTACCATAATCCAATAATACAGCGCGTCCTACGATACCAACCTCGGCGACGTATTGCATACCAAGACGGTCATTAGTAGTGGGCGTACCTTGACGAATGTTATCTGGGGTGATACCGTTATAGAACTTTTTGGCGGGTGTATGAGAAAAATGACGAAGTCCGTCCCACTGAGAGGAAGTTTGAGTGTTGAAGTTGTCATAATAATCATCAAAGTATATTCCACCATGTAGTTCCTTGATATGATGTTCCAAAGTTTCACGCTTGAAAAATGTAGGATTAGGAAATTCGAGGCACCAGTTTAATGGAAATCTTTTACCGGTTTTGATGCATTTTGCTGCCTAATACAACATGAGTGTCAACAATAACACCCACAAAAAAAAACGCGATATTAAATATAAAACTTACGTTGGCTACTCTTTCGGCTGTTAAATGATTCAAGGTTCCAAGATTATCATCTTCACCCCAGACACCCCATGCAGTACCCTTGGGATACTTTGGGTTAATGGGAAGTTGATCGTATGTAGGAAGAGTCATAGTCAATAAAAGAAGAAGACGATACGTAAAACTTTGGTCTATATTTATTTATATTTAAATCAGTTTTATTTTTATTTTTCACACACGATTGACACATCTTCTTCAACAACAAATATGATGCATAAATTATTAGTCACACAACTTATCTAGTTTGGCACCACTTTACGGTTAACGATATACAAACGTGCTTTATTTCGGTCGAAAAATTATTTTTAGAAAGAAATAATCCGTAACACACAGATACAGTTACATGAACGTTTCATGTATTATGCAATTGAAAACCGGGATTAAAATCACCCGTTGGCGCATAGTCAGACTATGCAGATGAGTGCGTTGGTTTTTATAAAAAATTTGTCGTTTCTTTCCGAATTGCATTTATCAAGTATAGATGTTATGAGGTGTAAAGTACGGCCCAATGAAAATATGAATACATACAGGTGTAAAATTACTGAAAGTCTTTATCAAAACATTTTAATAATAAAGGCCAGACTCATAAAAGATACTGTTCAATGGCTAATTTTTTTAAAAAATTGGTTGTCAGTTCAACAAGGAACGGCTTGATAAAGTATTTTACACTTTGTGTTTAACTTTAAAGTTTCCTTTGTTGTGGTTATAAATAACACTTTGGAATTATGTGCCCATTCTATAAAGGTTTATAATTACAAGGGTTTGTATTGTCACAATAAATAGCATTTCTATGAACCAACAACTTACCGTAATAATCCATGTATTCGGCATTCTTTTTACTATGAAGTTGTTAAAATAGTTGTATGTGACTTTGGCAACAAAATACCTAATATTGAAATGCGGTCAAAAAGTTGTTAAAGATGTTAACATGTCACACACACGCATAAAAAACAGGGCAAGCAGGAGCACATTCAAGTTATAATATTCCCTTTATTAACGCTCATTCTGTAAATTGAGTGAGATAGATTTGATTATATTTATCGGGTCATTATAATGGTATTCAAATCAATCATTGAATGTTGCCAATAGACCCATATAAATACTACCAAAGTTATTGCCACCCTTTTTTATTTTTTAAATCTACTCATTATCCAATCCATCAAATGAATCACGTCAAAAGACCTAGACCTGTTGATAAGCCTGCCCCCAAGCCTCGCCCAGGAACCCTTCCCACTATCTATGAGTAGTTCTTAGAATATGACACACTATAAAGAAATAAACCTATATCTATGTTTGTCCCACCTTACTTGATTATTATGTATGTGTGTTACGTCAAGAAGTTTTTATTCTTTAATTTCTAAACTGCAATCATAGTCTAGAGCCCAATGAATACTAACATAATCCTCGATGTACAAGCCTTTTTATTAATAAGAGTAAGAATAGTAGGTAATAAAATAGTTACTTATTTATCTATAAAACTAAGAAACGCATTATTTATTGTTAAAGTTATAGAACAAAACTAATAATATCGTAGCACTATCTAACAGGAGTTATCCCTTATTGACGGCAACTTCGGGAGCCTTGCTTGGGTTAAATTACGCCACCCAATAGGTGTTTACGCACTATTGTTTAAAATCAGGATTAAACATCCGAATTAGGCAAATACCATCCTGTGGGTCTTCGTGTAGTATGACTTACTGCTGAGTATACCATTAACAGCTTATATTTTAGGAGTGAATTTATTGCAAATCCTACAAGATGAGCATAAACGGTTCTCATTTTGCCAAACGTAAAGTAAAAAAAAAAGAGAAAAAACTCAGTTTTGACTTCTGTGTCGCTTTTAATCTAGCAAAGGAATACGTTTAGTCATACAAGATTGATATCTAGTAGATGGATTAATTTAAACAGTGTTAGTCGCATTGTAGAATGCTATCGTTTTTGTGCAGTTGCGGTATCCGTGATACTTATCAAACATTTTTTTTAAAAAAAAAAAGGGAGATGGAATATCATCAATAATCATTCTTACTTTCTCATAATGATTGGCTACAAAGCCGATTTCATTGTAGTATCTAATTGTAAGTTCAATTTTGAAAGTTATGTTATAAGGGGGTTTTTATGCATACTTATATGCAAAAGCCTACTTTTGTTTCATCTTAATAGAAAATACTGACGATTGCCTCATATAGCTACAAATATCCGTTGTAGATTTCATCGTGCGTACGCGTGATAGGGAAAGTGGGATTACATTTAAGTTTTTGCAGAAGGCACGACAAGAAACTTTTATAAGGCACCAATTGGGTTACAAACATCTCCCGATTATAGTTTGTTACCCAATGTTTATTTCTACATACCAAAGTCGTTATAAACTAATACGTGAAGCCAAATAGATTATATTTTTAAATTTGATACCTCAAGAAGCCAAAATACATTTTATTTTATAAAATACGTTAAATAAAAGTACAGCTGCTTTGTAGAAGACAATTTTTTTAGAGAAGAACGGCGAGTTATCTATCGCTGTGTAAACAAAGAAATGTCGATCCCTTTTTTCGTGTAACTTACTATTAGTTTTACCCAATCATGTTTACCCCCACCTCACGTGAGACAGCTACAGATGGTGTTATGGCAACGATGAATTATAAGTTATACGTATTGATAAATGATTAGATGCAATGATTCAAACTTGGCTACTGAAGCGGTTACTTTTCTTGTTTCTGGACATTTTCTAAATGTAGTTAATTCAGAATAATATCTAAATGGACAAAGGAAAAAAAAGACGCGGGTAAGCGAGTTAGAGGAAGCAAAGTGTGCAGATTCTCTGCATATGTAAGACAAAGAGGAGAAAGGGGCAATAATTATACTCAAAAAGAATAAAACAAACATTAAGCCTTGAATAAGGAGAATTAAAGACGACCGAATAAGATTTCGCTCACAATTTGTGTGGTGTGTAACGATAATAAACTAACTACAGCACTCTCAGAATAATTTGGTTGTAATTATTCATTCTTTTAATTGAGATTTTATGGGCAATTCACAAGGGGTAGGAGGGAAAAAAGGCACACTCTGCACATCGTTTTTCTAGGCGTTTCTATAAACTGTAATTTCGATTGAAGTTTCCCCTCTTTAGAGTAATAAGTGAAATGTACGTGTTGTTTTAGAAAACGAGATCTACAAAATTTTGATCTACAAGACGATCCACAGAATGAGTGTAGTACCAACGTTTTCTTTTATAAAGTTGGTTTTTAACGTTTAGAACAATCAAATCCCTTTTCTTCTTTTTTTCTTACATAAAATTACTTATTGTTACACATCATGTTCACTATAAACATAGGAAATGTCACAACTAATCAAAGTCTTGTTCCCGAAGATTTCTTAATTGGCTTTGGTAGCCTTTATTCAGAAGAATTAATGTTGATGGATGTATCCTGTGATAAACGTTATGCAGCTTATGTCACCCACCAAAAAAATATAGCCACTCAGGCCTACAGAACACACGGTAATCGCAAACGACTCTTTCTTTCCCGTCGCAAATTTGTCGAAAACGGTCAGCACAACATTAAATCAGAAGCCTTACCCTACGTCAACAGGCAAGAAGCATGTATAGAAATTACAAACCTCGTTCAAGAAGATCACACGGAATTCCATTGCAAGTTCCTGTCCATTTCCCCCGACGGGAAATATGTCGCCCTAAGTTTTTATGAAGTTTGTGTCAAAAATCCTCATTGCCTGATTTTTCAAATGAAGAGTGATGGTAAATTTGAGTTTTATCGAAAATTAAAATGCAATGGACGCGCAGTTTTCTTTAAGCAAAAACCAGGTTACTCCTTGGCTTTAATCAGTATTGGCACGATCGAGATCTATGACGAGTTTCCTAACAATATTAGATTACCCAGTTATTTATTCGATTCCGAAAAATTAAAATCCCACCTCCGGGAGGGCTTACTCGAAAATAAGGCCTACATCGAAACCGCTTCCTGGTTTGACGCAGAAGGACAGACATTGCCTGTAGTTGTTGAACAATTGATATTGATTTCAAGACACATACGCCATAACGTTATCGTCACCCATTTTTCTACACGTCCTATCGTCCGCGTTTGGTCTATTGAAGATGGCGTAAGATTAACTTCCTTTGTTGCTCCCAACCAACACATTATGGCCTTCTCCAAAAATTACAAATACACCGCCGCATGCAATCCAACAGACAGATCTATTAATATATACAATGTAAAAAGTGGATTACTTGTTTATCAATTAAAATCCAATTATACACCGAAAGAAGACAATCCAATCATGGTATCTCACCTCCGATTTTGCTACGATGGTCGATACATTAGTGTATCAGGAATAGAAAACAATTCCGTGTTTTTTGAAGTTTGGTATGTCGAAGCAGAAAAGCTCGTTTATCGAAAAACCGTGCATAACTACCAAAAAATACCAGCATGTCAAGTACTACAGCATGGCCGTAACGCCCCAAATGTATTCAAGTTTGTACAGCCTTTTGTCATGCGAGAAAATGATGCAAATGGCAATAAATACTTAAAAGGTGTGTACACCTCCTTCGAAGACAGCAAGCTGACTATCAATGAGCATCAGTTGGATATCGATGTTTGTGGTGATCAAGTTGAAGATCAGCTTAAAATAACTTGGATAGAAACAAAAAATATTTCCATTGATGGTGACCATGAAATAACTAATGAACGAGGTCGACTTCAATATTTGAAACATGGTCACTTTAAAATCAAAGACACGGTTTACATGCTTCTGTTTGGAATACACATGGTTCAACTTTGGGAACTAGCTAGTGGTACCATCGAAGAAGAATCGGAGAAGGATGACAAACTGATTTATATCCGAGCTTACAAGGGACCTGATTACGGTGTGTGTTATTCCTTTCGAGAAAATTGGCGAATTCAAAGCTTTGACAGCATTAACTTTATTGGTGGTATTTCTTCAGGAAGAACAATTGTCAATATTACCGAGAATACAGAATTTGGTACTAGTTCACCACATTATCACACAGAAGAATTGTTCTTGCCAATTGATGAGTTACGATCGGATCCGGGAAGAACACCTTCAAGAACCTCACCTTCCGATGAGGCTCCACCCACAAAACGATTCGATTATCACAAACTTGAAAGCGCCTGTCAAGCTTTACATTATTTATGGAGTGTCAAGAAAGCCAAAAAAGCCCCACAAACATATATAAATGCCCAAGAATACGAGGTAAGAAAAAAAAATCGATCTGATATGAAAAGCTTACAATTTCAATTTTTCAGAAAAATTTAGTTCGCATGATTGATAAGACAATTCAACTCATCAATCTCGCTGTAACAAATATTGATATATACTCCAATTTTTTCTCTACCATTGCAGGAAGTCGGACATTAGCTATGCTCGCTTCATTTAAAAAGGGCCGAGAAATTATTAAATTAATTATTGTACAAGAGATCCCCATCAGCATTTTCAGTTACCCTCGTACCATCGTCTCCTCAACTTGCTCTCCCCCCTCCTCCTCGTATATAAACAAAAGATCCACCTTCTTTTATTCTCATTTTAGCAAAAAAGACTCTCAAAAAACCTTTCACAATAATAGTGGTCATGGATCACAGCATTTACTATCACCACCCTCGAATGAAGGCTTCAAGTATAGAGGATGTTCTTCAAAACCGCATCATACGCCTGGAGCTTATCTTAAACGACCACCCATTGCAGAAAATGAAAATGTTTTAACTGTTCTCATTGATGTTCTAAGTTATGACATTTACAAATTACTATTTAACCGCATCTTGGAGGATTCTAAGTACTTGGGTCCTGGTTGTCTTTCCTCTTTGACTGACGCACTTTTATATCTCCAGGAAGAAGGCAATACCGGTAAGACATAATAACATAATCTGTATCTTTGGGGTAATAAGAAAATAAAAACTGACTTCCATTCGATGCCTAGATCTTTTACTGTCAAGTAGTCAAAAATTATCGCTGTTAGTCATCAAAAAGAACAAATCCGGTGTCCTGAAATCCGAGATTGAACAACTCATGTTAATGAAGCCTCTTCAAAAAGCTTCTAATGCGACATTTCGGAACCTCGACTCTTACGCCACTATGGAGCAAATTAAAAAATACCATGGGCTAGATCTTATCTTTTATCGTATGCAACGGTGTTACCGTGGCAAACAAATCTGTGATGTCGTGAAGGGTGTCTATTCACAGTGCCAAAAGTTTACGAATTATGTATGGGAAAATTTTGTCAAGGAAGGCCAGAAAGTCTCTCGCGGATCTACTAAAGTCTGTGTGGTACCACTTCCTCATTTTATCACATATAGTAACTTACCCGAAGATCAAATTAAAAAGGAAGGGAGCAGTAATAATGATTTGATCACTTACAAAAAGAGAAGCGCCTTTGCACGTGTCACTATCGATCAAAACATTAACACAATCTTTCAACAAGGTGATACGGTACTTGAAGTTATCTTACAGTATAAATGGGAACATTTCGCTCGCTGGAGATTTGGTTTGATCTGTGTTATTCATTTGATTTACTACGTTTCTTATTCTACAGGTGTATTATTTGCACATGATTTGTTTGATCATGGTCAATCCCAGGAAGAAGCTTACCGTATTACTTCACCAGCTCAGATTTGTTGCTTGGTTCTAATGTTTTTTTCCGTCTCTGTATTGATGGCTCAAGAGGTGCGACAGTTTTGGAAAACTTATAGTAAACGACATTATTTCTTTTCTGGGTATAATTGGATTGATTTTGCTGCAATTGTACTTCCTATTTATACCTTGATTCAAATGATTTATGGCTGGGATTATTTCGTAAGTTTTTTTTTTTCTTTTTTACCTCCTACGTCTTGAACCCTTATTTATCATACTTCTTTAGAATGAAGTATGTAGTATCAGTACATTGGTCTTATGGACACATGCTATTCTAAGAATGCGGGTGATATCATATTTCGTAAGTCTCTTTTCTTTAACTTTTTTTTCTACTACCCCAAGCCATTTTATACTCATGATATAATGTAGGGAGTGACATTGGAAGCGATTATCCAACTTTGTAAAAGTGTCTCTTCTGTACTCTTTGTGATGGTGCTTGTGCTGTTTGCATTTACCAATGCGTATATTGTACTTTTACGTGACAAGCCAGACGAGTACTTTCAAGAAAACTATGCATCCAACTCGAATGACACGCTCATTTTATCTTCTGATATCAGTACAAGCAATGGATTTGTCAACTTATATAAAGCGTTTGCATGCGTCTGGTTCTTTGTGTATGGTGTCTGGGACCCTGTTAACAATGGAGCAGCTGGTGATAGCAAATTTCTGGTTGCCATGTCTATCGTGTTCTCACTTGTGACAGTATTGATCTTCTTCAATCTGGTCATTGCCATGATGGCAAGCACGGTGGAACAAGTAAAGCAAGGAGGTAAAAAAGCATGGGTGAGCCATTTTGCAGCTGTGGTTTCCGAGATTGAAAATATTTGGTGCCCACAAAGTGTCAAAAGAAGTAGAAGACATAATCCAACGTATATTTATTATGTGGCGAGTGAGGAATCGGTGCAGAAACACGAAGAGGATCTTTTGAGAGAGTCCGAAAAGATAAAACGAAAATTAAAGATGGAAACCCTATCACCATCTGGCCCTGTCTACAGTGAACATAATCAGACAAGGGGATCGTTTTCTTCAAGTTTTTAATAATAAAGAAAATTATATTTACTAAAGCAGTATTAGAGAGTATACTATCAATCCTTTTCAGAAACACTCTGTTGGATTACAGCAATTAATGCAAACACTGACCACCTCTTATTCAGCTGTGTGTTAGACAATGTCTGACGCTCTAGATGTGGTGCCGGGGATGTCACATATCTTCTTTGTCTGAAGACCAATATTATGCTGTCAACCGGAAGATATATTTTGCGTTCTATCTAAATGAAATTTTTAAATGGCGTTTTTAGCTTTACGTTGACAACTCGACAAAAAAGAAGTGTAGTCAATAGATAGTTGTCATTGTGCTTGGATAAATATAAATACTCAACATGTTGACGATTTGAATTTCTATATAACAAAAATGCCTAAAGTTAGACTTGAGAAACCCGCACTTCCTATGCCATATGTGATTCCCATTATGATTTGTCCCAAGGAAGAAGAAGAGCGCCGTAAAGAAGCCTACGAAAAGAGCAAAGAAAAGAATGGAGACAAAAAGAAATCAAACAAATAACTTTTTTTTAAAAATAAAAAAAATATCGTTCTTTACTGCTATTTGCACATACAACGAGAAGTTTTACCCGATCTGATAAACATTTATCACTGAGCGACTTTAAAATAGGGCAGCCGCTAAACGGAAACAAATTATTGATATGTATTCACAAAATAATTAGTACCTCTATTGCTTCTTTTTTTATTTTCACTTTAAAAGCAAACCTTGATAGAGTTTAAATCTTTATCAATCAACCGCTTGCTCGTGCTACTGTTAAATGCTTACTTTATCTAAGGGCGTTTCTTATTCACTTTAAAAGTCAGAGGAAGCATTTTAACATCTTCTGGATGTCTATTTTGTGCGATGTTGAGACTATTTCAATTGATAAGTAATTATTAAAATCCAGAGGATCAAATGTATGCAATTTCCTCATTTATAAGCATTGTAGACAAGAATACAATATCAGATGGGATTTAATGTTATCGATCACAACCGCGGACGGGGTTTAAAATAAAATGATGTAACAAATGCGAAACGATTTTAATTTCTTCTTTCCCCCTTTTTCTCCAACGATGTTTTCACGTTTAACGAAAAGAGTGAAAAATGTTCAAGAACAACAAAAGGTGTTTTTCACCACAAATAGAAAAACTCCATGGATAAATCCCAAAGTTAAAAAAGCAGTGTTGCTTAGTACAGGAGCTGTCTGCACAGGAACTGGCGCTTATTACTTGCTGACGGACCGAGAGCGTAGAATCCCTTTGGGGGTACGAGAAAAAGTACCCAGTTTAGCCATTTATCCCGACCGTGGTGGGGTTAAGGAACTTCCAATTACCACTCATTATTTAGAGGATTCAATTGATAAGGAGAATACCAAGCCACGTCTGGTGATCATCGGTTCTGGTTGGGGAGCGGTTTCGGTCTTGAAGAACCTAGACAAGGACAAATACAACGTGACGATCGTCAGTGAAAACAACTATTTTTTGTTTACCCCTCTTTTACCCAGTGCCACAGTAGGCACCTTGGAGCTTCGCTCACTGATTGAGTCTGTACGAAAAATCGCTCATCGTATTGGAGGTCATTTTTTGGAAGGAAAAGCTTTGGATATTGATTTAGACAACAAGCTATTGGAAGTGGAAGGATGTCACTCTGGAGAGAAACATTTTTATGTACCCTATGATAAATTGATTGTGGCGGTAGGAGCAACCAGTATGACCCATGGTGTTCAAGGTATTGAAAATACCATGCGCTTAAAAACCATTCGAGATGCCATGGATATTCGACGTAAAGTCACCGAGAATGTCGAAAAGGCTTGTTTACCCACTACATCGCCTGAGGAACGTAAGCAATTATTGTCGTTTGTTGTGTGTGGTGGTGGACCCACAGGTGTAGAGTTTGCTGCTGAAATGTCGGATTGGATTAATGAGGATCTTGTCGAATGGGTAAGTGATGTTTACGAATAATCGTGAATTATCACTAATATATATATATATATCCATAGTTCCCGAAAGTGCTTCGTGAGGAGATCTCAATCCATATTATTCAATCGCGAGATCATATTTTAAACACCTTTGACAGCAAAATTAGTGACTATGCCGAAAAGAAATTTGACAGAGAACGTGTTAATGTCATTACCAATGCTCGAGTAGATCATATCGAAAAAGATAATGTTGTTTATAAGCTCAAATCCGTCAATGGATCCGAACCTGTGACTAAATCTTTACCTTATGGCCTCTGTCTCTGGTCCACCGGTATTGGTAAGTCCTACCTGTTTGCTAATATAAAAATAGAATTGTAACTAACACAAACGTAGCAATGACCTCATTTGCTAAAAACCTGACTGACAAAATCCCCATCCAAGCGCATAAACGCGTTTTAACAACCGATGGATACTTGCAGCTTCATGGGTTAGACGATGTGTATGCATTAGGAGATTGTGCCACAATTGAAAATCCTAAACTGATAGAGCATATTACCGAATTCATCCAGAACGCAGACACGTAAATATATATCATACAAGAGGCATACGTAGCTGATATTCACATCATATATTTTAATTTAGTGACGGGGATGGAAAGATCCAATATAAAGAGTTTTTGGCCATTTGTGAAACAATGCGGTCAAGATTTCCTTTAACGGAACAGCACTTGACGAATTTGAAGACCATGTTTAACAAGTACGATACTGACCATGATGGTTTTCTGGACGTACAAGAGATGGGTCTCATGCTCAAAGATATTGATAAAAACATGACCAACCTCCCTGCTGTGAGTGTTCATACATATATATATTTATACATAGATAATATTTGCATTTTTATTTACATTTCTCTTAGACTGCACAAGTTGCAAGTCAGCAGGGGCAATACTTGGCAAAGTATTTAAACACATTATCATCTACAGAAAATGACGAGTGTACGCAAAAAATGGTAGGACCCTTCCGTTACAGTCATTTAGGCACATTGGCGTATCTAGGCAACACGGCTGTAGGAGATTTTAAGTGGGGATATCAAATGGTGGGTGGACTCTGGGCATTGTACTTGTGGCGTAGCGTGTATTGGTCTGAACAAGTCAGTATGCGCACACGGTTAAATTTAAGCATTGATTGGACAAAGTGTGCTATCTGGGGCAGAGATATTGCCACAGTATAAATAAACGTGTGTGATCATATTGTAATTTTAGAATTTGTATCCGGCCATATCAGATTAAATAACCCTAAGATGGGCTAAGCGATATATTTTATTTTTGGTGTTATTTCTTTTGATCTCTGCATTAATTTGTGTCTACCAATACCGGGGGATTATTTTACAGTAGCGCTCAATCTAGTTTGGCAGTATAGAGCGCCACAATTTCTCAAATCATGTAATAGAAAGTTTTGTAGTCATACTTCTTATTTTGTCTGGCCAGTGTAAGTTACCCACTGTGCTAATTATTCAGCCATATACTTACTTTATTCTGTATCTAGTTTAATTTCACAAAGCTAGAAAAAATTTCTGCGGGGATATTTGTTTTTATTAAATCGACAATGTCCAAAAGTCAAAACACCTGTTTGGCCAACATATGTAGTCTCCTCTCCTACACTCACGGAATGTTTACTGGTATTATTAATGATGCTCGAGGTTAGCAGCATCCATACGTCTTTAGCAGTCTCTAAAACGTCTGAAAACCCTGGTATTGTCATTACAAGATTAATTTAAATCTTGAGAGCTACGGAATTCTCCAATGTGGCTCAAACTGTTGTTAGGGAAGAGCCCCAAGATTCTGTAAATTTTTACAATATTTTGAGCACAACGTGTGAAAACGAAGTCGATGATATTAATAAAACAAGACCGTCAGCTTTGGTAAGGAAGATTATGATTTAAATTCAACAATGCCTGTTACCTTAAGCAAGCCATCATTCTTGTCTGAAGCCAACTTTAACAAATTACGAGAAAACATCGAGGCAACACGTCTGCAGTTGACATAATCAAGGATCTATCTCTCCGATCCTGGAATCAGAAGTCCAGATGTTACTATACCCGATAAGAAGGATGATGATATTTACAAACCAATTGAGTCCAGAGGTTATATATGCGTATACGTCCCCCCCCCCCCCCTGTATTCCCCAGAACTTGACCCTATTGACGATTTCTGAGCAGTAGTTAAGATTAAAGATACAAGAAGTCAGCTTATAAATACAGAGGATCTAAGGAGAAAAATAAGCGAAGCTTATACTAAACATCTCCAGGGATTTGTTAGACACTTATCCGATACGTTCGAAAGATGTATGAACGAGGAGCATATATAAAAAAAATACTTTAATAACGTGAATTGAAAAAATAAAGACGCTAATTGGGATCTTACTTGGCCAATGACAAAGCCGCAAATTGGGAGTTTGTAGACCCGCAAAAAAAAAATACAAAACCGCAAATTGGTACCGTGAGCACTGTATGTGAATATGTTTTCTTCTTTGAAACAATAAGAAATTCAAAAAAAAAAGAAAAAAAAAACCCGCCCCCTTCTTTTTTTTACGGTTTTTTTTTTAAAAATTATTTGCAGACATGCGGCATAGTGTCAACATGGAATCTCGAGTGCATGGGAGTACTTTGGATTATGGACATACGCTTTCATTACTAGAAGAAGATTGGAATAATCAAAGTCAAATGGGCACACCTTCCTCCGTCTCTAGCAGTCTATTTGATACATGTCGTTGTTGTGGTCGACAAGACTGTGATAGTTTAGAATATTTTAATAGAAACATAAAGAAATTAGAATCTGACACTAGGTTAGCTGCAGGTATATAACTATAAAAAGAAACCAAAAACAAAAAAAGAAAAAAATTTCCTCTGTCTTTTTCTTCTACTTATAAAACTTTAGAAATTGGTCAGGGATTGCTTCATAAACACGAAACATTTGTGGCGGAATCCAATGGACAAAAGATACACTTGGAGAAGCAGGTACTTTTTTTATTTTGCATTGTGCTATTTTTGTGCTATTTTTGTGTAACTTTTTTACATATAAAAAGCTGGAGGTGTGCCACGAAAGAATCACCCGATTAGAACAATCATTAGATCACGTAGAGACACAAAAAGATGAAATCCTTAAAGAAAAGAACAAGTGGTTCTGGGAATATCAGAAGCGGCAAAAGGTAATCTGTTCTATATTCCCTTTCCTTTTCTCTAACACGCACACAAAAAAAGATGCTGGACGAAACATTATCGGATTTACAAATAGGGAACGAAAAGTACAATCAAATGTCTTCTGATTTAGACGCTAAATCTGCTGAACTGGAGAAACTTAGGATATTTAAATTCATGGTGCGTCATGCCGAGACTAGAGAAGAGACACTCCTGTCCAAGGTATAATAAACACTGGGTTTTCTTTACGTTTTTACTCACAATGGGACACTCTTATTAGCTGGAAGATACAAACCAAGAGCTGGCCCTATGTAGGCGGAATGAATTGGTACTAGAATCCAAGATGAAAAAGTTAAAAATGAGATATGGTACGTTTTTTTTTTTGGTTGTTGTTGTTATCTATAAACCCTAAAAAATAACATCGCATAAGAATCCTTGTACAATACCCACGAACAACTATCAAGAGATGTTCAAGACAATCATAAAACGGATACTGCAGTCATACCCACTCTTCCCACTGTTGATCCCATCAAGGTATATTTAAAGACAAATATCATAAGCATTTAAACACATGACAGTTATTTAAATACATATATATCTAGCTTGTGTCATCTACAAATAATAACAATGATCTCATCCACTTGATCAAGGAGCTTTCTTCCGCCAATACAAAACTAAAAACCGACCTAATGAACTGTCGAGATTTACTATCGGATGCACGAGGCGAAGTCTCATCTTTACTCCAAAAAATCGACGATTTCGATAACACACCAAAGACATTAAACGGTCCGAATTTGCAGAGCGAAATGAAATCAAAACGCGCTGCTACCATGAGCAGCGCGATTACGGAAAAACGATTATTGGTCAATCAACCAAAAACAGCTTCCGTAGCTGCTCTACCCATCGCCAAGAGGAACAAAAATGTTTTGCCTTTACCTACCGTTTCTTCTTCTATGCCTACTGCTACCCTTTCGGGTTCACCTGCTACAGCCATCGTGCATCACCACTATCATTATCATGTGAAGAAGAAGAATCAACAAGAAGATGAAGAAGATCGTGGAAGCAGTGATGTGAATAGTAATGAATTCATGCTTGATTGTTGTGATGAGGAGAAGGTAAAGCGCAATGATATGAAATTGAACAAAAAAGATGATGATAGGCTAAAAAGCCAAGGTAAAATGTAGAACGATTTGTATACAGCGGCTGCCATGGATATGGGGATGCAACACAACGGCAGAGAACTTGTTTTATCACCCTCCACCAGTTCTTCCATCATGACAACGATCCAAAAGGAGCATGGACCATATGTTTCCTTGCATGAACATGTATTACACGTTCTAGAACGCTTACGTGGGTCGGATATTCTTGCATTAAACCGAAGATTAAAACGGGCATTTGATATCATCGAATTAAGCAGCATGAGTAACTCCGTCATCGAAAATATCTTGATGGAAATTGATACATTGGAAACACGCTTTTTATGGATACGTAAAGAGGATGTACAATGGTTGGGCTTTTTCCCTTGGGTCGATCTTGTCAAGGATATGTTGAAGGAGTTGGGTGTATTACGATCCACCATGAATGAACTACAGGTCGAATATGTAAAGAAAGTGCAGGAAAGTGAGGTGAGGGTTGAGCAAGAGATTTTAACTAGACGACATTATCAGAACAAAAAAAAGGCGGAGGAAGAATCAAATAAGGGTTCTTGGATCACAAATTTTTTTACGGGTAGACATATGGTTAAGGCGGAAGAGGATGATTTAAGAGAGACATTAACCAATTCATCTACCTTGATACACGATGAAGAAGAGGTCAGAAAAGATAAAAGGCATAAAAGAAGACCTTTACCACATTATACCTCTCCACCACCACCACCGTCATCAATACAACCACAACAAATAACACCGCCACAAATGACCACTTCCATGAGCAATGGTACCAGTCGATCATCACCTTCTATACCTATTCGAAATAAGCGTAGCTTACATCGCATGCCCATCGATTATGAGGGTATCGGTCCTGCTTCCATTCGTCCTGATCCCGCTGTGAATTTTTCTTCCAGTTGGCTAGGCGGAAAATAATCAATGAAATAAAAACTGTGTGTATAATAGTAGTGTCTTTATTTAATGTGTATATATATATTTATACACTGTATGTCCGCTGGGTGATGTGTATGTTGTATGTAGATGTGTATATTGCTACATAAACTGTCCATACTCATCCTCGCTATCACTATCTGGATCTGAAGCCCACACGTCCTCTTCCTCGCGCTTCTTGATACATTTAATACAACGTGCCTTCTCGGCGTTACGGCGTTGCGACTATTTTGTAGAAAAGAGATTACGTCAGATGTCGTGTTCTTTGTAAAAATTGTGTACATGTATATTTTACCTTGGCAAACTTGTCCAAGGGTTGAGTTTTGCTACAAATCATGCACGTAAGATGTGTTTGTTGTGTGGGTGAGCATTTCTTACAACAAATTGTCTTTGCCTTGTTGTTGTATGATGGAGGTGCATAGGCTACAATAGACAAAGACTTCAATTATTACGTAAAGAGCTCATAGAAAGTTGAACTTACGGTTATGAGTGGCTTTTTGGATCTGTGTCGCAGAGAAAGCATCGATAGGTTTATCCTATGAGTTATTTTTTGTTAGCAAGATAGGCAGACCGATAAATAAAAGAAACTTACTGTCTTACAAAAGACACAACGCAAGGTTTCAGGAAGGTTGCTTGAAGCTAAAAAGGTGTGAAGGTATAAAGAGATCAGTTTATGGAAAGGACAGTAACAGAGTATTCATATTGTAAATACCATTTGCCCCAGATGTGGCGTAGCTTGTAAATCTTTGTGCGTTTTGATTCTGATTGTACTTGCTCATGATTGTATATATTGAAAGGAGAAAAGGAACACGTAGAATGACAAAAAAAAAAAAAAAAAAATCTTTTTTTTAAAAAAAAAAAGAGTGTGACCTTGTATCATAAATAAGGTAGACGCTTTTTTTTTTATCTTTTCCTTCTTCTTTTCCTTCTTAAAGCGAGTCCGAAAGAAAAACATAGTTGCATGTCAAAGGAGTCTTTATAAATAATTAATAAAGTGGCATATATACGTCTTATAGAATGCAACAACAACAAGCACAATTGCTATTTCGTCAACGCCAATTACAACAACAACAACGTCCATTACCACCTACACCGACTTTATCAAGTCAAGGCTCGCCTAATAATGCAGCACTGGCAGCAGCAACTCAAATAGGATTACCTTTACCTTCAAAATCCATGTTTACACCCACAACAGCTGTACCAGCAACAGCAGCAGCTACACCACAACAACATCATCATCACAGGTAAAAAATAATAATAAATAAATAAACAAAAAACAAGTTTTTATACATGTTGATAACAAACAAATATCCTCTTCCTTTATAGACCACCATCAATGGGACAAGCGGTACTTCGTCTCTTGCAATTCCGTGATCAACTTAGTCCAGGTGACCAGGTAAAGAATTGATTTGCTCCCCGTATCAAATAAGAGATATCTAACCAACGTTTCCAAGGCAAAAGAGATGTCATTTTGGAGAGGATTTGTTGATGATTTCTTCACCAGCAATGCCATAATGAAATTAGCTTTAGTAGATCAACAGACGCAACAAAGAAACGAATTCGGTAAACATTTCCAGACAAAAAGCGTGAAATCAAATTAAAAAAGTATATTTTTAGAAATCACACAAAGCTTAATTGCAAGATTCTTTTACACTCATTATCAGTGTGATCTTGAATCCATTCAACTTACGACGGATCAAACAATGGAATACTTCTTACCTACAGGTATGATGCTTGAATGTCCCCGATCTAGTCTTATCCATCGCTACACCAACGGAACCCTCGTAATATATATATAAAAAAAAAAAAAAAAAAACTACAAAGTCAGACAACCCTTTCTAAACATGTATAAATGTAGGTCATTCTGTCCGGTGAATTGTCAGTGCTATTTAATTCGGATCCAAATGATGGTCTCTTGAAAATACATCAATGGAAATTCACTTGCCATGGCCATGACGAATACATTGCACGTTCCCAACTATCTATGGTAGATGTCAACGCCGCTTCAATCACCAAGAAAAAGTTGAAATCCAACAATCATAATAAAACTCCTACTGTCCTCACCCCTCAATCTCTCGTCAATCAATGGGGTCTTCCCGAAAGGGTATACCAGTTATTACGGGTAAGTATCTCTATCTCTCTCCCTCATATGTAGACTGACATCTTATTTAGATCATTGATACGTCCGCTCGGTTAGGTGAAGTAGCCTTCTTTTCGCTTGTAACTGGTCTAAACCCTAAAGGTAAACACTCACACACAGTGTAACACACAAATCAAATTAAAATTATTATTATGAGTAGATGCTTTAACCGCCATGTCATTTTCAATCCATCAAAAAATGACCGGTTCATACCCACCACAACCACAAGTCATGGAAGAGGATTTACTGACAACTGATATCCTGTCTTTATTGCCCACAAAAGATAGTCCATTTATATCCACATTAACCACTACAAACACACCCACACCAACCATGGCCCCTCCTCCTTTACCACCACCGTCTTCTAACACATCACCCATGATGAACCCACACATGATGCACCCACCCACCACACCCAACCCCCTGATGTCAACACCCACAATGGCCACTCCCAATATGTCTACACCTACCATGCCCACACCTACTATGTCCAGTATGCCAACACCCGTCATGACAACACCTATCATGACAACACCCATCATGACAACACCCATCATGACAACACCCATCATGGCAACGCCTACCATGACAACACCTACCATGCCACCACCACCACAACCACCAGTACAACATGCACAACAAGTGATAAGTAATATGAATGCTCCCGCGGCCCATTTAAACCCTCAAAGTACCCAATTTATGCAACAAGCAGCTTTACAACGTTATTATCATCAACAAAGTATTCGTATGCAACATCAACAACAAGCGTTACAAATGCAACAACGTCAAGCTTTACAGCGCCTACAACAACCCTTTATCAAGGATTTACCTCAAACCCCTCCACCCGTAGATGAAAAACAACGGAAAAGAAAAGCCAGTGTTTCAAAAGACGGAAAAAACAAATCCAATAATAGTATCAAAAAAACCAAGAAATAACTTTTTTCTAAATGTAAATATTATGTGTATATTTTTTTTTTTTTTTAATTTTTTATTTTAATATAATGAAAAGCTTTTTTATGTACAACAACCCCCTTAAAGTCTTTTTTTTTTTGTAATAATTTGTCTACCAACATTCAGTGTTACGCACTTCTACTTCTTTTCCTCCCAAGGCTTCTTTAGTAGTAACAGATCCAAGTTCATATACAGTCTCATTCGCGGCTTCCAATAATCTAGTAATCTCGGCGACATTCTCACGATCAGCAACAATAATCATACCAATACCACAATTGAATGTACGTGACATTTCATGAGCGGATAATCCACCGGCCTCCTTGAGCCATTTGAAAATAGGAGGTAACTCATATGATTTAGCATCCACAATCACTGCCAAATGTTCAGGCATCACACGAGGAATATTCTCCAAGAATCCACCGCCAGTGATATGTGCCATACCCTTGATCAAATCCTTTTGCACAACAGGTAATAATTGTTTGACATAGATACGTGTAGGAACCAAAAGTCCTTCTCCAAGTGTCTTTTCAGAGTTCCAAGGACAAGGTGATTGGTAATTTAATCCAGGCTGAGATGACACAATTTTACGGACCAAAGAAAATCCATTGGAATGAACACCAGAGGAAGCTAAACCAAGAACAACATCTCCTTCCTTCATTAAATCCATACGAGGTAAAATCTTTTCCCGTTCAACTGCGCCGACTGTGAAACCTGCACCGTCATAATCACCCAAAGCATAGAGACCTGGCATCTCGGCAGTTTCTCCACCCACTAACGCACATCCAGATTGAAGACATCCTTCCACCACACCAGCGACAAAATCTTTACCGACGTCAACTTCCAATTTACCACACGCGAAATAATCCAAAAAGAATAAAGGCTCAGCTCCTTGAACAATTAAATCATTTACATTCATCGCGACCAAATCAATACCCACGGTATCATGAATTTGACAATCTTGAGCAATCTTGAGCTTGGTTCCAATACCGTCGGTAGCAGACACAAGAATAGGATCACGGAATCCAGCAGCTTTCAAATCAAAGATACCACCAAATCCTCCAATATCAGAATCAGCGCCTACACGTTTCGTGGATTTCACAAGAGGCTTGATTTGTTGTACAAGTAAATTACCAGCATCAATAGATACACCGGCATCGGCGTAAGAAAGTCCCGTCTTCTTTTCATCAGCATACTTGAATGCACGATGGGCAATGTCGTTACGATAATACATGCCATCGAATTGGATAGATTTCACGCCAACATACGCCTTATCCACAGCTTCGCGTAAAGTATTAGCAACGGCAGAAACTGCAAGTACACGACCACCATCTGTCACAAGTTGGTTTTCCTTTACACTGGTACCAGCATGGAAAATCATGACATCTTTTGAAAAACAAATCTTAATATATTGTCTCCATCACACATATTCACTTCAAAGAAATAACTTACCATTGGACTCTTGGGGAAGCGTAATGGCCTTTCCCTTGGTATATGAACCGGGGTAACCTCCAGAAGCAATGACCACAGTAGCAGCAAAAGCCTTCTTCACCGTAATGGCTACAGAATCAAGACGACCTTCTACACAAGCCATCAAGATTTCTGCTAAATCAGAATCATCTGATAAAAGAGGCAACACCACTTCGGTCTCGGGATCACCAAATCTGACATTATATTCCAACACCTTGGGTCCAGAAGCCGTCAACATAATACCAGTAAACAACATACCAACAAAGGGGAAACCATCACGACGCATACCATCCAATGTAGGTTGCAAAATCGTACGCTTCACTTGCTCAATCAGTTCGGGAGTACCAATGGGTGTAGGAGCATAGCATCCCATACCGCCAGTGTTAGGTCCAACATCGCCGTCAGAGGCACGCTTATGGTCTTGTGCAGGAGGCAAAGGAATAATAGTGTATCCATCAGCAAAAGCCAAAAACGATAACTCCTCACCTTCTAAACATTCTTCAATAACGACTTCGTTACCGGCATCGCCAAACTCCTTGGTGACCATGATGGCATGGAGAGCGTCAAGTGCTTCCTGTTGAGTTTGAGGCATAAGAACACCTTTACCAGCAGCTAAACCAGAAGCCTTTAAGACGAGTTTGTGGTTGACAGATTGGATATATGCTTTGGCTTTTTCATAATCGGTAAAGTTCTAGAAAAAAAAAGTGTTTTTAGATAGATGAAAAAAAAGGGTTTAATGGTGTTCATATTTACCTCGTAGGCGGCGGTAGGGATACGATGCTTCTTCATGAAATCTTTGGAAAAGGCTTTGGAGCCTTCCATTTGAGCAGCTTTGGGAGAAGGGCCGAAACAAGGAATACCCACTAGATAGGAGCAGATGTGTCAATGATCGCCATGTGTGTATTATTTTATGTGTCCGTTTTACCTTTTTTGAATTCACCTTGGATACCTTCCACAATGGGTTGTTCGGGACCAGGAATGACAAGATCGATCTTTTATATAAATGTTAATACAGGTTTGACAAAAGATGTCAAGTGTAAAAAAAAAATATTTTTTTTACCTTATTGGCAAGAGCGAATTCGATTAATTTGGGAAAATCAGAAACACCGATATTCACGTTGGTGATTTTAGATCCAAGCGTACCTCCGTTACCTATACAATTGAAAAAAAAATGAGTTTTTTTTTTCATTATTGAGAATAGTAAAGCAATCTTACCAGGAGCGACAAAAATGTGTTGTACTCGTGTAGACTGAGCGAGTTTCCAAGCAATAGCATGCTCACGACCCCCAGCACCGACGAGGAGAATGTTCAGCTTTTCTATATCAAAAAAGAAAAGTCAGTCATATTGGTCATTAATGTCTTTTTCCTTGGCTTTACCAGCAGTCATATTAAATAAAGAGAAGATATAAAGATTGAAAGAAACAAGGAAAAAAAAAAGAGGAGAGGGTAATTTAAGGGAGGGACGAGTTTATCTGAGTCTGACTCATATCACGATCCCGCAAATATGCACATCTTTAAGCCACCCCAAATTAAATCAAAATTTATCTATAAGTAATAGACCCATCCAAACATTTTTTTTTGAATACATATGTAGATGATTGCCAATTAAATCTATTTCGACTCTGTTTCATACATCTTGATATTTTTCTTATTTTAACCTTTACAAAAGGCATCATTGAACATCTCTTTTTTTTTTTTAGCATGATGGAAGATTATGACCCACTCCGAATTTCATCTCCCGACTTTGATGCAAAAAGATGGAGCGGGTATTTAAAAAAAATAGATTTTTTATTTAATTTTTAATGTACACGGGTGGTGAAATCACTGTTTCCCAACTCTGTGGTAAACTAGGATCTGACATAAGCTTTAAGGCCTTATATCTCAAATGATAAAATCCAGTCTCTACAGACACAAGATCTCCCAAATTCTCCGTACCCGTTGGAATCATGGTACCATTCCATTTTTGAGAAAAGATCAAGCTAGAGTCCGATAGCGTATTACGTGTCAAGTACTGTTCTTGTGAAAATAATCCAATCAATTCCTTCTTCTTATTCAATACTTCGGTACGCACATGCGAAGATCCCGTCAGCAATCGAAATAAACTCGTCAACGACGACGTCGAACGTTGCGATCTATCCAAAACTATCCCTTTACTGCGTCGTCCATCTTGGTATTTCAGCTCGAATACTTTCGTTGTATTGGACATGGTAAATCGAGGAAATCGCGCGGCAAAAATGGGTAGTTCCGCCATCGAGCCACTGATACCCATATATGGCACATGCATCGCTTTTATCTTGTTGTCCGTCTGATTCACGGGTGAAAATTCAATATAGCCTCCATAGATGGGATACACTTCCGCTCCTTCCAAACCTGAAATATTAGACACGGACACATTCAGTTCGAATGACTGGCCTGGTTCCATCGTGATATATTCGGAAGATATATTTAAAGTTGCTTGTACACGTTGATTAGCATAATGTGGTGGCTGTAATGGAGAATATCCTTGCTTTGTCACATTAAAGGGTGCCACAGCTAAAGCAGGCTTGTGTTTGATCTTGTAAGTCACTGTATCGTTACCCGGATTCGAAATTGTTAATGTATGAGCCTTTATATTCACCGTGTCATTAAAACTTATGTGACCGGGAGAAACATGCATCGATTGACTAATCGTATCAAACACTATTCACAAGGGTCATTAGCTTTTTTTTTTCTAATCAAAGAAGTACTTACTCTGAATCAATCCAGCTCCCTGTCTAGCCGGACTTTCAATATGCATGCCTTGAGAAGCAACCTTTGCATAATTTTGGAAATGCTCTTTGATATAGGTGACGCCCTTTTCTTTGCCATGGGCTTGCAGGTACAAAGCATACGTACCAGCAATATAGGGAGCTGCCATAGAGGTACCCGAAAGCGTACCATAACCACCATTAACAATTGGCAGTGTAGAAAAGATGTAGCCACCTGGACCCGCAAAATCAGGTTTAAAGCTCATATCATACAATGGCCCTACACTTGAGAATTTCGACATTTTATTTCCATTGACTACTTTTTGTGGTGTTAAAGCCGTTTGAAAATCCAAATAGATGCCATCCTGGTATTTTGTATTGATGGATTCTTTTAATTGATAGCCTGCCTTCATCGAGATGGATGTCAATGGAAGTTTGGTTTTGGAAGCTTGAGCTTTGAAAACAGCCTCTTCTACATTGTCATAAACCACAATACCAGCAGCACCATACATTTCTACTACCTGGGCTTTTTCATCAAACGTACATGTACCTCGTTGAACTAGTACGAGTTTTCCCCAAAGATTCGTATCAGGTCTTGTGCCAAGGCAAGCGTCTGCATCTAAATGTGTGTTGGAGTAATTGATCAACCGTCCGCTTGGAATTTTTTTTGTAGTGCTCGATAGTAAATAGGCTGTTTTGAAAAAAAAAATTGGTTAGTGGGGAAATGAGGTTGTGTAATCGGGGAAAGGGAAAAACAACGTACGATATTCGTTTCCGGCTTCAGAAAGAGCAGTTTGTTGAAGATTATAGACATTGTCGATAGATGCCACTGCAATATTATCAATTCCTGTGCCCGGGGAAGAGATATAGAATGCACCTTCAGAACCATCATTTCCTGCCGCTGCAATAACTATTAAATAAAAAGCTTTAGCATGTGAATGTATAAACACCTCATATAGTTTTTTCTTACTTATGGATCCTTTGCTCGAGATTCTTCCAGCTACAATAGCAGTAGGATCTTGAGCCCAATTACTTGAACTTCCTAAACTAAGGTTGATTACATCACAACCTAATATGTAAAAAAGTATTACTACAAATGACTATCCCCCAAAAAAGTTATAACAAACCTGCTTCAAAGGCACCAATAAGTGCTTTTATTACCAAATCATTGGAAGTGGCACCATCACAGCCAAACACCCTCCAAGCACCTAATGTGACTTCGGGCGCTACACCAGTAAAGTTCTAAAAAAAAGGGGGTATATGAATTAAGGATTATTTATGTTCTATAAAAGACAGACTTACAAATATTGAATCATTAGCGGCAATAATACCCGCAACGTGTGTTCCATGACCTTCAATAAATAATCAGTATGGGATAAAGTTGTGGTAAGTCTTTTTTATAGAAAAAAAAAAGGGTTACCATTTCCATCGGGACAATCATCAAGAGGGGTATTATTTTGTTTTCTAGAAAATGGGTCTCTTGAATTAAATTTGTTTCCAACCAAATCATAACCATATTGCACTGTATATCCTGGTCCAAATCCACCACCAAATGCTGGATGACGATAATCAATACCTGATAATAATAATAATAATAATAACAATAAAACATTAGCCCGTATTCTAATCCCCAAGATTGAATTTTAAAACAACTAACCTGAATCAATAATTCCGACTAAAATTCCTTTGCCCTTGAGCTGAAGATCTTGATTGACTCGATTCACTTGAGTCATAGTATGCGTAAATGGTAATGCAGGACTGTCTTTTGTAAGTTGTACATCCGGTGACTTGGGAACCACATTGTCCTTCGCGTCAAAGGTATACACATCGGTCGAGAGCAAATGCTCGACTTTGGGTCGTTGGATTTCTGTCACAGGATAAATATGTTTGACACGATGTTGCTGTAATATCTTGCTTAACACAGTATGGTGTAATCCGTCCTTGTTGATCTGTCGTTTATGTAATACGTCGTTTTCATTGGATATCTGCGTAAGGGCAATAGAAACGCCTCTAAAGATGGAAGATTCGGTATTGAAATCATGGGCGATGGACATTTTGATACGAGAATTAGTAAGAGGGTCTGTTTCATAGATATCTGCTTCAATATCTGTGACAAAATCTAAACTGGATCCGCGATAGTCTTGATCGAATTCGATGATATAGCGTCCGGGAATGACATTGCCTAATGTGTTGGGTTTATATTTTGGGTCGGATAAAAGAGTGTTTAAACGTGCTTCGTCAAATACGTCTTCAATAGCTTTTGTCAATGTAAATAGACATAACAAGGATACACTGGCACTTGTCAACAAGAGTTTTTTCATTGTTATTTAAAAGAAAGAAAAAAGATGGATGAAGAGAAGAAGAAATGGTAAGAATAAAAGGTCTAGTTTAAAATTTACATATTTTATCCAAATAAACAAAAAAAAAAACCCCCCAAAATCCTCGGATTTAGAAACAAGAGAGTGGGTAGGAGGAGAGAGGGTATATTCCGATTTTTATTTTATTTAACTTTGGACAATGATCGGTCCCGATTTCCATTCTTCCCAATCGCTATCATTTTTGGGATTTCCAAAATGTTTTAAAGCTCTTAAAGAAAGATAATAGGTCCCATCTTCTACCTGTACGGAACTTCCGTAAATAGGATCTTCGTAGTTATAAACATCCTGTTCGTTTTTCAATGGGATGATTCTTCCACTCCATGCGATACTACTATGAAAATTCTCCTCCCCCAACGAATTACGCTGATGATAGTTCCAGGGTCCGCCACTGATGATACCCAAGTAACCATGATTTTCATCGTACACTTTAATTTCCATGTTGGCCGAGCCCGTCAGCAATCGAAACACAATGGCTGGCTTGTTAGCCTTGGGCTTTCGACTCATATCGTATCGGTAACTGATCTGACGTGAGGGTTTGTACGCCGTGTCGTTGATGGAAGCCAGATAAGGAAATCCTGCATCAAAGACGGGGATATCCATCATACTTCCTAGAACACCAAAGTAAGGCACAGTTGCTAACGATTGTTGCGTTTCTGTATTTTTAATCGATATGAATCCACCGTACATCTGATAGTGATAAAAGAGTTCGTCTGGGTTGGGTAAAACCACTTCCACTTGAACAAGAGTGGTTGTAAATGGAGGTAAAAGTAAAATGCTTGGCGACGAAAACTCCAAATCAACCTTAATAGTTCCGTTGGTAATGGCGGGCTCCGTGATGGTAAACGAAGTGGCGTTAGCATACGATTCAATGGAATTTGTCTGAATGTTTTCAATCGATACAGAAAGAGGTACGGATTGAAGGTTTTGGATTTGCAGCGTGTAAGATTTGTATTCGGTGTTTGATGAAGTGTCGTTAAAACTGATTTGAGAAGGAGAGACGTGAATTAAACTTTTTATTGTGTCATAAGCTAATATAATCATATGGATAATTAGTAAAATATCATGAAACTTTTTTTTACATATTCTTTACGTTGTATCAGTCCAGCACCTTGAACTAGTGGATGCTCAGGCACGCCCCATTTAGAATTGATCAACTTTGCATGGTTCTGCAGATGTTCGATAATAAAAGGTAATGTGACGTTTATGTTCTGTTTTGAGTAATAATCAATCAACAATGCTGCACAGCCTGCTATATGTGGTGACGCCATGGAAGTCCCTGAACGCACGCCCCATCCTTCATCAACATGAAGTGGCAAAGTAGAATATACATCGCCTCCAATGCCAGCCATTGTAGGTTTCAAATCTAATTCATACGAAGGACCCGTGCTAGAAAAATCAGATATCCTACCAGCCGTATCCGGGAACACGATTTTTTTACCGGCTGGAAAACTGATCTGAATCCCACTATTGTTGCTCGTATTTTGAAAAAGCTGGAGATGTTCCAATACTTTATCTGCTACTTGTTTTTCAACACCAGCACAAGGAAGAGTACCGTTCTTTGTTTTGGCTACAACGAGATTGTTGGTGGTTGCTTCAGCGTCGAAAAATAAAACACCCGTGGCACCCAATTCTTTGGCAAGTACCAATTTTTCGTCAAATGTACATACACCACGTCTCATCAAGAGGATACGATCTTTAGCATTTTCGATGGTGAAGGTGGTATCGTTCTTACATCCATAAGAAAATGTGTTGTTGACCAAAGCTGAAGATAAAGTACCGTTGGGAAATGATACTGTGTTTGATGACAGCATATAAGCTAAAAAAGACGGTAGAAGCAGGGTTAAAAATAAATTCATGTACTTTGATAATATATTCTTACGAAAGTATTCATCTTCTACAATGCTGATGTCCATAACCCTGGTAGGATAAAATGAGTTATCTACAGATGCAGCTGATACGACACTTCGTCCTGTAGCTGGAGCATTTTGAGAGTATATCCCGTTTGTCCCTTGATTACCTACCACTCCAACAACTGATAAAATATCAATGATTTAATATGAGCACAGGGGTTATGTGATTGTATTTTTAGCTTACCAATAACGCCTTTTTTTGAAAGGTTTTCGGCCACAGCAGCCATAGCATTTTCTGGCCAACCATTTTCAATACCTAGACTAAGATTGATAATTTTACAACCTTTTTCTTACTTGGTTAGAGACAAGATTTCAATTTATTCCGGTGTCATTGTTATTGTACCTGCTTCATATGCCATTTCCATAGCCTTAATGACGGTATCTTCGCTTGCTCCGCCTTCACAACCAAATATTCTCCAGACTCCTAAAGTCACGTTAGGCGCTATTCCGGTAAAGTTCTATAAAGTGTCATTAGTGCTCATGGTTGATACGAAAATTGCAGAGAGATGCCTGAATCAAACCTTTTCTTTATCGTAACCAGCAATGATACCAGAAACATGCGTGCCATGACCTAAATAAAAATCATGAATACACCATGTCAATTTATCATTTTTTTTTTTTTTTAAAAAAAAAAAAAAAAAAAAAAAAAAAACTAAAAAAAACTTTACCGGCATCATTATGTGTACAAGGATCAAATGGATCATCTTCTCCCAATGATTTGATACCATTTGACTTGTCATTGGTTGAGGAGACAAGATTTTTTCCATATTTCACTTTAAATCCTGGGCCGAATCCACCACCTAATGCTGGATGAGTATAATCAACGCCTATTAATAATTTATATTTGTTAAAAATACAATATAACTCCGAGAGGGATCAACCTTTTACATCTTTTCCCTCTCTCGCCCCCTTAATCTCCCTCTCTCTCGCCCCTTTAAAAACTTTTAAAAGCTCCTGTCATACTAAAAAAAAAAAAAAAAAAAAAAAAAAAAACCCTCTTTTTTAAGTTTGATAAAACTTACCTGAATCCAATACACCGATAAGAATATCATTTCCTGTCACACCCAGTTCTTTATGTATATCGTAAATTTGAGCATCACTGTTCGAATAAGGAAATGTGTAGTCAAATGATTTTGAATTCGGCATCCACTGCGGTCTAGGTACTTCATAGATTGGATATATATTTTTGATGGCTGGATTATTTGAAAGATGATGAAATACCGGATGATTAGAAACGGATGAATAGGCTACAGGTTGCATAGTACTTTCTTGTGGTGCTTCTTTCAAGGAAAAGGACATGCCATGAAAAATGGGAGAGGCATATGTATGATGAATGTTGTAAAGATCTTGGTATTGTGCCAAGTCTTGATGAATGATGGCTTGAATGTCCTCTTGTTGAGCATACTCGACAATATATGATTTGGGTATTGTGTTGGCTGTTGCAATACTATCGATGAACATAGATATTGCCACCCACAAAAGATATCTACCCAAAGTAGACTTCATTTTGACGATAACGAGAAAATTAATTATTAAATGTACACAAACAGTTTTATATAAACAAAGAAGGACGGATTGGGAGAGTTTTGTTTTATAAAATGGTTATTGCTGTATTTATAGTAAGGGTATACATTATTAGACCCCCTAATCTCAAGCTATACTTCTCCTAATAATCCCTTTTTCTGATAGATTATTAACTTTTATGGAAATTGGATATACAGAAGGAGCTCTCAGTCTGCAATGTTTCAAGGGATAACATATCTGTCTAATTTATAATTCTTTAAAAAATGCAATCAATAATTTGGAACATTTTGTCTTACATGCAAAGGTTCAATTCCTCCGTGCGATAGTACTAATGCAATAATCAAAGAAACACTGATTAGATATTTTGTCAGAAAGTGTGGTTTTATTTGTTGATTTATATATGTATATATAAATGCACCCATGGCCATATGAGGGGATATTTTCTGATGCCTTGTAGTTAATATTATATACAATTTTCTCACACAGATTTTTTTTTTTTAATAATCATCAATTCTAATATGTAAAAATCAATAATCGTCGTCGTCCTGTATATCCATGTCCGAAGTATCATGATATCCTCCATTTGTTAAATGGTGATTCGCATAACCATTCGCCATATGGTTCGTGTTGACATGGTTACCGTGTTCTCCATTGATACTCTCACTCTCACTGAAACGAAAGCCTGGCTCATCAGCACTGGAGGAGCTTTGAGCGATGATGTTGTGATCTGGAGTATAATGAAACTCGCCTATTTCGCGATAACCCGTTGGTTCATAGGCACCGGATCCATATCGGTTATAATCACTTTCTTCACCCTCCTCTTTTTCTGAATCACTGTCTTCTATTTCACCATCGTCTGTTATTTGATGGTCCTCGTATAAAACTCTATTTCCTCCGTTGTCATCATCATCATCGCTATTGTATTCACCTTGTTCCATATCACTGTCTAATTCCAAATCACTTGCGTGGGGGTCTTGTGATGTGAACGATTGGTTGTCGTCGGAAGCCATATCTGCAGAATAATCCCATAATTTCTCTAACAGAGATGGTCCTAATGAATATAAATCCACGCCAACGCCCCCATCTATGTACACATTTGTTTAATTTGATCATACAATTGCCACCCTAATTTGTTTTTTTTTGTTTTTACCTTCTTCTGCCATAAATCGCATGTCTTTTGTCTGGTTATCGGCTATGATCTGTTGAATCTCTTCGTATTGATCTGGTGTCATTCTATAAATCCTCTTTACCAATTCCATCATATTTATCTATTTTTGTTTTAGCAACCATTTTTCTGTCGAAACGCGCATTTTCATATTTTACCTCGGGAATAGCCCATCTTTCCCTTGTCTCGTCGTCCAATTTCGCCCGATGAATTGAGTCTAAGTTGTACACGTCGCTCATGCTATACACATGATCTGCATTGTCGTTGTCAGGAACTGTGGTATTTGTGGATGGCGACACGATCTTTTCGTCAATAGAATCAGGTGTAGCCGTGCTCGTAATTTGTGAATGTGCAGGAGAAGAATTAGGTGCTGATGACAAGTCGTTGAGTATAGGGGATCGAGGAAGTGATGTGGGTGAATAGGATGTTTTCTTTGGGTACTTTTCTGGTTTGCTTTTTGCTGGATCGGGTTTGGGCATATTTTCGGGTTTTGCTTTTTTGGCGGTTTTAGCATGCGGTGTGTTGCTACTACTACTGCTACTACTCGCCGGTTTCTTTTTTGCAGTCTGCCTGCTATTACTGCTACTCGAGCTACTCGTACTACTATTCGTATCATTAATATTGTTGTCGGTGCTACTTTTGCTCTTGCTTTTACTGGAGGATATCGACGACCCTCCTTTACGCGAGGAGCTGGTGTTTACAGACGGATCCCTTGCTAATAACTTGATGAGCTCAGGCGATGCATTAGGGAATTCAATCTTGTGGGTTTTGGAGTAATTTCCTTGTGCAAAGTTTAAATCAAACGTCAGCACTTTTGGGTCGGTGAGGTTGTCTGTAAAATATAATACGATTCGCATGTCAAATTCGCCCCACCCTTTTTCTTCTAAAACATATGGTTCTTCTGTTTTCACTAGTTTGAGGAATAGTGTTATAAATAGGGAACAGACACTCCATGGTTATTCTTTTACCTCTTCGTGGTTCTTCAAACGTCGGATGAAGAATGTAGCAAACATGATCTAAAATTATCGATAATTTGCCCTTGATTTCTTTTTCGCCTTCCATTGCCACGAGTGTAATTTTCCAATTTCTCCAAGGATGTCCATCATTGGATTTCGCCCCGCTACCTTTGATTACACTATTATGACAAGAGATCTTGATATCTTGACTTACTTTAGCCTTTCGGTATAAGATGATTAAAAGGCTTTCAATTTGTAACTTTAGTTTTAAGGAACATTACCATTTATAATATTAGTAGCTCTATGCCAAATTATATTCTGTCACAAAAAAAAAGGGTGATACTATGGTATATTTTTGATTTTATTCAAGATCAATGAAAGTCACACGTTGTGGTGAGAAGTTCATCCCAATTATGGTATATTATGTGATCTGATGCAGTTATCGCACACATATACAAAATCAGCTTTCAGACTAAGGTAGGAAAGGACGTTTTTGTTTCGCCTGCAGGCATTTTTAAGCTGTAACAATTACGACCACCTTTATACAATGACTCTCTATGCCACCTGTTGAAAATCGATAAAAAATAAGCGAGCTGTGCCCGGTTAAGATATTTAATTTTAATGCAGCTCGAAACATATTTGCAGTTGTTTGAACACATTATTTTTAAAATGAATATCCATCGCCCAATATAAAATGCTAACAGTGTATGGGATTGTAAAAAAAAAAAAAGAGTTGGAGATCTTCTCAACGCGTCATAATTGCAGTGTTTCTGATTACTGCACTAACCCCACAAACAGAAGCAATAGTAAAAAAAAAAAAACGAATTAAATCTCAATTATATCTTCGTATCCCGTTTAACACCAGAGGGTTCACTTCATGAAAAAATACTACTATGGGCTGTATATAACTTACATTATACCAAACAATACATACACTATACTTCTTTACGCGCTTTAATTAAGGAACAGAGTGAAAAGGTATTGCAAATAAGAATATGCACAATAATCCTATTTTCCAGCAGCAATTTCCTATAGGTTCTTGTTTTGTTAAGGATGCAATTTAGGCATTGCGCTAAAAAAAATATAAGCTTTACTTTTTTATCTTAAAACACAGATACTTTTGATATTTTAACAGGTATTTTCAAGCAAGTAACTATGAGGTTTTTATTCATAAACATAGCTATATTATATTCTTATAGCACTTATTTTAGTCGTCCGAGTCATCTAAAAGTTCAACGTGAACCTCCAAGGCAACTCTGCTCACAAGTTTCTCATAATCCGTTTGGTATGAGGTGGCTTGACCGACATTTAAAGCGTGTTTGCTTAATTTTACCAGCTTCGCAAGTGGCTTTCCCGATGCCTCGTCTGGAACTAAAGATGAATCGGTAGCACTATAGAAATATAACCCTTAATTTATCACTTTTCTAAACATTATCATATTAAAACTTACGCTGCACTTGCAATTGCTTTCTGGGCGGCTGTGTGTGCTTTGGTATTTTCCATCAATTGCTTTCTTCTGGCTTCTGTGACGCGAAGTTCGGCTTCGTGAACCTCAATTCTGTCTCTTTCTCTGTTTCTACTATTGATATCTGCCCAGACATTTTGGTTGCTTCCTTCAGCACTGGCTATTCTTTCCTCTAATTCTCTTAATTCCTTGGTCAACTTGAGAACTTTTTCTACCTCATTGTGACCCTTAGCATGTTCGAGACGTGCAAGTAATTGTGCCTTTTCCATAGCCGCATTAACAGATGAACCCTTCACTACTTTCTTTTTTTCGATCATTTCGTTAACTTCCTTGTCGTTTAAAACATATTCTTTCGCTTGTTTCAAATCGGCAGCTTTTTGCTCAATTTGGTCAATGGATGGAACACGCACTCTGTCGCTTTCCAAAGTTGTCAAGTATCGGGAATATTCTTGCTTAATTTCCCCCAGAATGTGAGTAACATCATTTAATAATACAAATCTTATAGTTTACCTGCGTCACGTTCTGATTCGAAACAATATCCATTGGGAACTCTTTTTCTGCTTTACCATGTTTCACTTTAAGAGCTTTATTACTCCATGCATTGTCTGTGACCTTGTATGTCTTATGCCAAGGCATTACATCCGTAATTTGACAGAGTCTGTACACGGGTACCTTCCTTTGGGGATCCGGGCCGATATATAGGCGTACGAAACATCCTATTTCATGAAAAGCATGAACAAAAGTTGTACTGTGTGTGTGTGTAAGTTTCTTACCGATGACTGTATTTTCAAAAAATGGCGTGTAAATCCATTTCTCGATCATATTTCTCGTGATTACCACTTGCTGAATTTCTTCTAGTTGTGGTGTCCTCTTTTTGGCCTATTTTTGTAGTTCGGTATTGGTATATATGACAGGTGGGTTACAATTTTTATATTACCTTTTTCTCCTTTTCTTCGTCAGAGTTGTCATAGTCTTCCCCGCTGTATTCGTAATCACTCTGGTCGCCATATCTTCGACGTCTTTTTCTGTCCGGACTCGGTGAGTCCCTACGATGTCTACTGCTTCTCACTTGAATCTTTTCCTCTCGTCGACGTGTTAATTCCGAGAGTGCATGGGACTTTCCACTTCCTTTTGATCGCGTTGATCCTATTTTTTTTTTTTTTGCAAAGTAAAACACATGAGTATTAAGTCATTATTTGACTTGAGTAGGTTAATTACTTCGAGTTGCATCTTCTCTTCTGCCATCTTTCAACAATTTTCTGACTTCGAGACGTTCGAGATTTCTCTGTCTTTCTTCTGAACGTTCAGCCAGAATTCTCTCTCTTTCAACTTCAGGAAGGGCTTGTAGTCTTTTTATATAGTGTAATTATGAGCGTGAGGTTGTTGAAAAGAAGTTTTTATTATAATTACCTTCTGCGATCGTCGTCGTCCTTGTATAAATCTGGACCATATTCGTCGATATCTTCCATGTCCTCGTCTTCGTCAATTCCGACATCATCTTCGTCAGAGTACGCTCCTTCATCGTCTTCAGAATCAGACAAACTATATAAACCCAGTTTAGTTCGACACAATTGCCATGCATGCTTAACTTGACATTACTTTCTGGATTTTTTTATGGATTTTTTAGACGCGTGATCTTGGCTTAATTGTTTTAAGGCCTCAGCCTGTCTCTTTGCTGATTCCTTATCAGTCAAGGAGAGAATGAGATCGTCAATGTTTTCCATAATATTTAATCGAAATGAAGGCAAAAAAAAGAAAGAAAAAAAAAAAGAAGAAAAAAAAAAGAAAAAAAAAAAAGAAAGGAAATACGTCATCATTACATTTCGCGTAACCGCGAGAACGTGATGATGAAGACCAAGGCTATCAATTCTACAATGTGGATTGAGCTTTACGTCTCTAATCCGGCTATTATTTACTACTATATCAGATATAAGGATACGGGTAGCCGCCACTACTGCAAGGGTAAGTAATAAAACTGTTACCATTTTGCTGATAAATCTAATACATTCTATAGGCCCACTAACAAACATAATGAGACAAAAGTATGACTTTAATTAGGGTGAAAATCAGCTGCTGCTATGAAACCATACAATCTTTTTAATATTTCACAACTGCTCTTCGAAAATTAAACATACTTGTCCAAACAATTCTTTCTGACAGGTTTAAAGATGCCGCTAATTTTACTTAAAATGCGAACAGTGAAACACTAGTCTCAAAGGCGAAAAAGGTATAAAGACTTACACATTAATCTGTTTTTTTTTCAGACACATAAGATCATGCCGCTGGAAGTATTTAAGTGCGCCTAATTAATTTGAGTAATCTATTGACTGGCTAGGTATTTCCATGTAACTTTTAACGTTTTTTTATTAATTTATATGTGTGCTGACATCAATAAGGTATAATTTTGAACTATTTCTTTTAGTTCTCTGAATCACTTAAAAGTTCAATTTGAACCTCCATAGCAATTCTACTTACAAGCTTTTCATAGTCGGTTTGATATGAGGCAGCATGGCCGTCATTCAAACCGTATCTAAGTAATTTAACAAGCTTGGCAAGTCGCTTTCTCGATGCCTCTTCTTCTGGATTTAAAGATGCTTCCGTAGCACTACAAAGATATATCCCTTAATTCATCAATTCTCTATACATTTTCATCTTAACTTACGCTACACTTTTGATCTCTGTATGTCCTTTGACACTTTCCATCCATCGTCTTCTTTTGGCTTTTGCGTTACGAAGTTCCGCTTCATGAGCCTCGGCTCTGTTTCTTTTCCTATTGTTGCTACTGATACCTGCCAAAACAGTTTGATTGCTTCCTTTAGCACTGGCTATTCTCCCCTCTAATTCTCCTAATTTCTTTGTCAACTTAATAACCATTTCCACCTCATTATGGCTTTTGGCATGCTCGCGACGTGCAAGTAACTGTGCTTTTTCCTTTGTCGCATTCAAGTATGAGCCCTTTAATGCTCTCTTCTTTTCAATTGTTTCGTTGACTACCTTGTTGTTCAATACATAATTTTTGGCTTGATATAAATCAGCCACTTTTTGTTGAATATGTTGCAGGAATGGGACACCCACTCTGCAACTTTCCAAAGTTGTCAAGTATCGGGAATATTCTTGGTTAATGTCCACAAAACGTGAGTACCGCTATTTAATAATGCAAATGCTACAGTTTACCTGGGTTACGTTCTGGTTTGAAACGATTTCCATAGTGAATTCCATTTCGTCTTTACCAGACTTCACTTTAAGAGCTTTATTACTCCATGTATTGTCTGTGACCTTGTATGTCTTATGCCAAGGTATAACATCCGTAATCTGACAAAGTCTGTATACGGATACCTGCCTTTGGGAATCGAAACCAATACATAGACGTACGAAGCATCCTAAATTTTTCAAAAGCATTAATAAAAGATGTACTATATGTGTGTATGTTTCTTGCCGATTATTGTTTTATTTAAAAAGGGCTTGTCAAGCCAGGCCTCGATCATATTTCTTGTAGCGACCACTTGTTGAAGCTTTTGTAATCGTGGTGTTTTATCGCAGATGTATTGAATCATAGAAACAATAGAAATCCAATATTAGATCTCAGTAGACAGACTGGAGATCGTAATCATGGAAAGATTGTTATGAACGAATAAGAATACATGGATAAACATTTATTCAATTCAAATGGATAAACGATTGAATAGTAAATCCCGATTGGATCTACTATTAGTTTAGACACGGCTTCGTAAAAGTATATATACGAGCTCATTCAACTCTTAATAAAAGGTTATCTTTACTTTGATTATTCATAAAGACCCATTTGATATCTACGATATTACACGTGGCACCTATTTTTATAGTTTGGTATCGGCATGTATGAAAGGCGGGTTATAATTTTCATATTACCTTGTTTTCTTTTTCATCGTTAATGTTATGATGACCTTCTCAGCTGTACTTATAAACGTTATGGTCGCCATATGTTCGGCTTCTTTCACCGTCCGGACTTGGCGAGTCTCCGTGACGTCTGTTGCTTCTTTCTGAGCGCGTAGGTCCTATATATTTTTTTTGAAAAAAAAAACATGTGAGAATTGAGTCGTTAGAACTTGAGTAGATTAAATACTTTGAGACGCATTTTCTCTTCTGTTAAATCCTTTTAAGGTCTCGGCCTGTCTTTTTGTTGGTGCCATGTCAGTCAAAGAGAGGTTAATATTGGTACTATTTTATTTTAAATGAAAGAAGGGCAAAGAAAAAACGCCAAAAAAAAAAAAAAAAATCACTTTGTAAACAAACAGATTGACGTCAGCACCTGCTTGTGAGTCTAGATAGCACATTGTGATCATGCATAATTTTAAAGGAAAAAGCACTTCATTTTAGAACCAGCTTCTCTTTGAGCAATGAGTGTCTGTAGCGGACTATGAAAGCTAGATCAAGCATCCTGTTTCGTTTGTTGCCGGGTGCTTGTCCCTTAAACCAAAATATGCAATACCATCCATTCTAGTTGATATCACTATCAAGAGATAAAGTTTTGTGATAATAAAACGCGTGTGCCCTTCCTCTGCCTGAAATCAAAAGCAAAGCAGTCCCCCAGTTTTTTATTCTGGGCGCTGCAAAGTTAAATTCTTTGTCTTTCCCAAAAATGAGACTACGTATCCGACATGCTAAAGGATTGTTGACAATTTCTGATGTAACATTAGAGCAATCTGTATTGGAACTCAAAAAATGTATTTCTAAATCTATTGGTCTAGCTTCAAACCAAGATGTCGAAAGTGAGTAAGGTGAACCAGTTTTGTTCATAGTACTAAATTTTGTATAATTTAGTATCCGGAGGATATCCCCCCAAACCAATATCTGACAACACCATCTCATTGAAAGATGCTGGACTTAGAGATGGCGACACTCTAAATATTAAAATCTTGGACACTGTAGTTGCGCCCGTTCATAAGGAAAATAGTACAACCGTGAAAGAAGGCATTGTGGAAACTCCCACTGGATTTTTGACACTCCGAGTAACGTTTTACTGATACTGGCAATTTAGAAGAGGAACTAACTTCAATTAAAAAGGTGATGGATGATGATAATTCGTGTTTGTTTAGATCTATCGGTAAGCCACGCTTTTTCTATAAATTGTCCTGATTTTATTGACTTTTTTTTTTTTAAAAAAAAAAGGGTAAAATGGTTTGCAAAAATGTCCGAAAAAGTAAACAAAAGGCTGATTCCGTTATTTGCAGCTACGTTTTAAAAAGAGATACTACGATATCAAAAGATCTCCGTCAAGGTACTTGCAATACTTGAAACAATCAAAATAACAATGATTTTCTTACCACCATATAGTTGTTGTCGAAGGAATTAAGTCTGATCCCATCACGTATTCTGATGCAACTTTAGGGTAATTTATTAGCTGTATTGTTAAGTTTAGTAAAATCGTTTAACCCTTGTTTTCTTATAATAGACAACCTAGAGGTAGTTCTGAATTTCTTGCAACAAAAAAATAATCACAGATATTGATATAATTATACTATGATAAGACAAATACATGGATTGGATTCAAAAGCCAAACGCTTGGGGAGGTGCAATTGGTAAGTATTAGTACTAGGAAATGTTTGAATCATTCTAACATCAGTACAACAGAATTAGCTATACTTTCGTCTCATTTTGGCATAGGTAGGAATTCCAAAACAGTATTTGCTATGTAAACTAATAGCTCATCAATCAAACTTTGAATCAATAGAAATAGATAGTATAGATGTTCAAACTGGTCGTGTGGATAAATTTGGTAATAAGTATTTGCTTGAATCTAGCGAATACATGCTAAATAAGTCAAAATAGGAGAAGGAAAATACGACGAGAGAGTACTGATAGTATACAGTGGTATTCGTAAGTTCTTTTTTGAAAATACGACGATAATACACTAACATTTTTTTTTTTTTTTTTTACAGATTATGATGCGTTAGCACTAGCTCCTACCAGCGACAGTCCTATGGATTTTGATCAAACACGATTTTCTGTTACTGACGAATACATATTAAAATCTTCTTCAGAACTCGTTAATGGGTTGAGAAAGGTAAAACCAAGTTTGTGAATGGGATATGTTGCTAAATCTGATTTTTTTATGACAATAGTCTCACAGGTTTACGGATATCGCTAATTTTACCTTGAAATGCGAACAGTGTAACACTGGCTTAAAAGGCGAAAAAGGTAAGCCTCTTAAATTATTTTTGTTTTAATTGCCAATATTTACATATTATTCGGTCTTTATAGACGCACAAGACCATGCTGCTGTAAGTATTCAACTACTCCTAATTGACAATTTGAATAATATATTGACTGACTTGGCATAGAATACGGGGCATACCCATTTTACAGAGTATCAATAAATTAACCTAATAAACAAGTTCCCTCAATAAATCTACACGTAGTTTACTGTTTGTCAGGAGATTGTTAAGATGTTTGTTATCAACGATTCGTAACTGTAGATCTATTGATTTTGGTGTATTGTTTTTTTAAATAACCGAATTGTGAAAGGAAAAAAAAGTGGACCTTAACACTTCTCTTCTCTTGCACATAAAAGCATATACATACCGTCACTCAACAGTGTTTCGTTTTCAATGATAAAAAACAACTACTCTCTTCTCAAGATAATTCAGCTAATATAATCGTTCACTTCAAGTCAAAGATCTAAAAACGAAAAATAATGTGAAGAAAAGACAGCCGAACCCCCTACACTCAAATTCGATTGTATGTGTAGCCTGATGTCTAGATTGTTACACAGTTTATGATCAACGTAAAAACATTAATCAGTTCGTGGTTAGTATTTGGTAACATCATGTCGTATACCTTCGAGATTATTAAGGAAAGCAGTACCTTCAATTTTAATTCAACTGCTCAAGTGGAAACATTTTTTGTAATCTTTTTGTTTTCCCTTTTTAAGCCAAGTCGACTGTTACTTTAAATTAAGCTTTTTGTGGTTCCTTTCAAAGAATGTTTTTGTGTGGCTGACAATAGATTGTTATGTTTTCCTTAAAAATGAAAATAAAGCACTACAGGTTATCGATTATGGGATAATTTCAAGTTATTCTATACCCCTTTCCCCTCTCCTTAATTTTGTATGTGAAAAGGTTTTCGTTTGTTTGATATATGAAAATATATGGTTATGACAAGAATATTTGTTTTTATTTTGAATAAGAAAAAAGCCCAATTTGTATTACACAAGAGTATACCACGCAAAGCTTTTATAATATAACTTTATCCAACGAAGAATTTACGTTGTAAATTAATTTTATACATCTATTTCCATTATGGATCTCACTGTAACTAATACACTATGATACTTTATTATTAACTGGCATCCGAGCTAAAATCTTGTGTATAAAATAAGCTTTTTGGGAAGGTGCCACTATATTTATTGTATAACCCCATTTTTTGTACAAGCTAGTCAAAAAATAAAACTTTCCTTTTTACTCTTTTTGATAGTTAATAAAAAAATGGATACCATTATAGAAGTGGGAAGAACAGATATCCTTGAAGATATCTCAGAAACGGTACCCCTCAATGAAAGAAGTTTACCTAAAACGGAAACTGGGAATTTGAATATCTTAAACAATAACATGCGTCACGAAGTCATCTTGCTAGACATATCTCGCGATAAAAAATGGGTGGCCAATGTAACGAAGCAAAATGGCAATCTTTTTATCACTAGGCGTGAATTTACAGAAATAGCAACAGGCTACAATGAAGAAACCCGTATTATCCTTGATATTACCAAGACTATAAAAGTTGTTAAAGGCCCTCACTGCAAGTTCTTATCGATATCTCCGAATGGTGAATATATTGTTCTATCATTTTATGAAAGAGTCCCACGAAATAATTCTGGTTATCATGATCCAAAAAATCCATACTGCTATGTATTTAAGGTGAAAAATAATATTATAACTTTATGCAGTGTAAAGATAAAGTGTGATGGTCGCGCTGTTTTTTTTCATGAAGAACTCAACTCACTTGCCATAATCAACACAAAGGCTGTAGAGGTGTACGAAGATTTTCCTAGCAAGAAATATGTCAGTTATTTGCTTGATTTATCATTGTTTTATTCGGTCGAGTATTGTCGAGAAGCGTTTGCAATTGACTCCAGCTTTATCGAAACTGTGACTTGGGTAGATTATGATAATAATAACATACCTTCAGATATGGAAGCTATCATTCAAATTAGTCGACATGCTCGACACAATCTTTTGACAACACATTTCAGAGGTGGTATTGCTCGTGTCTGGTCCCTTCAAGATGGTGTACGCTTGACCTCGTTTCCTGCTCCAAAACAAAGCATTGTGGCATTTTCTAAAAACTGCAAATATACAGCCACGTTTGTAGCACTTACTAAATCTGTCAAAATTTATAATGTCAAAAGTGGATTGCTGGTTTACCAATTGAAATCTCAGAAAGGCTTTTCCGAATCTTTTACGCTTACGCATGTCCGATTTTGTTATGACGGTCGATATATTGCCATGTCGGGATTGCAAGACAATTGTGTGGTTTTTGAAGTATGGTATGTTGAGGCTGAGAAGTCTATTTATAGAATAGAACGGCCTTTGGTACATCCGGAAAGTAATGTACGTAGACATGGAAATACACCAACAGGAAAAATAATTCAGCCGTTTGTTGTGCGTGGAACCAATGAAAATAACGAAAAGTGCCTTAAAGGAATCTATACGTCAGTCCAGGGAGATGAACATGTAACAAATTCAATTATATTAGATATTGATCGATATGACGTGAGAAGGAGTACCGAGAATCCTTCAAACCTGATTGACTCGCCCCAACCTATGCTTCTTGATGAAAATGAAAATCAAGTGAACAACATTGTTTTTAACTGGATTAACGACGAAGGACTGCAAAAACCTTATCTAGGAGCAGAGTATGAGCTTTGTAACAACTTACGAGATTTTAACAATTTGAAATGTGGCATTTTAAATGTTAATGGAAATCAGCTTCTGATTCGTTTTGGTCTATATACCGTGCAACTTTGGGAATTATCTGGTCCAGCTATTGGTCTGGTCAATCCGTCCAATAATTTAATAACTCCAGCCACTAATATGGAAACTGTGGCCTCCGAACAAGAAGATAAACTACTCTACATAAGAGCGTATAAGGGACCGGACTATGGTATCAAATACTCTTTTCGTGAAAACTGGAGAATTCAAAGATTTGAAAGTATTCGATTTATTGGTGGGATGGCTTCTGGGAGAATGATAGTAAATATCACGGAAAATGAAACGAAAAAGTGTGAGCAGTTGACTCATTATCACACAGAGGAGTTATTTCTGCCGCTGGATGATTTTTCTCTGCATACAAACGTTAACGGTCGAAAGCCTTTTGATTATCATAAGCTAGAAAGTGCATGTCAGACACTTCATTATCTCACCGCTGATGGAATCGAAACGAATTTTCAGAAAGTAAGGATAGTTGTAAAACACAAAAGATATATATAAAGTAACTAATCACTTGTAATCAGGATAACTATCATATGATACTCCGCAAAACAAAAGAATTAATCGAATCAGCTGTAAAAGACATTGACATTGAGTCTAACTTCTTTTCGACTATTGCTGGGAGCAGGACACTCGCTATGTTGGCTTCGTTTAAAGATGGTAGACAAGTTATCAAATCGATTTTAGAAAAAGAGATACCCATAAGTATCTTCAGTTATGCCCGGACGATTAAAAAGGAGACCCCACACAAGGACAAAGAATCATTAAGGGATAACATAGTGACTTTAAAAAACCTTTTGGGGGTCAAAGCTGAAATCCCTTCCTCAGTACCAGAACCCCCATTAGCTTCAGATTCAGCGGAAATAACCTATCGAAACTCTGACTTGAATTTGATAGTCCAACCACCGAAAAATTTGGACATGATAGCCGGAAATGAAAATGTGTTAACTGTCCTCATCGAAGAACTGGATCACAAATTGTACAAATTTTTATTCAATCGTATCCTATCGGATGCTAAAAAACTGGGCCCTGGATGTTTCTTTGCACTTACTGACGCTCTTTTATTTCTTCAGGAGGAAGATAACACCGGTAAGAACATAACCACTTTATCGAATGTTTTTAACGAATGTTTCTTTTTAAAAAGACCTTCTGCTTACCAGCTCCCAGAAGCTTTCTTTCTTGGCGATCGACAAGAAAAAACTTGGGGTTCTAGATTCTGAATTAGTACAAAGCATCAAAGTCAAAATGTCACAGAAAAAAGAATATATATCCAATCTAAGAAATTTAGAGTCTCATGCAACTATGGAACAATTAACAAAATACAGCGGGTGGTATCTTTCTATGTTTAGACTTCGGAAAAAGCTAGATTGTCGTTTTACAAAGGCAGTCCTACTATTATGTAGAATCGTAAAATACGCTTTCCTTTATTATGTGAGAAGATTTTTCAAAAAAGCACGAAAGGATCCCAGAGGTGCTTCCAAAGTATGCGTTGTCCCCCTTCCTCAATTCAACATATATACTAAACTTCCCGAAGATCGGCCCAAGAATCTGGAGTATAAACTTGACAATCTTATTACTTACAAAACAAAGAGTGCATTTGTCAAAGTTGCTGTAGATCAAGATTCCAATAATATCTTCAAGCAAGGTGATACAGTTTGTGAGGTGATGGTACAGTATAAATGGGAAACGTTCGCTCGCTGGAGATTCTGGTGTATTTATGCTTTACACGCCATTTATTATGCTTCTTACGCCACCAGCGTTTTGTTTGCCTCAGAACTATATGGGTATGAAGGAGCACCACTCAAAATAGAGCATCCTGGCCAGATTACTTCGGTTTTTTTTATGTGTGCGTCTCTTTCGGTGCTCGTCATACAAGAGGGTCGCCAATTTGCCAAAACAAGTTGTTTACACAGCTATTTCTCATCGGGATATAACTGGATCGATTTTTTTGCATATGTTTTCCCAGTAGTTACGCTTATTCAAATGATACATGGCGGATCCTATTTTGTAAGTTGCTGATTTATCGTTGAAAATAGAAAAAGTTAATAATTGTCACATATTTAGAATGAAATTTGCAGTGTCAGTAATTTAATTCTGTGGACGCATGGTATTCTAAGATTGCGTGTTATATCGTTTTTTGTAAGTAACTAAAAAAAAAAAATCTTAAAATTATAACTTTACTTATAATTCTTTTCTTCAGGGTATCACACTCGAAATCATCATTCAGCTTTGTATAAGGGTTAGGGCGGTATTTACTATTATGGTCCTTGTGATTCTTGGCTTTACCATGTCATATATCATAGCGTTGCGTTTACAACTCGACGATTTTTTTCAAGAAAATTATGCTGGCAATTACACAGTGGATGGTAGCGAGAACCCAAGCGGGACCGTTAACTTTGTTGATGTTAGTGCGGATAATGGATTTAGTAATTGGTTCAAAGCATTTTACCAAGTATGGTTCTTTGTATACGGTGTATGGGATCCAATCAATGATGGTGATGCAGGTGATAGCTTTTTTATTATGTGTCTGTCTATATTATTTTCTCTCGTTACTGTGGTTATCTTCTTTAATTTATTGATGTAAGTACATGAGGATAAAGGAGTAAACTATGATTTGCTTACTAACATTTTTTGTACAGTGCTCTTATGGCTAGTACAGCAGAGAGCGTGAAGAGTCGTGGTAAAAAAGTTTGGTAAGTGTATATGATTAATTAACTCGATAATATGAAAATTTAATTGTGATGTGATTAGGGTGAGCCATTTCGCCGCCGTAGTATCTGAAATTGAACTCCTTTGGTGTATGGAGAGTACGAGACGAAATCGACAGAATAATCCTTCGTATATCTATTATATAGCTTCCGATAGTCAAATCAATCAATACGAAGAAATACTCAAAGAGGAGAACGCAAAACTTTCGAAGGATTTGGGTATCAAAAATGCCAGTGACAACCAGGGTGCTCATAGTTGTTGCAAAACAAAATAATAAAAATTGATACACATTAACAGAAATTATGTAACGCTCTATTCATGTCCCATATATTCTCAATCTTTTTTATTATAACGTACATTGAATTAAAGTGTCTTCCCGCGAGAGCTTGCATTGACGCTTAAATGAATTGTTTTATTTTGTTCTTCTTGAAAATTTAATAAAAACCAATCACAATCAACATTTTTGCAATCCTTAACACCGTTTTTATATTAAAACGGGCTTTCTGCATGTTTTTCTATATTACATAACATAATAGATGTTTTGAATTTCAGAACTTTTCATTAAGGGATGTCTTATTTTTTACTCGATTTAAACATCAATTACTCGTCATCCGTGACGTAGACACCTCCAGAAAATCAACCAGAATGTTCAGAACACTCAGACGCTTCTTTTTCAATTAGTATATGACTGTGTAGGACAGCGTTGTAGTCATCCAATCCGTAAGAATTATTTTCACATGCTTAAATCACTGGCACTGCGCCAGTTATTTACAGTCTGATCAGACAGCTATTTATGTGCACGTCTTACGCAAACAACATGCGCGATGCAGTGCATTAAGCGTGCACCACTGTATAATATATAAAAGATCGCGCCATGATAATCACTGGTTAAACATATTCATAGTGCACTAAGCTTCTCTCACTGTAATTTACAGGCTTGAAGCTGTTTTGACGATCCACTGTATTGTTTTAATGAAAAACATGTTTTTTGAGGAAAATGTGCGCGCAAACGCCAGCTGTAATACCATCTAATTCAATTTGTTCTACGAAATCTATGACGTCTACAGAGGAAACAGACTCGCTTATCTTGAAACGGTTTGATCAGAAATGACATTTTATAATTTCCCTGTCAAAGTAAGGTCCCTGGATATTAAACTTTTACTTAGACAACCCTATACCCAAAATGCGTAGAAAAAGCAGGTGCATCTTTTGGGCTAATTTTTAAAAAGATTTAACTTGTAAAAAACAAGCTTTGTCTAACAAAAACTTGTTTTTTTTTAATTATGCGCGGAATATAATTTTTCTAATAACAAAACTGCTCTAAAAACAAAACCAGCGTAAAGAACATTAAATTTGGGCTATAGTTATACAGAAACACTTTTCATTAAATCTACAGGAAGGGTATTCAAAAGGTTGACTTGTTAAATTTGTGATTTTCCTCGAGGTATATCCTTTGTGTTTTGGCCAATTTTAGGCGTTTTGAAAAAGTCTTAAAATTAAAATTAACAATTCAATATGATATGTTCAATAATTTCGAGCAATTGTTTAGCTTGAAAGAACTTACGAAAACGACGGTACTATACAAAAAATCATTTCAAAACAGTGTGTTAGGCGAAAAAAAGGGCCAAGAAAGATTAAAAGATCAATATTGGATGCAGCATCTACTGACCGTAACATGCATTTATATTAGCCACATCTTTTTCATTAAAATACAGAATAGTCAAGGTCTTAAATCTGAGGTTTTCACCTTGGATGAACATAGTTATCAGTAATTTGGTGTTTAATTGTAAAGGCCTTTGGCCATAGGTATGGCTATTTGTCTCAAATCTGATTTAATTAATGTGATTTTTTGGGAACGCCGTAGGCGCTTCCAAAAAAAAACCTATTCTGTATGATCTCATTTTTTACAGGACTACATTGAATATAAATAATGGTTTACAACTGATAGTTTATTACATAGTTTGAGAAGTACAAAAATTTCTATTCATCTTGCCCTTGCATGGAGAACAGTTAAACTTCTTACATGCCCTTGGTTTTCTTTTTTTTTTTTCGGTGGAAGAATGTAAAAAATTCTGCGATTTCTAGTAGTAGTAGTAGTCGCAGACGTGAAATAATTTTGCAATTGAGTAATTTGCATTCTAGAACTATGCTGAAGCTGTTGGAATGCGAAAGAATTACTACAAATGTCGATTGGTGTCATAAGGGTTGGAGCAATGACTCTAGTTGGCACGGTAATTTGGGAAGTTTGCAAAGAGCTGATAATAACAGGAACATTCAGATCATTACTGATGACTTTACTGCTCAATTCACTTGAATCCAAATGGGTGAAAGTATCGGGTCTTTGAGCATTTACCAAACGTGTTTAATGTCGAATATTGCTACGCATCATATCACACTGAGCCTGGTTAACCAAAATGGTATCTCTGTATTTACTGTCATCCTTTTTTGTTGTTGTATGTAAGCAATTTGTATAATAGCAATTTTCTCTTGATAAAACGGCCTGATGGTATAATACGACTCGCAATCAAAACCAATATTTACTCTGGTTCTTCTATCATGAATATCATTTAAAACTGTTTGCATAAAAACGTCGATGGAATCAATGCTACTTAAACATTCAACTGTAACATCCGAAGGGATTTTATACACGGGTGATTCGTGTTCTTGATCAGTTACTTCGACCGTTACATCATCAACATGTTTAACATCAATTATCAAGGAAGGGAAAATGTCTTCAAAGAGCTTCTGATCGCCAACGACATTGTCTGTAAAAACTATTTTTGGCATGGTATAACCATATAGCTCGTACGACCTCTTGAGAGCGCACAACAATGGTTTGACATGTGCGTGACCTTTTGTCGGTACAAAAGCCATTGCACTTACTTCTTCATACTCGTTACAAACGGTGTACAATGCTTGGAATACAGGCTTACCACCAACTTTGGCTATCTTTTTAATAATTTTAAAAGAATGGTCCACCTTAAGAATTTCACCATCCTTTACCATGGTCTCACGTTTCATCTTTGAGCGCAGCAAAGTAATAAATGATGTGTACACATGGCTGATATACTTGGAGCTAGGACATACGCCACCATATCTCATTTTATCGCTGTATGCGGAAAACTTTTCGACTGTTGAGGATTCAAAAAATCCGTGAATAGTGCTGTTATTAAAATATTTAACGGCGTCCAAGTACTGTAACTCCAAGGTGTCATGTTTGAGATGATGCAGCTCTTCTAAAATCTTACTCATACGATGAGGTCCAATCGAATTTTGAAAAAGTGCTCTCATAAAATTCATGAGCATCTTTGAAATACCTGATTTATGGGTAATAAATGCGGGAAAATCAGTTTGGCATCCCAAAGATAACTGCCTAACAATCGAGTCGTCGTATCCGTTAAAAGTATGTTTTGGAGATTCAGGTGGTGCACTACAGACATATCGTTTTGACATAAGATAATATGAACTAAAAATGAAATTCAATTAAAACATTTTCCCCTCATTACTACCAGATCACTTACTTTTCGAAATCAATTATTTTTCGGGCACGAGTCTTGGTGTTAAAACCATTCGATTTAATTTCACAATTGCATTTTGGCATTTCAATTTTTCTTGAGCATTCATGAAATATTCAGGAAGCCATAAGAAAACACGAGGGATGTACAAATTGTTGACATCCGAACTTTCTTTAAGTGAGAAAGACGGCATGGGTTGGTAGACCCAGAAAGTTTTATTTTGGTATGGTAGTTATGGGTTTTCAATTGTACAGCCTTTAAATTCTTCCTGGAGTCTTTTTGAATATTTATTAATGACACTTTCCTCATTTGAGTCAGTATCGTCACTGTTATTATTGCTTCGACAGAAAATATCATCACTATTTCCATCATCATCATTGTCATTATCATCAACTTCGTCTTCGCTATCAAAGTCAAGCAAATTGTCATCCATTTCCTCGTCAAAACTATATTAAAAAAATAAATAAGATATATTATTTGACTAATCCCAAAAAAACCTTTTATTACCTTGACTCATCTTACTGAACCTGGTCAATCAAATAATTGGTGGAATTGTCATTAGTTTGATCTTCAATCATTTCAGGTAAAAATTGCATATTTGCATTACTGATCCAATCCCTATTTGATCATTGTTACTGCCACTTGCAGTCTCCGGTATCTTAAATTAACATCAATAATAAATCCCATGTAAAAAGAGTAATAAACTCACATCAGAAACTTTTGATTGATCTATAGAGGTAAAATTGCTTAAGGTAGTCTGTACAGTTCTAATGGTGTCTCGCATCTTAAAAGGTCTTCCTACACCAATAGTTCCCGGTTGGTTCTTTTGGCCTGAAGGTCTATTCCTCTTTTTTTTTGTCAGTCCTCAAGAGAAAGCTTTCGGATTCAGTAGAAATTAAGTCCCGTTTAGGACCCATTTAAAATAAAACTTTGAAAATAATGTAAAGAAGTGCTGAAAGTTTTTGTTCCTTTGTTATTATTTATAACCCTTCAAAGCGGAATAACAAACTAATTAACAACAGGCCCAGCTATCAAATTTTTCTCGGGCCGAAAAATTGGCTAATGAAACTTCCTACTTATGCTCAAATTCAACAGAATGCTCTACTTATGTTCTATCCCAGAGTTTTGATTGGACACACCCATGGCCAGAATGCCACAAAAGGTACCCGATCCTAGGCCATGGCTACGTGCACTTTGGCTGTCCCTAAGAAAAATTTGGCTGTCCCTAAGAGACCCGTAACTTTATCCAACGCGAAATTTACGTTGTAGATTAATTGATACATCTATTTCAATTACGGATTTCTATAACTAATACACTATGATACCTTATTATTAACTGGCATCCGAGCTAAAATCTTGTGTATAAAATAAGCTTTTTGGGAAGGTGCCACTATATTTATTGTATAACCCCATTTTTTGTACAAGCCAGTCAAAAAAAAGAAAAAAAACTTTCTTTTTTACTCTTTTTGATAATTAAGAAAAAGATGGATACCATTATAGAAGTGGGAAGAACAGATATCCTTGAAGATATCTCAGAAACGGTACCCCTCAATGAAAGAAATTTACCAAAAGCGGAAACAGGGAACTTGAATATTTTAAACAATGACATGCGTCACGAAGTCATCTTGCTAGACATATCTCGCGATAAAAAATGGGTAGCCAATGTAACGAAGCAAAATGGCAATATTTCTATCATTAGGCGTAGATTTAAAGAAACAGTAACAAGCTACAATGAAGAAACCCCTATTATCCTTGATATTACCAAGACTATAAAAGATTTTAAAGGCCCTCACTGCAAGTTCTTATCGATATCTCCGAATGGTGAATATATTGTTCTATCATTTTATGAAAGAGTCCCACAAAATAATTCTGGTTATCATGATCCAAAAAATCCATACTGCTATGTATTTAAGGCGAAAAATAGTATTATAACTTTATGCAATGTAAAGATAAAGTGTGATGGTCGTGCTGTTTTCTTTCATGAAAAACTCAACTCACTTGCCATAATCAACACAAAGGCTGTAGAGGTGTACGAAGATTTTCCTAACAAGAAATCTGTCAGCTATTTGTTTGATTTATCATTGTTTTGTTCGGGCGAGGTTTATCGAGAAGGATTTGAAATTGACTCCAGCTTTATCAAATCTGTAACTTGGGTATATTATGATAACAATAACATACCTTCAGATATGGAAGACATCATTCAAATTAGTCGACATGTTCGACACAATCTTTTGACAACACATTTCAGAGGTGGTATTGCTCGTGTCTGGTCTCTTCAAAATGGTGTACGCTTAACCTCGTTTTCTGCTCCAAAACAAAGCATTGTGGCATTTTCTAAAAACTGCAAATATACAGCCACATTTGTAGCACTTACTAAATCTGTCAAAATTTATAATGTCAATAGTGGATTGCTGGTTTACCAATTGAAATCTCAGAAAGGCTTTTCCGAATCTTTTGCGCTCACGCATATCCGATTTTGTTATGATGGTCGATATATTGCCATGTCGGGATTGCAAGACAATTGTGTGGTTTTTGAAGTATGGTATGTTGAGGCTGAGAAGTCTATTTATAGAATAGAACGGCCTTTGGTACATCCGGAAAGTAATGTACGTAAACATGGAAATACATCAACAGGAAAAAGAATTCAGCCGTTTGTTGTGCGTGGAACCAATGAAAATAACGAAAAGTGCCTTAAGGGGATCTATACGTCAGTCCAGGGAGATGAACATGTAACAAATTCACTTATATTAGATATTGATCGATATGACGTGAGAAGGAGTAACGGGCATCCTTCAAACCTGATTGGCTCTCCCCAACCGATGCTTCTTGATGAAAATGAAAATCCTGTGAACAATATTGTTTTTAACTGGATTAACGACGAAGGATTGAAAACACCTTATTACGGAGCTAAGTATGAGCTTTCTAACAACTTACGAGATTTTAACAGTTTGAAATGTGGCATTTTAAATGTTAATGGAAATCAGCTTCTGATTCGATTTGGTCTATATACCGTGCAACTTTGGGAATTATCTGGTCCAGCTATTAGTCTGGTCAATCCGTCAAATGATTTAATAACTCCAGCTGCTAATATGGAAACTGTGGCCTCCAAACAAGACGATAAACTACTCTATATAAGAGCGTATAAAGGACCGGACTATGGTATCAAATACTCTTTTCGTGAAAACTGGAGAATTCAAAGATTTGAAAGTATTCGATTTATTGGTGGGATGGCTTCTGGCAGAATGATAGTAAATATCACGGAAAATGAAACGAAAAAGTGTGAGCAGTTGACTCATTATCACACAGAGGAGTTATTTCTACCGTTGGATGATTTTTCTCTGCATACAAACGTTAAAGGTCAAAAGCCTTTTGATTATCATAAGCTAGAAAGTGCATGTCAGACACTTCATTATCTCACCGCTGATGGAATCCAAAAGAGTTTTCAGAAAGTAAGGATAGCCGTAGAACACAAAAGATACATATAAAGTAACTAATCACTTGTAATCAGGATAACTATCATATGATACTCCGCAAGACAAAAGAATTAATCGAATCAGCTGTAAAAGACATTGACATTGAGTCTAACTTCTTTTCGACTATTGCTGGGAGCAGGACACTCGCTATGTTGGCTTCGTTTAAAGATGGTAGACAAGTTATCAAATCGATTTTAGAAAAAGAGATACCCATAAGTATCTTCAGTTATGCCCGGACGATTAAAAAGGAGCTCCCACACAAGGACAAAGAATCATTAAGGGATAAAATAGAGAGTTTAAAGGAACTTTTGGGGATCAAGAAAGCTGGTATCCCTGCCCCAGTAACGGAATTCCGATTAGCTTCAGATTCAGCGGCAATAACCTATCGAAGCTCTGATTTGAATTTGATAGTCCAACCACCGAAAAATTTGGACATGATAGCCGGAAATGAAAATGTGTTAACTGTCCTCATCGAAGAACTGGATCACAAATTGTACAAATTTTTATTCGATCGTATCCTATCGGATGCTAAAAAACTGGGCCCTGGATGTTTCTTTGCACTTACTGACGCTCTTTTATTTCTTCAGGAGGAAGATGACACCGGTAAGAACATAATTACTTTATCGAATGTTTTTAACGTCTGTTTCTTTTTAAAAAGATCTTCTGCTTACCAGCTCCAAGAAGCTTTCTTTTTTGACGATCGACAAGAAAAAACTCGGGGTTCTAGATTCTGAATTGGCACATGGTTTCAAAGTCAAAATTTCCAACCTAAGAAATTTAGAGTCTCGTGCAACTATGGAACAATTAACAAAATACAGCGGGTGGTATATTTCTATGTTTAGACTTCGGAAAAAGCTAGATTGTCGTTTTACAAAGGCAGTCCAACTATTATGCGAAATCGTAAAATACGCGTTCCTTTATTATGTGAGAATATTTTTCAAAAAAGCACGAAAGGATCCCAGAGGTGCTGCCAAAGTATGCGTTGTCCCCCTTCCTCAATTCAACATATATACTGAACTCCCCGAAGATCGGCCCAAGAATCTAGAGTATAAACCTGACAATCTTATTACCTACAAAGCAAAGAGTGCATTTGTCAAAGTTGCTGTAGATCAAGATTCCAATAATATCTTTAAGCAAGGTGATACAGTTTGCGAGGTGATGGTACAATATAAGTGGGAAACGTTTGCTCGCTGGAGATTCTGGTGTATTTATGCTTTACACGCCATTTATTATGCTTCTTATGCCACCAGCGTTTTGTTTGCCTCAGAACTATATGGGTATGAAGGAGCACCACTCAAAATAGAGCATCCTGGCCAGATTACTTCGGTTTTTTTTATGTGTGCGTCTCTTTCAGTGCTCGTCATACAAGAGGGTCGCCAATTTGCCAAAACAAGTTGTTTACACAGCTATTTCTCATCGGGATATAACTGGATCGATTTTTTTGCATATGTTTTCCCAGTCGTTACGCTTATTCAAATGATACATGGCGGATCCTATTTTGTAAGTTGCTGATTTATCGTTGAAAATAGAAAAAGTTAATAATTGTCACATATTTAGAATGAAATTTGCAGTGTTAGTAATTTAATTCTGTGGACGCACGGTATTCTAAGATTGCGTGTAATATCGTTTTTTGTAAGTAAAAAAAAAAAAAAAAAAAAAAAAAAAAAAAATTAAAATTATAGCTTTGCTTATAATTTTTTTTCTTCAGGGTATCACACTCGAAATCATCATTCAGCTTTGTATAAGGGTTAGGGCGGTATTTACTATTATGGTCCTTGTGATTCTTGGCTTTACCATGTCATATATCATAGCGTTGCGTTTACAACTCGACGATTTTTTTCAAGAAAATTATGCTGGCGATTACACAGTGAATGGTAGCGAGAACCCAAGCGGAACCGTTAACTTTGTTAATGTTAGTGCGGATAATGGATTTAGTAATTGGTTCAAAGCATTTTACCAAGTATGGTTCTTTGTATACGGTGTATGGGATCCAATCAATGATGGTGATGCAGGTGATAGCTTTTTATTATGTGTCTGTCTATATTATTTTCTCTCGTTACTGTGGTTATCTTCTTTAATTTATTGATGTAAGTACAGGGGGATGAAGAAGAAAATTAAGATTTGCTTACTAACATTTTTGTATAGCGCTCTTATGGCTAGTACAGCAGAGAGCGTGAAGAGTCGTGGTAAAAAAGTTTGGTAAGTGGGTATGATTGATTAACTCAATAAAATGAAAATTTAATTGTGATGTGATTAGGGTGATCCATTTCGCCGCCGTAGTATCTGAAATTGAACTACTTTGGTGTACGGAAAGTACGAGACGAAGTCGACAAAATAATCCTTCGTATATCTATTATATAGCTTCCGATAGTCAAATCAATCAATACGAAGAAATACTCAAAGAGGAGAACGCAAAACTTTCGAAGGATTTGGGTATCAAAAATGCCAGTGACAACCAGGGTGCTCATAGTTGTTGCAAAACAAAATAATAAAAATTGATACACATTAACAGAAATTATGTAACGCTCTATTCATGTCCCATATACTCTCAATCGTTTTTATTATAACGTACATTGAATTAAAGTGTCTTCCCGCGAGAGCTTGCATTGACGCTTAAATGAATTGTTTTATTTTGTTCTTCTTGAAAATGAAAATATGTGTATACCACCTGAGCTATACTATATATAGTAATTCCTCTTATATACCACCTGCCGGATTGTACCCGGACAATCGATGCCCGGCAGGTGGTAGATAGCCCATTATACGTGTAGATATGGATTAATAAAACGGCACTTTTTAGGCTCATAAAGTCAATTACCACCTGTCTGTTATGTGAAGTCTGGCAGGTGTTAAATAGGCAGAACCCTCCTACCACCATTTCTTTACAAGATTAACAGTGCTCTGTCTAGTAACGTATTTTCCTTCATACTTTCCATAGACAAGAAATGGCCGTGCAAGTGTTCTCGGTTAACCTCATCAGATTGGTCTACTGCTTGTACCCGTAAAAGCTTTCGATGCTTGAATCTTAATTAGATTGGATATTTATTCTTACAGCTTGATCATTTGCTCTCTTTTTCCTCAACGATTTCAATAGTAGTCTTACGAGCATTTCCATGCTTACAGCGAAAAACTAAGTATGTTAATTCACTTTTATCGACATCTAAAGCAAAGCTGTTTTTGAAAGCCTATATTTCAAGTACTGTTTAATCTGTGTTGACTGCCGAAAGGCCTCATTTATAGCATTTAAAAGAGATGATATCCAAATTATTTTGAAGTAAAGTAAAGTGAAGCATAATAAAGTATTACTGTGTTCCTACTATTATCTATTTACGTTAACCGTAAGTCAAAAAATAACTTTATGAGCCTAAAAAATGCCGTTTTATTAATCCATATCTACACGTATAATGGGCTATCTACCACCTGCCGGGCATCGATTGTCCGGGTACAATCCGGCAGGTGGTATATAAGAGAAATTACTATATATAGTATAGCTCAGGTGGTATATACAGGTTCTCTTGAAAATTTAATAAAAACCAATCACAATCAACATTTTTGCAATCCTTAACACCGTTTTTATATTAAAACGGGCTTTCTGCATGTTTTTCTATATCACATAACATAATAGATATTTTGAATTTCAGAACTTTTCATTAAGGGATGTCTTATTTTTTACTCGATTTAAACATCAATTACTCGTCACCCGTGACGTAGACACCTCCAGAAAATCAACCAGAATGTTCAGAACACTCAGACGCTTCTTTTTCAATTAGTATATGACTGTGTAGGACAGCGTTGTAGTCATCCAATCCGTAAGACTTATTTTCACATGCTTAAATCACTGGCACTGCACCAGTTATTTACAGTCTGATCACAGCTATTTATGTGCACGTCTTACGCAAACAACATGCGCGATGCAGTGCATTAAGCGTGCACCACTGTATAATATATAAAAGATCGCGTCATGATAATCACTGGTTAAACATATTAATAGTGCACTAAACTTCTCTCACTGTAATTTACAGGCTTGAAGCTGTTTTGACGATCCACTGTATTGTTTTAATGACAAACATGTTTTTTGAGGAAAATGTGCGCGCAAACGCCAGCTGTAATACCATCTAATTCAATTTGTTCTACGAAATCTATGACGTCTACAGAGGAAACAGACTCGCTTATCTTGAAACGGTTTGATCAGAAATGACATTTTATAATCAAAGCCATTAACGCACGCCCGTTAAAATTTCCTTTTTGGGACCTCCACGCCCGTGACCCGACTCTTGTAGCTGTAATATCTCCATGCCCGTAATATCTCCATGCCCGTAATATCTCCACGCCCGTAATATCTCCACGCCCGTAATATTTCCACGCCCGTACATAATATCACCACGCCCATAATTTTCAAGCGCTAATAGCAGACCCATATAGACTGGGATTTTGTATCTGAGCCGCATAACATAAATTAAAAAGCTCCAAATATCAGAAATTAAGCGGCAGAGAAGTACTTGTCTTTTTTTTTCTGCCCTGGGAATCGAATTAGATGGGTGTCTGACTGACTGGGAATCGAAAAGTCTTAAATATTAAGTGGGTGACTGACTGACTGGGAATCGAAAAATCTTAGAAATTAAGTGGGTTCTTGACTGGAAATCGAAAAGTCTTACAAATTAAGTGGAAATCAACTTAGTAAAAAAAAAAGATAGAAAGTAGTTTTTATTCTGTATTTGAAGTTAGAGAAGGAACTAAAGGTTCAACCAAGAGGCTAAGAAAAAGAGATGCAATTTGATCTCACACTGGCGTATGTGTAATCATTCGCAGCAAAACAACGACGAAGAAGCTTTATAATCAGCTTAGCTATTATGATTCTACGGCATGTTCCAAGGTTGTTACTTTTTGTGAAAAGGAATTTTTTTAATTCATCCTTGTGCTTTTCGTTTGATTCCCCTACAGCTAATGTCTCAGGCATATCTTCCACATCAATACCAACAAGCATTGGCACGACACGCTTTGCATCGTAATCCTTCTTGACGTTGGAAGGAATAAACAAGTGCAAAAAATCTAATATAATTGTGATAGTGGCAATACGGCTATGGTACGTATCAAGTACGTCTGTATAACGGGTAATAAGCTTATATTGCACTTCTTTGTACTCATAATAATTAGTGAAATGAAATTTGCGGGAATCATTGATCATTTTTAATTTATCGCATGTCAATTTGGAAAACTCCTCGTCAAAATCCACAAAGAGTTAATCCAATATATGAGCACGCGTAACAGTTACTGCTTCATTCAACATCTTTTGGTGGTATTATCTAATTACGAAGTTGAGTTGCTGTCATAGTGGATTACGGGGTGAGGATTGAATTTTTGTTGGGCAGTCAGTTTGCAACGCCCGTATATTTCTTAGTCCGATGGCAGAGTCGGGTTACGGGCGTGGTGATCCCAAAAAGGAAAAATTACGGGCGTGGAATAAGTTTTTTGTTTTATAATTTCCCTGTCAAAGTAAGGTCCCTGGATATTAAACTTTTACTTAGACAACCCTATACCCAAAATGCGTAGAAAAAGCAGGTGCATCTTTTGGGCTAATTTTTAAAAAGATTTAACTTGTAAAAAACAAGCTTTGTCTAACAAAAACTTGTTTTTTTTAATTATGCGCGGAATATAATTTTTCTAATAACAAAACTGCTCTAAAAACAAAACCAGCGTAAAGAACATTAAATTTGGGCTATAGTTATACAGAAACACTTTTCATTAAATCTACAGGAAGGGTATTCAAAAGGTTGACTTGTTAAATTTGTGATTTTCCTCGAGGTATATCCTTTGTGTTTTGGCCAATTTTAGGCGTTTTGAAAAAGTCTTAAAATTAAAATTAACAATTCAATATGATATGTTCAATAATTTCGAGCAATTGTTTAGCTTGAAAGAACTTACGAAAACGACGGTACTATACAAAAAATCATTTCAAAACAGTGTGTTAGGCGAAAAAAAGGGCCAAGAAAGATTAAAAGATCAATATTGGATGCAGCATCTACTGACCGTAACATGCATTTATATTAGCCACATCTTTTTCATTAAAATACAGAATAGTCAAGGTCTTAAATCTGAGGTTTTCACCTTGGATGAACATAGTTATCAGTAATTTGGTGTTTAATTGTAAAGGCCTTTGGCCATAGGTGTGGCTATTTGTCTCAAATCTGATTTAATTAATGTACGATTTTTGCAAAAAATATGACGTAGACGGTAAAAGCCCAAAAGCTTTGAGCGGTTTTTAAAAGTAGAGGGCTGCTTTGCTTTTGTTTTTTAGGCAGAGGGAAGGGCACAAGCGTTTTATTATCACAAAACTTTATCTCTTGATAGTGATATCAACCAGAATGGATGGTATAGCATATTTCGGTTTAAGGGACAAGCACCCGCCAACAAACGAAACAGGATGCTTGATCCAGCTTTCATTGTCCGCTACAGACACTCATTGCTCAAAGAGAAGCTGGTTCTAAAATGAAGTGCTTTTTCCTTTAAAATTATGCATGGTCACAATGTGCTATAATCTAGACTCACAAGTAGGTGCTGACGTCAATCTGTTTGTTTACAAAGTGAAATTTTTTTTTGGCGTTTTTTCTTTGCCCTTCTTTCAGTAAAAAGTACCCGCACTCCTAATAAACCAAGCTTGAGAGCACCTAGTACTACTTTTCTCTTCTTTTACAAACCTCAAAGATGAAAACAATAAAGCGTACCAGAACTCCTTTATGGTTATTAACCCAACGTCCAAATATTTAAATTACATAAAAGTTGAAATCGTTTGTGTAGGGACACCGAAATTTGGTTATATCAAAATTACAGAAATCAGAACGGTTTACCTCAGTTCTTTAAAGAAGGCGCGTACACTTTCAATATGAAAGCAGATGCGGAGGAGGACTACGTATTTGCAGTAAACCAAGCTTCAAAAGACCATGCTGATTTGGAGTATCATACATGGGCAAAAAATATGCAGTTAAACTGAAGATTTATTAGAATACTCATGCTCCCGATCCACTGATATGGGACAACGTTAACTGGAAAAAATTCTAACGAGTAGTATTCATTTAACCCAAGGCCGAACAAAAAGATGCAAGTAGAGACAAAGCTGCTGGTATGAGTATAAGCCCAAGTGCCACTATCAAAAGTCCAATCAAGAAGCCTAAAGTCAATGTAACGAGAGTTTATTATTTATCAGTCAGTAATCATTCTTACCTTTTATCTTTCTTTATAGTTTGTATCCAAAGATACTTTTTTTATTGACGGATACAAAGAATCTTTTGGAACCATTGTTGGACGATATGTAAGAAGTTACGTATCCAAAGACAGTAAAAGCAGCTACTTTAAGACGTAAGGATTGTTTTCTGAGTAACAAATTTCACTTGCTGATACGATTAGTTTACAGATTAGGCATGAACAACATTATCGACATCTCCGATGACACAGAAGGTTTACACCTTGCAGGGCTTGATGGAGAAAGCCAAAGACGCCTTGTAGATTTATTAAGCAGCAGCTAGTGTTCGAACTTTTCAAGCTTGCACCGATCTTGCGTAAGTTCGAACGAAGCTCGAACCGAGTTTTTGTACTCGAGCTTGCGCCACTTTTTTTTGGGTTCAAGCGAGCTTTGAGCGAGCATCGATCGAAGCTCGCTCGAAAGTTTCGATCTTCATTCCGAACACTAGCAGCAGCCCAACAGAACAAGAAATCGACCAGTATAACTGTCATCATTTGGAAAGCATCATTGAAAAAGTGAGTAGGTTGCATTATATAAAGTGATGCCTTATTCTTAATTTATTGTTTAGTTCAACAAGGTGGAAGATAATGATATATTCTTCGACAAGGTCATCAAAGAGATAGACGAGGCGCCAACAACAGATAAAGTAGTGAAGAGAGTTTACTCCCAAATGTGAGCTCTTTTATATTCATAATTACATTTTTATTTACTAAATAATTCTTAATGTAGTCTCGAGTCTATGCGATACTATAACTACTTATATGAAACTGAGAACGGAAGCAGTGAGGCCGACTTTATAATAAAGATTTATGGCCCCATAATGGAGAACGTTTTCCGCGGGAGTGGTTGCCGATTGATCTGGTACGTTTTCTTTTTCTGAAAATAATTCTTATCTTACTTATTTACTCTGATAGGGGAGATACCAAGAGTCCTTCTTGTTTAAAGCGATCAAACGAGTCAAAACTCGATCTGAGAGTAATATCACTATACACAAAAACTGAAGATCTTGCTCTGTCCGAGTTTGCAAAGAAAGCGGCACCATGGAAATATTGTTATGACAAGAAGAAGGCAGTAATTGTAAGCTTGATACACCTGAAGGAGCATATCAAAAATGGCAACCTGAACCTGGAGGAGGCAAAAAGTTTTAAGGTCCCATTTGTCTTATTTGAAGGATTGGAATCGGATATCTATACAATCAGACTCGCGAATATAATTTTTCTAATAACAAAACTGCTCTAAAAACAAAACCAGCGGAAAGAGCATTAAATTTGGGCTATGGTTATATAGAAGCACTTTTCATTAAATCTACAGGAAGGGTATTCAAAAGGTTGATTTGTTAAATTTGTGATTTTCCTCGAGGTATACCCTTTGTGTTTTGGCCAATTTTAGGTGTTTTCAAAAAAATCTTAAAATTAAAATTTAATGATTCAATATGATATTTTCAATAATTTTGAGTAATTGTTTGGCCTGAAAGAACGTACGAAAACGACGGTTTACTATACAAAAAAATCAATTCAAAACAGTGTGTTAGGCGAAAAAAAGGGCCAAGAAAGATTAAAAGATCAATATTGGGTGTAGCATCTACTGGTTTTTTAATGACCGTAACATGCAATTATATTAGCCGCATCTTTGTCATGATAATATAGCATAGTCAAGGTCTTAAATCTGAGGTCTTCACCTTGGATGAACATAGTTATTAGTAACTTGGTGTTTAATTGTAAACGCAATGCCGCTCTACAGAGGTGACTTGGGTTTTTCGGTGACTGCCTTGACACACATTGGTTGATAAAGGAGTGCCCTTTTCTTTTTTTTTTTCTTTTTAATTGACAAACACAAACACAAAAATGGGTAAATGGACAGACAAATTATACATTACTCATTCCGAATGGAGTGGCGAAGTTGGTCAACATTCAGCTTCGGCAGGCATCACTGGCCAGCGTAAATCAGCAGGTTTTAAACGACTTCCTTTTTACTGTTGTTCATTATCACTTCAACCGTTTGAACATCCTGTCTGTACCCCCGATGGCATTATTTTCGACTTGGTTTATATTATTCCATACATTAAGAAATACGGAACCAACCCTGTGACAGGTGAAAAGTTGCAGACAAAGGATTTAATCAAGCTTCATTTTTCCAAGAATGAAAAAGACGAGTTTTACTGTCCTGTGACCTTCAAAGTGTTCTCGGACCATACAGCGATTGCTGCCATCAAGACAACTGGAAATGTTTTTGCTTATGACACCATTGAAAAGTTGAATATCAAGGCTAAGCACATGCGCGATTTGATTACGGATGAGCCATTTACTAGAAAGGATATCATCATGATTCAGGATCCTCATAACTTAGAGAAACGTGACATGTCGAAATTCGATTATTTGAAAACCAACAAAAAGGTCGTTAATGTTGCCGAAGAATTAGAAAAAAGAAAACCTACGAATAATATCAATGTGGCGGGTATGGGCAACACTAAGAAAGTGTTTGACGCACTTGCCAAAAAGAATGAAGAAGAAGAAAAGGAAAAGATCCCTACTAGTTTTCATCAAAAGAAAGTATCTTTGCCTTACAATGCTGCTCATTATACCACAGGTGATGCTGCTGCTTCTTTCACCTCTACTGCATTGAACCCTTATCAGGAAAGTACCCGAGCTTTATTGGATGAGGATGAGTTTATGTATAAACGAATCAAGTCAAAGACATATGCTCGTATTGTGACAAACTACGGTAATATCAATATTGAATTATTCAGTGACAGGGTAAGTACATTTATATACACACTTTTTATCTTTCTAGATATCTAACTTCTTCATTCTTGTGTATATAGGTACCACGAACATGTCACAATTTTGTTCAGCTGGCCAAAAGTGGATACTACAACAACGTCTTATTCCATCGCAACATCAAGAAATTCATGGTATGATACTTTTTATCAGTAAAGGAAGAAAAGAATGTATATTAACCGAAATAATGGGCGGGTGGTATAGATTCAAGGTGGTGATCCTACAGGAACTGGAAAAGGTGGTGAATCTATTTGGAAACGAGATTTTCCTGATGAAATCAAGACAACGTTAACACATAATGCTCGTGGTATTCTTAGTATGGCTAATAAGGGTAAAGACACCAACAGTTCACAATTGTAAGTGTCACTCCACAAACACACGCGCACACACATCTTTTATGTGGTATGACTCAACCTCCTTTTTTTTTCTTCTCAAAAATAATAGTTTCATTACGTATGCGCCAGCACCACAATTAGATGGTCAACATACAGTGTTTGGTAAAGTGGTAGGTGGTATGGATGTACTAAAAAAGCTAGAAGCGATTCCTGTGGATGAAAAAGATCGTCCTGAACGAGATATTCGAATGAAACAAGTTCAAGTATTTGTGGATCCTTTTGAAGAATACCAGACACGATTACAAAAGAAATTGGCGCATGTAGCTAATGCGGATGCTGAGGATGAAGAAGCCCGATTAAAACGAGAAAAGGAGGATCGCATGGGTTGGTTTGGTCCTAATGTGTCTAAAAAGAATGGAAATACGACAGAGACAACTATTGGTAAATACATGAACGATGAAAAGACAAAGCGAAAGGAGATTGAAGAAAAGGAAGAAATTGGTGTCTCGCAAAAGAAGCAAAAACAACAGGCTACATCTTATGGTAACTTTGATAACTTTTAGTATGTAAATAATATATATATAAAAAAAAATGGGTGTGTCTAAAAAGTGTGTGTTTAATGTTGTGGTAATTGTTGTTGAGAAGGAGGAGGAGGAGGAGGGGCTTGTTCACTATTTAAATGACTGTAAGCTTGCATTGGGGGCCAATTCATTGGCTGTTGATGCTCTGCGGGCAATGAAGGGCTTGTTCCTTCTTCAGGTAGTTTGCCGGCTTTTTCGAGCTCAGCCACTTCAGCTGCAGCTATGATAATTATGATAATGTGAGATTTTTTTTTGTTTGGGCAAAACATTTTTATGATTCTTACTTAGGAATCTTCCACCTGGACCGCGTGGGCGACGCATGGCATGTCTGTGACGACTTTCATGAAGGTATGGTTTTCTAGCTTTAGCCACTCGGTTTAGTTCTTCAAGTCTTGCTCTTGCAGCTCTTCGTTTAAGAATTCGATGGTATTGTTTTGCGTTTACATAGAGTGGTTCTTCTACAACTTGTTCAACAGTTGCAGTAGCAGTAGTTGTAGTGCTAGGGGTAGGAGCTGTTTCTGCAGGTCGATTGGTATAAGCGACTTGTGGAGAAGTAGGAGGTAAAACAACACCTGGAGGTTGCTAAGGGAGCATTAAATCAGATATACATAATTTTTTTTAGATGGTTATACTGAAAGGTTACATACCATGGGATACGGATGTGAGTATTGCTGTCTCCCAGTCTCGTATGGAGGAGAAGATTGTTGTTGTTGTTGTTGTTGTTGTTGTTGGGGAGTTGGGGTGGTATGAACTGGGGTCGATTTATAAGTGGTAGAAGTATTACTTACGACGGAATTTGCACTAGGATATGGATCATTTGTGTGCAAGATATGTTGAGAAGATGTATCTGTCATGATTGAGCCAATAAGAATTTAACCTTGTCTGTTAGCAAGTAAAAAAAAGAAAAAAAAAAGAGAGAGGGGAGCAGGGAGCCAATAAAGTCTTTTTTCTTTTTCTGTGTTAAATTATCAAAAAGATAAATAGCAGTCATAATACACGAGAATAAAAATACACAGAATAGGTTTTAATCATTGTCCATTGGTGAAATGGCAAAAAGAAGAAAAATAGTACAAAAAGTGTTTTCGGAGAAGCTGTAATTACTCCTGTACCCACTCTGAATACAAGGTCAACCAAAAACCATCTAAACAATGTCCAAGACGTTAATTAAAGGTACTTCGAATGCTGTTCTTTGAGGAGACTGTCTTGAAATAAGACAAAGTTGAGAGAGTACTCTTAGTAATGCTTGTCATACTAGTGTAAATTGTGCGGCATTGATTGTATCTCATGATAACGTTGGTTCCAGAAGACGCCTAGTTGTATAAGCGATAATATGGAATATGTGCATGGACCATGTACACAGGTATGTGTCACAAGCAAGAACAACACTTCTCAGGCTTGTTCTGTTTTCAAATCAGCATACCATCCCAAGGAAAACCACTAGTAGCCATAGTAACGAATAAGTGATATCTTGAGATAAGATTCATCTGTCTTGACTACAACATTGACGTGGATGGCTTAACTTTTATTTTAGCAAACATTTCCTGCTTTCAGTCAATATCACACTGACTTTTATCATATTACTGCATTCTTTTTGAGAGAACGATCGGGCAGTGATCCGAAAAGTATGACTTAATGTGGCCACTGGTCTTTATGGAAGATTTATTAGAAATTATATTTTTTAGGTTGTACATATTATTGTAGTTGGTATATATTATTTACTACTGGTGTCATTCAACCAATTGGTTGTAGATAATCGATCATCATAGGAAGCAGACATGGATATCCTATCATCTCTTGAAAGTGCTCTATGATGGTGATGACTTGTGCCACTTTCAGAGGAGTCTGAATCATTACCACCATTCTTCTTATTGCGAGTAGGCAGAGAAGCTGAAGACTGCAAAGGTTTTTGTAACTCTTTATAATTCTGATGTAAATGTTTCTTTTCTCTACGTTTCTTCTGTCGTTCAGGTGAAGATGTGCTATCATTCTCGTCATCCAACGTGGTAATGGAAGTGGCAGCAGATGCTTGTTGTTCTTGTTGCTGCTGCTGGTACATGAATGGCATAGATTTCACCATAGGTTGCTGCATCTCTCCTAACGTCTTTTCGAGATTTTGCAATTTTGTCCGTTCATAACGGATACTTAGGTTGACATAATCCTTGATGGATTTTTGTAAATCTTTACTCTTTTGGGTTTCAAACAGTTGAATCTCTTTCTTGACTCTTTCCTGGCATGCATCAAATGCACCTTTACTGTCCTCTAATAAGCCTGTAGCCTAATTTAATGATGAGTATTCGCTATATTTTCCATCGGCACATGTATATGTAATAAACATACTTACCACAATCTCTTCGTCAATGACTTCCTTTACTTCAGGATGATTCATGCCTAATCTCAGTTTTAGCTTGTCTGCTCGATCTCTCTTTTTGTTTCGATATTTCAACTGTTCGACATACTCCATTAGTTTAACTGTTCTAGCGTTAAATACGACTTTTAAGGGATCCAAGGAATTCTTATATTCAATCATGACATCACCAAACTTCATGTTTTCTTCTTTGCCTTGTCTGGTGAATACAAAGCCTAATTCGTCCATCAATAAGCCCAGCATTTGCATTTTCCGATCCAAGTTACGTTGAGCATCTCTGGCGTCAAATTTGAGTCCAAGGCCCAGTCGGTATTTACTCTGAGTGGTTTCAATAATGAGATCACCCATATGTGCCATGCTATCTCCAAGGCCTTCGCGAATAGTGATTAAATCGTTGAGTGATTCTGCAATAAAACCGTAATAGGATTCTTGTAGTAAAATGTAAATTTGATGCTTATGAAACGTATCTTGATCATTCTTTTCATTTAAAAAAAAAGGTCAGGTTTAAGCATGTTATTAATGATGTTTTTTTATAATTTTACTCCTTCAATAATCTCGGAAGCCTTGTATGATTTAAATCCTCGGTCTGTATTGGGTTTGATGACTCTATTGAATTTTAGAAAGGCCAAGACACTTGTACTTGATCGACCTACTTGTGTAGGAGACTTATTTTTAAGCGTTAGAATATAACAAAAAAAATAAGGTTGTGCATTGTTTGTTTTTGGGGCGTGTGTAAGAGAGAGGATGTGGGTGCGCACCTTACCATATCACTTGACAAAAAATGTATAAAATCCGCATGGTGGGTCAATTCTTGCCTTCCCATAATTTTGTCAAAAAATCTCGAGACTTGCAATCTTTTTCGCTCAACGTAATCTTGGTCATCAATGTGAGCCGACATGGGCTGTTCAGGTAAAGGGGGTAGGACCACAGCGGGAAAAGCTTTTTTTAACTTGGCATGAAGCCAGCTGATTTGTTGAAAGGTACGAAAACAAGTGGGTAACACCTTTTCTGTCTCCTCGCCCTGAATCTATAACAGTTTAGAAAGAGGGTTACTTTTTTTATATATATTTAGAGAATAACGCTTTTATTAATTACAATGCCATCCAAGACCAGCTTGAACTGTATTGTGTCGGGTGTAGCAGCGGCTTCTGGAACACTGATTATCAAACTCATGGTATAATGTAGAAAAAAGAAAAAATAAATAAAAATATAAACACACACACGTTGAGAACGAGGATTGGCTCAGTGACTAGTTATTTTACCCACCCGCATATTTCTGTTTAGTTTCATGTTTTTCTCTCCCCTCTCTCCCTCTCATTAATCGGTTTACATTAAATCTCAAGCAGATCTTTATATTGGATGGTAAAACAAGATGCATTTCACAAAGAAAGAGAAAAAAAAAAGATTAGTGCTCCATATGCTACACCAATTGCGTGTCAGTTGTATGTATTCCATTCACCCTCAATAGCGCGGCACTGGCCTATTTGTCCTGGTTAAGAAAAGGGAGTTTAAAAAATCAGCATTGGTGTCACAGAGCTTTTCATCCATCAACAAAAGAGTGTCTACGTGGAATTGCATGAACCGCAATTGTATTTTATCTAGTCATGTTACCTTGTTGATTATAGATGCAAGACATAAATGAAAGTAGTTTTATTTATTGTGAATTCAAAATTTTCTTTGTGTGAATCTCATAATTCATTGTTGCCCTCAATAAGTACCACTTTATAAGCTATGCTATGCCTATAAACAACATACCGCGGTTATTAAAATGCTGCATTTAGAGCCCCATTTTTAGGATGGCGAAAATAAAAATAAAAACGTAATCGTGACGGGGGGTCAAGGTTATTTAAAGTCGGTAGAACATGGAAAGCGGGTAAAACTATCTCTTTTTTATTTATTTAACATGTTGGAACCTGAATCACTTTCCAGAGGACATGTTGGAAGACGCAATCCTCGTCCTTTGGGTGCCATGCCTGATCTAGACGTACCACCTCTTATTCCACGCTGGTAAAAAACAAAATAGTCCTGTGCAGAAACAAACCTGTTCTAACCCCCTCTTTCTTTTTTAATAAGGTTTCACGCCATTGATAATCCTGTCATGGATCCAATCTCATTACGAAGAGCCAAGAGTTCCTCTACCCTAAATAAACCACCCAAGAGTCCTTCTACACCTAAACCTAAGCTTTCGTCCAAATGGGTGCCTTTCTCTCAACGTGACTCGTCTGCACTTGAAAAAGCATACCAGGTATAATTAATGATCATATTCTTTCTTTTCATGTAACAATACTTACACACATTCACCTATAGAACCATGATGTGAGAGCAAAAGTACCCGTAAACGAGGATCATTTATTTCAAGTGGATGTGACGCAACGTACCATTAGTCCAGTGTATTGGGAAGGTCCTAGTTATGAAGTACGACGAGCAACTTGGTTTATGCAAACAGACGGTTGGGTGCCATGTGAGGAAAACATTGCGGAACAAATCGAGCTTGGTTACTAGTAGGGCAATCGATTATTGTTGTGTTGCTATGCTTACCCTCTAACATTTACCTTTTTTCGCTTCAGCAAACATAAACCCTATGTCACCACTACACCGGAGGAAGACCCGTTAAAGGCAGCAGCAGCAGCAGCAGCAGCGACAGAAGAAACCACAGAAGAAAAAAAGCTAGAACTAACGTTATCAGGCGACAAGCAATGGAATTTATTGGGTCCTTATTTAGGACAATATATTGTTTATACTGGACCCAACCACGCTTGGTTATTATCGTATGTATTGGTGTGAGATAGATATACGATTGAAGGACTAATGCTCAAAACCGATAACAGAAATAGCACCAGTAGTAAATTTGCCAAGAGTATCATTACACGTTTAACCAATAAACAAAACTTGGGAGGCACGAGATTGATCCGAGGTTATCCACAGGTGGAAGAATTGACATTAAAGCAAAAATCCGTACCAATAAAGAAACCCGCCGTAGAAGAAGTAGAACTGGATAGTGGTACTTGTTCATCGGATGAAGAAGTGAAGGAGGAATTAGAAAATATACAAATTGACGATTATGAAAATGAAGATAGTGAGGAAGAAGTGAGAAAAATAGATCATCTCATGTTTGTCATTCACGGGTAAGATTTTATTACGCTTTGCACTCAACCTGTTTTAATCACTCTTCAAATTTATTTTTTTTAAAAAAAAAGTGTTGGTCAGAAAATGTCGGAAAGGACAGGCCAAACATTTGTACACGGTATAACACAAATAAGAAGGAAGGGAGACAAACAAACTTATTTCTTTTTTTCTTAAAATAGACGTAAATGTAATGCGAAAAACCTTAAAATTAACTTTTCCTGCAGCTATTGCACCACATACAAGACACAACGGAATCCAAGTTTTACCCATCATGTGGCGACAGGATGTAAAATTTGGCATGGCAGCAGACGGAGAAGAAGGTATTGAGGCAGATCTTGGCACGGTGGGCGTCGAAGATGGTTGTCCCACTTTGGATGAACTGACATTGGATGGCGTGCCGAACATTCGAACTGTTGTTTCGGATGTCTTGATGGACAGTGAGTATGCTCCTTGAGTGAATATTCAAAATTTATCATGAGACTAAATTTCCTACTAGTTCCTTTGTATATGACCCCAAGATACCGTGAATTAATGACTCAAATTATTGCGAAAGAAATTAATCGCGTTTATCGTTTGTTTGGCAGCAAGAATCCCGAGTTTCTGGAAAAGGGCAAGGTGTCCATCTTTGGTCACTCACTAGGGGTAAGCATTACATACATTCTGAGGAACATTAATTTTAAATAAATCCCACCACAATTTTAGTCGTTGTTAGCATTTGATATGTTGACATTACAGCCCACCACACCTCCTCCACCTCCTCCATCACCTTCCGCTACAGAAGAACATCCTATACCCGACACCAACAGTCGAAAACTGCCGCCACTTTTATTCCCTGTTCAAAACTTTTTTGCAGCAGGATCTCCCTTGGGGGTTATCTTGTTATTACGAGGCTTTAAAATCGCATCACGTAAATCCCTTGGACAATCTGCACATACCGCTCTTTCTGACGTCAAGTCTCCTTCACCCACCTCCATCAATTTTTGCTACCCAGCTGTAGAAAACCTGTACAATATATTCCATAAAGTAATACAAATGGCAGGGATGCATACAGAATGTATTTTGACACTGACTTTTTTTAAAACAAATGTAGTCTGATCCCGTTGCCTATAGACTAGAACCATTAATCGCACGCCATTATACTTCCAAACTCAAACCGGAACCAATTCCTTACATGAAGGGAGGCTTAAAAGGTGTCATTGATGCCAGCTTTAATGTCGGTTCTGGTATTGCTAATCGCGCGGGTGCCATGTATGAATCATTCAAAATGGGCTTGACCACAACTTTGTTTATGCGTGGACTAGGACTTTCACGTCAACAAATCTATCAAGATTCACATCCAGATGAAGAAGCAGAAGAAGAAGTGGATATTGATTCTTCGTTAGCTGCCATGGATGATCACAACCGATTGACTCGTATGAGGTCCAACAGTGACCCTGCACGTGCATTCTCTTCTGACTTTAGATACAAGAATAATAATCAACAATCGAGTATCAAGGGTAAATCATCTGTAAGAAAATCACCGCCGATACCATTACCTACCGCCAATGGGACACCATATTCACAGGGAGCGCAGAAATTGAAGATGTTGAATGTGACGGGAAGAGTGGATTACAGTATACAGGAAGGGCTATTAGAGAATCCCTATTTGAGTGCATTTAGTGCCCATATGCAATACTGGCAGGTAAGGGTGAGATGAAGTAGAAATGAATCCATTTTTACTGATATTAAATGTTAGGATCTGGATGTAGCTGCATTTTTAATCAAACAAATTTATCGTGAAACTACAGCATAAGCTTCATTTTCTTTATTATATATTAATATAAAAATAAAAACTATCCAAGAACGGGAGTAATAAGCAAAGTTTGACTTTGACCAGCACGAAGCACAATACTATACTTGTCTTCATAAACACCTAACTGTTCGGATGTCCAGACATCCTTTAGTTGTGCCTTCTGTAATCCAATATCTGCCAAATTCAATGTGACTTCATGACTCAAACCAAGCATAAAGATATAGGTATGAGCATTGATCAAACAAACATAGATGCGACCATCTTTCAGCTTTTTCCACCAGACTTGCTTTCTATTTTGCCACACATTGCCTGACCCAATGGGCCTTGCCATGACACCACTCTGATGAATTTCCTGAATTTCGGCATGGTTGTACCACGCCAGGTATTTATCGGGAATGGCGCGTGGATCGGAACCCAAACAAAAGACGGATGACACAATGGCCCAAAAACTTAGACAGGTCTGTCGTACATCGTCATTATCCAAACCATCCACACATTTACCATTCACTGTCATACCCACCAGAACCGCATCTAGGTCAATATAGAACCCATAGTCACTTCCTACTACACAGGTGTTAGCCCATGCTTCACATGGTGTGATACGCTGCATAATTCGATGCGAAGAAGTCATAGTCTTGGTAGAGTAAGACTCGATATCTACATAGATACGTGCTCCGTTACAGATTTGAGCCCATTCATCTGCATAGGTTGGATCTATGTACCATGAAATTTCAACCCACATGTTGTAAGGTTGAAATGCTTTGTGTAGCATGACTGTACACGCTCGATTATCAGGCGCTGTGAAAGGATAATATTCACTGCCTCCACCGGGACCAACTGCATCCAATTTGATAAAGGAGACACCCCATTCATGAAAAGCCTCGGCAATTGAGTCATAATACGCTTGGACCAAGGCACTGTGTTCATCAGGCATATATGTTGTCCCTTTAAACCCACAACCTTCAAAACGAGAAGGGACTAATTCATCACAAGTATGTGTAGTGCCCTTGATGATTCGTTTGTTATCCACAGCATCACGACGTATACCGGGTAAAATGTAAATACCCAACTTGTGACCATTCTTGGCTAAATGCTGCGAGACGGGTTTTAACCCGTTTGGAAATAAATCAGTGCGAACTGCCCATCTTCCAAACTCATCGCATTCGTTACACCTAAATCGGTTCGGCTAGGTTAGTTATTTTTTAATTCTCCCTGTTTTTGTTTTACATGTTTTTACCAGCCGGAATCCAGGTTAATATATTCGTAATTGGGTAATTTCTCCTTCATGGCGTCTGACAATTCCTTGATCGTTGTTTCATTGAACCTATTGACCTTTGTCAGTTACAAAATATATTAAAATAAAAAGGAGAATGTCGAAGGCGTTATAGTTACCAAGGTGTTACATGTTTGCCACCATAACCTGGCGCATCGTCCAAGAGTTGTGTAGACCAAGTGGAGAAACCTAAAATTGGCTTTCTTGCAAACTCTGGTATACTTTTTTTTTTTATGCATGAGAATGTTGCTTTTTATTTTCTCTCGCTCATTTTTTTCTCACCTCTTAATGCTGGAATGTAAACTAGAGCCAAGTGTAATAGATCTATCGTCTTCTGACATGAGCGGTTAAATTGTGGAATGATAAAGAAAAAGAAAAGAAATAGGGAAGGAAATGGATATTCTTTATAAACGAATTATCGGTGGTTTAATCTACTATTTTTTATTTTCTAACTCTCTTGTTTAATTCAGCTCTAAAGGCAGTAATTCGTTGCATGGAATAATAAAAGTAATCAAAATCAATTTGACTTTGAGATGCTTGTACTAAACCCCATAGAGCCCAGAAGAGATGACAGGCCATTTTCCAGTCATCTACTTCTTTCAAAAGGGTATCGACATGATCCAAACTATAGGAAGTCAGGAATGAAATTTGTTGTCTTTGAGTTGGATATGCGTCGTAATGCATTGTGGCGGGATTTTTACTTGAATGGTAATCATACATCCATTCACAAAAATGGTTTACTAAATCGAATCCGCGAGGGTTATAACCCGCATATTCAAAATCAATCACGACTAATTCATTTGTATCATTCATTTTCAGGATATTGCCATATTGGGTCTAACACATACACATGTATAATTGAAATAAAAATTTAGACTCCTTTCTTCCTCCACGTCGTCATAGTGATCAACTTACATCATTGTGAGCAAAAACAGTTGGGCTCGGATTCTTGGACAACAAAATCTTACACAAGTCGATTTCATTACGTAATTGGACTAGACATAAATCTTTATCAATCTGTTCTTTCCAGGCTGGATTATTTTTTAAATTGTGTATTAATTCTGTGGATAAGGCAGAGTACCACTGATCGATATTCTGCCACACTTGTAACTTATCGCTACTTAAATTGGGTGGGTACAGATCCACAATCGAGTGTAACTGAAATAACCGGGTTGCAATCTGTTTAGAAACCGCAGGTTCCCGTAAATCATCTTTGGTTAATGTGGTCGAAGGTAAATACTCTTCAAATCGACCGTTTCCAAAGATACCCAGCATCTTGGGGCCGATATTTAAATGAGAGAGTCGGGATAACCAATTCAGCTCGTTTTGGCGGTCAAGAATTTGGTCGCAACCTACGCCATAAACACGTAAAAGCATGCGTTGCTTGCCTACCGTCACAAAGAAAACGGCGTTGGTCAAAGCGCCACTGACTCGGTCGATGCACAAGTCATTTGCCAAGGATGTGGGACTAACCCAGTCAATGAATAAATGTCGAATCAATGCTTGGATAGCTTGTTTCAACTCGCTTTCTCCCTTGAGCAATCTATAAAAATATAACCAGATTAGATAACTAGAGATAGATCACGAAAAGATACTTGCGATAGATCAATAATATGTTGACAGTGGGGTATAGGTGCCTTCACACTGGGCTTGACGACTGTATCCATTAATGCAGGGCTACTCTTACTACGCACAGCCATCTTTCGAACCTTGCCGATATTGTTCTTGACCAAATTAGATCGTGCGGTTGTTTCGGTTTTAGCAGACATGTTTATTTTTATTTTGGTTTTTTAGAAATAGAAAAAGGGGGAGGGGTGTGTGAGAGGTGAAATAATCTTTATATATACTTTTTTTAAATCCCAGAAGGGGTTGGGGTGGCACGTGAGTTTAAAGGAACCCAATCATTTTTGTAAAGCAATTGAGATTATGCATTGTGAGTTTGTTTTTAATGTCACTTGATACCAACTGACCTTTATTCAATTGAAATGCTTGATGGTTTCCAAATAACAAAAAGGACCTCACGTTTTCTTCTTTGTATTCCATATTCTATGAACCTATTTCATCTGACAGTGTCAAGTACTTTTAAAAATCATATGACAAAACAATAAGCCGAAGTTTTATATCTCTCGGTAAACTACGTGTCTAAAATTTCATCATAAAATATCCATAAAACGTTAGTGTATGTTTATTATGCACACGTCGTTGTATCGTCTTTTAATGTTTCTGATAATGAGGAGGAGAAGAGTTGATTTAATAATAATAAAAACGCGCGTGATATAGAAACGCCGTATATACAATGCAGCATGTGAAATATACGCTTTGTAATCAATGAACTTGATGGGAATCTCCGGCCAAGCTAAAATGATGTTGATAGAAAACTCGTTGATAGTTTTCTGTACCAGACAGAGCACAATGAACACCCGTTTCGAAAACTTTGCAGTTTTAACTGGATAATAAGACAAATTACAGTTGTAAGAGAGGCCATAGTTTGTTGTAAAATATAGACAACCCCTCCCCCCTCAGATGCAATGCGTGGTCAGAGTGAGGTAACGGCCTTTAAACTGTATAATCCGTCCAAAAAGGTCAATTTCCCATTTGGTGAATGTTGTGCTACCCTTCAGTGAGGCTTTGTATTACCAAAAAAGCGTTTTCAACCGGAGGGTAAATGATAATTTATGTTTGCAGTCTGCCATTCATAAGAGAGGAAATAACTGCTTTATGCGGACCAACTGAGCTTTAATTTTTTATTAGGTTTACGAGAAAAGATTTTACAAGTGCACTTTTGCTTTTACACATGATAGAAAATAGCGATACTACTATATGGCTATCAGGAGCGTTAGCAGTGACAGCCTGCTCGAGCGCGTTTATACTGTCGCTTCAACGTACTTGGCTACATAAAACTCAACAACGAGATCCAGCTCCACTTCGATTTGACGATAAGCGAGATCTCACTCAACCATGGGCCGACGACTCGTCTCGATTAACAAGACTTTCATTTGGGACTTGGACATTAACTGCTTTATCCGCTTTGAATTTATACAATGTGATTTCGCACCATCAACAACGAGAAGATTGGGCACTAACCGCTTCTTATTGTGCTCAATTTGTTTCTTGGCTATATGCTGCGGTCTTGGTGCTCGTTTCCCGTCGACACAAGTTTCCTAGTGAATGGGGATGGATCCTTAATGTTCATTTATGTATCTTTTATGTCTTGGCCTGGTGTCTTGCCTTGTATGGTATTTACGAAGCGTTTGTATTGGACCCGAACGACAGTTGGCTTCATATGCTTCCTACCGTCTTGAAACTCTTGCTTGGTTCCGACCTTGTGTACACAACCGCCACCGTATCTCGGGGACCACCATTTTTAGACGAAAATGGAAAGCCTGTGGCCAGTATCAACGTGGCTTCCATTTTTTCGTTTCTTTATTTTGAATGGGTTACACCTCTTGTTCATTTGGCTTTCAAGAACCAGAAATTGACAGATGATGATTTACCTAGTTTACCACCATTGTATCGGGGCTATAACCTTTACTACCTCTTTGGTGCTACTCGAAATGGAGGAAATTCGTTGATTAAACGTATTTATCTTACAAATAAACCAGCCATTATAATCCAGGTTGTGCTTGCTGTGGTTACCTCGCTGTGTTACTATGTCCCCGCTTACTTTGTGAATCAACTTTTGATCTTGATTCAATCCATGAATGGCGAAGAAGATGATGTTTCTATCCGAAAAGGTTTTGTGATCGTGGCAAGTCTTGCTGCTTCTATATTGATTTTAGGAATTTTTGTGGGTCAATTGTGGTACTATGGTAAAAAAAAAATTCTAAGGATTAGTTGATGCTGTTGACTAAAAACTTCAAGTATAGCTTCATCTTCTGTACAAGTACGTGTCAAGGCCATGTTGAATATCGAGATATATCGCAAGACTTTACGTCGTCGAGATCTTGCTGTGGAAGCACCCAAGATTGACGATGAGGAAAAAGATGGACAAGAGACAGAGAGCACCAAGAAAGATGACCCAAAGAAGGGAGATACCGCATCTTCTACCGGTACCATTGTCAATTTAATGAGCACAGATTCAAACCGTATTTCCGAATTTAGTGTCTGGTGGTTTTCCGTCTTATCTGCGCCTATTGAATTAGCTGTAGGTATCTACTTTTTATACACATTATTAGGAAAATCTTGTTTTTTGGGCCTCTTGGTCATGGTTATTGTCTTGCCTTTAAATCATTACAATGCCAAAATGTTTGCTCGTACACAAGATCAATTGATGGATGCACGTGATAAGCGTGTTAACTTGATGAACGAAGTATTGCAAGGCATTCGACAAATCAAGTTCTTTGCTTGGGAATCTAACTGGGAAAAGCGTATTATGGAAGCGCGCGATGTCGAATTACATCATTTGGGTATTACCTATCTCTCCGGTGTCTTGTTTACCTTTTTATGGCAAGGATCTCCAATTCTTGTCACCCTCATTACTTTTTGGTCCTTTACTAAATTGGAGGGACAGGAATTAACCGCTCCCATTGCGTTCACGGCCATTACTGTTTTTAATGAACTAAGATTTGCTTTGAATATTCTTCCCGAAGTCTTTATTGAATGGTTGCAAGCTTTAATCAGTGTGAGACGTATTCAAACTTATCTTGATGAGGCTGAAATAGATGCTCCCAATGACCAAGTTACGCAACTTCAAGAAAGCAATCAGGTTGTTTCCATTGGTTTTGACAATGCTACCGTTGGTTGGAGTCAGCAAAACTATACGGATGAAGTCTCTGATGCACAAAATAATATCACCACCAATGCCAGTAGTACAAGTTTTATTCTCAAGGATTTGAACCTCAAGTTCCCCAACAATGAACTTAGTTTGATCAGTGGCTCTACCGGCTCCGGAAAGACTTTGTTGATGTTGAGTTTGTTGGGAGAAGCTATTGTCTTAAAGGGGTCTGCGCATTGTCCTCGACAAGCAGTAGCAGATACTGTTTCTGTAGATTTTGTAGTAAATCACGAGATTGATCCCAAGGATTGGTTATTACCTTATGCGCTTGCCTATGCATCACAAAACGCTTGGTTGCAAAATGCTTCGATTCGTGATAATATTTTGTTTGGTTTGCCACTCGTAGAATCTAGATACCGTGATACATTGACTGCCTGTGCTTTGGATAAGGATCTCGAGTTTTTGGAAGACGGAGATCAAACCGAGATTGGAGAAAAGGGAATTACATTGTCGGGCGGACAAAAGGCACGTGTGTCTCTTGCAAGAGCAGTTTACTCTCGTGCCCAAAATGTCTTGATGGATGATGTCCTTAGTGCTGTGGATGGTAATTTTTTTTTCACTTTTACAAATACTTTTTTCTGTGTTGATTACTGACATATCTTACTGATTTACAGCTCATACCGCCAAACATCTTTATGAAAAATGTTTACTGGGTCCTTTGATGAAGGGTCGTACACGTATTTTGATCACACACCATGTCAAGCTCTGTCTCAAGGGAAGTGCCTATATTGCTCATATTGAGGGAGGTCGAGCCAATTTATTTGGTACACCCAACGAGTTGCGTGAATCTGGTAAACTTGCTACAATCATTGAAAGCGAGGAAGAAATTGTACACATCGAGGAGGACGCGGAAGAGGAAAAAGCGATTGAGGATACATTGCCTCCTGCTATTGAAACTGGTATTAAAGATTCCAAGAAGCCTCGTGCTCTGGTAGAAGAAGAAACTCGGGCCACAGGTATGGTCAAGTTTAGACTTTACAAGTTGTATATACAGATGGTTGGAAGTCCTTTGTTCTGGTTTGTAATGATTGTGTTGGTCCTTGGATCGCGTGGATTGGACATCGCAGAGAATTGGTGGATCAAGCAGTGGTCACATTCGTATGAAAGTTCAAGTAATCATGAAACATCTACCGTGTTCCAGCATCAAAGCATTCTTTCTCAATCCAAACCCTTGTATGCGTACCAACCCTTTTCCATGTTCACCACCGATCAGGATGAACTGCTTGTGCGTACAACAGATGCTAAGGATGACTCTTTAAATTACTACTTGGGTATCTATTGTTTGATCACCATGGTCAATGTTATAGTAAGCACCGCCCGTTTTGGTGTCCTCTATTGGGGTGTACTTGGTGCCAATAAGCGACTCTATGCCGAGCTTTTACATCGTGTCTTCCGAGCTCCTCTTCGATTCTTTGATACCACACCCATTGGCCGTATCCTTAATCGATTCTCCAAAGATTTTGAAACGATTGATTCCAATATTCCCAACGACTTGATGAATTTTATCATCCAATGGGTAATTGTTATCTCCAGCATGATGACGGTCTCTACGGTATTACCTATTTTTTTGATCCCCATGTTATTGGTAGCCGGTGTCAATATTTATTTGGGTGCCATGTTTGTATCTACCTCACGCGAGTTGAAGCGTATGGATTCAGTTTCTCGGTCACCCTTATTTAGTAACTTTACCGAAACTATTGTGGGTGTAGCTACAGTGCGTGCGTTTGGTGCAACACGACAATTCTTGCAAGATATGTTGGGTTTGATCGATACCAATGCACGTCCTTATTATTACACTTGGACCGTCAATCGATTCATTAGTGTTCGATTTGCTTTTACCGGTGCTGTCATTAATTTTTTTACAGGTGTCATTATTCTCTTGAGTGTTGAAAGTATGAATGCTTCTTTGGCAGGTTTCTGTCTTAGTTTTGTACTGTTATTCACAGATCAGGTAAGTAACATGTACGAGCTGATCTCACCATTCCGGAATTAACCTTTGTTTAGATGTTTTGGGGAATTCGTAGATATACTAGTTTGGAAATGAGCTTTAATGCGGTGGAACGTGTGGTTGAATTTATGGAAATGGACCAAGAGGCACCAGCAATTACTCAATTGAGAGCACCTGCTGAGGTAAACAAAAAAGAAGGGTTTCGAGATGCGATATAATGAACAACGTATTTACTATCATAAATTTAGTGGCCAACCAAAGGTAAAATTGAAGTGAGGGATCTTGAGATCAAATACTCTGCAGAACTCGACCCTGTTTTGAAGGGACTTTCATTTTCTATCAAGCCCAAAGAAAAGATTGGTGTAGTAGGTAGAACAGGCAGTGGCAAATCCACACTCGCGTTGTCCTTTTTCCGGTTTGTGGAGGCTTCCAGAGGTTCAATTGTGATTGATAATTTAGATATTAAGGACCTCGGTACGGAAGACCTCCGATCTAAGTTAACCATTATTCCTCAAGACCCTACACTCTTTTCTGGTTCGCTTCGATCTAATATGGATCCCTTTGATCAGTTTAAGGATGAAGATATATTTACTGCTTTACGTCGTGTTCATCTTTTACCGAGCAAAGAAGCTTCAGGTACAACCACCATTGCTTCCTCATCTGACTCGACAGTGGATGTAGTGAACTCCAATGTCTTTAAAGATCTCGAAACTACGGTAACAGAAGGAGGTAAAAACTTTTCACAAGGTCAAAGACAACTATTATGTTTAGCACGCGCTTTATTGAAAAGCAGTCGTGTTGTATTGATGGACGAAGCCACGGCCAGTGTTGATTTCGAAACAGATAAGGCGATTCAAAAGACAATTTCAACAGAATTCGCGGATGCGACTATTTTATGTATTGCGCATCGTTTGCACACGGTGATCGAATACGATCGTATTTTGGTGTTGGATGCAGGACAAATTGTTGAATTCGATAACCCCTTGACGTTGATCCAACAATCTGAATCGGCGTTTTATAAAATGTGTCGTAATTCTGGTGAATTTGACAGCTTGCTAGCTTTAGCCAAGTCAAAACATGAGTTGGTCAATGTCGATGCCTAAGTTTTTTTTTTTATATAAATAAAATAGAGAGAATTTACCATAGTCCTTCGTTTGTTAGTGATTTTTACACTTAAAACCGACAGAAACTATTACTTTTTAAAAATACATATAACTTAGCATATTAATCGGTATGCGAATCGTAAACTTTGGTACAAGTCATTTAAAATTTTACTATTAAGAGTCCCCCGAAGTCAATTTTAAAGTACATATAAAAAAAGTTTGTAGTGCAGGATTCAATTTGTGTGTGTTGGAATACTGTAAAGAAGAGTTTGAATTTTATCCATTTCAATTGGATCCGTTGTATACGATGGACTGTAGAACTCTTTAGTAGCACCGAGTTTGTTCTTATTATCCGTGTAATACCAGTACTGGAATCAGTAATTGTATCAATATGGCAAACTTTTTGTTTATCTTCTATTTTGCTTATTTCAGATATCCAACTGAGACCTCCCCTTGTCCTCTCCACCGAACACCAGATGGTAATTTAGCTATATCCACAGGTACCTGTTGTATTTGAATAACCTCATTCTGAATGCGCGGCAATAACACTTCCCAATCTTCAAAGGAAGGATCGTCACTAAGAATGACATCACGTTGACTATAGAAGACTTTCAGATGATTCGATCGGCATGAGATACATTGACAGCTAAATTCTCTCATTGCCCGTTTGATAAAACCCCATTTATTTTGTTTACTTCCATATTGTTGTACTGATAATTTAGAAACAAAGGTGGTTGAACATACTCAGTTGGTCATTGTGACTTTAGTTGGCGACGCGTCTAAAATCAGTAGGGTGTTCAGTAAACTCAAATTAATTATATTGTTGCAAATGTAAAATTTTGAAGTTGAAGTAAGCTTGCTGTCAATCGTCTCATTGAGAGAAATAAGCCAGACTTATTTAAATCAGACATTTGATTTTTCTTCGAGCCGCACATAACTTATGAACAAACAGATTCACATCATGTCTTTGGGTTGAGGACTCGAATTCAACCTTACAATTATCTCTTTATTACAACATTAGTTCAGAGAGTGTAAATTACTAGCCAATATCACAGTAAAAATTTATTTTTGCTTTATTTGAAGGTATAAATTTTAGTAAGAAGTTATCACAATTGCATGAAAGTCAGAATTTGTGAGTTTTTAACGTGGTCGGGAAAATTGAAATGTTATAAATAAAATTAAATACGGTTAGATGGACATGAAAGTTAAGACATTGTGAAAATCAAACAAATGCATTAGTTCATATAAACATTTAATAGATTAGTACGTACACACATACTAAATCGAAGATGTGGTACCACGATTGTGTGCACAAGAATTCTCCTATTTTTTTATCATCATCTAGTTTCCGTACACATTAACATGATCGAAAGAAATATTTCACCTTCTAGAGCGAGCCAATAAGACATCAGACAACTTCTGAAACTGTTAAAATGTTGGCTCTGGGCTTGTTCGCGCTTACTCGCAGCCGCTTGTGTATGGTTTCACGAGATCTTCAATTGTGGGAAGAAAATAAAGGTCAAACACTTATATTTAATTTGACGATTTAATACGAATTAGCGTGTAGTATGCTCTCGTCCGAAACGTGCCTTTTTATAAACAAAAACACGAAACACGCAAACAAAGAGAAGATGCGTATCGTGTGCGACGTTCTTTATACTAGAAAAACGAATGTAAATGGTATCGCCTATAAATTGCGTTGTCTATCGCTTCTTAAATTAACCTAGGTAACAAAGAATAAAACGAAACGCCTTGTCCACAAATAAATGTACACAAGATAAGGTTGTTCATTGAACAAAAAGCCATTATGAGGTTACAAAACATAAACTTTTTTTTAAGTTCATACATTCGGGATACAATATCCGCTTTCTCTTTTAGTATGATGAATGATCAGGAATGAAGCCCGAGTAAGAATTAAGGGGTTAGGGGGGGGGAGCGATATCAACATGACTATTGACAAAACAAATACTGTGCTGCTCTTCTCAATTTAGTCAAATGATTGAAGTTAACATGCCCAGAATTTTGAGAATAATTTTGGACAGCTTCTAGTGATTTAAAAGATTTTCGGAAGAAATTTTCAAGGTTTGAAAGGATCACCTCGTAATGTACCTACGATACATAGTTCTATTGTTAACTAGTTGATATCTTATGATACAGCCGGATTCTTGTGTTCGTGACTAAGAGTATTTAGTAAAAATGCTTGTTACTTTTACTTCTTGAACCTTCAAATAGTCAATCTACAGGAGAATTTTAGAAGCTGAAAGTTTCAAATTTATATAATAATAGAGTGTAGCAGTTTCAATAATAAAGACAGTTTCTAATACAGCATGTCTGTCAAGCATAACAATATGTGTAATCATGTTTGGTATAAGTGACATTTGACCCAGACACTTAAATAGCTTGATGTTAGATTTACTGATTATTACCCAACGCTTTAAAGATCGAAAGACATTACATCAATTTTTTATAATAGACGAGGTACTTTAAATAGAATTATGACTGTCATCGACGTCGATGCGAACATCAACCGTATCCTCATTTAAAAATGAGATGCACTAATGAATGAAGCAAAGACAGATGGTAATAATGAACGTATATGTCTTCGTTTATCATTTGTGTCGGAATTTGAGAGGTGAGTATCGCCAACAGTTCTGAGCCAGTGATTAAGCACACAGCATGAATGAAGAGATCTAACCAACGGGAGGAGATACTTCGATGACCTAACACCAATTATAGCGATTTAGTCCTGATGTAGGGAGATACACATCAAATAGATAATGTTTGTTTGAGTATAGTATTCCTTCGGTTGATAATGAAGGGAGTTACGCTCCTCTAGAATTACATAAATATTTATCATAGTGAATAGGCGAACATCTGAGTTATGCTGGATTGGTGTGTTCGACCAACTTCAAATTTTTATATTGCACTCGCAAGTATACAAATGTATATATACGTCTACTATCTTTTTCACACAAATTTTCGAAGTATCTCTTACAATGCTTGATTACGAAACAATGTCGATATACGTAATTTTTGTTCATTTGCTTGACCAAAATTGTGATAGAAATTATTCAAACTATATTAATCTCAGCATGATATTGAGAACCTAACCGAAGAGATCCCCACCGTATAACAATAGGAAACAGCAACGCTGATTTCCCCCATATCCCGCAAAAGTTGGAGCCCACCTTTTTCATTTACACAAAAGGCAAAAGTTATCATTAACTAGACTTTTCATGATTCGTTATATTCTCTGTGATAAAATTAATTTTTTACATAAAAAAGGAAAAAAAGCGTGAATAAATTTTATAGCTAGTTTTTGTCAGGATGAGATAACTGATTATTATATCACTCATAATGTTCGAGCCTTTGCTTTTAATATATATATCTCCAAATAGCCACTTACAAACACCAATGAATTCAAATACAAATTATTTCAACAGGCTTATATTGAAGAATTTCTGAACCTAGTTTATCAGAGATTCAACAGTAACATACAACAATAGAGTAGGGCAGATTTTATGAAAAAAAGAGTCAAACATTATGTAGCTTGAAAAGATAACTTATGTGTAAACACGAATTAACAGAAAACAAATTTACCATAAGTTATAACGTGAATAGATAGACGCAAAGTTTAGACGTAGGTATGTGCAAATGTAACCTTTATTTTTTTGTGTTTTTAAAATCACGCGATGTCGCCTTTCATTTTTGATCCGGTTTGAGATAATAAAGTGGATGCCCTCAGACTGAGACGTTCTTAAAATGGATTACTGAAATGGTAAGTGATCCAATAGGTATAAAATATTCCTATGTAATTTTTTTATTACTGTTCCTTTACCTTTTATTCTATGCATAAGGACCAACACAAACATCGCAAATGTTTTAAATCATTTTTCATTAAAAATGTAAAAAAAAAAAAGCAGGTTGGAAAAAATTGTAACCTTTCACAAACTTTTTTTAATAAACATTACACTATTATCCAAAAACGTATTTGACCATAAAGAATTTAAAGTATTATGTTCAATGTGAACAGCCTTAAACCTCACATGTGCCCAAAAGAATTGAAATTGGGTGGAAGCACAGTACCCCCAAACAAAAAAAAAAAAAAAAAAAAAAAAAAAAAACTTGTCAGTTTTGCCATTTCAATCTAATAACAAACACCTACAGTTACACTCCCTTACATATAAATACAGGAATAGACCAGATGACGCACAAAAACAGATATATCGGAAGAGGGGAAGTGTTGTGTATGCATCGCCCATTCCCTTTCTTTTCTCTCTCTTCTCTTTTTCTTATTTTTTTAAACAAAAAGAAAAAAACATGGCCACTACGAATACACCTATCTTACAACAATTGATCCATTATTCACGAAATGCATTTGTCAAGATAGTCAACAACAACGCCCGACGATTACCTTTCTCAACCTCGCATCTTATTGAACAAGCTGAGAATTATTTATTTGGAAGAGAGGGATATTCTAAAAACTGTAAATTATCCGTGGAACTATTAAAAAAAGCTGCATATACCAACAAAAGTGCTTTTGCGATCCTTGGTTTTTGTTACGAGTTTGGATTCGGAGTGTCGAATGATTTTAAAACGGCGGAGAAATGCTATATTTCTGCCATCCATCAAGATCATGACGAAAGAACCTTATTTGCTATATCAAGACTAGCCTTCTTGAGAAAATATGGGAGACCAGGAGTTGCTATTGATAGAATTGAGGCACAAAAATTAGAATCTCTTGTCGTAAAAGGTGGTTTAAAATCAATTGCTTGGATTCAACGTGCTGCAACTCAAGATCACTGTTCTGCCAGTCAATACTGTTTAGGTGTATTTTATCATGATGGCCTTATTTTTAAAAAAGATGAAAATGCTGCCTTTTGTTGGTATAAAAGGAGCGCGGAACAGGGCAATTGCCGAGGTCAGGGTATCCTTGGTTACTGCTATGGCGAGGGGTTTGGTGTAGAAAAGAATGAGGCTGAAGCTATGCGTTGGTATCGTTTGGCTGCAGCTCAGGGGGAGACTGTTGCTATTTATAATATTGGTTACTGTTATGAGGATGGGATTGGGGTGGTAAAAAATGTTTATGAAGCTGTAAAGTGGTACACCATTGCTGCCGAACAAGGCAACGCCTTTGCCCAAAATAGTCTTGGGTACTGTTACGAGGATGGAATTGGTGTCGAAGAGAACCATATTATGGCATCCAAATGGTATAAGTTATCTGCAAATCAAGGGTATCCCTGGGCACAATGGTAAGTTTTGTTCTTGACAACTATTTTTATAAAAAATTACAACTGATAATTGCATTAAAATAGCAATCTTGGTTATTGTCATCAAAATGGTATTGGTGTAACAAAAGATGCAACAGCCAGTGTAGAATGGTATAAAAAAGCTGCGATTCAAGGCCACGCACGCGCACAACATAACCTCGGTTTTTGCTATCAAAATGGCATTGGCATAAAAAAAAATGAAGTAGAGGCCATGAAATGGTTTCAGAAAAGTTGCGAATTGGGAAATATTTTTGCTTTCCATTCACTCGGCTATTGTTTCCAAAATGGAGTCGGCGTTCAAGTCAATGAACGAGAGGCTGTTTATTGGTATATGCTGAGTGCTGAGCATCACCATGCTCCGGCCGAGTTATCTCTCGGCTACTGTTATCGAAACGGAATTGGCGTTGAAAAAAATGAGCGTGAGGCCAGCAAATGGTTTAGGCGTAGTGCCGAACAAGGAAATGCGGTGGCTCAAAATTCCTTAGGTTTCTGTTACGAAGAAGGAATTGGTGTCACTAAAAGTTCTAAAAAGGCCGCATATTGGTATATGCAAGCAGCACGTCAAAATAATGCCTGGGCACAGTAAATATTTTATAATTGTTATTTTGACTATCCTCCTTTATATGCTCAATTAATCCTTTTCTTATTTTCAGAACAAATCTAGGCTTCTGTTATGCAAACGGTTTAGGTGTAAAGCAAAATCCTGTCAAAGCCGTGTATTGGTATAGAAAAGCAAGTCAGCAAAACCATGCTCGTGCACAAGACAAGATGGCCGTTCATTTACAGAATGGGATTGGTGTCAGACAGAACCTTGAGCTGGCTTTTGATTTATTTGAACGTGCAGCCGAAAATAATCATGTCGCAGCACAGTTCCATTTAGCCAATTGTTTTGAAAAAGGGTTGGGATGCCCCGTCGATCTCGGAAAAGCAACCATTTGGTTTGAGCGTGCAGCAATGGGTAAAACTAGAAAAAAAAACGAATAGTTCTTTGATTACATCGACTTACATACATTTCCATTTTAGCTGGTTGCAGAAGTTCACATGAGAGACTGAGAAGGCTGCTTGTCAGAGCATGTTTATTATCACCAGACTCGTTGCCTTCAATCACAGCGATGAGTGAGCAAGATTTACTTTCAAATGGGTTTATTGTGGGACACAGTGCTGCAGCTGCATAACAGCTTGGATAAATACCAAATAGCTAAATCACAAACAATTTTGTTTAAAATTTTAATAGACTTTGAATAGACTTTAAATAGATCTTACTCAAGTATACATAATAAAACTAATTTCTGAGAAAAATAACAAAGAAGTCGTGCTATTAGATTTGTTCATGTTATTAAATTGTACATCTCAACTACTCAATGTATGTTTTCTGTATAGTATAGGACTGAATCACAAACACTAAAACAAAAAATCAAATTAAACTATAATTGTTAAACATGACCCAAATAATAATTTGCGAATCGATGTAAATTCCAAAGCAAACAAGGCTAAAGCTAATTGAAAACCAATTTTCTCTTTCCACCATTAGACTCTTCAATTAGACAAATACTATCTAAATGTAATGATTTATTATGCAAAATAATACACTCAGTAGTTGGCATTTATTATTCTTTACTCCTCCGATAACCCATGCTCTCCTAAGTGAAGACAAGATCATTAAGAGAGATGTATATTACTGTGGTATATATACTTAACACTGGTAAAATATAACACAGTTTCATTGTAATATACAGATAGTAACGTTTGTCCACCAATGCATGCCAAAAAATGACTTAGAAAAAGCTGTTACCTTTTCCCGCATAGATACATTTCTTCTTTAACTGTTAGTAGATATTCACACAAGAGATCGAAAGCTTTCCTCAATCTTAAAAATAACTTTTGCTAGTAAACCTTTACCACTTACGTACATCGGAAAACTTCAAATGTTTAACGAAATTTTCGAATTTTAAAGGCTCTAAAAAACACGAAAGGAAACGAATGTCTAGACATTTAAGAAATTCTTCCAAATCTCAAAAACAATGATAATTAAAACTTATTGCCCCCAGGTGTTTTATGGTAATCAGAAATAGAGACCTTTTCATATTGAAGATGGTTTCCCTATTCAAATGTACAGGAAAGGTAAAAATGAGTCTGAAATCCCTTTTTTTATTTCGTCCGGCGCGTACCAGTACGGGCCAATCATAAACAGTAATTTTTCAAAAAATTTAAGTTCCTCTTTTGCCGGGATGCAATTCCACTTCGGTAAAAGCAATTGAGAGTTGGGCAAGCCGAGATTCCTTCCTTTATTTTTCACGTATGTATTATTTTCAAACATAGAGAAGGTGTGAAGACATGAAAGATACAATGGTGATAGCCATACAACAACGAACCTAATGGATGGATGGCAATGATAGGATCATCAATTGATTGATGTATCTATCAATCAATTTTTATTGTGATTAGGTTACATTGAACGTCATTTTTACATGAAAGGATACATCCATCATCCGCATCCATCAATACCATTTAACATCCATCTATCCCAAAATACGTAGATGTGGCATCATTGTTGTATCAACCATGTCCTTGGGGGAGCGAAAGACGCGAAAATATGAAAACAAATTTACTAATTAAAACTTAACTTTTTTTATACATTCAATTCCAATTTAACAATCTACATTCGCAATAATTCTCACCAATACCAATATATTTCTCTTGATTCAAACTTATTTTCAACCTCATAATTCAACTTTCTTCAACTCGCCATTTCATTTCAATGTAAACAGTCTAAGATGGCTTCCAACAAGATTGTTAAGCAAGCTGGTGCCCCAGCTGCTGATGAGTTCGAACTCTCTGTCGCCCAGGCTCTCACTGATTTAGAGACCAGCGTTCCCGACTTGAAGTCCATCCGTGGTCTCTACATCACTAGTGCCAAGGAGGTAATTGTTGTGAATCAGGGAAAAAAATCTTGTTTTATTAACTTTCGGTTCTACTCTTTAGGTTGAGCTCGGTGCCGGTAAGAAGGCTATCGTTATCTTCGTACCTGTTCCTTTGGCCAAGAGCTTCAACAAGGTTCAACAAAGGTAAATTTGACAGTAGGGGTTTTTTTTTGGGATAAGGTCGCTAATAAAACTCATACAGACTCACTCGTGAACTCGAAAAGAAGTTCTCTGACCGTCACGTTGTCTTCGTTGCTCAACGTCGTATCTTGGCTGTTCCTACCCGTCGTAACACTGGTAAGCAACCCCGTCCCAGATCTCGTACCTTGACTGCTGTCCATGATGCTATCTTGGATGACCTCGTCTTCCCCACCGAAATTGTCGGTAAGAGACTCCGTCAAAAGGTTGATGGTTCCAAGACCCTCAAGGTCTTCCTCGATGCCAAGGATGCCACCTCTCTTGAATATAAGGTTGATTCTTTCTCCGCTATTTACAAGAAGCTTACCGGCAAGGACGTCATCTTCGAATTCCCTGCTGCTGTTGAGTTCTAAATAACTTTACTTTTATTAAACATACAATAAAATCATATCGAAAGGATTTTCTTTTGAAATTCTAAGGATTGTGCTTTTTTTTATTCTATCTAACAGTTTGTGTGGGATTACTGACTTGCCTGATTTAACCTATTAGCCTCAAAGTTATGAGCAAACCTCGATTTCGTATCAATTGAGGTGTTATGATGGCTTCCATATAACGACTTTTTTTTGCTTCTGAAGGAATACACGATCTATACTGCCACTATATCGACATGTTCGTAAATGTTGAGGGTTGGCTCCGCAGCTTTGAATTAACTTTCCTGTATATCTCCACAAATTATTTATATAGTCTATGTGGCAATTGCTTTTGTTGACACTTTATGTATTAGACAAAATACAGTTCCATTTTGTTAGGTCATAATTATTGATATACATGAAATTGTTCCTTGCCATCGCATCGTGATAGGACTACTTTTTTACATGCTGTACGGCAACTTTGTCAATAAAAATATATACCTGCTATTGCATGCCACTACTACAGCCTACAAAGTCAATTTCCTAAATTAAACGTTTCTGATATGACGTGACTTCACTCATTTGTATGTATTAAGTCTCTAGGGCTCCCGTCCCACTATTACTGAGTGTTGATCCATATAATCACATCGCCTGTGAGACCTGTGATTACTTCAGAGATTCTACTCGTAAGGTTGCTACAGAGGGCTTTAAGGTTGTTGCTGGTCGGACGTCAGATTTTCCATTATCACTTATAGTTTTCTTAACAAAGGTACCTGGTTTCGCATTGTAATCATTTTGTTGAGGGACGAAATTTAGGATCGACTCGACAAAGGCCTGTGTGGTTGTGTTATTTTAGATTTCACAACTACAAACAAATTGAGTCTAGTAATTGATATCTCTTATCTGCGATATCTAAAAACTTCCATAACCCTCATTTTACTTACAAGTTAAATAGCAGTAAAGAGCTGATACTTCATTGAACGTTTCATCTATTTTTAAGCTGTTGTCATTCATTTCGATATACAAAGCGCGTTAAAACGGAATCCCACCCAGGCATCGGGATTGAAATTAGTACCTTAATTAACCAAATGGGGTCAAAGCCATTCGGGTAAACATTATCAAGTATTGCTCCATTTGTCTGAGGAGAAAGAGAGTGAGTCTTCATTTATAGAATGAAGTTCTTGTACGTAGGCTATCACAAAAGCTTGGAACCCGAGATATTTTTATATAATTTACACCAGTAAACCGGGAATTAATAAAGCAAATTGTGTCACATATTAGTACAATACAATTTTGGTCATCTATAAAACAGTCTACAGAAGCAAAAAACGATATTCTGAAGGTCTGAAAACAAATGTGAACGGTTTGTCGCTACACAGAGTTTTGGTGTATAATAATACCGACCCTTGTTTTTAGAAGGTTTCTAGAATTAGCTTTTTCCCCCATTGTAGACTTTTGGAGCTAGTGACATAATGTTACACTTAGACTAAGTAATTTTATTGAAGATTCTAGACACAGTGAATAGGTCTTTTATTCTTGTGAATGATGGAAAATTCTGTCTTTATTAATGGAATAATATTACATGCAAATAATAAAGATGGCGTTTTAAAATAATAAAATAATGGGATATATAGTAAGGGAAAAAAGTGATATAAAAATATATGTAAAAAAAAAAAGCAAATCTAGTTGGGTACAAAAGAGTAAAAAAAAAAAGAAGCTTAAGCTTCTTTTCTGGGCTTACTACTATGATTGAACGAGGAAGATCGGTTTAACCAGGAACCGATTTTGCCTGTCAATTTGGTAACAGATCCTCTACGGCGGTGTTGAAATTGGGAGGTGTTGGGCGTAGCAAAAGATGCCGATCTGGAAACGTTTGGACTTGGTTGCAATAAGAAACTACTGTCCTTGGGCATGGATGGTGGATCCTCGTATTTAGCCATTTTGGCCGCGATAGGTGTTGGGATTGAGTTAGGTTGGGCATTATGACTGTGTCTGTTTTGATTATTGATGGTGCTGATATCAATAGTATGTGCAGTTTGGCGAGATGTGACAGTAGCAATTGACATACCAGGGGGTAATAGTTGTGATTGTCTTACCGCTTTTGTATTAGATGTCATGCTAGACATACGAGGAGGAGGAATGGAATTAACCAAATAAGCAGCATCTTTAGGTGGCACGGGTGGGGGCATGTCTTCTTTTGGTGTCTCATTTACATTTGACACGTGTGGATCCATGATGGCAACCGAGGTTACTTCTTCTTCGCTAGCGTTCTGGTCACTAACTGTATTGGTATTGCTCAGATTGCTTGACTTTTTGTTTAAGCTCTTCGACGAATTCTTACGGAGAAACGCTTGAGATAATTTACGAAACAGAGATTTGCTTCCGCCAGCGGGAACTATGTTGTTTGTTGAAGTAGCAGATAAGTTTTGTTTGTTATCCTCTGAATTTGGTAGCTCTGCTGTTGTACTATGGAAGCTATCGTTGGGAGAAGATGAGACAGTATGGCATCTGTCGTCAGTAGAATGAGACGGTGTAGGAAGCCTATTAGACGATTCTGCAGGCGTGACAAATAATAAATCAACTTCGGCATGTTTAGAATCTTCAACATGTTGAGGAGGAGAAGGGGGCGCTGTAATATGACCACTATTATCTGACGCAAGATGATGTTGTGATAAAGAGGAGCGAAGCCAGCGCTGAATTCTGCTAAGATAATTCGTTGACCCGATAGCGGCGGGTTGTGAGACGTAACCAAGAAGACTGCCGTCATTTTGTAATTTGGCACCAGAAGCATTATGAGGTTGAGGGATAACTGGTGTATGGCTTATAGGAACTTCAGTTAACAATCTTGGTATATTGGAAGGGTCTTCATCGGCACCAACCAGTGACGCTTGGCTACTTCTAGCAGAAGAATTTCCACCCAATGACTCCAAAGATGCCTTTCTTGATAAACTTGACTTTGCAGCAACACGATAGTGGTGGGATTCATGTTCCATGGCAATTTGTCTCTCTTGAGAAAGATAGTACAGTGATAAAAATGGGTGATATGCTGCGGGGACAGATTGAGGGTCATCATATATAATGCTCGAATGACCTTCGTTGTAAGAGTGGGAAGGGGATGGAGACCTTCTAGCATGACAGTCTGAAATATGCTGACATGCATCGTGGTAAACTGGAGATTGGATGATCAAGGTGAGTCTTTTTTCTATTTCATCAGTCGTACCCAAATTAAAGCCTTGAGACATTCTTTCAATAACTTTTGGATTGAGAGGTAAAGTTAAAGGCTTTCTTGATGGCATATAGTTATTGATTGAAGCAGACTCCTTGTTCAACCATGGGTGGTGTAGAATGTCGGTCATGATGATTCTTTGCTTAGGATCGGTAATAAAGATGTGAGATAATAAATCTTTGCATTCATCACTTAAGTGAGCAGGGTAATTTACGTGCCCCTTTTTGATTTTATCATGCAGACCTGGCATTGATTTATCATCGAAAGGCACAGAACCGGTGGCCATAACATAAATAACGACACCGAGACTCCAAACGTCAACTTCAGGACCGCTATACGGAGTTGCTTTTAATAATTCTGGAGCAGCGAAATAGAGGGAGCCACAATAGGTTGTTAATTGACGTTCTGGACAAAATAAATTTGAGAGACCAAAATCAATGATTTTAATATTTCTTCCGGATTTATCAATCATGATATTTTCAATTTTTAAATCTCTATGGACAATTGAGTTTCTATGTAAATAATCCAATGCACTGACAATCTGCCTAGAAAACTGTCTTGTTCTTCTGTCGGATAGACGCTGTCGTTTTACAATGTAATGAAGTAATTGACCACCATTCACATAATCCATCAAAATGTAAAAATATGGACCTTGCATCACCAAGTCCTTCATTCCAACAATATTGGGATGTTTCAATAACATCATGATGTGTGCTTCACGGATAGTACGCACTTCTCGGTTCTCTTCTCTGGCTTTTTCCTTGGCAATTTGTTGAATTGACTTTCCAGTTGTATGTGATGGCTGATTTAGTAACTGTAAATTAGCTCTGGGAACAATTTTAACAGCAATCTAGAAATTTGATTTATTTTTAGACTTTTTTAATATCAAGATTAATTGTATTATTTTACCTTCTCGCCTGTAACGTTATGGACACCCAATTTTACTTTACCCATACTTCCTTTACCAATGCTTTGCTGTAATGAGTAGTTTCCAATCGTTTTTAAAGGAATCGACCGATGTGGATCTCTAGATCTGGTAGAGTCATTTCTAGTTATTGGTGATGTAGCAGTGTCTTGTTGTTGTAGAAAGTCAGCAACCATATTAATTGGGTGTAGAGGTGTTGGCTGGTAAATTCGGTGACAAGTGAGAGAAAGAGAAGAGGAAGAAACAGGAGTTAATATTTGTTTACTAAAGGCCGAATATCTTTTCTGAATTGAGGTAATAATCGCGTGACAAAACGTTTGAGGTGGTGGTTCCTTATTAGTCTTACTGGCGCCATTTAAATTGAAATAAACGCACATCTTTTTACACTTTCTTTACTCAATATTTATAAATGATGTCTATACACACACTCATGCTAGAAAAAGTACCGCAACTTATACTATCAAAGATAATCCATTAAGCTTTGTATATTGTCCTAGGAGAAACACAAATTTTTTTTAATATTCTGTGTAACACTAGCTCCGCCATTGCTGTATTTTAATAAATTATCAACAACCAGAACGTGGGCAACACCAGTTTTAATGTTCCTTCCTTTCAGTAAATTATATTTTTGATAATTATAGATGCGATAAATCGATTGACGTGTTGTGCATCGTAGTATCAAAATTACCTTTTATGTACCATTATCATCATCACATTGCCTCCCGGGTGTTCAAATTCTTGGTGCCCCTCACTATTTAGACTCAGGACTCCCTTAATTATCAAGGAAAACTGCTTTTTTTGCCCTTCATTTAGAACGTGGATGACATCAATTATGACAGTTACTAAGCACTTTTTTTTTCGTCATTATTACATTCTGTCAACATTTTCTTTTGTCGCCTCGGTTGTAACGTTCAACTCGTAAACATGAATAGTTTATTATCTCTGGTTTTCTTTACAAGAAAATATTAAGGGGCATTTAAGCACATAATTTTACACACATGATCTTGTAATTAAAACTTTTGAGATTGTACCTATCCTTTCAGCGTAATGGGTATACTATAAACAAAATCAGAATAGCACGACTCGTCTGTATAGCTGTGGTAATTCTACCTCATGCGCTGTCCTTCATCTTTTGGTTAAAAATCACTAGTGCCACACTTGACGATCTAACCTGTTTTTTTAGTAGGGTATATCCCTTGCGCGCATTCACTAGTCTTGCACACTTACATATTAAATGCCAATGTAAGTTCAGACTTCCTTATTCTAATTATAGAGTTCAATTAGAAAAAAAATCAGAATTACTGCTACTACATACAGATACCAAGGCGGAGTTTTATCGAAAGTGGATGTCAACCAAAATAAGACTAGATTGCATTACTGCTGGATGAAAAAAAAAAGGTTAAAATCTAAATTAAATTTTATTTGTCATTGTCTGCTCTTTCAAAAGGCTTCTGATGCATGTGATTACAGTAACCATTGAGAGTTAGAGGTAAGCTATTGTTGGTATGTCTAATATTAGCGATTTCCTGGACTCAATTTGATAGGAATTATTACTTTGGCTACTTTGATACAAAATTCATACAGCGTTAGTAATTTTCGGACGAATTAAAATTCATTTCCAAACAAAGGCTTACTTTTTTTTACAGATCTGTTTTTTTGTACCTTTAGATAACCTTGGACCATCGTCTGTGGAAGCATGGCAACCACATCGAAGATAGCTATTTTTCCTGTAAAGATATCCCAAATAGGCTCATAAATGGCGAACATATTTGTTGTATTTTTTTTTTTTTTTTGCAGGAATTTAAAGTCTGTAATATTTTGATGTATTTGTCAGTTTTTAGGTGTTCCATATTCTAAGGATGGTGCAACCTGTCAAATAATTTGTTATGCGACTTGGTGGACAAACCTCATTCGATCAGGTGATTTGACTACCAGCTCGCTGAAAGCCCTGATTTGAATCCTATTTAAAATATTTGTAGCTTTATCAGTGATAAAGAGCCTGCATTAGAAATGTTGATGCGTTGAAGATATTTTTGGAAAAAGCCTGGAACGAGATAAGCATTGATGTATGTGTGTTTACTCTGAGATATTAAATTTACCTATCAATATTTTTACCCGCCCTTTTCATTTCAGTTCTTTTGAACTCAAGGCAACAACACTTGAATTTAACTATATAATTGTTTGAAATACGACTATTTCTACTTTTTAAAATATTGTCTTTATAGAGCTTGGGTATATAGTTTGGACATCATATGACCCATACCTCACTGTTTACAAAGGTAAACACAATGCTGCGGAAGCCATATACTTTTAATCATCCTGACCTTGTCCTGACATAACCCGTCTCTTCTTTCCATTTTTTATTTTTGTTTTTATGCATAACACCATCCTTTTATAGGAAAGTAACAGATATTGTGAAAAGGTTAGTTAGCTTTTTTTCAAGAAGCGCTAAAATATCACTATCTCTTTTTTTAAAAAAAAAAAAAAAAATCAAAAAGATATATTTAAATTTTAGCAATAGTATAGTCAAGTCTAGTCTTCGCTATACAGCGAAGACCTCTTCGTTGCCGGTTGTAGACATTTTAAGGCTCTATCTTACAATCTTAACCATGATAGGGCATGAAATCGAGAGTACCATCGTTAGGACAAGGCCATGTGATCCGCTAATGATATTCAAATATGTAAAAACAAGGAAAAAAGGATTGAGTGGTTCCTAAAAACACGTAGTTATAAACATTATAAAGGATAATTTTAAAATTTATATGAAAAATATCGAAGTTTCACCAGATGTCGATCTATGTTATACAAATGATAGCCAAATTACTGATTTCATTAACTACATTTATCGACCTGCGGATGAACATCTGTTTGACTCACGGTATAAGCTGTCCATAGTATATGATATGGACATATTATCTATCTTATGCAAATTTACTGCCATATTTGACAAGAAGACTCTGCTCTCATTTAGTCAATGGCTGAACAGAAATGACATTAATTTGACTAATACTGAGCCAGGGATGAAGATTGCAAAGACCAGCACGCAGACCCGAATTTAAATCAGAGAGATTTAAATGTATTGCTGGATATTAGCTACTGCAAGCTTAAAAATAAGAACCAAGAATCAAACAGTACTGATTCCTGTTATATTATTGATTCTGTAACAAAAGAAATCGTGACGGTATTACCAAGACACCACGCATACATCAATGCTTTGAAGGAAGATAGATTCCAGGTAGTACAATACTGCCAGTGCGTCGAATTTCTTCTATCACGACCATGTCTTGTGTTAGATTCAATCACAACACATCCCATCATGTAAAGTATGTTTTTTCAGCGGGAATCTAGTTGCCGAAGTAAATATTTTTACAGTCGATTTAGGGTTATGTCAGGTACATTACTACTATGTCGATCATCCCCTTTTTTTTTAAAAAAAAAGGAAAAGAAAGCCAAGCTTTCTCGTTCCTAACAAAGGGTTGGTATGAGATACTAGTCGGTCGTATACAGGATCTTTGTTTCCTCTTGATAATATGACCCTATTTTACACCGAGTAGCGAACAAGTGCTGAGAATTATTTCGTCTTTTTGACACAAAAATGTGACGCGCATGTTTAAAAGAAAAGGATCCCGGCCAATAATATGTAGCCAATTTTTTTTAATTCAAAGATACACAAACAATTACCCATCGCAGTTGTTCCGTCAGGATCATCAGAACATTACTGATCGTGACACACATTGCTTGTTTGCTTGAATGACTCATTTCCCACGATTTCTAATAATTATGCAGCTCATATCTACTCATATAACATGCATTCATATACATACACACACATGAAAAGAAAAAAATAACGGACTTTTAATGATACGCCTATAAAATTAATCATTTGAAGATGGAAATCCCCCCTTCATCTCTTTTTCTTTCATTTGATATGACAAAAACTGACTTTGGTAAAAAGTTCCGCAAAGACTTTTCTTTTGAAGCCGATTACGTGCCTATTAATCATGGATCGTATGGCACTTATCCTAATGTCATCAAGCCTGTGATGAGAGAATTCCAAGATAAAGCCGAGCAACATCCTGATCGCTGGAGCAGATTTGAATCTAAAGAAATTATCAAGTCCAATCTTAAGCGATTGTCCAAACTTGTACATTGTGATGATTCTGACCTTATTTTTGTGCCTAATGCTTCCAGTGGTGTCAACACTGTTCTCAGAAGCTTCCCTTTTAAGAAAGGCGACAAAATCCTTCATGTAAGTATTTTTTTAAAAAAAACAAGAATCGACATAGTTGACTCATCTAAATTTTTTCTTTCTTTTTTAGTATCAAACTGTCTACGCTTCTGTCGACAAAACTTTGGCCTTTTTGAAAGATCACTATCAAGTAGAATTGGTCCGAATCCATCTTAATTATCCTCTCGAAGATGCTGAAATTATTCAGCTAACAAAAGAAGCAATTGACCAGGAACACGCTAAGGGCAATGGCAAAATTCGTATGGCTGTTTTTGATGCTTTATCTTCTCTTCCTGGTGTTCGCTTTCCTTTCGAGGCCGTCAATAGCCTTGTTCAAGAAAATGGCATTTTAAGTTTAATTGATGGTGCCCATGCTATTGGACAAGTGAGCTTAAATTTGACAGAATTAAACCCTGATTATTTTATTACGAATTGTCACAAATGGTTGTATTCCCCCCGTGGATGTGCTATCTTGTATGCACCCAAGCGTAACCAAGGTTTTATTCATCCTACAACTATTAATGCTGCTTACAAGTTCCATGCCGATAGTGCTGAGCATTCTAGCTTTGCTCAAGAGAATGCTCCCAACACCATCGATACTGCACCCTATTTATGTATTGATGCAGGTACGCTCAAAAGAGAGAGAGAGAAAGAAAAAAAAGTGCAACGTCAACTAAATCATTTATAGCTTTAAACTATCGCGAATCTATCGGAGGAGAAGAAGCTATTTGTAAATATACCCATGATATCGCTGTGAAGGGTGGTGCGCTTGTTGCTAAATTATTGGGCACGCAGGTGATGGAAAATTCTACAAAGACTTTGACAGCCAACATGGTCAATATTGAATTACCCGCCTTCAAAACTTCCAAAACGGATCCTGAAATTATGGCGTTCTTCTTGAACAAGTCCATCTACGAGAAGCACACTATGCTTTCTATCTACAAGAATAACAGTAAATGGTGGGTTAGATTATGTGGACAAATCTATGTTGATTTAGATGATTTCCAAAAGGCTGGAGAAGCTGTCTTAGCTATTATCAAAGAAATCGATGAGCAATAAATATAAAAAATGATGAATACATAGTATATTTATTTGACTTTTTTTTTTTCCTTCTTTTTCTCTTTTTCTGTTTGTTTAATCAATCAATCTCTTTCTCTTGAAGAAACGACGTAAATACAATATTTGCCAAGTACCGAGACCAAAGAGAGTGAACAAGGAAATAGTACTAAACCACTTGACACGCTCGTTTGTAGATTCTATCAAGAAGTAAAAAAATATTGAGTCTCTTGGTTTATCGTAACATGACTAAAATTACCGTTAGTGTCTCTTAATTTAGCTTCACGAGCCTTCAAGTAATTCATCTCATCCACAATCTCTTTCACTACAGTTTCCAACTTGCGAAGCTCGGCCTCGAGAGGATTGAGATTCTCGGCATTAATAACCTTTTGGTAATCGGCAGCTTCAGCGCCTACACTGAATTGTAAGGCAACGGAACGCTTATATTGATTACCTTCTTGGAAACCTATAAGAACAGCAATTTTAACCCATCTGTCACATGCACACACTTTTTTTTTTATATACAACGTTTACCTGCATCGAGAACATTAGTGAAGCAAACCATAACTTCACCATCGTTGTGAGTAGTGAAAGCGTTACGAAGTTCGCCATTGACATTAGCCTTTTTGGTGTAGATATTACGTGCTTCAGTTTCATCTAAAATCTGGTTGCATGATATGAATAACTGACAGTTTCCAAAACATTAGTCGTTTTTTTTTTGTTACCTCGAGATCAACGCGTTGGTTATAACCTTCACCGACGTTAACGGTAACAAGCACTAAAGTGTCTTTGGGGACATATTGGGAAAGACATTTAGTTCCATCGAACACATGGTCTGGAGTAACAGCAAGCAAGTCAAACTTAATTGCGGTTGCTACTGCTAAAATACTCGAGAGAACGAGCAAAGTAAAGAATGATGGCCGCATGTTCATTAATCTCTTATAAGATGCTAATAAGAAAGAAAAAAAAAAAGGAGAAAATAAAAAAGTAATCGCGTGCGGCCTTCTCATTGATTGATTTGTCGGAGTTGATCTCAGCAAGGTCTCGTAATATCCCATACAGCCAACGCTGCAGGGCCATAATCAAGGCATACATCATAGCGTGTCTTGAAATTACTACAAGAGTTTTTTTTTTTTGCATACACTTTTTCATAATAAAAAAAGTATAAAAGAGGATCGCTTTCTTATTTTTTATTATCTACATGTCACTATTCATTACTGTTGGGTCAACAGGTTTCGACAATCTCATTAGCCAAGTTACATCACAGGAATTTCTGACCTCATTAGTGAGGTTTGGCATAACAAAAGTACGCGTTCAATATGGCTCCTCCAATGATATATATGTAAAAAATATACAGGTATATGATGGTCCAAGAATCGATATAACTGGTTACAAATATAAGGCTTCAGTTACTGAGGATATGGAAGAGGCTGATATTATTATAAGTCACGCAGGTATATTTATCCTAAGCCCTGACCACAGCAACAACTGCTAAATCATTCAATCAGGATCAGGAACGATATTGCAAGCGCTTCGATTGAATAAAAAATTAATTGTGGTTGTTAATAAGGCATTAATGGATAACCATCAAAACCAGATTGCCCAAGCCATGGAATCCAGAAATTATGCCGTGTGCAGTGACATAGAGTAGGCAGTGTGTGTGATATCGTCTTATTAAGCTAACCCGTCTCTTTTAGTGATTTATTGAGTACGATCCAAAGAGTTCAAAAGACCTCCTTCGAGCTTTTTCCAGTTGCCAAACCCGAGATATTTGCGGCCATAGTTGATGAGCAGATGGGATTCTAAATAAATTATTTTTATCCCACAAAATAAACAAATTATGGTTCAGCCTCTTTTACTCTTTTTTTTTTGTTTTTCATTAGACTATTTAAGAAAAGAAAAGTAATCAGAAAGACCATTGAAGAATGACTTTGAAATGTTTATATGTGCTAGTAGCTATTATTTACTATACAAGTCTAGTTATTGCTCAGTCTACCACAACATTACTCAAGGATAATCAGATCTTGTCAAATTCGGTTGCAGCAGGTTCATACAATTACTATTATTTTTCAATTCCTGCAACAGGTCATGTCTTTGGTAAAAGGGCCTTTTCCAACATATTTTTATCTTCAAGTACCTGTAGCCAACCAATACCACCAAGCACCTTCAAAGATGCCATACCCTCTGTCGACATGTATATATCCCTCTCAAAAGATAACCCATTACCAGGTCCCGACAACGGCATTACAGTAACTGATGGCCTTCATGGACTATCGACTTGGACAAGCCCTGATTCTATTTCAGAGATCTGGATTGCAGTTGGGGCAACAGCTTTACCAAATACCTGGACAGGCAACTGGACATACGAAATTGGTGTTTCAACTAGCCGTAAGAAGCTCACACATTTTATCATCAATTTTGTTTACTTAAAAAAAGTAATATCCTATAGAAATAATGCACCCAGTATTTATAAATGAGAAAAGGAACATGTCAACACCTTTTTTGATTATGGAAGATACTGATAGAACAAATGCCTTGTTTACATCAAACCCGTTTACGGGATCTCCACCCAACTCTACGATTTTGATTACAGCAAACTTGCCAAAGGAGTTACAATACTCACTTTGTGCAGCCAAGTTATACGATCTTCCGAATTATACTGTCAACACATCAATTACTGAACGTGGGCCCTGGAATCTTCCTAGACATCAATTTATGGTCTCCAATCTGACACAAGATACATTATACTCTGCTTATCTTGTACAAAGTGTTGGAACAACATTAGGATTAACAACTCCAGTTTCTCTAAGCACGAAAATAGATGCTAATTGCCGAATTATTTATGATTTACCATTTTGTAACCAGGTGGCCTATAGTGTGCCTACCAATCCTGACACCTTTTCCACAGAAAACATATGGGACATTGCTACTCAATATGACACACAGGCACTAGAAAAATTTCAGCCTTTTGGAACTGCACTCTCCCAATTTAATTGCGACACAACTCAATACTCTCTTGTTCGTAATTGTACTGATTGCTATCGGGATTATAAGACTTGGTTATGTGCTGTGACAATTCCCAGATGTACGGATTCCACTACAAGTGGTGATTTGAGTCAAAATACAGATGACCTGCCAACGTCTCCTGCTCTTCGTGATATATCTGTGGGTGCCTCTAGAAATCCCTGGGTAGATGAAATAATGAAGCCGGGCGAATGGACCGAGCTTTTGCCCTGTATTGATTTGTGCTATCATGTAGTTCAAAGTTGTCCCCCTTTCTTGCAGTTTTACTGTCCTGGGGGTGATTTGGCAACAGTGCAATATGGATACTGGCAAAATGGATCTGCCTTGGCCAATGGCACGTTGTATCATTTCGATGTAAATAATCCCACTTGTAATCGTATGGGTGTAAACACATCCTTGTTGACAATTAGTGGCTCTTCACACTTACATATGCATGCTAGATTTATAATTATTTTGATCATTGCCGTTATTGTTCTCAATGTTTAATAAAGGCGGATTTACATGTTCATTTTATTTATAAATTAGAAGTTTCCTGACCACCAAGCAAGATTTCATGAACACATTTTCTTGAAGATTGCAAAATTTGCAAAAACTTGAAGGCTATGTTCAAGTACATCGTTTCATTAATGGAAGTATCGTCAATCACGCTCGTCAAGAAATTAAGGTTGTTTGGACTCTAATTTTATGATGATCAAGTATCTATTTAGAAAACAGATTTGCTTTTCCTGAACTGATTTGATTAAAAAAAAAAGGGGGGAGAAAGGTCCTCTCCACATAACACCGAGTGGTTTTGTCAGTGATCAGCAAAACATATCAGTTGCAACAGTAGTTGTGAAAAGACAAATCAAGAAATATGTAGCTTCAGAAACCACTTTGACGTAGACAATGTCTTTCCGTCATATACTTTTATAAAGATATCTAATTCCATTAAGTTTAAGTGTACATTAAAAAAAAAAAAAAAACTTGCAACAAATTAATTGTGTTGGTCAAAAATTGAAAGTATAGATTTATTAAAAACTATTGTTCTAAATTTCGAGGGTGGGAAAGATGTCAAATTTAACGGGTCTTGAAGTCTAAAAAATTAAATAAAAGGGGTTAATTGGATCCGTGAAAATAAAGGTTATTAAGTACTTACAATCCAAGAGGACGTTCATGGCCTCGGACTCCTCTCCGAAGTCAGTGACAGCAACACAAGAACAACCGACAACCTTACGGGCGTTACCCTCACGATCGATCTTACAGAGACCGGCCCATTCACCGAGCTTCTTAGCATCAGAGACCTTGATCAAGTTGATGTTGTGTTCGGCACAGAGAGCTTCAACGAGCTTGATGTATTCAGACTCGGTACAAGACTCAACGAGAACAGCCAAATGAGCTTGACGTCTATTTAGTAAAACAGGTACACAGTTAATTAAACTGCCTTCATTTTTTTTTTTTACAAGCCCATTATTTACCTGTCCAAAGCCTTAACGGCTTCCTTCAAACCACGAGCAAGACCATCGTGGACCAAAGCACGACGGAGGACTTCTTGGAGAGCATCCTCGACGGACATTTGACCAGCAGGGGCCTCAACGGCAACCTCAACTTCTTGGTTCTCAATGGAGACTTGTTGTTCTTCGGCAGACATACTAATCATAATAATAATAAAAATGGCGATTGTGTCAGCGAATTGCAATTATCAATACTATTCATCCATCCATCCAAGTCCAGTTCGCTCTTTGATGCTACTAAAGTTCGGATGGCATATGCTGAATTATACATACTTTGGTATTTGAAAAAAAGAGGAAGATCTCTATTGTCAGATGCTTCCATTGCCTTTGTGTACAAGCATCAGGCGGAGTATAGACCTATCGAGCCTCCTGCTCGGGATAGGCCCGGGCCGGATAATCAAATCTGAGTAAAAATGGCGTGCAAGACTGTAAAACAGTAATACAACGCGCAAAAATGTTGATTCGTGATCCGTGCACTGTCTACTGATGTTGTATCTGGAGACCTTCCCAAAGGCGCTTAAACGTAAAGCCAATGAACTATAGCTTAAGTTACTTTCAATACGGATTCGATTTTGCATAACTAGCAATAATTACGGTCCCACTTAAACTAGAGCTTACGCATAAACTGAATGGTTTCTTGTTACTGCGATATTCAAATTGATATCAAAGACTTAATATAACTTTAATTTGTAAAATTAAAAATCTACCATTAACATGCTCCCTCAATTTGAAACCAGTTGGTAGTGATAACGACAGGAATTTTATTACAACACAATCTTATTTCTCTGATGTATGTAAAAACATTGTTAAACTCTACAGTATAGGAAACTTTCTATCTGTAATATATCTCACAACGAATACATGTCACACCTATGTCTAAGAGGTGGAATTGATATGAACCCATTTAAAGAAAACACTCATTGTACAATTAACGCACGAGCATTAAAGGGCGGGTTTTTAATTGAAAAGGCAGAAGTAGATTTAGAAATCAGTTACATATGAAACATAGCTTATTGTTATATACAAGGAGCTGGTTGACCCATATCCGGCACTTCTAGTGCATTATAGTTTATCAATGACAGGGTCCTTGATTGGCTTCGGCAGCTACTCGACCAATCCAGGAACGATTATGAAATCTGATCTCAGTTTGACATATGAGGGAGCTGGTGCTGTGTCGAACCAATAGGAATGTATTCGCAATATGGTACCGTATAATACATAGGGTATATGTATTATAATTGAGTGACAAGATAAGAGTAATTATATTCGTGGAATTAGGCGTCAAATACGACATAAACCTTTTCTTAATCCAATTATGATTTCCCCTTCGTAGCAAAAAGGCAGGTGACTGAGATTTGAACGGACAATATTAGCATCGTCGTCTAAGGATGATATAGGCAGAATACACACATCATCTTGGGGAAATAACATCCCATGCTCCAAAGCATGCTTTTGTTTTTGCTTCTATCTTCCATGTGAAAAGCGACACCCCATCGAGTTGGGAGCTACGTTGCAATAATCTTCAAAAAAAACTAACTGGGTTTCAGGTCAAGATGTAACAACGAACATGATGTTACCTGTGGTACGGCCGACTCAAAAACCGAGAGATTTGATGACTGTGAGATTATCTTCATTGATGGTATCACTCTCCTCATTGTTGCTGCAATGCTCATATCTAAGTATTAAATGGAGGGCGTTTCTCATAAATGTAGGCAGGTTCGAAGCAGGAAGAGTTATTTTCAAACGAACAGGAGCCATGGGACCATTTTATACCCCTTCAGTCACGTTTATTCGGATATTTCCTTAGACTGCCATCACGGTTGTAGCATTAGAACAAATTGGTGCCATTGCAATGCCTACAAAAGAAACAAAGGACTTATTAACAGATATTTTTTATGTGTGTAAAAGAGTAGATTCAGACATTTGACCACAAAAAAAAAGAAAAAACTACTACTTGTTGACGGAATTGTCTAGAACTCCGTATTTTTTTCAAATAAACGTATTTTTTAGAATCACGCGATGGTTTACACGTCAATTGACATGCCATATCGTCTTAACTTCATAGGATGATCGATTTCACTGTCATTATAAGCTATTACTGGAACGCAGATATACAACTACCAAGTTTTGATTTGCTTGGGGGTTTTTTTGCATATGTTTCTATTTTAAGTAAAGGCTCAAACATTATGGATGATAAAATAGACAAATGAAATCATCCTGACATAAGCTTGTTTATCAGCCTATAAATAAAGCTGGTTCACACACTTTTTTTCCTCCCTTTTTCTTTTCCCTTAACATACTTCTTTTATCGTATGAAAGTAATCGATCACGTAAAAAGGTTTGTTTAGTAGTGACTCTTGTTTCTTTGAAAAGACACTAAATTGAAAAAAGATATATTGTGATATTGCGGCTGCGGCTAGTCTTTGCTATAGGAGGGCGACCTCTTAGGCAGGGTTCTTGAGTTTTTTGGAACTCACGTACAGTGAATAGCTGTGATTGGACTCTAAATAGTCGTAATGATACTGGCCTTCGATTTGTAAAGGAGTGTCTCTTCTTTTCTAGTACCACTCGAGTGATACTTTTTTTCATTGCCGGGTACCGTGAGTCTTTTGGGACGATCGTTGGGCGCTTTCCCTGAAGTCTCACATCCCATGATAGCAAAAGCAGCTATTTCAAGACGTAAGTATTATACATTATATTACTGTGACCTTTTCATTTTAAACCAGCTATATCCAATAGTTTAGGGATGAATAATATTATTGACATTTCGGATGATACAGCAGAGTCACACCTTGGACAACTGTCCATTGATGCGCAGTTACTTGCCAAACAGCTGTTCCCCACTCCAGCTATAGAAGTAACATCCTGCAATTGCGATGTGTTTAAAACATTATCAAGAAGGTAATTGGGTCATGTTACTAGAGATAGCAATGAAATTCAAAAAAAAAAAAAAAAATGTTTTTTAGTATAAGGCCGAGGAGGATAACGATGAGTTCCTTGACAAGGTGATCAATGAGGTAGATCGTGTCTCAAGCGATAAAATCATTAGACGTATCTATTCTCAAATGTTAGTTATTTTGTTTGGTTGCCAGCTTATACATAATTTACTGACTGTATTTAATAGTCTGGAAACACTTCGATATGACAGCTATCTTTACAATGAAGAAGAGAAAAACAGCGAAGCAGATTACATCATAAAATTGTATGGCCCCATCATGGAAAACCTTTTCAGGGGAAGCGGATGTCGATTGGTTTGGTAAGTTTTTATTCTTTTTGATCCTATCAATGTTTCTCTGTCGTCTTACAACATATATATATTTATTAGTAGGGGAGATACAAAGAGCCCAACATGCCAAACCGAGAATGTCTAGTCAAAATTGGATTTAAGGATTTTCGCTAGAAACATTACCAAATCACCTGATCTTTGCATTGCTGAGTATGCCAAGGAAGCAACACCAGCCAAGTACTTTTATGATAAAACCAAGATTGTGATTGCCACCCTAGTCCATCTGAAAGAACATATCAGCCGGGGTAAACTTACTTTGGATCAGGCAAAATTATTTGTAGTACCTTTTGTTCTTTGTGAGGGATTAGAAGCAGAAATCCACTGTCTCAGACTGGTTTCAGATGATTGGTGTATTGTTGAAAAGGTAAAGGATTTTGACCTTCCTTGCTCTGTGGAAGAAATAAAAAATGGAAAAATCGCTGAGTACGTATATCACCTGCGAACTCTGAAGGTATTGTATATTCGGTATTATAATTGTCTGGTATATTAATTAAGAAAAAACTCTTGATTTAGCAACTATGCCTTGCGTTGAAGAATCAAACCACCACAACTCGCCGAAAGTCTCGAGGAATGAGTAGTATCAGACAAGGCAGCAACTTCAAGAGCTTTCAAAAACGACGAATTTGGAGTGACTTGAATGAGAATGATTGGTTGGAAATCCAACGAATGCGGACGGCCATTTGTTTCTGAAAAACTTGTCTTTGATAGCCGTGGGTGATAGCAACAAACTGTTGGTAGACAACTGCCAGTTGGATTACTTCGCTCCCTTGGAGTCTGTATCTGCTCACATGACTGATAACCTGTTTTTATAAACATTTTGTATTTAAGAATGGTTTCTTCTTTGGCTTGAATCTTTAGCTTTCCATGTATGATACCGAAATATGCAATACCTTCAGAGTTCGCAGGTGATATACGTACTCAGCGATTTTTCCATTTTTTATTTCTTCCACAGAGCAAGGAAGGTCAAAATCCTTTACCTTTTCAACAATACACCAATCATCTGAAACCAGTCTGAGACAGTGGATTTCGGCCTCTAATCCCTCACAAAGAACAAAAGGCACTACAAATAATTTTGCTTGGTCCAAAGTAAGTTTTCCCCGGCTGATATGTTCTTTCAGATGGACTAGGGTGGCAATCACAATCTTGGTTTTATCATAAAAGTACTTGGCTGGTGTTGCTTCCTTGGCATACTCAGCAATACAAAGATCAGGCGACTTAGTAAAATATCCATAGGTTTTTCTCATAGACCATCAATACGTTTTTTGATTAATTTATTTTTTTCGTCCATAATAAAGTGGTATCCAAGTTCTAACAGTATCACTTTTGGTTTATTTTAATTTTGTTCTCCATGCGAAACAGTACGTCTAAATATAGGTTTGCCTCATGTAATTGAGGGAACAAACTAACATTATATAAAGAGAGCCTGTATATACCACCCCTCTTTTTCCAAATATAGTAATTACCACCCCTGTTCGGTCGCACCGGACAGTAGATGTCCGGTGGAAGTGGATCACTTAATACGCATTTATTAGGCTCAATTGTGGATCACTTTATACGCATTTATTAGGCTCAATTGTGGATTGCTTTATACGCATTTATTAGGCTCATTTGTGGATCACTTTATACGCATTTTTTAGGCTCATTGTTGGATCACTTAATACTTATTTTTTAGGCTCATGTATAGTGTATTTTTGGATCACTTAATACCTATGTTTTAGGCTCACTATATTTTCATACATATGAATCTTCCAAACATAGTTTGGTGATGAGATATTGGTAAATGGGAGAGACATCTTCAATATATTGTACATAGGCAAAATCTGGTCTTCATACACCATCAGACGTATCCCATAAAACCTTAAGGTTTTCAAAAAGGTCCTTACTCTCCAACATAGCCCACTCAGCTCTCTTCTTGGCTTTTACCGCCTCATAACTGATTTGTTTCCTTATTTGCTTCTTAAGTTTTTTTTCGTCGACTCTCAAAACGGAATTTCTATCGGCCTTCTTTTGCTGCTGGCGGATACAGTATGCAAGCCTTCCACCTTGGTCAGGACGCCCATGCTTGACACCAACGATTACAACATGGTGTTTGACCTTCAAGTGCTTGATCAGGGATGATCTCGAGTTGAACGTCTTATGGCACTTACCACATGTCAGCTTGTCTTTAATTAATGTGTCATCAACATCTTCGACATCAACTTCCTCAAGTGATACTTCATTCTTTGACTGGTTCAATTTTATGAAGAGTATCTCGATTAAAGGATTTCTTGGGGCTACTTCTACTCTTTTAGGAACAATAAGACTCTCGCCTTCAGCAATACTTTCTTGATTGTTTATTTATATAATCGTTGTAAATTGTAAAATGGAAAAAGCAAAATGGTACCTAAATCCCCCCCCGCCCCTCCTCAAACAATTATTCGGACCTGGTTCATAGGCCTAAAAAATAGGTATTAAGTGATCCAAAAATACACTGTACATGAGCCTAAAAACTAAGTATTAAGTGATCCAAAAATACACTGTACATGAGCCTAAAAACTAAGTATTAAGTGATCCAAAAATACACTATACATGAGCCTAAAAAATTAGTATTAAGTGATCCAACAATGAGCCTAAAAAATGCGTATAAAGTGATCCACAATTGAGCCTAATAAATGCGTATAAAGTGATCCACAATTGAGCCTAATAAATGCGTATTAAGTGATCCACTTCCACCGGACATTTACTGTCCGGCGTGACCGAACAGGGGTGGTATATACATTTTCTCTATATAAAGTGATATTCAGTTATGGATCGGTTAAGTTATACAGTAAAAAGACCAAAGTTTATTTAATTCGATTTATTTTGATTCAGAGCGTGTGGCTATGAAAAGATCCCTTTGCTCGTTTTGGCAACAACGAGTATCATTCCACCGAGCCTTTGGCATTCGTTTTGTTTTTGACCTTGTTTTTGCTTAACGGTAAGCACTTGACTGAAGAAGCTTGCGAGATCTTGATGATCATGTTCAATGTTGCTTTGCAGATCACGCCATTTTGAGTGTTGAATGCGATGAAAATCTATCAAATAGTCCTTTATCGATGCCTCTGTCATAGCAAGATGGCCATTTCATTTTGCCTTGGTTTTGTTCCATGAAATCCTTTACAAATTGCAGGTCCTTTGATTCGGTGGTCTGGACAGGTGTAACAGTAATATGCCCCTCTTCCCCTATACATCGACGCTTGAAATTTTCTGAAAAGCTAATACCGTCCTCGGCGTATTTTTCTATCCGTTTCCTTGATACCTCATCATTGCAGTTGTTATTATGGATGATTTTCTTGAATTGGGATGTCATGGCATCGCAATATGATTCAACCTCGGTATCCCTGAGTACTTTATTCTCAGATTCAATGGTGAATATTCGGTAGGCTGTGCTGTAAATTTTTCGTAGAGTTGGATCCATGTATTCATCTAACGCAACTATGTGTTTTTCTTGTTGTGTTAAAAAATGGATCAATGCAATTAACTTTGGCATAGGTACTTGGATTGACGATGCGATCGAGTCAGCGTTGTATATGTACACCTGGTCTGCCCAAAGCGGACTGGGCAGTGTATAATATGGGTCTTTTTCGTTCTTTGTGAAGTTACCGTCTCGAAAACGTTTGCTGGAGAACCCTTCAATGTTGATGACTTATACCAAGCTTGGTAAAAAGAACAAATCTTGCAGCACCATACACTCTTACCTCGCCATCATCAAGCACCAGCACCACCGAGCATTCCCTCATCACCAAGCATATCAATTGGGGGAATCCTTGTTTGATCAAGTACTTAAAAAAATAAAAAATCACATGATGTAAGTACTAGAGTAGCCTTTGTTGCTACGATGTACTGAGATTAAGCCTTTGTGAATCTTTGAAAGAGGATATTGTCTACACCTACGTATTTTTGTAAATTTTTCTACGTATTTTTTTGATTCACGTGATCCGTTCTTTTTTCTTACCTACTTTTGATCTTTGAAAAGACCTAGCATAAGTGGGAGTTTCAGCGCCAGTGAAATACCACTACCTTTATCGTTTTTAGTCTTGCACAAACGACGAACCACCGTATTTTCTTCCCCAATGTTTACAACTGGGAACGGGGAAGTATTGCTAATGTTGAAAAGACTAGCCGTAGCCGTGATAATAAAAAATGGGAGTTTATCCTTTTTTTTTAAAAAAAAAAAAAAAAAAAAAAAAAAAAAAAAAAAAAAAAAAAAGGTAATATTTTAGTGTTTTTATAGAAAACAAAAGTTGTTATTAACTAACCATTTCCCAATATTTAATACTTCTCTTTAAAAAGATGGTTTTATACAGCATAAGAATAAAAAAGAATAAAATGAAGAGAAGAAGGGATGGAAAAATTGTTTGAATGGTTTTTTATTTGTAGACTGATATTAAAAAAGCCTTCGCATGCATCAGGATGATTCAAGTGCTTATTTAATCAGAGGTGAGTTTTATTTATAAACTGATAAACAAGGGCTGGCTTACGTCGGGATGATTTAATTGTATACGTAATCACCCATTTACACGCCTAGAATAAACAATACCATTTATGATATATTGGGGGGGTCAAATAAACATATAAACATCGGGTACCATTGGCCCAGAGTTTTTTTCCGTCAAAAATAGAATGTTGTACGATATTTTGGTGTTTATTGTTTGTCCCCCCCCCCCCTCCGCCTATTGATTTTGTACCCCCACCCCCAACAAAAATCAGTCGCCGTTTTTACATACACACTCCCCCATTTCGCATTGACATGGATGAAAACAATAAATTTTCCACTTAATTGAAAAGATACAGGTATTACTTGAGTATTTATAAAGAAGAATTAGTGAATAATTTTATCGTATCTACAAGTTGTATTATGAAGCCACCATAAAATTCCAAAATGGAACTTATTGACGACGGAAAACTGTTGGTTATTTCTGATCTGTGCATCTATAGGCATTTGTGACATATCGAAAACATTTAAAACCTCATAGTCTTCGGAACTCGTATCTTTGATTAAAAAATCTTGGGATGGCAGTCTACGGCTTACAAACTTTCCGGCGGATGTGCTGAAAATGCTTACCAATAACCAAGATGTTCATCTCTTATCGGCACAAATTCAAAAGCTTCAACGAAATAATAACCGTTTGCTTTTTGGGAAATCCTTCCAAGAGTTTGACCATTTGTTGGGCTGTTCATATTTCTGAATAGAGCAGCGAGACTAACAGTCAGCTTATTATTACTGTTATTATCGTCTAACAATTCAAGCTCGCTTCGAAAAATCATTGGATCATAAGACAAAAGAACACCCTCACCGCACATTGCATACATTGGTGCCGAAGAATCTCTTATAAATGATCCACCTTGGCACATATGGCGTAGCATATATTCTTCCGAAAATCTTAATGCTACATCTCTTGAACCATTATGGCGATTAGTATGGCATAGTAGCTCTCGCATAAACTTGTGTTGCTGTTCACAACGTTCAGCCTCAGTGTGAGGACCACCAGCAAATATTTCTACATCGTCTGATAAATGGACTAGCAAGTGTGCTTTTAGTCTGTTACATAATGATGAGAATTTCATTTTTGCTAAGGGAGTTTTTCCAGAATTTGCTGATCTACCGTGTAAATTTTGTATTGATGTATGTTGAAGATTATCCATAGACGCTATTGTTTCTGTTACTAAAACGACTAACATATTTTTATATTGTTCGAAATTATCAATTTTTTCCATGTATATGAGAGACGAAAGTGATGCTAACGTGTTGAAGCAATTGAAAATTTATTCTAAAACTGTTTGGCTAGGATATAATCTGGGATTATCCAGACGCGATTGTTGAAGCAACGAAGGACGTAGCTGTACCAGGATCTTGTACCTCCCAATGCTTTAAGCATAAGATCATCGTGCTGCTCAAAAACTACCAAAGACTCTTCAATATTGAGGTCAATGGATACCTCTGAATCAGATGCTTGATCTATCTGATCAAAATACAAATCTAAATCGTCTTCGGAATCAGTAACTGCATCCTTAGTACTCTTGATAGGATTAACAATCTCATTGCACTGGCTATCTACATTTGTATCCAACGACTCGAGTTTTCTTTTCTTCTGAGAAGTAAAAATTGCCTTGTTACAGTCTGGGGCTCTACCATCATTGGCTACGGGCTTGTTTCGATTCTTTCTCTTACTGCTAGTCTTTGTGTAAAAAGGGTCCAGGCCGAACTTGTAGTAGTTTTTGATTAAACGCCCATCCCTCCTACATACTTGAAGAATCAATCTTAAGCTAACATTTAATGCCTTTCTTGTAGGTATCAAACGATACAAGGCACTATGGTATGACTCAATCGCATTAGATGTGCGTGAAGGATGCTTGCGAAGAGCATCACTCAAAACAGTCCGACAGTTAAAAATCATACTGGAAATGGTGGGCTGTAACCACCATTGAAGCCAGCGACGCACATTAGGGAACTCCCTGATAATCGACTGCGCAGTCTCAACGAATACTTCTTCAACATTTGTCTTCAACAATTTGTAAGTCAACGAGACAAACTGGTTTGACTTCTCGGCAGGAACACATGAGTGGTTGGAGACAACCCGTTAAACAGATTGCTTCCAATGCAAATAGCAGCCCTTCAACAAGCGTGTAGGCAAAATACCTGAGTCCGGGAAAGAAGAGTTAAAGGCCTGATAGAATCCTTCGCGCTATGTTTGGGAAAATCCATAATCATTCCCAAAAAATTATCAGCTTTAATTGCGAACTTCTCAAACAAAGCTTTAAAATAAACAGCAAATTGTTGGGCATCAAGCTTCTTGATGATAGCCTGGAAGATGACTACGTGTTTTTTCATCTCAGGCACAAAGATTACTGTCGAGCAAAGGTAGAAACCGTTGGGAACGGCCTTAAAGGTTACGTCCGTAATCATGGGATAATTCTCAAATGGCAATTTAGCCATTGCCATTTCAGGGCAAGAGAAAATGATACAGAACTTGGAGGCTACCAATTCCGCTGAGAGGATATATCCAGCGTACTCATCTTCAATCTTAGAAAATTCCTCGAACAAATCTGTTCCTTTGACGAGAGCCAAGCCATTTCTAATTTTGGATGCTCTGAGTTCGTGCTTTGTTCTCTCTCTGTTGAGGAGAACAAGATTTATATCTTCGACATCTTCTGAAATCTCATCAGATCTCATACTGATTCCAGCAATAACGCCGCCTGGTGTTGCAGCTGGGTTCTTCAAAATGATCTGGTCGACCTTTTTTTGTTGATCGTTGGTCAGATGTTTTTGTACATATAAAGAGTGCAGGTGTTCGATCTTCTTAAATCTATTTAATTTATGGCTCCTAGTACACTCGGATCAAATAAAACTGAAGTAATACTCCACGGTAACTGCGCATTGAATCCATTTCATTGCATTGTTGCAGTGAATACACTTCTTGTTCGCAATCAATTCTGCTCAACAGGGGGTTTTAATTGCTTTTCGTACAAAGCACAAGCACTATTATTACACATAATAGATCCTTGACATTTCTTGACAACTCGATGGTCGTTAACATGATCGCCACTTTTTAAAGCAACTTTTTTATTTTTGTTGGGAAAATAAGAGTTGACAGTCTTCATTGCCCACCCAATGTTGAAGTCGACATCGACAAACTTTTGTGCATCTTCCGAGAAAAGTGCAGGGGAAGTCTCAACAACGTTGTTGAAAGGGAATTGTGTTTTAAAAAACGTTACTTTTGACATGTTTATTAAAGGTAAAAAAAGGGGTAATTTTTTTTTTTTTTTTTTTTTGTAAAATCGGCTAAGTCATTTAGTGGCTTAAGCATATCCGGTTAAACTAAATCCCGCGAAATTACAACATTTTTTTTTACAACATTTTTCCCCACCACCTTTTTTACTGGTCATTTTTTACGTGGTCATTTTTTACGTGGTCATTTTTTACGTGGTCATTTTTTACGTGGTCATTTTTTACGTGGTCATTATCGCTGGAAATGTCTAGAACTCCGTATTTTTTTCAAACGTATTTTTTAGAATCACGCGATGGTCTACACGTCGATTGACATGCCATATCATCTAAACTTCATGGGATGATCGATTTCTGTTTTCCATAAAATCTGCTTCACTGTCATTATAAGCTATTACTGGAACGCAGATATACAACTACCAAGTTTTGATTTGCTTGGATATTTGCAAATGTTTCTATTTTAAGTAAAGGCTCAAACATTATGGATGATAAAATAGACAAATGAAATCATCTTGACATAAGCTTGTTTATCAGCCTACAAATAAAGCTGGTTCACACACTTTTTTCCTCCCTTTTTCTTTTCCCTTAACATACTTCTTTTATCGTATGAAAGTAATCGATCACGTAAAAAGGTTTGTTTAGTAATGACTCTTGTTTCTTGAAAAGACACTAAATCGAAAAAGATGTATTACGATATTACGGCTGCGGCTAGTCTTTGCTATAGGAGGGCTACCTTCTTGGGCAGAGAGTTCTTGAGTTTTTTTTTGGAACTCATGAACTGTGAATGGCTGGGATTACACTGTAAATAGTCGTAATGATACTGGCCTGCTGGTCTTCTGGCTAGAATTCCTGTAAATGGTATAAAAAAATACGTTTGAAAAAAATACGGAGGTATTGACATTTCCATTATCGCTGCCCTTTCTTTTCTTTTCTCTTTTGCACTCTATTTCCTCTTCTATTTCTGTTTTTTCCCCTTTTCTATGTCGACCATTACAGGAGAACGAGCACTCTGTATGTTATTTTACAAACCATACACCGAAGAAAATGTAAACAGTCTAGCCGAATACCTGAGAAAGGAAGATTTAGAAATATGCTACACAGACGAACCCACTGAACCCGTTTTAGTACATTCCTTATCAATAACCCACAATCCTTTTCGCTACCGCACTTATGTCTGTAAAAAGACACTTGAACCAACAAAAGATAATGAAAAAACGTGCATTTGTAAGCTTTTTTTTTTTTTTTTAAAAAAAAAAAAGAACTTTTTCTTATAGTTTTATTTGTTTAGTAAACTCAGCCCAAATCATACTACTGCTAAACACAGTATATTTACCTCATGATCCTGAAAATAGCGATCTATATGAAAACAAAGTTGTGGCTATGAAAGAAATTTACTGCACAGCTTTAAAGTATTCTGATGAATTGGATGCCAAAAACTTAAATTCCTTTATGAAATGGTGCTCGTATAGAAAGCTTGACTTTTTGCAAGTGGAAACGAAAAGAAAGATTGATGAAGTTGATGACAAAAAAACGACAAGGACAAGATCTCTATATGCGTTAAAAGATGACTATCTTGGTAAGGACCCTTCAAAATACTTAAATAAGTGGCCACTAAGATATAGCTTTGTAGATGACGTTGCTGATAAAATTAACAATTATCTACCGTCTTACCAAAGCTATATAAAGAAGCTTAAAGAGGAAGGCTATACAATCATAGGGTATATCAGAAAGTCGCCTGGCAAAGAGCCTGATGATAGAAGGCGTCAACTTTTAAAAACGATGAGCCTGAATCTTAAAGAAAGATCCTTAGTAGATGTGGTTTTTGCTTCTCCCTGTTCCCGAGCTTCTGATCCAGTGCAAAGTAGGGATCAAAACCAACATCCATTATTGGACCAGATTGGTGAATTATTTTACAAGGTTTGATATAAGTTCGACTATATGATATAGTGTAATTGCTGGGATGAAAGATGAATGCACCACCTTCTTTCTTTTCACAATTTCTACTTTATCCGCTGTATTTGAGACCTTATCTTGCCCATGTAAAAAGTAACATGATTTGTGAAGCAAGTACGGTGGTGATTCTTGCTCGTGGTCCAATGATCCTCGGTGGTGATTCCTGGTTGTGATCCAATGCTCGGAGATGGTGATTCTTGGTCGTGAATCAATGCTCGGAGGTGGTCATTCTTGGTGGTGAATGAAGGAAGCACTCAAGGTAAAGCCTATCATGTATTTATATATTTAATAAACACTTAATCCTTACTTCTTGTAGATTTGATTAAGTTTATAGCTTCAGAAATAAAAGTTTGTTTGGTCACTTTGGACTGTGCCGGCCTTAGTACAAACTGTTTAGATTTAAAGGAATTTTTAAGGTAATAAATAAAAAACAATAAAAAAAGAAAAAGGAAGCTTCTAATAATATTCTAATAGTGAAAATACACAAATTAAAAAAATTATAGTTGACCTTTTTCCATATACTAACGAAATGATTGTATATGATTGTAAGCAGCTAGTAGATGATCCCGTACGTTTAAAGACTTTCGATTGTAGAAAAGCTTGTTACAGAAGATCCAAGTAGTTTATAAAATATTCCAAAAAATAAACAGTTAAAAATGATTTCCCTTTGTTATATGGTACTTTTGTCCGGGCCGGAGTGTACATAACACATGAAGAGTACATGTGTTCGTAGGTGGTAACAGTTGCACTGTGTTTTACTTAAATACAATATAAATTAGGTAAAAAGATAAAATTAAAAAAACGAGCCTTTTACACCCCAAGTTTGAAGAATGACAACTACCCTCTTAAAGTTTGAGTTTTCCTCTTTTTGAGGATTTATTTTTTAACAACACACAGACCCCAAATCCACATATTCGTATCCAAACATTGCCCGATTAATGGGATCTTGATACAGTATTTCAATAAACTTCTGATGTTAAGACTTAAAGTATGGGTTTTGTTATTACTATAGTCAAGAAGAGTGTTTGTTAGTTTAGTTTATTAAGTCAAAAGGTAATTTGAATCCAGACACCACATCTTGAATGCATATATATGATTGTATGGACTATAAAAATATTTTATTTTCGTTTATTTCGTTCAATTATTATCAACTTGAACGATCTTTCCTCCTTGCTCTGCACGAATTAAGAAAATAGTGTATAACGATGCACTAAGCAAAAGGTGTAATTTCAATCCCCGTTTATATATCGATGAAAAAAAAAATGATGTAGCAAGATAGAATCTCTGTATCTCCCATATAACTAAGATGAGCCCCATTGGTGTACGTATTAATATCCATCCATCCGTTCTGTAAATAAACCTAAAACTCACGATTTTTGATGAAAATAGACTATTAAATCTTACCCCAACAACCCTCGTGTTGCTAAGGCCCAAATTGCTGTAAGTAAATTAGAACAAGAAAAAGTAGTTAATTCGAGATTACTCATGAATCTGTATAATGTAGGCTGCCTATAACGGTTTGGAATTCGATGTTCAAGCCTTCGATCTCTCCAAGGATAGATCTCCTGAATTCTTGGCCAAGTTCCCTTTGGGTAAGGTCCCCGTTTTCGAGTCTGCTGAAGTTAACCTTGCCGAATCCTCTGCTATTGGTTACTACGCCGCTGCTCTCAAGGAAGACTCTGCTCTTTTGGGTAAGACTGCTGTTGACCAAGCTTTGATTATGCAATGGGTTCTCTTCTCCGAGACCGAGATCAACACTCATTCTTCCGCATGGCTTCTTCCCCTCCGTGGTATCTGGCCTTACTTGAAGCCTAATGTTGATGCTGCCGCTACCAACTACAAGCGTGCCTTGGGTGCCTTGAACACTGTTTTGTTGACCAAGACTTACCTTGTTGGTCATGAAATCACCTATGCTGATATTGCCATTGTCACCTCTCTTATTCCCGCTTTTACTCACGTCCTCGATAAGGCTGCTCGTGCTGAATTCAAGAACGTTACCCGTTATTTCACCACTGTCACAGCCAAGCCTTTGTTCCAAAAGTACCTCGGTAAGATCACTCTCTGTGAAACCCCCTTAAAGTTTGTTCCCGCTAAGAAGGAAACTAAGAAGAAGGAAGCTGCTCCCAAGAAGGAGGCTGCCCCCAAGAAGGAAGCTGCCCCTAAGGCTGCTGCTGATGAGGAAGAGGCCAAGCCTGCTCCTAAGCCCAAGTCCAAGTTGGATTTATTACCCCCCTCTCCCTTCATCATGGATGCCTGGAAGCGTGAATACTCTAACAATGATACCAAGGATGCCATCAAGTGGTTCTGGGAACACTTTGACCCCGAGGGTTACTCTATTTGGAAGGTTGATTACAAGTATAACGATGAACTCACTTTAACCTTCATGTCCAACAACTTGATCGGTGGTTTCTACGCCCGTCTTGAACGTGCCCACAAGTACGCTTTCGGTTCCATGATTGTCCGTGGTGAGAACAACAACAACACCATCTCTGGTTACTTTGTTGTCCGTGGTCAAGAAGTTCCTTATGAAATCTATGATGCTGCTGATTTCGGTTCTTACAACTTCCAAAAGATTGAACCTTCTCAATACGAAGAGAAGAAGGATGAGATCTTCAAGTACTTTGCTTGGGACTTTGAGGATTGTGTTGACGGTAAGGTCTTCAAGTAAATCATTCTAACTACAAAAAGGAGAGAGACTATACAAAATAAAACACTGCACTTTCTCTTTGTTTTAATATTTGTTTGGCTCTTTTTTTTTTTTTTTTTTTTTTTTTTTTTCATTCGATGTATACATGTGTGCGTGTGTGTGGGGGGTGTTCTTTTGTGGATGTGGGTGTGGGTGACTTTCATACGGTATCCCGGCCAAGGATGATTACTCATAGTTGTAATTGTCTTGCCTGCCGAGAGGTAAAACAATTGTTTGGAACCAAGATTAAAAAAAATAGGATCTCATATAGACTCTATGTTTACAAGTTGACATAGAGACAGATACGTGATGTACATTAGAACCCTGTCATGCATTGATTCGGGCTGTTTTCTTTTCGGTATTATTCAAAGCCAGTGTGCTCTTTTTAAATAAAAACTAGTTTCATTTACCCTGGTTAAGAACACATACAACTTTTTTTTTTTTTTTTTTTTTTTTTTTCTTTACTGTTTTATTATGGCTGGTCCGACCGAGAGCAACTTTAATTTTTTGCCTTTATTAGGGTTGGATAGAAATCAAGGTCGCATTATCCATGTCACTCACCAAATCCCTTTTAAAGTTACTCACGATATTAAAGAAGAGGAACGCTTGCACTGGTCATTTTCATCTCGACATGGTCATGCAGCCATGTATGCCGGGATGCATTCACTGATCGATGAATGGGAAACATTGTGCATTGGTTGGAGTGGACAAATGTATGAGAATTCAAAAAGCAGCTCGGAAGACGTCTATCGACATGAGATTGACATGACAACTTTAACGAGTCAAGAAAAACAAGCCATGACAAGTCAACTTCAACAGGAACATAATTGCATACCTTTGTTTTTAGACAATGACAGTGTCGCTGGGCATTATTATGGATACTGTAAAACTTGTAAGTGCGATACATCAATGCATTGAAGCGTAATATACTGATATTTTGTAGTGTTATGGCCTTTATTCAATTATATCGTTTGGAATGATGCAACAGATGGACGTATTGAAAAAGCACAATGGAATTTTTATGAAGCTGTCAATCAAAAGTATGCAGATTTGGTGGTTGAGCAATATCAAACAGGAGACGTTATTTGGATTCATGATTATCATTTATTATTAGTGCCTAATATGGTAAGAGCTAAATTACCAAAAGCTCGTATTGGTTTATTCGTGCACTCTCCCTTTCCCAGTTCCGAGATATTTCGATGTTTACCAAGTAAAATATATATACATATAATTATAACAATAAGCATTGCATGTGTTTCCCAGTCATTTATGCTAATTCTATTTTTATTCTTTATTTTAATCTTTTTTTTTTTCTATTAAGAGCGTCAAGAGATCTTAAAAGGAATGCTCGGTGCTAATCTCGTTGGTTTTCAGGTAGGCTGATTAGTCATTAAAATTAAACTTATTGGATCTAAAGCCAATTATATTTTGATAGACATATGCAAATTCAAGACATTTTATTTCCACATCCACTCGTGTGCTCGGATACGAATCATCACCTGATGGTGTCGAATGTAATGGACATTTTTGCCACGTTGGTACGTTCCCTATAGGAATTGATGTAGACGCAGTGGATTCTCTCAGACGTAGCTCGGATGTGGTACCAAAGATCAATGCAATTGCAGAAATGTATTCAGACAAAAAGATCTTGGTCGGTAGAGATAAGCTGGATTTGGTGCAAGGTGTATTACAAAAACTGGCTGCATTTGAAAAATTCTTGATGGATTATCCTCAATGGCAAAACAAGGTAGTACTGATTCAGGTGACGGATTCAACCACTTCAGATAGCGTCAAAAATGAACACAAAGTTTCAGAGATGGTGGCACATATCAACGGTACTTATGGCTCATTGGAGTTTACTCCTGTACATCATTATCATCAACAGATTCATATGGATGAATATTACGCCTTGCTTTCAACAGCCGATGCTGCACTTATCACAGCTGTTAGAGATGGTATGAATACAACGTGTTTGGAATATGTCATGTGCCAACAAGAAAAACATGGTTCGCTTATTGTCTCTGAATTGACTGGAACAGCTGGCTCAATGAGCTCCGCTTTATTGGTGAATCCCTGGGATTATTCAGGTGTGGCAAAAGCCATTAACGATGCTTTATTGATGTCCGAAGACGAAAAATTGACAAGACATATGGTATGATTAATCTATTTATAATCGAATGTTTCCTCAAACTATTTTTAATAACATATATATATACATGCGTGTGTAGCAATTACTAGCTCATGTCAAATCAAATACAACTTCCTTCTGGGCTCACTCATTTATCAAAATGTTACTACATACCTGTCTTTTAACAGAGCAAGCCAAAAACACACCCAAATTAAAATTAGATTACCTCCGTGATCAATACAGATACTCAAAGAAAAGACTCTTATGCTTCGATTACGACGTAGGTTACGCAATACCCAAACATGAGCCTTTTTTAACTTTATTTTTGTTTATTTAGGGAACATTGACACCTATCAAAAAAACACCAATGGCCGCTACACCACCCAAAGACATGCTTGAATACTTGGAAAAACTCTGTCAGGATCCATCGAACGAAGTATGGGTTATTTCCGGCCGCGACGAAAATGCCTTAACGAACTGGTTAGGTCATATCGAAAACCTCGGTATGAGTGCTGAGCATGGATCTTTTATGCGCTATCCAAAGAGCAAGAAATGGGTGAATCTTGCAGAACATTTGGATATGGGGTGGAAGAATGACGTTTTAGAAATATTTACATATTATACCGAAAGAACCACAGGCAGTTTTATCGAGCACAAACGATGTGCGTTAACCTGGCATTATAGATTGGCTGATCCAGAGTATGGTGCATTTCAAGCAAAGGAGTGCCAAAATCATTTAGAACAAGCTATTCTGAGTAAATTGCCAGTAGAAGTACTAGTAGGCAAGAAGAATCTTGAGGTTCGTCCTACCTCTGTGAACAAGGGTGAAATTATGAAGAAACTGATTGCTTCCGCTATTACACCGTTTGATTTTGTTATGTGCTGTGGTGATGATCGTACGGATGAGGATATGTTTAAAATCTTGAAAAAGGCTGATATTTATGAACACCAAAAGTTTTCCGTCATGGTAGGCCCTGAAGAGCAAAAGACACAAGCAGTTTGGCATTTACCAACTGTAGCAGATGTGATTGAAAGTATGAGAATTATGTCTCAACCCATCTAATTTATTTCACTTGAACTGTACTTACACTTTAAATTTACCAAATGTTTGAAAATACCACCCACTTTTTAAAAAAAAAAAAAACTTTGCACGCCTGTGTAAAGTTAAATTGCACAAAAGATCAGACCAAATTGACCTGATGTTTGCCTAGCATTTCCATAATAAACTTCTTTCTTTTTAGACCAAATATTAAATGACTACAAAAGTTCTTTATTCGTTTAAACAAATCATTTATTGTATTCATTTTTTAAAGATAGAGATGCCATTGGCTAAACGCATTTACGAATTTGACACTCATTGAAAAAGAAACACTTTTTTTTTAGTCCCTTTGTTTCTTTTGTGGGGAGGCAAGTATCTCCGTTATTTCTTCAAGTACAAATTAAACCATACCGACGGCTCCTAGCATTTCATCAAGAACAGCTTGAGTGATATCAATGCAAAATGATTTTAGTTTAAACGCAAATAGAGTTAAGAAAATACGCAAATTGGCCAATGATATTTACGCAAATATTTTTTAAAACGCGCAAATTGGTGTACAAAAATATAGAGCTTTTACTAGTGGTTCTTACGATTAACTACAAATCCGCGGATTTGCATAATTCCACGAATATAATAATTTTTTAAATTGTCACTTCACTATAATACATATATTTATTATAACTACCGTATTAGTGAATGTATTCCCATTGGTTCGACATAGTACCGGCTCACATTTCTATACTATATATCATAATCTTACCTGGTTGGTCGAGTAGTCTAAATAAATTTATTGAGTCATCAATTAAAGGCCTATATTATTGACAAATTCTCCAACTTGACAATAAAAATACAAAAAGTCTCATTTTTTAACTTGTTTATTTTAATATTTATTCTATTTCTCTTCTATACACCAACGAGTAGCGGCCAGGAAAATTCTAATCTTAAAGTTGTGTAACTAGCTAAGCAATAATAACTTTTTAAACATTCTAGTGAGATACGTGTTTTGAAGAATTAAGCCAGAAATATGTTACAAGTTGCGCCTCTAAATTCAATCACGCGTTATCCAAAACAAATGGGTGAATACTCACCTTAATATATTATCCATGGCTTAACAATTTATTATAAAAAACATTTACTCGTACTTTGACATCATAGTATATGTAATTTTTGAAATAAACGTTGTTCAAAGTACTTGAGGAGCTTATAAACTTGTTCTTGGTCAATTTTGCTACCATCTTCTATGTTTATACTCTTTATTTTGCGTCTATAGGTCTAGTATAGCCAACGGATTTGTCGTAGCCGAATAATAACAGCATTTTGATAAAAAGTTATGAAATGGGGATCATTAAACAAATTTTGATATTTATACAATACTTCCATCATCAATTGGACACTTTTGTGAAAATGTTGGAAGTACTGTAAATCTATTAAAGTTTCCAGAATTGTATGTAACCCCACCCATTCTCCGGTAACTCCATCAACAATATGATTCCTGGCAGATAACGTGGAATACTTACAATGTAACCCGAATTGTCGTAACATGACACAAGTACTCGGAACTCATTTAATAAAAAAGTCCCAAACTTAATATTTACCAAAACCTTCCCGACATGTTCTGAAAAAATGCAATTAGTTATACCGCGAAATGATCAACTGATGCATACCACATTGCAATACCTTTTCTATATCATTAAGGCGAATTAAATTAGGCGGAAACCTTCTATTTGTCTTCTCATGTTTTAAAATAATTGTGTACCCACGCACTTATTCATGTTGTTGTGTAAATTAATTTACTATACTTTTTTTTTAAAAATTTAAGTATATAAAAACCACTCAAGCAAATTCTTAGTATTGAATGGGTACTTTTTTGTTCTCCAGTAATAATCCTCATACAATCGAGCTAGAGAAATCATAACAGAGAAGGGTAATAGTTTATGAAATTGCCTCGACAACTAAAAATAAAAGATACCCATCAACAATTACACAAATACATCTGAGCGTGTCGTCTGTCGTGTGTCGCATTAATACGTATATTCTTCTGTTATACTAATTAGGTAATTTTACCTGTATCTTTTTATTATTTGTTACGTGCTTTGTTTGGACATTAAATACTAATCAAGAACGTCTCAGACGTACATGCAGTAACCCAGATCATTGGCCGTTTGTAATAGACAGTAGTTTTGATGTTTAAGAGCTTTACAGATATTTTCAACGTGTGTATGGATCACCCCAGGCCAAGCATTCAACGTTTGTATTTCTGATTTATTTTTTTCAATGATGTAATAGTTGACCACAAAAATTTGATTTGTCAAGTCATTGTTTTTTATTTTTTGTTTTTGCTTCTTGATCACAGACTTGGTGTTTCGTAAGTAATCATTTTTAGAAAAAATATCTGGAATTGGTCAACTTATAAAAAAAGCAATGGATTCGATATACAATGTAACTAAACTTTTATTATAAAAAGGGCATAAATTTTCGTTCAATAAAGCATTATCTTCTTTTCAATCTACATTAAAATGCTTAAGGGAACTATTATCTTGGTCTTGGCTTACGTCGCTACTGTCTACTGTGCTTCCACTCATAATGCCGATATCCAACTTACCACGGGTACTGATCCATGTGCTGCTTTACCTAATCACCCCAGTAGATGTTAAGATATCATCAAATGTGATTGTGGGTCCTAAACATAATTTGTGTGTCATCTCATAAGAGTGGCATCGATATTTAACTACTAATTTTTGCACTATCTATTTTTTGTTGAAAAGTATTAATAAAATAATGTTTTTTACCCTGTATGAATTAAAGATTCTCGTAATTGATTAAACCGTTGGCTGTTCTGACTGTCACTTTCCCAAAAAAAAAATAAATAAAATAAATAACTAATAATGCTTATGTCTGATTCTTCGCCAGAACGTTCTCATTTTCTCTATGCCAAAATATTATACTACATTTACATTATCTGAATATCCGTAGGTAGAATATTGAGGATTTGCTTAGCAATAATACACATTTAATTTTGTTGCTCAAATCATTATTATACTCACTATCTACGGTTCTGATTGTAACTAATAAAAGTTCATCATAAAATGATTCCATCTTAGAGACGTTTTTCAATAATCTTAAAAATTTAAAGCTCTTCGCTAAGTAATCAACAATATTTTCAGCCTCTCAGATATTGTACAGAAGTTTATATGAGTTTTTAGTTAAAATGTATTCGATGCAAACAGTTAGTCATGCTTTTTCAAATATCTATGTCTTCATAAATTTTTTACTACTGCATCGACTTTGGTGATTTGGATATACTTTGAATTGGCCAATCATGTTGACAATTTTATACCAAACCCTGAGGGGGACTTACCTAACCAAATAAAAAACATCATTGAATCAGAATTAAATTTCTACCAAGTTTAGGATTAGAACAAGACAACAAAAGAAAGTGAGGGCATTGCACTTACTGACCATGGTACAATATCAGCACATGCAAGATGGTTGAGAATAAACACATGATCTTGATATTAATACAATTGTTGTTTTTGATTATTTCTTTTAATAACTGGTCAAACGAAGACTCATGCTCGCATATTGTTAGTTAATTAAGCAACTAATGATTGTTTGTGGTTACTTTATAAGTAAGAAAAACTTTGCCCTTTTTTTTTTCATGCAGTAAATAAGGTCTCGTCGACAGACACCTGTCACTTCCAATAAATAGGACATAGGACATGAGGAGCCATAGGTGCAATGAGACATGGACTTAGTGTAACAATGCTGTCAAAGTAAAGATGTATTTTAAATAATCCTAATCAATGATTGCCTGTGATATTGACTAATGAAACAAGTGCTTCATAACGTCAGAGATCAATTCATTTGAAAGCAATACGGTACATAAATTATTTCCAGGGAAAATAATCGAAGTCTAGTTGTACGTTGTCGTATCATTGTCGATGGCGATGGTGATGATGTCAAGGTTGTAGGGTAATTTACTCTCTGTCCACTGTCTCCTTCTAAGCGATTACCATTCATTTTTAACGATAATGTATTATAAATGATACAAAAGGGTTGCTTTATTCGTAAAAAAATAAAGAAGGGTGATTTCACTTCATAGCTTTGAAAGAAAAAAAAAATGTACAGAAAAACTGCGGGGAAATACCGTTTAATGCTGTAAAGTGAATTGTCTAGTTCTTGGTAGGCTTCTTGGCTAAAATAGAGAAAGAAGGGTTAATGGAGGCTGTGCTCAACTCTTTCATGGCAATTACTTACTTCCGTATTTGGATCTACTGGTTGTTCTGGTAGCAACACCTTGAAGATCTAAAGCACCACGTACAAGATGGTAACGCACACCAGGAAGATCAGGAACACGACCACCACGAACCAACACAACGGAATGCTCTTGTAAATTGTGACCCTCACCAGGAATATAGGCAGTAACCACCTTACCGTTAGTCAACTTTACTCTCGCAACCTTTCTGACAGCTGAATTAGGCTTCTTGGGTTTGGTGGTGTATACTTTGTTACAAACACCTTTACGTTGATAACAACCTTCAAGTGCTGGTGCCTTACTCATCTTTACTTTTGTTTTACGACACTTTTTAATCACTTGATTTAAAGTAGCCATACCCTGTTGTTGTTGTTGGAATACTGAACTCAGGGGCTTTAATTGACTGAGAATGCTACGAGGTTGAGTCATCAAGGTACGTGTAGCCAACACATTACTGGTGGGCTTCCAGGCTGTCTTTAATAATGAGCGGAAAGCTTGCATTTTATGTGATTAAAAAAGAAAAAGATTTTTTTTTTTTTGCGGAGGGGGCCTAGTGTTTTGGAGGGGCAGCCAAATTAAATCCCAGTCTCGACTGCTGTCAAACAGTAGCTTACAGCGTTATTGGTGAATATGGTTACCAATAGTTTCTCATTTGAAGATGTGATCTTTAAAAGCATCCCCCCAAACAAAAGAAGAAAGGAATCTGTATTCGCTTATAGACTCTGTATTTCGTCTCGCTACTGCCTCCACTATTTTGTTTTTCTGCTACTTAATCCAAACGCGCCCTCTTACTGTAATTAACTTCCAGTCGCAGAGAATCTTTCACCTTTAATCAAATCATTGTAACCGAGAGTATCTTTTAGGAACGTTTTGCCCAGTGATAGACGTATTACACGTCGTTCTAATCTATTCTTAATAACTCAGTTAATACCACGTCGGTTGAATGATTTTAATAGTTGCAAATTGTTCTATGAACCCCAAAAAGGGATCATTATTCCTTTCAATGAACATTATGGCAAAGACCTATATTTAAAGATAGTGACTTTCGGACATTGATCAGACTTGGTGTTGTTGACTTGTATCATTTACTCGTAAGCTCTTTTCTGGAAAAACAACTTCCGACTGTTTCGTTAATTTGCCTTTTCTCGTAACACGATACTACTACCGACAGCTGTGGATAGTCATTCACAATAGCCTTGAAGCATGAGAAAATACAATGCAAGAGATTAGTAAAGATGAGTGTTAAAAAACAAGGAAAAAATCGACCTTATTTAAAGCAAAAATATTTAGCCAATCAGATAGATCTTTTAGCTTTTTCTGAGAGGTTGTGGGCCTAAATCAATCATGTTTACTTTTCTCAAGGCGCATTGACATATATTCTCGATCGATAGTTGATAAACACATTACAAATGTGTGTAGAGAAGGGGATTTGTTTTTTATGCTTCTTTACAGTAAAGAGATCATTTTATTTTAATTTTATTCGGCTAAGACACCTACTCAATAATGAGTGAATAGTTTAGATGAAACCAATCTAAAGAAAAGTTGAATGTTAAAAATTATACTCGGCAGACGTTTTAATTCAATTAATTTTTACCTTGTTGGCAACATCCAAAGCATCAACATCAGCGGTTAAACGAACGAAAGCCTTCTTGTAACCATCGGGTCTATTATAAAAGAAAAGAGAGTTAACACTACTGTTTCCCTTAAACTTCTAATAACAAAAACTAAATATTACCTGATGAGGGTGTTAACTTGGGCAGCTTCGACATCATAGAGTCTCTTGACGGCATCCTTGATTTGGTTCTTGTTGGCCTTGACATCAACGAGGAAGGTCAAGGTGTTGTGTTCCTCAATCTTCTTCATGGCAGTCTCGGTGTTAAGAGGCTGACGGATGACACGGTATTGATCCATACGGGGAGCATGGGCAATAGACTTACGAGCATACTTGGGGGCACGGTTCAAAACCAAGGTCTTGGGGATGTGGAAGTGAGTGGAGGTACGAATCTTACGGACAGCCTTACCATGGACACCCTTGAGGGCGGCCTTCTTGGCAGCGAGAGCCTTGTTCTGAGAAGCTAATGTTGATATTAATATTTTTTTTTGGGATTCTTTATAATGTTGGACATTTTATAAAAAAAAAAGTTAAATCGTATCCCTTCTCCCCTTCTCTCCAAATAATTTATGTATCCATCCATCTATTCAAAATTTTGATGTAATCCACTCCATATAAAAAACGATTGAAGGGGAGTCGGGTCGATCACTTTTTTTGTTGATGTTCATCTATCGAATATTTACCAGCCATTGTATGTTCAGAAGGAAAAAGAGACCGTATACACGTTTGCCAAATTCTGCTCACTGTAAGTATTGGCCCCCGGCCGGGCCAAAAATCTAACTCCTACCCTCCCCCCCCCCCCACACTCATCCTCCCCCCATTTTATGGCTCTCTATTTTGCGGCCCGGATTTGTTCATTTAAACTCCGGTGTCATGTCTACTTCCTCCTGGTTTGTACCCGGAACAAGATACCGTTGGAAGAGTATAAAAGCTGGAATAAAAAAAAGGCACTCAAGTTTTTGGTTTTATATGCAAATCTTTATTGAGGAAAAAAAAAAAAAAACTAAAGCTGAAAGCTATTGTTTTTTTTAGCGTCGCTATTGAACTGAGGGTTTGGCCTTCTTGGCTAAACGGTCCTCTAGCTTTGTTAACCATTGTTTAATACGTTGTTCTTTTGTTTCATCGTTACAAGAGGTTGCTAAACATGCTGCGTAAAATAAACCTGCCTCTTTGCCACTTCTTGCTAATGTATTGATAGCATTTCCCATAGAACCCTCGAGTTTCGACGCGATATAGCTACAAATATGTCCTTTAGTTGTATGTTCATATGATTATTTTTCTTTTTATAAAAGAGAGGTTTGGACATTTCAAATTTTCCACAATTTGTGGAAATAAACACACATAGCCTCATTTTCTTTGGGACCAGAATATTAAGTCATTTGTTGTAAACGCAAATTTTCTGTGCTGTTCAGTCCAGATCGTCCTATTTTAGCACATTGCATATATGGCAGTTTCGAAATAAGTGTAAACTACACTATGTTTGGAATCCCGGATGTGAAAATAAGGAAAAATTCCCAAACCTCTCTAAATCCAATATTTACCATGAAGCTGCTAATGAATCGGAGTCTCCTTTTTGTAATTCATTTGCCCATTCACCAAAAAGCCTATTAATGATGGGGTCATTGGGGGGCAATCTGAGCTTTGCTAAGGCAATAGCCTCTCTAAAAAAAAAGGCATTATATTAATTTGGCTTTGTTTTTTTACATTACCTTGTAATACACTTACCGAAACATGTGGTTCTTTTGATACATTTCAATCGCTTCGTAATTATGTGTGCAGGCTATATAACATGCTGCAGATAAATTAAATTGTCGTAACGATTCGAGCTTTTTGGCTTGTTCGAGCATTAATGATAACCAAGTTGCCTTTCCGACTGTATACATAGACCATTTAGTATTTTTTTTTCATTGTAAAACGGTGAATTTTTACCCATTGGACTTAGCGCAAGGATAATCCAATCACTCATAGCGCTATTTGTATTGGCATCAAAGTGATCCTTGCTAAACATTTTATACTGACATTGCATAATATCCATGGCCAACTTAATGTCCAGATTATTTCGAACATCATTGTGTGCTGAATAACTTGATTCTGAGGAAATTGTCATGTCTTTTTTACCAAGTGCTTTGGCTTATAAAAATTATGGATTTTAGAAGATGCATTACTTTTTTTTTTTTTTTTTTTGATGAAGTACGTCTTCAACCAACCTTCGATCTCAACCAAGTGATAAATATCTTCTTTATCCCCAAAAAAGAGGTTGTGGATATTTTGATGCTGCGATGCTTGTGGTTGATCTTCCTTTGTAAATTTGATATATCTTGACAGAGTATTATCAAGTTTTTGATCATCATTTAGGTATTTTTCCACGATCTCAGTCATCGTTTTCATTACGGCCCCGTCTGTCAATTTATCAGCTAATAGCATACACTGTTGATCCTTCTTTAACCGGCTTGTTGATTTTTCTGATTCTTGCGAGACTGGCATAACACTGGATACTCTGGCTGTGTCTGTGGACTCTGGGTTCAAGCTGGATTCTTTCCTTATCTTCTTTTGCAATGAAAAGGTAGTAGTTGGTTTAGGACTATCCGTTGTTTCAGAAACAGACTCTAACTTTCTCTTATTATTGTTGTCGCGATTCCAACTATTTTTTTCTTTGTCATAAAGGGTCATACACGCTATGAATTTTTGTTAGTATAAACATGTAAGCATTGTTTCCATCACAAAAAAAAATTACATTTCATTGAACCTGTCAAAGAGAAATCTTTATGGTTCCATTCGTATATAAATCGATCTTCACTTCCGCTGAATAAGACGTCAGGATCAGATACTTTCCAGGAAAGCGATAGAACTCTACTTCGGTGTCTATCAAATAATGATACACTTTCTCCTTTGATTGCATCCCAAACCACTACAAAATTGTCAGATGAGGAGGAAGCTACTCTTGCAATGTCTGTATGTGAGCTCCATTTGATGTCAGTAATACTCTTTGTGTGTCCTTTTAAGAAGTGTAATGGTTTAGGCTGCGGAATAGGTATCTCTATAAAAAAAAAAAAAAAGTATGTATCAGCTCCAATGTCCCTTTTCTAATATATATCATCATCAATTGCGGTTCACTTACCATGAGTATTTTCCATATCGGCTGTACTGATAACATGAATAGCAATATCGCCAGTATCATCCCCAGAAGCAAGGAATGTTTTATCATCAAAATCTAATATACGGTGTCAATTTAAAGGAAAGGAAGTTGTAAAAAAAAACACAGGGCTTACATTTCCAATCCAATGCTTTGATAACTTGTCTTTGGCAATTTGACACAAATACTAATTTGAGCGTATCTAGTCTATATACCTCAACTAATCCATCCGTATGTCCAAATGCAATCAGTCTTGCCTTCTCGTCAACTTTTAAGACATGTCGGTGAGATGATTTTGCATTTAAACTCGTCATCCATGATGTATTATTTTCTTTTAGCCTTTCGTTGAGATTGATGGGTGGAGCTTGTGGATGGTTAATATCATATACATGAATCACGCCGTCATCGCCGCAAGAGATTGCTGTGTCTTTCATATCAGTATCTTCTAAAGCTAGACACATATCCGATCCCCAATCGATTGAAGGGGCGCCTTGAACTTTATGATATGTCCTGAATGGTATATGACGCAAGTTAAATATATCGTATATTCCAACATGACCATATTCGTTTGAATAGGCCAAGTAACCTTCTCGTGTTGGATGACATCTAATCTATAGATACCAAAAACATGTTAGCCTAGCTGATAAAAAAAAAACTTTTTAAATGTTTATGAATAACCTTTTCTATTTTTCCCTGTAATCCTTTCCATAAAACACTGGCGTCGTAATAATCATGATATTTATTAGCCTTCTTCATGACAGAGCCAGCGTTAGAATAATTCCAAAGTTTGATGGAATTATCTCCCATACCAATTGCCAATTGACCTTCATTCCAGTTGCATTTATCCATGGAATAAGGGTAGGCCGCTTGGGTTTTGAGGTTTTGTAAACACGATTTTCTCTTAACGTCCCATTTAATTATTTGTTTGTCGAGGGATGTTGTAATACAATTTCTCCCGCCATTAAACCAATTGATTGTGAATACACTTCTGCTGTGTCTTTCTAATCGTTCATTGTTGCATATCTTTGATGATTTGTTGATAATATCGAAGCATACGATGGCTCCAATGTAAGAAGAAAGGTACAGTTTGTTTTTATGCAACGGAGACCAGGCTAATTCAATATATACACTCGATTTCTGTTGCTCTGTTGCTTGTGCTGGAGGGTTAGGTAACCGGACGGTTGTTACGACGGACTGGGATGGAAATGCCCATACAAATATATTTCTCTTTCTCTTTGTGCTGGATGCTAGTAAGGGCCATGCGCTATCCCCTGCTTCCTGTTTCTGCCAATCAAGAGATTGAATGGTATCATTATCATTGGCTATCTGGAACTTTGTTGTCAACACCAAGTCAGGTCCAATGTGTTCGATAAAGATCATGCCATTGGTATAGCCCACAGCTACATAATCCTGTCCATCGTGTGTTGTTGTCGCCAAACAAGTGATTTCGGATTTCACTTTTGTAGCACTATGTCTCATTTTTCCAAATGGCTGTACCACGACAAGTTTTCCTTGTTTATCAGCTGAGACTAATACTTGTCCCTGACGCGCTAATTTTAAAGATGTGATTTCTGCCTGTATGACGGAGAAGAGAAAGGACCTGTCAAAAAAATGCATGATAATAACAATCATAAGTCAACTCACTTCATGCTCGGTGTGACTAGTGATCAAGGAGCCCAACAAGATATTCCAGCCTCGAACGACTTTATCTGCACCGGCTGTAAAGCAAAAGGTTTCATATGCAGCTATTGCTAATACTTTATCGTTCGACACGGCAAATGAGTTAAAATACTTTAGGTTTTGTAAACCCAAAACCACAACAAGGTTTCGAGTTGCATATAGGAATAAATGAGGATCCACAATGGCTGTAATGTTGGAAGAGTACCAATTAGGTACTGGAGGGTATGCTTGATACTTTGGGAATCTACTTTGTAGGTCCATCACTTGTTTGAAAGGTAAAGAAAAGAAACAACAAAAAAAAAAGAAGGGAAAAGGCAGTCCGATATAACAACCATAATCCACAAAAAAAATTTCTTTTTCTCTCTCTCTCTCTTTTAGTTTAAGAAAGAATATATAATGGAAGTCGATCAACGTATTGTATTGCCCGGCGATGCCATCGATGTAGATACCGAATCCACAGTGGTTTTAGGCCCTGGTTTAAGACAAGAAGGTGAAGATGTGGTTGCTACAAAGGCTGGTATTTTACGTCATTTAGAAGCCGGTAATCGATGGTGGATTGAGAGCAATCAAAAGAGAGTAAAGTCTAATACGAAAAAAAAAAAAACACTGCGAACAGACCCCAACTAAACACAGGTACTATTTGTTTATCTTAGTACATTGCAGCTACTGGAGAATCAGTTATCGGTACTGTCACAGCGAAAATGGCAGAATACTTTCGCGTTGATATTGGAACAGCACATTCTGCTGTTTTACCTTTATTGTCCTTTGAAGGTGCCACAAAACGTAATAGACCCAATTTGCCTTTGCATGCGCTTGTGTATTGTAGAGTAGCCATGGCAAATCCCGACATGGAAGCGGAACTTGAGTGTGTTAATCCCAAAACTAGTAAAGCTGATGGTTTCGGTGAACTTGTAGGTGGATATGTGTTTAAATGTTCCCTTGGACTTTGTAGAAGGTAAAAACTAAAGGGGGGATGCGAGAGTATTGTGTATCTAACGAGTGTTTTTATAGATTATTGAACCCCAATACACCTATTTTAGCATTGTTAGGTCAACACTTTCCTTTCGAAACAGCAGTTGGCATGAATGGTCGTGTTTGGGTTAACTCAGAAGAAGTTAAAAATACAATTTTGATTTCGAATGCTATTCAAAACTCTGAATATCTTAGTGCTGATGAGTGTAAGCAAATGGTTGAAGGTCTTATTAACAAGTTATAAAAGGTTTTATATATCCCCCCTCCGGTTATTTGTTTAAATCTTCTCTTGTAATGTATATATATATTTTTTTTTTAAAAAAAAAAGCTGTCATTTTTCAATTTTGGAGCCCAATGACAAATCTTCACTCAATTTGATTGATTGGTGGAGTGTCAATTATCGCTGATGAGATGAATCTGTTATTAATGCGAAATCTATTTTATTTTTATTTTTATTTTTGCTTTTTTTTTTTGTTAGTTTCTTAAATTTTTATTCATATTTATGCCTGCTTTGCCAGAACCTCCTACCCGTGTTGGAGCTGCTATTCCAGCCCATACACCTCATGCTATCTCTGTCATGTTCCCAACGTGGCAAGATAATATCCTTTATGAAGAAGGCAACCCCATAGTCACTTCTAAAATGGAATGTGGTTACCCGCGATTCTTTATTCACCCATTCATTCAAAAAGTATAATGTCAAACAGCTTTCATATCCTATCTTTTTTTTTTCTAACTTGTAATAGTTATGTGCACGCCTTATTGCTAAATTCGGTAAAGAAAATGATTCCGGCATGCTTTTTCCTTCTCACAAGGTTGCTGAACAGTGTAGATCCTTTATGAAGCGCTACTACAAGGAGCCCACTGGCACTGTTCGTATCGCCGAATTCGAAATTGTTCCCAATAGCTCCTCCAGTGAGCTCCAACGAGTGCCTATTCACATTGTCTTGTTTCCTCAAGATGCTTTCCCTATCGCTAAACAATTTTGGCAACATGCAGGTGACATTATCTCCTCTCGAATGGCCGAATATTGTTTACGCATATTGGACGAGAACAGCCAAAAATCTGCAAATAATGCCGAAAAGTCTGATAAGACGGATTTGTACAAGCCCAAACAAACAATGGGAAGCCGCAACAGAAGTCATTATAGCAGTAAACCTGTAAAGAAGGTTGAACAAAAGGACGAGGAAGCTGTAGAGCAGACTACCTATCTTGAAGAGCGCTATGGACGTAATTTGCCTGTCAAGTTTGCCAATGATGCAAGAGTTGCTTTAAGACGCAGAATTGCTGGTGTTTTAATTGGAGAAGAGGAGGTAAATGTTTCGGACCTTGTCAACAAGATTTCTTCCATTGATCTGGAAGAACAACGTCAGGTGAAGGGTGAACGTGGTATCAAGGGTTTATCCGAAGACGATGTATATTTATATCCATGTGGTATGAGTGCCATTTATCATGCTCATCAAATATCCATGATTTTAGGCGACCAACCACTTCAGAGTATCTGCTTTGGGTAAAAAGAGACTATTCTGCATGGTATGGCAAGAAATACTAAAACCTTAAATTTTTATAGTTTTCCTTACACAGACACTTTAAAGATTTTGCAAAAGTGGGGACCTGGTTGCATCTTCCTTGGACTGGGCGAAGAAGAGAGTATAGACGAATTAGAAGAGCTTTTAAAGTCTGGTCAACGCTTCTTGAGTTTGTTTTGTGAATTGCCCTCCAATCCATTATTGAAGTCTCCCAATATTAAACGTCTTCGTCGCTTAGCAGATGAGTATGGATTTTTTATTGTGGTGGATGAAACCATTGGTAACTTTTGTAATGTCGGTGTTCTCGAATGGGCAGATTTGGTGGTAAGTAGTTTAACCAAGATTTTCTCTGGTGATTCCAATGTCATGGGTGGAAGGTACGAAAGAGGTTATGTATAATGATGATGAGAAAATACTCAAATATTTTTGTATAATAGTATGATTTTAAATCCAAATGGAAAATATTATGATGGTTTTAAAGCTGCTTTAAAGGTGGACTATGAAGACTTACTTTGGTCAGAAGATGTTCTCTTTTTAGAGCGTAACTCTCGAAACTTCAAGGAGCGATCTCGTATCATCAACAGAAATGCTGAGGAATTATGTGATTACTTAATCACTCATGAAAAAGGTAAAATAGTACACACTCGCTATTATCTCCATTTTAGCTAAATTATTGTATTTACAGTTGAAAAGGTATATTATCCCAAGTATACAAGCAGAGAAAACTATGACTCTGTAAAGCATGATACTAAGGATGCTGGTTACGGTGGTTTATTCTCTATCGTTTTGAAAGATGAAAAGAGTGCTGCTTCATTTTATGATAATTTGCACTGTGCTAAAGGACCATCCCTTGGTACAAACTTTACCTTGTGTAGCCCTTATACCATCCTTGCTCATTTTACAGAGTTGGATTGGGCAGCACAATTTGGTGTGTGTCCTTACTTGGTCCGTGTGAGTGTTGGGTTAGAAGATAGAGAAAAATTATTATCCATGTTTAAGCACGCTTTAGATGCTGTTAATTAAAGAAAAACACCTTTTGTTTCAGTTCAAATTTCGAAAGATGTCTGGGGTTTATTCATTTATCATGCTGATTCAGAGGCTTCGTTTTTTAAGAAAGCGCTAAAATTTATTGTGACTTGACATTATCACGTCTCAATGCGCGATAAAATTTATACGCCACTAAAAACAACCTAAAAACAGGCGAAAATTGAATCCTGCAGAATAATTTAGAACAGTTGATGAATGCAGCAGACAAGTGTAAACCCATAAACTATAATAATAATCAAATATCGCGACATAATTTCATTAATTTTTTTTTTTTTTTTTTTTTTTTTTTGGCTTTGTTAATTTTTTTTTTTCAACACATGTTCTGCATTTATTTGTAAAGCGACCAATGAAATATTATTGTAACAGTACAATTATGTATGCATTATTTTATTTAAATATTTATATTAGGGTACAAAGTCATCTTAATAAAAGAATCTGAATTGATCCTATTAATAAAGAAAATAAAGGGTTAGCATACTCTGTAAGATGTTGCATATCATATAATGGACAGTAAACTTACAGTTTCATGAGGGTTCTTGTCTCGGCGACAATTTTCGCGGTATAATAGATATCCTGTTGCGGTAGAGATGAAAGCGGATACAACTGCAGTGACCAGATTAAATACAACGGCAAATACTGTATAAACAGATAAAGTTTAGTTCTTCTATACTTATTTAATACTTAAAGTTATCGTTATGTATACCATATCTAGGTGCATCAGTTGAACGGAAAAGATATGCAGCAATTATACTGCCAATATTTCCTATCATGAGAACTACAGCTACAGCAATAGCCCTTACCGTAAGGTCAGGATAGTTTATTGCGGACCAGCCTATTGCAGCAGCAGCTAAAATGATGGGGGGAAGTGTTAATATATTTTAAAAGAACGTTCCATCCAAGACTTTTTTTTATTTATTTTTACCTTGCATTCCCATACCAGCAGGGATGATAAATAACGCGCTGTAAAGAGCTACAATTTCTATGCGTCAGTGTCCCACGAAAAAAGTAAAAAATTGCACAATTTTTGTTGCATCTTACCCCATTTATCATAAAGTACTAAAAGACAAAGGTATCCTATAGCAATAATAAAAGAACCCACCACAAGTAATGGAGATCTGCGATTATATCGACCTGCTAAATATCCACCGGCTAAAACACCAATAGTGGCTACAGCACAAGGAGGTGCTGTTAGAAGCTGTGACGTTAATGGCGAGAATCCAAATCCTGATATAGTGTTAAAAAAAGATTTGTATGCGTGCATGTGTATTATAAAGATCGAGACAAATACATTACCTCCGATTAAAGTGGGCGCAAACACGGTTATGCTTGTAACATTGATTGAGTTTAACAAGAATACCATGGAAAATGCCCATGTCTTCCAATCAAATATGGCTTCTTTAAAAGTATCCAAGTTGATGGGTGCTTCATTAGAGTCAGAATTTTGATGGCTCATTCTGTTTGCTTGCATTACTTTTTGCTCGAGAGTTAACCATTTCACATCTTGGACATCATCGAATAAGTAGAAATAGGAAATAACTGATAGAATGATTGTGGGCACACCTTCAAATATAAACAAATACTGCCAGTCGTGAAATCCATTCATCCCATCAAAGTATGAAACAGCATAGGTCAAGGGGCCTGATAATAAACCAGAAAGCGTGGCCATGGTCAATAAGATACTGACTCGGAAACTAAATTCATGTGGTTTGTACACTTTTGACAACAAAAATAGAATTCCAGGGATGTATCCGCTTTCTGCAGCACTATATAAAAAAGGGGGTGGTAGGGACGCAATGAGACACGGTCAACATGGTGATATTTGATGAATGATAATTTACCCTAATATAAGTCTTGCCGCTACTAGTCCAGCAAAATTATTGACAAAGGCTGTCAATAAAGTAGCAACACCCCAAACAAACATAATAAATGAAAGCCATTTTGCTGCGTTTGTCTTTTTTAATACCACATTTGAAGGTACTTCAAAGATAATCTAATGTAGGTGTTAGTTAGGCTCCGTAATAAAGCGCGGGATAATGTTATTTACATATGTTATGAAAAATGCAGAAATAGATGTACTTAATTCAGTTGAAGTCATCTAAGAGAAAAACAGTATTAGTCTGTTTGTCATTGTGTACTTTAATTTGTATAATGACAAACCCCAAGATCATCTTGTAAACCTGCCAAACTAAGTAACACATGTCAGTAACAATGTTTTTTTTTGTATTTAAAATAGTATAACTTACGTTGCATTTCCAATATTGGCGCGATCAAGAAAATCAGCAAAGTAAAATAGACAGAATAATGGTAAAATATGCCAATCGAGTTTCTTTACTAGTGCCTTTTCTAATTTTTCGTCGATATAAAATACTTCGTTGTTTGCATCTTTTAGAGACACACAAGAGAAACCAGAGTCGAGATCTATATTCTGATTATTGGTTTCAAGGCTAGTCAGACTTTGATCAAACGTGTTTTTTTCGTCTGTGATTGATTTTTTTATTGTTTCCATTGAATATGATTATTTTATTTTATTTTTTGAAAAAAAGAGGTGTATATATATATATACTCATGTATTTGATTATGACTCCTTTAAATCAAAAGGATACCTACAGACAGACTTATTAAGTTTGTTCTGCATTACCTCCCCAAACACAAATGTTATTCTAACCTCTGGCTTTTGTCCCTTAAATTTTGTTCTTTCGCTCTCTTTTTTTTATTATTATATGATGGTTTACAATATATTAAATAACACTTTTATCACGACAACTTAATATGAAAAAGTTGACAAATGCAGTATTCTTATGTTTGATTATTCAACTCCTTGGTCCTAAGGTCAACGAATAAAAGTGATCTCAAGACCCGGAATATCAATTGTGCCGAGTTAAATTTTAATTTACCCAAGGAAATTTAAGTTTTTTTTTTTTTTTTTTTTGGGTGACATCAACTTGGTCGTCATGGGACGGTTATGGATACAGCTAATAACACGACCGATTAAAAGAAATCATCCAACGAACACGTAATAAATAAATAAAAAAAAAAAATTGGGCATTTCATTATACCATAATACATGCACAAAAAGGGTGATGATCCCAATATAATGATTACAAAAGAGGTTTTTTTTTTTATGGCACGAGCGTGAAAAACATTCAACAGTTGAAAGAAAACAAGTTGGAATAAGAAAAGTTTTTTTATTTTTTCATTTTCATTATAAATTATCAGGGGAGCAAGCGGCGAACCACCCACTCCCCCTAAACAAAAATTATGGCCTCGAGACATCCGAAGATGTTCGCAGCAAAGCTAATCGTCGCTGTGCAATGACAATCGGCCTCGCTGTACATTTGGGATTCTTGATACCAGATGCACGACCCAGGTAAGTATGAGTTGCAATCATTTGCAAAAACCTCGACCTTTTATACTTTTTTGAAATTTGAAAATCTGCATTCGTGTTACTTCAGATTGAGTGACGTGAATAAGATGGCGTAAGACTTTTTTTGAAAAAAAATTAACGACTGCTTTATCGAAAAAAAAAAAAAAAAAAAAAAGCTGACTGCGTTAATACAAGGACCGCGGTGACGGTGAAGAAAATTTTTTTTTCTCAAAATAAAAAAAAGTATATAAGAGATAGAATCATCAGCCTTCCTTTTGTTTTATTATCAACTCTTTTATACAAAAGGCAAGTATTAACTCATTAATTACATTGGAAAAAAGGGATCCCATTGCGGAGAAGAGAACATCATGATCCCGAATGATTCGTGTGGAAACAAACGATAATGGAATTCCTCGTATCTGAGCATTCATTTTTCCTTTTTTCCTATTGTAAACTTTTATTACTTTTATGACATTTATTAACAATTATTTGTTTAACAGAATTCTCTTATGTTGTCTCTGTTTGAAAATCTGATCCAAAAGTCTGCTGGTTTTATTTATTAAAATGTAAGTTTCCCATTCTCAATTTTAATCTTGCGGATTGAATAAGAGAAGATGACGAAGCTCATCCAAACCTCTGAAAAAAATGATCGATTGGATAAAAAACATGCACCACCATCTGATTCTCTTTTATTCAATTTGCAATCTTATAAAATATATCTTATCACGTATACTTATATTTTTATTTATTTAATAGTATACCTATAAAATCTCTTGATTTTTTGTGATCTCTTTTTTTCTCATTGATATTCATATCATGTTGGTCGCTCTATCTGTTAAAGGTAATTACTCTATTCTGTTAGTCTAAATATGAAAAATAGTTGGTTCTTTGTTAAAGTATACGGAAATGATGAAACCTAATGTACAAACGTCAGTTCTGCTTCTGAGATGCTGTGACGACAATGACTTATCGCTTACTGATGTATACTTTACAAAGAATAATTATTTTTATATTTATTCTAGCCGATAACTTTGTATTTTTAAAAAGCAGATTATTAATCATACAATTTTTTCTTTTAAAATAGTTTATTTTGTTTCTTTTCCATTTTGTGGTTGAGTATTTCAAAATCTCTTTTTCGGTGAGTTCCCTTTATTTTATTTCAGTTTTTTATTGAGGTATTATAAGTGTTCTTAAAGGATGAGACCAAGTTATATCCATTCTATGATCAGAGGCCCACATCTTGAAGCACCAGTTTTTGAAAGGGCGCTTTTACTTGAGTTTTTCGAGTAATTGAAGATCTTCTTAATCTACCGCCGATATTTGGGGATTTTTTCTCAAAATTACAGATACTTAGTGATTGCACACCGAGTGGACGTTTTCTAGAGTTCTTATCTTTCCGTGGTTTCTAGGATTTTAATAAACTTGCTGATTTTTCACTTATAATACTTCTTTAAACCTTTTTTCTTTTGTTTAAAATAAAAAAATTGTAATTTTTTAAAAAAAATCCGTAATTTGTTGTCTTGTTATTTTTCTGATTATTTGCTTGTTGAAGTTTTCATGCTTCTTGTATTTATATTTGTTTGATCAATGGTTTGTAGTCTTTGCATTACTGCTAGCAGTACAAAAACTGTTATACATTTCACCAAGCGAAAATATTTTTTTAAAAGTTTGGCTTTCCTCTTTTTAAAAGAATAAGAAATGAAACAAATCCAGAATACAATAAGAGAAACTAAACCACAGTTAAAACTGTTTAAATTTCATTACCGTAAATCACGTTCGCATCATCTGTAAACATATTTTAAGCAACTACGATCGAAGCACAAACAGAAAAAGAGTTTACCATATTGAATATAGATCAAAATTATTGAGACATTCATAGTCACTATTCCTCACATGCTGTTAAATACACATTTTAAAAACCTGCAATGTTTACTTCTCTATACACTAGTAATTAAGCATTTTGTTGCTTTACTTCTAATGTTATATTGAAACCTGACTTATCATTTAGAAGATACTTCAGCATTTAACTCAAATTATTATAACTCGGCATCCAAAAGAAACTAGCAAAATGTCTAAACTGTATTTTGAACTTGTGTATTTTCCATTCTTGTTTCGTCAGACATCTCGAAAATTAATTTTGATGCGTCCAAAATAATACGAAGATCGTCTGAATTTCCAAGTATAAAAACAGTATTTAAAATGAGAAAGATGGGAATATTATTATCGAGTGTTATGAAGTTTGTGCTGAGTTTTGGGGTAATGAACTTGAACTAGTAGGTGACACGTCAGCTTGAACAGTATGTCCAGATTCAATTTTGATATGGTCAACTGCTTCCATGACTGAATCAGAAGGCGGATCAACATGTTGTAAAGCCTTTAAGCGTCGAGTGAAATAGGCCGCGTCTCTCGCCAACCGGCTTTTGCCTCTTTCAGTTTTGACAGGAGTTTTGCTGATTTCTTCTGATAGCTGTGAAGTGAACGATTGAAACACTTTGGACATGATAACCTAATAGAGAGACAAATGTCAAATAAAGTATGGATGTCAACGCATGGGTTATTTACCTTTAAATCATGAACAGGGAGGTACTTTGCAAGAACTTTGTGTAACCGAACCGTTTCGGTGACCAAGGTTTCCATGTATACGTTGGCGTTCTTACCAGTCTGAGGCTCATCTTCGTCCCACTTTATCGATTGCATGGCCTTAACATGAGCGGCAAACCTTTCATTCATAATAGCAATAAGTTTGGCATGAATCTCACCTTGATGATTAGTGTAATCCTTTACAATTTTATCGAATTCGACAAGCAAGCTTGTTTGTTTGGTAGGCATCTGGCGAGCAATACATTCTTTCAATTTTGGTATCAGTGCAATCATTACGCCTAAGGATTGAGAGGCCAATGCTATTCATAACGGGGGGGGGGGTTTTAAATATCAAATGGTTGTGTTTGAATGGGTAATTTTTATGCTTTACCCAAGTGCTTTGCGGTGATATTCTTCAAACCAGCCGAGCGCATCGCTCCAGCGCCTAGAATAACTTGACATACTCGAGAATTAAAAAGCTACAGATGTTCATGTTGGAAAGACATTTTTCCCCTTGTAAAATAACTGACCTACCTTTAACAGTTCAACCAGCTTTTGCATGATTTCAGATGCCATGTTATCCAAGTTTAAAACGCACTTTAGGTAATCTTCAAACATCTTCAAAATCAATAGAGTACATCCAACCACGTAATAGCTCTGACCATCAATCACCAGGTGCTTGATAGATTTTTCACCGTCATATTGTTGTTGCTGTTGCTGAAGGGTGCCATCAACAAAGCAAGAAATCCGTCCATCACAGATTCTATCCACAATCAACTGGAAATCCGACGGTACCTCACTAGCAGCCCATTGTTCGTTTTCAATCAGTTGTGCTTCTTGTTTCACGCGTTCCATGTGAAAGTGATCAACGAATGCTTTTTGCTGGGAGGTGACGGTACCACGTAAGCCAAAGCAAGTACGGCCACAGAATACCTCGCATTGTAAGATGAATGTACGGACTACGCTGGACAGTCTATAAAAATCCGTAGGGTTTAACAATGCATTTTGATCGCTACGAAACCCAATCAATTTCCCACACCGAACATGAGCCAAATCTGCTGCAGAAAATACAATATCTGCGGATTCCTTGCCTAAATTTGTCAAAAATTCAGATTCGGGTTTTTGTGATTCGACAACGGCGATTAATAATTGGTGATAAACAGAGGCTCGTTGGATGGCTTCGATCAGCGTAGAAAACATATCGAGAAGCATTTGGAAAAATGCAGAGAATGGCATCGACTTTAGCTGTTTTGCAAGATTACCGCTTTGATCTTCAGCAGAGGGTGTTGATGGCGAGTTGGTTGTTGTGGTAGGATATCTTTTTCGGACAATATCTTTAATCTCTACCATCAGTCTCTCTCGGTAGCCCTGAAGTGTTGTAGGTAGCATTGCAGTTCTTAATAGTCCTACAGTACATGGCGTCATTCTCTCTTGTAAATCCTTCTCTTTTTCCAAATCTATATTATCCCATCCATCATTTGTTGGTAAGCCGGCCTTCTTATCTTCTGTATCATTGTTGGTACTCTCTGCCAATTTTAGTAATGCTTCTTTTGCTGCAGTAGAATCAAGGCTTTCGAGCCTGTAGGATAGGTCGGATAACAAAATACTAAGAAAATCGTGTTGCATCATCACTCCCACAGACTTGTGCATTTCCTCTAATTGCGCCGAGAAATTTGCTAGAGCCTTTACAGAGCTCAAATCAATAGGAGCTTCATGATGCTCCTCTTCGCCATTCGTCAATTGGTGTCCCTTTTTACCATCCAGCACATCCCTCGTATCATCTATCAAATCCAATGCGGCAAAATAGTCCCCTTGGCCGAGTAAGATCTGTATTGTGGGTTGTGCTGATCGAATATCCTTTACAATCTCCGTGACTCTATGTAATTTTTCTAAATTTCTTTTTCGAACTTGGATTCGAATCACCTCTAAGCCATCCTTACACTCGGTTTCTTGAATCTGTTTCATTTTCTGCCGAATCGTATGAATTTGTGTGACACAATCCAATGTTTGTTGATGGAGCGCTTGAAGATTACTGAGTGCTTCAAAAAAGGATGAGGATCTATTTTCAATTTCCCGCAATAAATGCACTTCCACAGTGTCTAAATAATAAGATAACTTTTCTTGCAAAATCGAATTAGTTGAGACGGGTGGATTGGGCCCACTATTTCCAACTATATCAGCTCCTTCACAAACGGTATCAAATATTTGTGGATTTTCCAGGAAAAAATCAGGCTCGAAAAAGACGGAAGGAACATTTTCTAACATGGGTAAATCACGTGGAGGTGTTTTGGTTGAATCCTCGTCTAATAAGCTTTCGCTTGATAATATATGCTGAGGTAAACTGTAAGGATTTCGACTCATACGTTTATTTAATTGTCCCGGTCTGCTATTAGGTGATCCTTCCTCCTCTATCGGCGATGGCTGCTCGTGGGTTGGCTCCTCATGTTCTTTATTGGCTTTATTCGCTTGGTATCTTTCGAAGGCTGGCCCGATATGCTTCAAGTAGAGTTCAAAGTCGTTAGCCTTTATACGAGGTATAGAGGCATGTGTCACTGGAGGTATGTCTGATTTATTAGGTTTACTGATATCTTGCGACCGTCTTGATGGATCGTTTAATACACCTAAGCAAAGAATAAATATCTCATCCTCATAGTCACACATATACTAAAATATTACCTGAAATAGCATTGAACCCAATATCCCGAGTTGTCCATGGCAAAGCACTTTCACTCATTGTACTAAAGTTGGAATAGTTGGAGTGATGACGTGTATGATGACCAGGTATGAACCTATTCATTTGTCTTCCAAACGAAGTAGCTGAGCGTGTAGATGGAGGTCTACTATTTGGACTGGCTGTATTATGTTCTTCACGAGCAAAAGGTCTTTCACGAGCTAAGGATCTATTAATTGTATTATTGGAAGTAGCAAGTGCATTGCTATCAACTCCATTTACAGTTATGGTGGTGGTTGCTTGTTGCTGTGGTTGCTGCTGCTGTGGTGAGAGTTGAGGTTGTTGGGTGGATGCCAAATAAGCAAGTTTAACACCAGATGCTGTGCGGGTCATGCGTGTATTATCTATTGAAGCCCCAGATGGCGGTGTAGTGTTGGGCATACTGTCATGTATTAAAGTGTATGCAACTGTTTCCTTTTTCCTAAAAGAAAAGTTATGTTGGTTTTTTTTTTACACCTCGCGAAAAAGTATCCGCTTATTTAACAGTTACAGTTTTTTACACTTTAAGTTCAGACAAATGTCAGGCGAATCAAAAAGTACTTTGAGACGTTAGCTTACCTTTTTTGGACATAAAACAAATTACAGCGGCTCCACCCCCAAAGTTCGTTTTCCAATTTCATAAATTCGCTTTTGTCGCAGCCCAAAGTTCGCTTCTTGATTGGTCAAAGTTCGTTTTTTGTAAATCACCCAAATTCGCTTTGGTGGCACCCAAAGTTCGTTTTCACGTCAGAAGAGTTCGCTTTTAAAAATTACAGGATTATGAGATAATGTTATGAGAGATAATGTTATGAGAGATAATGTTATGAGAAAAAAAAAATGTTATGAGGAAAAAAAAATGTTATGAGAAAATGTTATGAGAAAAAAAAATGTTATGAAAAAATGTTATGAGAAAAAAAAAATGTTATGAGGAAAAAAAAATGTTATGAGAAAATGTAATGAGAAAATGTTATGAGAAAAAAAAATGTTATGAGAAAATGTTATGAGAAAAAAAAATGTTATGAGAAAATGTTATGAGAAAAAAAAATGTTATGAGAAAATGTTATGAGAAAAAAAAATGTTATGAAAAAATGTTATGAGAAAAAAAAAATGTTATGAGGAAAAAAAAATGTTATGAGAAAATGTTATGAGAAAATGTTATGAGAAAATGTTATGAGAAAAAAAAATGTTATGAGATAATGTTATGAGATAATATGTTGTGACTTTTTTTTTCATAACATTTTTTTTTTCTCATAACATTTTCTCATAACATTTTCTCATAACATTTTCTCATAACATTTTTTTTTCCTCATAACATTTTTTTTTCTCATAACATTTTTTCATAACATTTTTTTTTCTCATAACATTTTCTCATAACATTTTTTTTTCTCATAACATTTTTTTTTCTCATAACATTTTCTCATAACATTTTTTTTTCTCATAACATTTTCTCATAACATTTTTTTTTCCTCATAACATTTTTTTTTTCTCATAACATTTTTTCATAACATTTTTTTTCTCATAACATTTTCTCATAACATTTTTTTTTCTCATAACATTTTCTCATAACATTTTTTTTTCTCATAACATTTTCTCATAACATTTTTTTTCTCATAACATTTTCTCATTACATTTTCTCATAACATTTTTTTTTCCTCATAACATTTTTTTTTTCTCATAACATTATCTCTCATAACATTATCTCATAATCCTGTAATTTTTAAAAGCGAACTCTTCTGACGTGAAAACGAACTTTGGGTGCCACCAAAGCGAATTTGGGTGATTTACAAAAAACGAACTTTGACCAATCAAGAAGCGAACTTTGGGCTGCGACAAAAGCGAATTTATGAAATTGGAAAACGAACTTTGGGGGTGGAGCCGCTGTAATCTTCAGGAATTGAACTCGTTTTCCTCAGGTGAAGAGTAATTACGTTCGATGGCGCTTTATGATGCAGGATTCTGATGGAATTTTGAGAATATTGAACGCTCACTACAGCTACTACAAACATCTTGTGAAATACGAAACACGTTCTCGGCCGCCACTTTACCTATATCTCAAAAGGAATCACAGTTATTGCTAACTCATATCGAATATTGAAAGACTTACGGTCCCTTGTTCTACATGAATTACAGACCTAGATAACCATAAATGTTGAATATAGACAATAATTATTAGAGAATAAATCTCATTTTGACGTATTATTAAACTTGTTCTAATGTAAAAGTAGTAGAACCCATCAAGCTGTTGTTGAAGAAGAAGAAGTCTTTCGTACACGCCGTGTTGTAGGCCTGAAGCAACTAGAAACATTTTTCTAGATTTAAATTCACATCTGTGAACATAAGTTTAATCACACAGAGAATTAGAAAATGAATAACATAAAAACATTCTTTTGAACTACCCATACTCAATAGGATTACGTTGACTTTGAATACGACGTCGCCTTATTTAAACATTTGCTCTCTTTCGTTTATTCTTATTATGTTCGCTGACCCGTGCATAAGGATGTTGGTTACAGCCCTCAAGATGCAGACATTATATCTGTATTGTAGCTGGGTCTCTATAATAATTTGCACCACAATATAAATATCTTGGGAGACATGGCGACTCACCTTGACAATCATTTACTCTGACACCACGCTTAACTGTAATTATATCACATGACAAAGGCTCTTCTTTATAAAAGCCAGGTAAGAAACCCTCAATCCCAGGACACGCTTTTTATATGTTTAAGCAGTAAAGTGAGGGCAAGCTTTATTCATAGCGGAGCACAAAATATGCCTCAGTAAGGTTTATGACTTCGCGCTTCCCAGTTTTTTTTTTTTCTCTTTTCACCTACAAAATTATAATGGATCAAGAAGCACAAAAAAGAAAAGAGCGTCTCGCTGCTATTCGAAAGAGAAAATTAGGGGGACAAGCTGAAAGATCAACCGAAGAAGCAGAAAAGTAAATCCCAACTAGCTCTTTCGTTTTCTCCAAAACTGCTTACATGTTTTCTATAGAGCCTTGAAATTTAGAAGTTATACACCCAACGACGATAAATTGAAAGAACATGTCGAAATAGCCACACCAAATGATATCGGAGACACCATCGAATCCGAAACAAAAAACCTTACAAAAGAGGCATTAGCTCAAGCAGCAGAAAAACAAAAAGAAGAAGTTGTAGGTTGCTGTATATTTTATAATGTTGGCATTCTATATTAAAAACCCTCTCGTGTTTAGGATCTCTTCAATTTAGCACCAAAGAAACCCAATTGGGACTTAAAGAGAGATGTAGAAAAGAAATTAGAAAAGTTAGATCGCAAAACACAACGTGCCATTTATGAGATTATTCGACAAAGACTCGAAGGAGATAAAGATGCCAACCTTGCTGAGGTAGTTGCCAACGCAGAAGCTCAAAGAAAGTTTGAAGCAGAAGAAGAAGACTGAGGACCCTTTTTTTTTTATACACAACAGAATAAACAACGTTTTGTCTTTTTTATTTATTAACAGTTAGTTAAAACCATTGGATCAAGTGTTGAAATGATTTCTTTGACGGGGATACCGCGATAAATTAGTTCTGCTTTTCCATCATCAAATTTCACCTTGTTTTTCTTCCATTTGAAAAGACGTGTCGAAAATCGTTGGGTATTCAAGTTTTTTGGATGGATGATTGATGCTTTCCCATACTCCAGTGACGATTTCGTTTTTAATTCAGTAACAGTCTCAACCAAATCGATTTCCTCAAATTCATCTTCAAACATGGAAGGTGGGGATTGAAGTATAAGTTGTCGGAAATGAAGGCTTGTAGTTCGAGGTGGTGTTTGTATGTTATGCACAATAATCGATGCTGTACCTGATGAGTAAGAAGACCTACATGATGATGAATTGCTACTGAAAGACATTGTGAAGGGAGAAAAATAAAGAGAGAATCAATAGATCAGAACCTCACATTATTTCATCTTTTTCATTGTCTCCTTACTTACCCCCCTTTTTTTATATATCTCGGATCTAGATTATTACGCCTAGTTTTCTGAAACACCAAGCCAATTCATGTGCATATGTCAATTAGATTGAATCATCAAGCTCGTGACTATGCATCAAAATTACTAGGACCTTACAGTGTCAATATATTCTAATCACATTTCACCCATAAATATGTTTATAAGCCATACTACTGATGTATTCTTCAGGTGAAATTATATTTTAGTTTAAGTTGATAAAAAGAAAAAGAGGAGAGAAAGGTTATTCTATGGCTTGGGAAAGTTAAACCTAATAATTCTATAATGATCAATCACTTGAAACGATTTCATGTAATTCTATAATCAATTCTTTTATTTTAGATCATCAGGGTCTACTACACTCCCTACGACTAACCTTTGAATTGTATAAAAGTCCGCAATTTTATATATTTACGTCGTTACGAACGTATCTCCAAAATAGTCTTCTACATATCGCTTAATGACACTTAAAAGTTACTCTATATAAATCAGCTTCTATTATATCAACTGTATTGTGGATGCATATTCCCTAAACAGATTTTTACAGATAAAAGAGTCGGAAGCATCTATGGCTAATACGTGTATAAAGTAAAATAAGACAGATAGAACTAGGACTTATGAGAGCAATTCCTACGCACTTTGATTGATATAAATACCTTCCTGCCAGTTTGGCTGTAGTAACAGACCACATTCTAAGCAGCTTTTTTTAGATATTTAGTGTTTTGTATCATTCAATATATAACTCGATGATTTGTCATTACACCTTTTTAACTAAAATATACTGGTATAATAATACTGAGATAAAATAATCACACATTGTATCATAGTGCAGCTTTAGGTCTTTCATGTGCCTTTTAAAAACTTGCATCGACGGTCATGTTTACAAAATTAAGACAACACACGATCCACCTCGATTAAAGTAAGCCTTTTATGGAAGTTATCGATACTCTGGTTTTAAATCAAAAATAATTTTTGCGTTTTCATAAAAACAAGCAAGCTTATTACAATCACAATATTTGCACTGTACGTAAATAAACAATTATCTGTTCATTACCGATACCTTCGTAGACCCAGGATCGTATAGTGAGGCTGAATATAAAAACGATTGTTGAAGCTCATCAGTTTGATGCACATCGGCCCGAAAAAAATAGTTTTGTTGTCTTCAAGTCTGTTGACGTATCTATCTTTAGACAAAAAATGACTAATGACGATTCATGCAGGTCCTAGATCTAGCCCTTGCTTTTTAATATTCACTGTAGATAGGTAAGGACAAAGCAATAAACATGTTTATATCCGATAGGCTCAAGAAGATGAGTTATTCTTTTTTTTTCCTGCTCCTTCTGGCTGATAATGGATATATTTACTGTCACTTTTTACTGGATTGTCCGCCCATTGTACCGTAGTTATAAGTATAATGTAGGCATTAATTATGTCATGTACTGCAGTACCAATATGAAAAATCAAACACGTAAGGGATATTAATCATATGTGATGCAGGTAAGACAATTTTATTTTTCTTATTAAGCATGGGTATACATCAAAACATTGTCGATCAATTTATGTGATATCATTTGCACCGACCAAAAGCACACACACACATATTGTTATGTAGCAGCGGAATGTCCAATGAATGTTTCAGTGTGTTATTACATATGAGAAGTTTTACAAGGAAAAAAATATTAAGTAGCCATGATAACAATCCCACTCTCAAGATTCCGCTTCTCCTATGCATGATTTATCCGGCCCAATAAAATTATGTACCTAAAGTCTGGAATTTGGGTAAATCCCTATCCATACTAGTTATCTCTTTGCTAAGGATACAATGATTTGTACCGAAGGATCAGTCAACCGAAATGTTTTGTAAATAACATTTTTGATGTAGTAAAAGAAGAAATCTTGAGCTTATTGTTTCTGCATTCCACACCTGAAAATTTGTCAAACATACATAATTCGCCGATTGACAAATAGAAATTTTGTTTTCAAATTTATTAGAAAGAAAAGAAAAAAAAAAAAAAAAAAGAAAGAAAAAAAAAACAAAAGAAAAAGAAAAAAAAATAAGGGAAATCAATCTTGAGAAAAGGGAAGAGGGATAGAATGTATTCATAGTCAAAATAAATGTGATTCGTCATAAGTTAAACAAAAAAAAAAGAAATAATCATAAGCATGGTCTTTTTTCTAATAATAATTATCAGAAAGAAAGGATTTTCATGTTAATAGGAGTACAAGAAAAAAGAAAAGAAAATCATAGTTGTGGTTCAGAGTTATGATGAGATAAAATACTAGAGCGGTTGTTTGTGCTGGGAACTTTGATTGCATTAGGGGAGTTGCCTTCTTGGTGCTGTTCTATCTTCATTGGTATAAATGCACTACTATTGTTGTGTTGATTAATTAAGTTTGCATTATCATTATTATTATAGGAGTTCATCAAAGCATTATAATATGATGGAGGATGTTCGGAATAAGTAGAGTAATGCATATATTCTTGCCGACGGTAAGAAAATGGCAAATTGTTCGAATTAGGTGAAGTTTGAATTTGATAGTTAGGCCCTGTTTTCTGTGCTCCATCCGTCGACAACTTCATTTGCCTGGGTGGGTTATCGTAGTCCCCGCTTTCAAATAAGCCGTTCTGTCCAAAGAAAGGCCTTTTGGTAGGCGATGAGCTGGTTGTTATGTAATTATTAGGCGATCTTTTATATGTATTATCCGTAGAAGGAGAAGTTGACATATCGCTTTCTGCTTTTGAGGAAGGTGTGTAGAGTAAAGAAGGTGTCGAAACATTGACTGCAGCAGCTGCTGCAGCAGCAGCCATAGTAGCAGCGTCATAACAGTAAGATCCACTAGCGGATGGCGTATAGTCTACTCTAGGACTAGATGTCTTGGATGTATATGCGCTCAAAGTTTGACTACCGTTTCGTCTACTGATACAAGTAGGGCATTGACGTACAAATCTTGCTACTAGCTCTTTGGGAATCCAAGAAAATTGGTTTCTTACCTACGTTTCTAGCATTAGTTATGATGCAATGATGCATTTTGATCTTATTTAACTTACTATGGCAGATGTTTTGTCTCTACCGCCATGGTGTGCTTCTTTATGAGCATTAACGAGGATATCGTAGATCTGCTCTTTCATAGCAACGGGCTTATTATCATGGCATACAAGATCATAGGAACCAGGTTGGAGTTGAAACATCTTTTTGACCCAGAAACGGAATTGAGCTGTTGAGATTAGAGTGTTTCTAGGGTTTTTCAATACATCTTGGATAAGACAGTAACGAGCATGGTCTACCAATGCTTTGTCTCTTTTCTTGGGACTCAAATTGCCTAAGTAATCATTAATAATACCTTGGAACTCTTCGAAGGTGGGTAAAGGGTCTTCTTCTTCAGTATTAGCCGCTTCCGAAATTAAATTATGAAGTTGCTGGCGTTGCTGTTGGTAATTATAGTCACAAGCAACATAAGGTAATTTGTTATTATGCATTGAACAAGCTAATTCAAAATAGAAGTAATAATAATAAGAAAGGTAAAAAATGAAAATAAAATAAAATGAAAGAAAATAGAAAAATAAAGAAGAACCAAAAATACTAAAAATAAGGCATGCATGAAGGATGTTTATGTATACTTTTTTTTTTTTTTTTTTTTTTTTTATGATGATGATGATGATTCCTTTGATATAAAATTATTCAGGAATGACATATTCGGAATAAAAGTAAGAGCTTATTAGATAAGACTAGATATACATTTATGCTTGAATCCAATTCGGAATTAGGCTTTAGGCGACATGTCTTTTTCATAACATAACCTTAAGGACCTGTCGCTTTATTTTTTCAAGTGAAAATATGGTTGAACTATCAAATTGGCCGAGAATTGTTAATTTTCTGTATTTTCTTTTCACAACACCAAATTAAAATACTTAAAAAAAAAAGAAAAGAACCACAATTACAGCTGTTTGGATTCAATTAATTAAACCATATAAGGCAAAAATTGAATTTTATTATATAAAAGGAGGACAAAAAGAAGAAAATTCTGTTGTCTGATGAAATATGTTTAAGAACGAATAGGTGTTGCAAGATTATAAATAATTGCACCCTTGCCTGAAATATTAAGATTAAAGTTATTAGTAAAATACAATAACTTATTTTTGTTTCAACTTACTATAATCTTTTCCCTCTTCGCGTTCATATGATGGAGGAAAATGCTTGCGCTTTTCTTGGTAATAGTGATCACGTACATCACCTTCTTTAGCAGCGTTATACGTCAAGTAAACAGCCTTTCGAGACTTATCGGTCACATTATCGCCGGATCGATGGGCAAGATAGGCTCCAAAAATCAAGACAGACCCCTATATTTAACCATTAATATGACAATTTGCACACTCCTTTATCATTATTATAATACATACAGCTTTACAATGAACAGGCTTCCATTCATGCGTATTAACCCAGTCCGTTGAAATTGAACCATCATGCTTCTCCTGAGGAAGGATTCTTCTTTCATGTTCATTTCTATGTGAGCCAGGAACAACTTCCAAACAGCCATTAGCAGCCGTAGTAGCATCAATAGAAAACATAACAGTCATGTGAGTAGACTGTCCGAACTGAACAAAAGCTGGGGCATCTTGATGAGGAGGGAATCCTATTTTTATAAATTAGCCTTGATTTTTTACAGCCTTTTTTTTTTCTAAAAAACAAAAACCCCACCACTACCACCAGACAATTTATAATTGACCTTCTCCTTGAACAAGATATACTTTTCACCGTGGAGCTTTTCAAGGACCTCTAAAAGTCGAGAATTATAAACATAGTCTTTCATGCCTGAATGATAAGGCGTAAAGTTTTCAATACGGCAAAGCTGATCTTGACCTGTTACGACGTTGGGCTCATAATATTGCATCCATTTTCCTTTTTCTTTATTCCAAGTTTGAAATTCAATGCAATAGTTTTCAAGAGTTTGGTGCTCCTCAGCAGAGAAGAAATCTTCAATTAAGAGATACCCGTCATTTTTGTAGTCTTGAACTTGCTTTTCAGTCAAGTTGTAAGGTTCAGTGCGAGGAGAAACAGTAGTAAAAGTCATATTGTGATAAGATACTATTGATTAGTTGATGGAATCAGGAAGAAAGAATCTTATACTCTTATATAGAATATATTACTTCCCACGTTGCCACATGGTGGCTATCTTGTGCGCATTATGATAAAATTTACTTTATCAGCATTACTTGCCTCTCCGAGATCTCGCTTGAACTTTAATCCATAAACAAACATTATGGCTGGCTTTTTCTTTTAGCACACGTGCCACATGGTCATTAGTAATGCACCAAATTTGGAAAAATAAATAGTCGCCTTTTCAAACCTAATGCAGTTTTTTTTTGTAACAAGCTTTGGATTAATTCTCAAGGTGTAATTTATGGTGATGTGTTATTATCCAATCTGCTAAAAAGAAAATCAAAGTAACCAATATAACTAATAGTAGTGCTGTTTAAAGAACAAACAGTGCCTTGACCGGCTGGGTCTATCGATAAATTATAGCCGTTGATCCCAAACCTATCACACTGCTAAGGAAGGAGTAAAGTGCATCATGTGTACTTTGACAGCTATGGTAAATTTATGGGAGTTTAATTATACTTGTACTGCATTCAAACCACAACTTATGTTATGATTCAAATGGGTAAATTTAGTAGTGTGGGATCGATTATTTCTGTAAACTGATGACTAGTTTTACTATAAAAGATCACTGAATGTTATTCAATTGTTCAATAATAGAAAATCTAGTCTATAGTACGAAGAGTATGCAAATTGGATTTGTTTTGTGTGATGTTACAAGTACAAAAAACTATATCATTAGAGAGGAACCTGCGAGACCTGATTAGTTCCAAGTTTTATTATGTGAACTATATTACATTATGTTTACGTTCCATAATGGTCATTCGGAAGTCACTTACTACTTTAACATTCATTCTAAACAATTACTCTATGCATTAATAAAACAGCTCGCGTTCCTCTCAACAAACGAGTTGACAATGATAAGTCCAATATACTTTCATAAATGTCATTGCCGTACAGTTAGGCGCCATAAACCCTTAGTTGTAATTGATGAAATCAATGTAGTAAACAATTCCGAAAAATAGCGCGTATTAAGTTGTACAAGATGACTACATTATTTTCTTCTCTGTAACTTTCAACACTCGAGACAAAGATTATTGGTTCTTCTTTCGGTATCTATCTTGACCCATTCATGCATCAAAAAGTGATACAGCAATTGATTATAATTGAACCATTAAAATGGTGCAGATGGGTTGAATGTAACATCAGAACTTCTTAATATCTGACCTTTGATTTGCAATGAAACAATTTATTTGATAGTTAAGTTTAAAGTTAAGATTGCGGTTTATTTAGCAAGTTTGATGCCCATCCATTATACTCAATTAAAGGGCCTTTAATTTTTATTTTTGATGAGAACTTATTTCGACAGCGTTTTAAAAGTTCTTAGCAATTTAGAAGTTATACTTCAAATGAACAGAAAACCAAAATCGGTGTAACCTGTTTTGTTAGAACCGTAATATACTTTAGTTGTTCTGTTTAGCCTAGATTTGGAATATGTTTGTGATACTGTTTATCACATTTGTTTTATTTTCCGCAATACCGAAGAACGGAACTGCCGAAAGCCACGGACACCTTGTATAATTCGTATTTTACGGTATTTTACGTTTTATAACAAGTAAAATTCTACCAACAATCTTGGCCAATAAAAAGCGGTATCACAGAGCAAATCATAATGGTATAACAGACTAAAGTAGGAATGTACTTTGTCTTTTATTTTTTTTTATCTTTGTAAAAAGAAGAGATAATGAAGCTTTCGCAAAAAGTTGCAGAGGATACAGTAGACACAGTATTTAAAGTACTTGTGGATGGTAGCAAACAAGATTACATAGGCGAAAAAATATCTCAACTTGAACATAGTCTACAAGCTGCTTGTTCGGCCCAAGAAGCTAGTAAGATAACTTAAAGTTATAAATGCCTGAATATATTCTTAATAAAGCTTTTGTAGAGGCTGATGAGGAAACCATTCTTGCTGCTTTGCTTCATGATATAGGACAGTTTGCTACTAGTGCTGATCATAAACAGATGCTTTGTGATGCCTCTGATGTTGACCCCTCTGCACCTAAAAAGCAAATTAGTGTCGGCATAACCGGGCATGAACGTATTGGTGCGCAATATCTTTCCAATTTAGGATTTTCTGAAAAGGTGTGTATACTGGTTGAATCTCATGTCCCAGTTAAGCGATACCTTACTGGTAAGTACCCTGATTATTATGATGGGTTGAGTGGTGCCTCCAAATTGTCATTAAAATACCAGGTAAAAAGGATACAATACTTCCCATAAATATTACAAAAATTACCAACGCATTATATTTTAGGGTGGACCTTATACACAAGACCAAATTGAACAATTTGAAACGGACCCATTTTTTAAGCTTAAAGTTCAAGTTCGCCAATGGGATGATGCCGCCAAAGTTGTTGATCTCCAGGTCCCCAATCTGGAATCGTATCGTCCAATGATGATCCGTCATTTGTTGGCTCAATAGAAGGCCTAACCCCCTTTTTTTGCACATTCTTTACTCTCCCCCCCCCCCTTTTTTTTTCTATCGGCATCTTACTTGTTTAAGCTCATAATCAGCAATAAATAAAAGCGATTTCAAGTTTTTTTGGGCGAATTAGACAGAGAATCAGGTAGATGGCAGTCATGTTAACCCTAAATATTGGTGTGCATCTTATTTTGCACCTATCTTATAATTTTTTATCTTATTTATTTTAGGAAGACGGTAAAGAAAGACTTAATCATGAATCAATAAAAAAAAAGTATCTGCGTTTGTTTCAAGCCCTTTCTTCTGTTTATTTGATTTCGAAAATATCTTGAGTGAAAACATCGTACACCAGTACATATTGCAAAAATTGATATATACATGTCCTCTTTTAGTTAACAATCCGCTAGCTAGCATTTAAGATGTGTTAGGGGGGAAACCCTGAAGACGTGGGTGTATGACATATTATCAGTGTTATGTAACCAGACGCTGTAGCGAAACTTGAGATTTTTGCGCCAGTGTACGTAAACAAGTACTAGAGCGCCTTCTTCTTACGCGATTTTAAGTGCTATTAATTGTAAATATGTATGTAGCTTCAATGAGTATTACTGTTAAGACACTACTAGTGATAGTTCTTAAAGGCTAATGCATGTTTGCGCATTCTTCTGCCATACGGATGCCGCAATTTTTTGCATTTTCTGTCAACACCGAATAAGCCATCCAGTGAGATGATACAGCGGTGACCAATGCTTTATAGCGCTCAAAACGAAAGTGCATATTTTAATAGGCCTTATATAAAAGCCAATAATATCATGGTTCATTTGTATATGGGGAAACTATTAAAGACGCCTGCATTAATTAACACTCGATAAGCATATCTGTCTAAGAAACATGTATCGTTTCACGTGAATATGGAATACCACTCCTACAAAAGTGATCTAATTAAGATGGTTTATTTAAGCCATGACTTGTTACACGGTATACATACTACTGGGGATGCTTACAAATGTGTAACCTCTTTATTTATAAAATCCCACTGTTAACTTATCTGAAATTACGAAATTGGTATTGCCCAGTTACATCAGCTTTAATAGGACGCAAAACACCTTACAGATGATAGCAATAATATTGGATTAGAAAAAAAAAAGGCATAAAGTTTGTAAGTTGCAACCAAAAAGCAGGTTATTTTCAATTTAGATGGGTCTGGGCGCATTGATATGCAGCATCTTTTTAAGCCAAGGTTTTTGAAAAGGCTTGCACACTCATTGAGTCTCATTTTCAGTTAAAACGTATATTACATATATGCATAGGCGCAAAAAAAATGATAAAACACCTCCCTACAGTTATTTCAAAATCACCAAGACAATAAGGTTTAATGTGAACCGGGATGCAGCCAAGTTGATTGATCTTCAGGGACTCAATCGTCCAATGATGGTCGGGCTAATTCCATCTTTTTTTTTTTTTCGCACACTCTTTTCTCTCGTCTCTTTTTCTTTGGTCGGTATCCTAATTGTGTCAAACCCCACCCAGAGACAAAAAATAATAATAATAATAATAGACTGAAATGCTTTCAAGTTTTCCCCTTTTTTTTATCCTTCTTTTTGTTCTTCTCGCATATTTCTTCAAAAGAGACAAGATGGACTCTGTAATTTCTGGCCTTGCAGTAGAGTCACTGAACCATGGCTGCACTGATTTGCCCATTGATCCCCACTTTGAAACCACTCAACGATTCGACTTTAAATATATTGAAAAGACAGTCTACAACCTCGCTGAGTCAGATGATTGTCTCGGTCGTAATGTCAAGGAGGCCATCAAGGTAATTGAAAAAGCATACCAAGACTACGGGTAAGCAAAACTAAATAAAGGGGGGGGGGGGAAAGACCTTGACCTGACCTTTTTTTTTTAGATTTGAATCAATAGCCCTTTCATTCAATGGAGGCAAAGATTGTACTGTGTTGCTGCATTTAGTTGCAGCAGTAATGAGTCGTCTTGGGTACCAAGATGAGTTGATACGAACTGTATTTGTCACCTATCCAAACCCGTTCCCCCATGTGGACGCCTTTGTTAAAGTGTGTATCCGTCGTTATAATTTACAGTGTGTCTATCTTCCTGGCCCAATGAAACAAGCATTGCAACAGTACTTGGATATGTCGGAACCGAAACCAAAAGCCATATTTGTTGGTATTCGAAGAACAGATCCGTACGCTGGTAAGGAAGGGGAGGGAGGGAGGGGGGAGAACATTAAATCAGGCACAATATATGTGGTAACTAAGGCATATCTTAGATAAACTTTCACATTTTGATAAGACCGATGAAGGTTGGCCAGAATTTATGCGTGTACAACCTGTTATTGATTGGAATTATAAGAACATTTGGGATTTCTTAATCAAGCTGGGTATACCTTATTGCTCATTATACGATGGAGGGTAGAGTAGATAATTAATATATAAAAGGAATAGAGGTGTGGGAGGGAGCATAATTGAACTGACAAATCTGATTTTCTATAGTTACACATCATTGGGTAGTATGGAAAATACATTTCCCAATCCATATCTTTTAGATAAAACGATACCATGTGGATATAAACATGCATGTAAACTAGAAAATGAGCTACATGAGCGCGATGGAAGAGTGGGCTCTTCAAAAAAGTAGAAAAAATCAAATTGTATATAATAAATGAGACTTTTGGACTTTGTGTAACCTACACATGCTTTTTGTCCTGCTTGTTTTTTTCTACGCTTTCATTGTTCTACTAAAGACATTTTGCGTTGGATTCGAGATTTGATTTTTTTTTATGAAAGTAACGCTAATGAACTTTTTCTTCTTAAAATGTGTGCGCTTGTAAGAGTGATTGTCTGTGGAGGTTTAGTATCGTACAATGTTCACGGCAACAATAGCAGATGCGGTTGATTATAATATTTCCAAGGCCATTCTATATACAAATTTAGAGCACAAATTATTATCTTTTTAAATGGCTTTAAGGGAAAAAAAATACCTTGGAAATATCGGGAATAGATACTGCAATTCTCGTATTCGGTATGACATTAATCATTTGTGTACGTAACCAACAAATTGATGTCTATAAATATAGCTTCAAAAAGACCAGTTTTTGTGTTGTCGTAGGACAAAATAATAGTTCACGTTCATGGACAAATGTGAATTAAGCACATTAAGAGACTTTTACTCTTCAGGTTCTGCTAGTACATTGGCACAGTTGTGATACCACTGTTTCTCACTATGGTATGAGGAAGATCATCTTTTTCCCTTGCTTTTGTGATCGTCCCCTGGTTGTATCGTAACTCTTTGGTAATCAGTCAGCACATTGTTTACATGTTTCCCCTGTCAAAAACTTTGTCGTTCCAAGTCATATATTCAACAATAGCAACCACAGAAAAGAATACGCTTTTTTTTTTTACAGTAAAACATACAAGTAGATTATAAAAAACCTTAAATCGAGCAGTTATTAGTTTAAATATCCATAGCACTAAAACCCAAATATATAAGTTCTGATGTAAGATTTGGCAAACACTTTGGGTTAAAGGAAGCAACATGTTTGGAAAAATATAGATTGGATTAAGGTGAAGGCCCACCCTATTTAAGGGGTTGAGGGTCAAAGAATTCTATGGTAGTAACAAATTTATCTTCTCTCCCAGCTATCATTCGTTCCCGGAAAAAAAAAAAAAAAAAGCCAAATCTCGTTGTGTCTTTCTGTCCAAAAGAGGCAAAGCAGGGAAATTATTAAATTCGCGCAAATATAGTTTCTTTGCAAGCACCGTGTAACAACGCAGATTAACTTTTTTGTGTGCCCTTTTTTGAGTCTCCTTTTCTTCTTTCTCTACCCCCTCCTCTTCTACAGTAGCCCTTTTCCTTTTTGTATAGAACCATGCAGACATCATTGTCACAGAATCGTCACTTGATTCTGATCACAGTTATTTTAGCATTACTATTCACATTGTTCTATGTATTTCAACCTAGCGATCAGACCACAGCATCTTCGAAAAAGCAACAGCTCTCAACTCTCGACGACATCCCTCTTCCAGGCAAGAGACTAAAAACTGTCTGTGACAAGGTAGATATTGCTTGGTTGTAAGTCATAATTCTTTATTTTCTCAAAAAAAAAAAAAAAAATACACCTATATATACCAACGATTTTTGCAAACAGGGCTGCTGATCGACACTATTGGGATGGATGGTCTGACAAGGCCATGTTTATTAAAGCCGATGGTACATTTACTCAGCGAAACGTATATATCAATCAGGGTGAAGAAGTCTGTGTTGTCGTATTGGTAAGTGGGAAAGAGCTTTATAAGTAAGATAAGAAAGCTTTGCTCATTTAAACCTTTGTTTTTTTGGGGGAAAAATTTAGCTCGGTCCAACACCCGCTAAAGCATCCATCAAAGATGATTCTGCACATACAGGACCTAAAGATAGCATTGTTATGTTTGCAACTGGAGAAGCTTCAAAACTGACTATTCAGTTAGAGCAACACGAAGCGCAACAAAACGCTTATTTTGCACCTACTCTTTTTCAACAAGCCGATACCTATAGACTGGAGGGTATCAACGAATATAGATCTTATTTCTGGGAATCTCCCGTTTTGCACTCTTACCACCCACATCCATTTGAATCACAGAATAAATTAATTGTTCGACCTGCCGCCTTAAAAAAATCCATTTGCAACTCAAACACAACTTCGCTGCTTAAGGGTACCTGGGTCGATATTGATACTTACAAGCTGGAGAACGAAATGGACTTATATACGGCATATGAAAAGACCGAAAGCATCTACTCTGTCAACCGTAAAGTCTTTATGGCTGATCATTGTGTTTTGGGTTACAAAAGTAGAGGTCAGGGTGCACAATGTCTTGGTAAAAAGATCGTCCATGTGTTTGGTGATAATAATGTCCGCAGGTAGAATAAGCCCAAAAAGAAATATCATCTAAAAATAGCCAGAAATTGACACACACACACACACACACTGTTAGGAATTTGAAAGCGATTCAATCCGGTAAAAATTGGTGCGACATTGATCAGATTAAGAAGATCAAAAACAAGAAGGAACGCAATGAAAAGCTAAAATGTGCTTGTAACGATGATCATGAAGACACTGGGGATTATCCTTGGTTACACGATCAACCTATGCAGTTGACTAATTCTTGGGATGTCGATAGTAAAATATATTTCAACCATATTTCACAAACCATTGGAAACCATCAATCAGAAATTAAGCATTCTATCAGTAGCTTTGTATCAAACGAAACTACTCCAAAAGCAGATATTGTGATTGTAGGTTTAGGCAATGCCGATGTTGAAGCGATCCAAGTCTCCCCCGAAAAATTCGCTGCTACCTTTAAACAGTTTGTGTCTTACCTTCGTCGAGATATATACCCAGACCAAAAAATCATTATAAAGACACCCCAATACTTTTGCTGTGGTACCATCTGGTCCACCTCATGGAACACCGGTAGAAGTTTGGCATTCACCCTCACTGTACGAGAGGCCGTACGAGAATTAAACGATAATCGTGTATTATTATGGGATGTTCATACACTTGGCACCAGTGAGACCACCTGTTTGTCAAATGGCGGTTCTTCATACTCAAAAAGAAACGTTGTCAATGTAGAAAACTTGCTTTTATGGAACTTAATTTGCGAAAACTAAAACTAAACCCCAAAACAAACTCCTCATCATATACACACTAACACACACATATCCCCATTACGCACATATAATCTCACTCTGTATTTAAAATAAAGCTTTATTAAACAATATATCTATTTTACAGTCTTTCCACCCGAAGCAATATCGGCTGTACTGGTGCCAAATGAAGGAGATGACCCAGGTCTGCTCGCAGCATCTTCCTTGGCTTTCAATGACCCTATTTCGCCTTTGACTGTATGCTCTGTAACAGCGCCTATACCAGTCAGAAAATTCTGGCCATTTTTGATTGCTTCTTTCACATCCAAAGCACCCAGAGACCGCTTACGATATCTTAATTTTAACCCTCCTGCTGCAGTGCAAGATGCGTGGAAGCATAGTATACAAATAACCAAGAACGTAACAAATGTAGATATCTTTGTCATATTATCTTTGAAAAAATAAAAAAGGACTATACGTATTTCGTATGTGCCTCTCTTAAATGCAATTTTATACTACTGATACACTCCCTATCGATACCTCTCCCATTAGTGGTAATAGGAAAACCTGGATTTGAAACACTGTCATTATCCCCCCTTTCTTAATACACTGTAAGAAGAAGAAAAAAAACTTGCAAGACTGGCTCCCTGTTTCTGAGTGCTCCTAATAAGCAATAATAACGAGCAAAAAGAGCGAAATAGGGTATAATGAGTTGACTATTTTAGAGGAGACATTTATTCAAACATGTGCATTATCATCTGACAGAAAGATAGAATGTGGTTTTTTTATTTTTTTTTCTTTTATTTTATTTTACGCATAACTACTCCTCTCGGTCAACAGGTATACCGTTAACAACAGGTGGTGGGCCAACATCACTTGGGTCCTCCTCAGGATCAAATATATCATCTTCTTCCCAGTCTATAACGGGTATTTTAGTATCAGAACTTTCGGCCCCCTTTTCTGCTTCCGTAGGCGTAGCGTCATCTGCTGCTGGGGTAGACGGGTTTTCTGTGTCAAGTTCAGGTATTTGTGTGACAGGTGGTAATGCTGGAGCCGCAGCTACTGGTGGTGGTGGTGGTGCCATGGGAGAAGCAGCAACAGGAGCATAAGCCACAGGGCTGCTTGGAACGCTACCAACAGGAAGGGGAGGGGCGGCAGTAGGAGGTAGTTGTTCTTCAAGCTGTATAAGCTCCACAGGTGGTGGAGTCACAAAATCCTTCCTATAACTATTCATGGCAGCTCTTAAATACTTGAGAGTAGTAGCATAGTCTCGCTTATGAAGAGAAGCTTTATTAAACTGGCGTTCATGATATAGTCTTTTGGAGGGAGATCTTTGTAAAAACGAAACAGGCTGCAAATCACCTTTTCGTCTTTGAAACGATATAACGGCAGGGTTTAGTTGGTGCGTGTCAGGTGATTTAGAGTGTTTTGTGACAGCATATGCTTCGAACACTAGAAGAGTAGCTGTTCCTAGTAGAGTTAGCACAGAGGATAGATGCATGGTTTATAAAAAAAATGACAGGACAAGAAAGTTTAAGGAAATTTTATGAAGACTTCAACATATTTATATAAAAGAAATCTTTTTTTTTAATAAGAATGAGAATGTCGATCCTTATTGTTTAAACAGTAATATTACTTTTTAACCTTTTTTTTCTTTTACATATAGTGTGATAGATGCTTAATTTTAATCGGTGGCCGAGCATAGTTCGGCAAAAAAGTATAGTAACTCCTTATTTTTGCTTCCCCCCTTTCACTATGTAATGTTATTTTCTAACGCAAGAATGAACATAAAATAAACCGTATAAAACAATCAATCAATCCAAAGAATATGGATGAGTGTATAAAGCCACCCCCCTTTTTACTTTTTAATTCAATATGGGATATTTTTTTTACAAGCAATTTATTTGATATAAAATATGTAATTTATTTAATCTATTCTGAAGGACCTTTATCAGGAATATTTCCAGTAAGGCCGCCTTGAGAGAAATATCTTGATACCATGGTAAAATCTTCTACAAAGGTGCCAAACAGACTTTCAAACGGATTTTTTGGTGCGGCATTATTATCTTCTCGCTTCTCGTTCACTACATTCCGTCCCCGTAAAAAAGAACCCGTTTTCATTCTTGTTAATCGCCTGTCAACATTTTTTGCATGTGCTGAGTGTTGAATAAATACAGTTGTCAGTACTGCCAAGGTTAAAATAGATAGCTTCATCTGTAACAAATACTCTTATTCCTGTTAAAGTTGGAAATAGAAAAAAAAGAGGGAAAAAAACAAACTACCTCAAGTTTTGTACTTGCAACAGAAAGAACTGGGCTCCCTAAAACCTTTTTTTTTTCTCGTCTTCTAACACTGTCATCATTTGACTGTAGAAAAAGTCTTCTTCTCTCCCTATTATTTCATTAATTTAGTAGAAAAAAAAAACGACATATGATTAAGCTCAACACAAGCACGCGTTACTTTATAATGACAGTGGTTTAGCGTCAAAAGCTCATGTTTTTCAATAGATCTCTTTTTTTGTAACCATCACAATTTACCACATATATTGAGATGATTTTTCTCAAGTCCTATGAGTATGTATATATATAAAAAATATCTTATTATAACCCCTTTTTATAAAAAATGCTAACAGAATTATCATTTACACACTACCCCTTAAATATATTTGGGCCTTGAATACAATTTTTTTAAGAAGGCCTACCTTCTAACCAAGTAGAAATAGTATCAGCTTTATTTTACTTTATTCAAAGCAACTCATCTTAAATCTGTCAATGTTTCATGTTACAGTATCCGTACTTTATATTCCAGACAGTGGTTAAAAAAACATACAATCTGACGTAAATAAATATACGTATATATATATATATATATATACATTCAGATAGAATAAAAAAAGTTTCCAGACAAAGGCTATTACAGGATGTATCCTATAAATTTTACAGTTAATTATTTAAAGGTGTATCTTTATGAGTGTAATTTCGCTCTTTTTATAGAAATCCTCAATCGATCTTAATATTTTAAGATAGTAAAAAAGGGAGACAGAAGCAGAATTTCAATTACTAAAAATGACGTGAACTTAAAGCATTAGAATATAAATTGATTCAATTGACAATATATCAAACAGGGGTGCTTCTTTCACAAAAAAATATGAGACCCCGTACTTACCCAGATACAGAAAAGTTTATAATACCAAAATAAAGGCTAAAATTACTAAGGTTCAGGACAAAACAAGCATCAGCACAATGAATCAACCTGCCGGTGAAAACAGAGGTAATAATGCACTGTATATGTTCAGTTATATATCCAAACATAATAACTCCTAAAAAAAATCAGGCCTAAAGAGAAAGGAAACATTTGAAGCGAAAAAAAAAGCAAAAAGTGTGAAACAGAACCATTGCATCTTCAAGCTCATTCAACCTGACTTGCAAGTCTTGTAATGCAAGTGGTCACTCTTCCGCGAGAAGTAGATTGTGTTCTAACCATAACTACATCTTGCAAGTACTGATCGATAAAGATATTGGTGATATATATTAATGATATATTATCTCTCTTTCATTAAAGGGCTTATAAGTGAAACAGATGATGATGACCGATTTCAGAAGGCTGTAAACAAGATCAAGAATCTATCTAGTTTCTTACGTCTTGTTTTATTTTAAGCTCAAATCTTTGTCAATGACTACATTTTACAATACCCCAATAATTTTTTCCGCTAATAGAAGAGAGAAGCTTGTAGAATTACTTCTTGTAGATATTGTCTGTATATTTTTCAAAGAATTTAATCAGTACAAGATATAAAGTTACGAATAAAAAAGTCCTTTCAACCAGTTTAAATCAAGTGTGTGTATGTGTTTAATTGGGGAAGAAAACCACACTTTCAAAAGATGTATATATATCGAACCATAAAACCCGGGTTAAAATCTTTATTGCCTAGTACTTCAAACAAATAACAGAAGTATCATGATTTGACAGACCATGTCAATAAACAGTGCGTAAAGCAGCATTAAATAAACTTACATACTTTCCCCATCAATATCACAATCCCTTATTCTCGAGCCCTTGATATAACATACCAGTTGCTTTGAATCATTTTAGTCTCTCTCTTTAACCACCATTTTTCCGATGTGCTTTTTTACTTGCATTCTTACTAACAACTAGATATCTCTACTTTTGCTTACTTTATTGCTTTGAGCTACACGTTAAGTAAAAATAATGTGAAACCTTCATATCTGGCACTATAAGTCTTGGCAAAGAAAAAAAAAGTTAATGTTTTATCTGTCACTGTATATTCAAAATTGAAACCATAGAACTTTCCTATGTATGAAAGTGTGCTTGATAGAAGAAGCGTGCACTTTGCAACTGGTAGACAGTTAATCATAAAACCCACTATTCATATAATGGCGGGGGATATCATTATATTCCTAGAGACGATAAAATTCAATAAGCGTATGCGAAGTATATTTCAGATTTGAAGACAAGAAAAGTAAATAAACTAATTAGCTCATCATGATATAGCTCACCACTCTATTAATAACATAGCCAAAAATAATATTATCAAGGGAGACTATGATCAGGCTTTAAACAAAATACTCTTCTTTTTTAATGAGGAAAAATATGATGAAAATATGTCAAAAGATTTAGTTTATAGGAAATGGATGGGAATGGAACCGTTGTACAAACTAGTAAGAAATAAAAAATGCTTTACAAAAATAAAATATACATATGCATATATGATGTGTCAGGGTAATAATAGGATACAGAAAATGATTTGGTATTTCTCTAAGTTGCTTCATCACCTCCGTTATCAGCACAATAGATATAGGGACAGCGACCTTAACAAAGATATCAAATTAGAATCTGACATCACAATAAAAAGGTAGTCTTTTTTTTTCAGTATACATACCACCGGCGCCCCCACGTTTTTGAACATGCTCAGGATTCTTTTCCAGATTCTTTTTCAAATCTCGTTTAGATAACCGTGATTTCGTAGAAGAAGATTTGATAGCGAAAGCAAGGTTGAAAAGGACCAGTAAGAAATAAATGATTGTGAGCTTCATGAGTATGTATAATTGATTTTTATAAGAAAAAGAAGAGGCGATAATAAAATAATTACACCTTTGTTTCAGTTGGGTATTTATAAGATTTGTGATGAACTAAAAAGGGAGCAGTCATGATCATTGTAGTATAGCTATTTTCACAACTTTTTTTTTAATAGGAAAATAAGGGGTTGGTTTATCTTTTCACGGTTACACATGAGCCGAAAAGTATGTGCACCAATAGGTGTTTTATAAAATGCATAATAGAAACTATTATTAATTTATTGTGTTGTATAAATAGAACTCTTTCACGTCAGAAGCACCAAAGTTAAGTGCACATGATGGGCATCTTCTCTGTCTGGTCTCTAAGCGAGTCTTGATACATTCGTTGCAAAATGTATGATAACAACTAAGCAATATGCACTTTCTTGTACGTGTTTTGCAGGTACTACATTTGAATTGCGCCTTTTATAATTTAAGAAAAAATTAACATGTGTACTTTTTTTTTTTTTTTTTTTTTTTTTTTTTGCTTTACCCGAAGGTCTTCAACCTCATCTATCAGCTGCTGTGATGCGGGATTCTCTCCAAGCGTGATCATGGCCCACTTTCTTTGAACTTGTTTATATTCCTCTTCTACCTGTTTTTGCAGAGATACTTCTTCATCCAACGCTCTTGTCTTTTCAAATGATATTCTTTTCATCTATTTTTTTTTTCTGTTGATTAGTGATAACACGGATTATTTAACTTGATTTAGGAATTTTTGATTTTCAACTTTACATACTTCAAGTAATTGTGTCTCATATATTTCTAACCTTCTTCCCAGCTCTACACACTCCTGGGAATAATCATCGATTTGTAAATGATAGTTTTCCAAGTCATCAATTAACTTCATTAGGACGGCCTCCTGTTCAGACTATATAGAGTAGTTTAACATGATGTCTGATTATGCAACTATTTTTTAGTACTCACAACGTGTGCCACAAGCTCTTTTTCTCTTTGTTCTTTTACTTTAATACGATCGGCTTGTTGATGGACAATGCGTTTGGAGGCGTTGATTTTATTTAAAATCTTGGCTTTCTCGTTTTCTAAACCCGGAAAAGTTTGAGAAAACTTTTGTTTTTCTGCTTCGATTTTATATATGTGTTCCCTTTTTTTGCTCATGGTGAATTCCATATGCTTGATACGTCTTTCAAATACACTTCCATCGCAATCCATTTGGGCAAACAAGAGGCGGTCGGTCTACATGATAAAATTGGGATTATTTCGGGTAGACCTGCAAGTTTTTTTTTGTTACATTTTCATAGAAATCAACGATTAGGGTCAGTTCCATCCTTTGTTTGACAAGCTTGTCTAATAATTCCAATGCATCCCCTCTGGTGCCTGACAGTCGAGTCAAGTTTGATTTTAAATGATGGATAGTCTCTTTTGAATGATTTGACGGTTCATTTCCATTTTGACCGAGAACGTGCATGATGCCATGTGTTAAACTGCATAACTTTTTATCACCGGGTTCATCCAATTTTAATACAAAACATATTACTTACTCAATTTGGCACAGAAGCTCTTTTACCCGCTGACTTTCTTTTATGGCCAGCGATCCATCATCATTTCTCTTGGATAGTATTATTTGTTGCAGTTCCAACATCCTTTGCTAGATAAACGTCAATACATCATGTAGTACAGACTACTCTTTGTTTGTTCTACCTTTTGTTTTTCTCCTTCGTTAGTGATAAGCGCTTCTTTCTCCTTAGACTGAGTTTCTTTTTCGGATTGCGATTGACATAATTGCAACAAATGATCTCGTTGGGCGGTAATTCTTGCTAGATTGCTCTTCAAGTTTTTTTCTTCTGTTGCCAAGATATTCTCCTGATAGTCTCTTTCGGATTGAATTTGAGTTTTTAGAAATCTCCTTTCTTTTTTAATTTTATCATATTCCTTTTCGAGATGCAACCGCCGATGCTCATAATAGTAACTGCGACCACGATGAAAGTCGATCGAAGACATCAAATGATGCACATAACTCGATTTCATGATCTGTTCATCCCGCATCATCCTCATTTGCATCATATATCCGTCTGCTATATCCGCTAGCTGAACCCTTTCTTGGGACACATAGAGTATTTCTTTACTGCGAATATGTGTCAGAAACTCATATTCTTCTTTCATTATACCACCCACATCAGGCCTTTCGGGTGTAAACGGTGTCACTCTATCCTCCCTTTTATCCTTCATAATCACTGACACCATTTGACTCTGCGCCCTGTCTTCCTTCTTTTCCAGTGTCCTCAGTCTTTCCAAACAAACTTCAAACTGCTCCAGTCTTTCCTCCAATTGATGGGTTAGAATCAACACTTGCTTTGCTATGACGTCCGTATCTCCTCGTTTGATCTGTTCCTCGTGTTCCAACTGGTACATGTATCTCTCAAGCATCTTGTTGGCTTCCGAGACATGCCGTGACTCTGTCTTTAAAAATTGGACAAATAACTCAGGGTTGTTCGCTACCAATTTAGAGTTTATGATTAATCGCAAATCTACAGCTTATTTATTTTTTTCCGTTGGTTCACCTTTTTTGATTTCGTCCGCTTGTTTGAACCATGCCTTCACTTCATTCGTAACCATAATACCTATCGCTCGAATTTCCTGTGTAACAAGTGTTGCATCTTCATTACCTGTCACTATCACCATCATTATCAAAGATAAATATAGGTTGAGAAAACAAAAACAAAAAAAAAATGAGAATAATTCTGCTTTACTTGTAATTTTGAGACAAGATGTTGCTGCTGTAACCGCTGCTGCAGATACAAATTCATTCCGGAGCTTCAATAAAAAAAAAGATTGTGAGTTACACTTGAGCGCTACTCGAAAAAAGGGAAGCATGAAAACTATCATTACCAAATCCAACTGTAATCGAACAAGACCAGTCATAGCATCCGCTTGTATCGTATTTATCCATCGCTCTTTTGTTGCCAGGTATTCCATCTAAGGGGAGCGTTATTAAAGCAGCAACAAAAAAAGTTTATAGCTTGCTGCAAAAGTACCTTGGCAAACCGCATTCCTTTTAACAAGTCTTGCTTGGACAGACTTTCTTCCACGAGTTCAGGCTAGAGGTTGTGAAAAATTGAAAATCAATTACAATCCATAATAATAATAAAAAAAAGACAAGTAAACTAAAAACCACGTTGTCAAGAATAACAACGTGCAAACTCAATACAGTTGTGTGAGAGGGAGGGATCTGTACCATGTCCTGTACATTTACTTCTGCTATTGAGGAATGAAAGGGTTGAATGGTTCCTGGGGTGAGCCGCTTTTTAAAAGGAGGAAGGGGCGGTACAGCGCCACTTTCATGGCTACCTTCTAGAATACGTTTTTCAGACATGGACAAAAGAAAATAACAACAAACATATCACAACATCTTTTGAATATTTTATCTCTGTCACGTGCACTTATGCGCGCACACGCGACAACCGAGATCAAATTTTATTTATCTTACTCTTCTTGAACAGTAACAACGGCACGAATACTACAAATAAAAAATATTAGAAAAATCATACACACACACACACACACATATATATATATATATATATATATATAAATGCCTACCAAGAACCAGAGTGCATGGCATCAAGAGCATCGTTGATTTGCTCAAAGTCAAAGGTATGAGTGATGAATTCATCAATCTTTAATTGACCATCCAAATATTTCTCAATAAGACCTCCCATTTCAGTACGGCCCTTGACACCACCAAAAGCAGATCCACGCCAGACACGACCTGTCACCAATTGGAAGGGACGTGTGCTGATTTCCTTACCAGCTGCTGCAACGCCAATGATCACTGATTCTCCCCAACCCTTATGACAAGACTCAAGAGCAGAACGCATCACATCCACGTTACCAGTACAATCAAAAGTATACTCTAATCCACCATCAGTAATTTCAACAAGATGGTTTTGAATAGTACCCTTGATATCCAATGGATTGATAAAATCAGTTGCTCCGAATTCTCTGGCAATCTTTTCCTTGTTGGGGTTGGTATCAATAGCTATAATACGCCTATTTTTTGTTCAGGTTTAAGACTATTGTCCTTTACTTTATGCACCATAACTTACTTGGCCTTGTTATAAACGGCTCCTTGGATTACACTCAAACCAATGCAACCGACACCAAAGACAGCAACATTATCTCCTTCAGCAATTTGTACTGTCTTGGTGGCAGCACCGAAACCGGTGGTGATACCACAACCCAAAAGACAAAGCTTTTGCAAGCTAGGCTTGGGGTCAACCTTGACCACAGAAACATCAGCAACCACGGTATATTCAGAGAAAGTAGAGGTACCCATATAATGGTAAATGGGTTGTCCCTTACAAGTAAAACGAACAGACTCATCAGGCATCAAACCGCGACCTTGAGTAGCTCTGACAGAACCACACAAGTTGGTCTTACCACTCTTACAGAATTTACACTTTCTACATTCGGCAGTGTATAAAGGAATGACATGATCTCCAACAGCAACATCAGTCACACCTTCACCCACAGATTCAACAACACCACCGCCTTCGTGTCCCAAAATAGCAGGGAAGACACCCTCGGGATCTAATTATGCGTTTAGTATACAGCTCGTCTCTTCTTCTTTTTATATTTTCTCTTACCAACACCAGAAAGAGTATAAGCATCGGTGTGACAACTAAGAAAGTGGAGGAAAGTATTAGTCGAAAACAAATCGAGTTTTTTTAATACGTATTACAACATACACGCCAGTATAGAGAATCTTGATACGAACTTCATGAGCCTTGGGAACAGCAACTTCGACTTGTTCAATGCCTACAAATCTTCATGTCAAAAAAAAAATATTAAAAGTTCAAGAAAACACGAACTTACTAAGAGGCTTTCCAGCTTCCCAAGCAACAGCAGCGCGACATTTAATAACCTATTTATTTTTTTCAGTGATTTTATCCATAGTCATAACTAAAATGAAACTTACTTGACCGACGGTAGACATTTCAAATTTATATTAGTAATAAATGAAAAAAAAGTCTTCCCTAAACACAATTTTTTTCTTCTATTGACGAGATGTCTCACAAGTAGATGCTGGCTTTCAACTTTATGACTAAAAAAAAAAGTTCTTGATCTCATAGAATTCTTTTCTCTAACACACGACATTATATCTATTCCAAATGGATGGTTATGGGAAGATTGGTTTAAATAAACAGTATCTGAGATTCCTATAGACTTCAACTAAATCTATTAAACCGGTGATCTTTCATAGATGAGTCACAAAGATAGCGAGAGAACTACATTATCGGATTCATTATCAGTCCGTATCGCTTATTTTTTTTCTTGTCTTTGTGTTTAGTTTTCATTTAGCAATTTCTTCTTCTGGGTTGAATAATAAACACAATGACTTTACTCAAATTAAAAAGGACACATTTGAATATTATTGACGAGAAGTTGATAGGAAAGTGATATAAAAATAAGAAACAAACGGATAGTTGTCAACTTGATTAATGTTATTTTTAAATGTAACATATAGTTAAGTAATTAACAAGGGGTTTAATAGAGAAATATCAGAATCTAAGTATTGAATAACAACGATTTTAAAAGTGGAAGTTATTATAACCATTCCTAATGATATCTTATTAAAAGTTTAGAATTAACATAATTCGATTCGAATAGAAATATGAGCTTTGTAATAACTGTGATAAGAAAAGTATAAAACTGAAGGTATACAAAAATGAAAAGGAAAAAGCGGAAGAGAATTACACAAAAAAATCACATCATACGTAACATCAACCCAAATTATATTGGCTGCAATAATATCTTTCCCCCCTAGTATAAACAGTTTATGTCTGATATTATCGTAGTGTTCTTGTTGAAAATGATAAGTACTTACCCCTACTTTTCCTATTGCATTTTGTAGTTAGAAACAATGGTACAACGCATCAGATACATTCTTTGCATCGTCAATTCAAAGGAATGAGATGGATGCAATACTGATTTATCCTATAATAAATCGAATAATTTACTCTAAATGACATTATAAACGTATGGTGATGGTGATCATAACTTCCAAAAGAATTCTTTTTAGCACAATACGAAGATACATGCAAGTCATTTTTAAGCGTTTACGAATTGAAAGAAAGAAACATCTGAATTTGAGGATCTAAAAAGTTCAACCACTTTCTAATAAAAATCACCTTCATATTTACATGACTTAACATTAAGCATAATTTGATACTTTTCATAAATATAAGAAACATGAGGCCAAATTGTCGACTTCAAAAAGAAAATGCCTTTTAAGGGGTCAAGTTGCTGATGAATCTTTGTTTTATGAAGACCCAGAGGAAATCGACAGGGTTATTAGATACTAGTAACGATTTATCTATTTGCAATTTTACCCACATGGAAACAGTATGTTTAGAGTTGATCCTGAATATTTAATTGTCTACAATTCAAAAGCGTCTCGTTTACAAGGAAATTGTTATACTCACACACGTGTTACCATTCGATTTAAATCAGACAATGATTAAATGATAGGATTTGATGACTGTAGCTAATCCCTTCAATTTGACTTTGATTTACATAACATGCCATTTGTGAAACAAACGCTGTTACTTCCTACTAGCAACCATTTCTATGGTGTTCTCGAATAATTTTTCAATATTCATGGAATAATAAAATTTACAAAACTATAATTTTGATTTGACGTTACTTCTCATAACTGCATATGCAGATTGAAATAAAGTAAATGCACTCTTCTTTTTGAGGTTGCAGTGGTAGGTTGTTCTCAATCCTGAGTTGAGTTAAATAAACTAAAAGGGAGAGATGCTATTGGTGTATCTGCTGTTAGCAAGGCAATCAGATCTCGCGACTTCTCAGACAATGACTGTGTGCTTGTGACACGCGTATGCCTATACTAAGTCCAAGTAGATGTTGCTTATCCTTTTTCACAGCTTATTTTACGATAATAATCGATGCCTATCTACTTTGATGCTGATCATCATTGCAGCTGTCACTGTTATTTCGGATGTTGAAGTTTTGATCGATCCAATGTGATTGATTCAAGATCGATTTTGTTGAAGATGTTTATTATAAAGATCAGTACTGATTTTTAAGTACCCCTCTTCATGCATTTTGCTACCGACAAACTAGGTATATGCATCCATTTATTTTATACTGAAAGTGAAAAAAGAGATGAAATACAGTCATCTTATTATACCAAAACGTGATCAATTGTCTGTCTCAGATCAGCAACTGTTTCGTAAACCCCGGGACCTCTCTATTTCATCGCATATCCGTGCTGAGTTACGATTTTATTTCTTTGTTTTGCGTTTTCATTCTCTTGTTATAAAGAATCGGACTTCCATTATTTTCTCATTAAAAAAAGATGACGATGCATTTTATTTTAACATCTATCGTGTTGTCATGACACTTTTAGGAGTTTTCCACACACCAAGGTTAAACCAATCAGACCCAAATTAAGATTTTATTTTTTATTTCGGTCTTTTGGGATCCCGATAAGGAGGTTGTTGTTGTTATTTTTTTTTTCTATTTTTTTTTTGTTTTTTTTTCTCTTGTTCATTTTATTTTCATCATCTATTTCTTTATCACCATGCGTGAGCCTAATTTTAGTTCTCCAGCTCAAAACAGAGCGGCTGTTGTTATAACATCTACGCTATATGATCGACGAGCTCTAGATTGTACAGCAACTTTGCCATTGGTAAACTCGTTAACGCATCTAGCCTACATGACTTCCACCTCACCACGCATTCGTGAAATCCTAGCAGCGGATGGCGGATTAGAAAGACTTGTAAAGATTTTGGCTACTTGTCAACATACCGATAAACACTCTCTTTGGAAATGGTCTTTAGCCTTTCAATGCGTTGTTAATGTTGGAGTACGTGGTACTGAAAATATTAGGTCTCGTGTAGTGGAAGCAGGTGCAGTTCATGTTGTACTCGCAATTCTCGAGAATTTTATGAACGCACTTGATAAAGCCAAAATCGAAAAAGATCAGGAAAGAAAGAATACGACGACGGCGGCGGCGGCAGCGGCGACACTTACGAATACAACTGCTTTAACTTTACCAACTACTATGCCAACAACAGCTGATTATCTACAATCGGCTAAAGAAACCCAACAGCAACAACAACAGCAACAGCCCATGGATATGAACAACAGTTTTTCAAGCATGATGTTTGTTATACCAAAGAGAAGAACTTTCATAAAGAGAACAATAAAACACAAAGAAAGACAGTATACAGCTTCTTTATCTACTATCCCACTCTTGAATAATTTATCAACAGATGCAATATTACACCGCGAAGAAGATATCTTGCTATCCTTACAGTTACTAGCTTATTTATCAAAATACCCTCAGATTCGTCAAGCATTCCATTCTAACCATCGTCACAATGTATTTTCTGTTGTCGAAAAATTCACACATAGACTTCATCCTGCCGCCATCATTTATTGGGCTGGGGTCATCATGAGAAACGCATGTAGGAAAGATGAAGGAAGAGGCGGCGTAAGACAATGTGCAAATATGCAATGTGGTAAATGGGAACGTTTCCCGCGCGAATTTGCCAAATGTCGCCGTTGGTAAGCTCATCATTTTTTATTACTTTTCTCACTGTTTGCTCATATTCTCTATTTCACACACACATTAGTCGAAAGGCAAAATACTGCTCAAAAGCTTGTCAGTCAAAAGCATGGGCTGATGGTCATCGATGGTGGTGTGTTGAAAGACCTCATAATACACATCCACCCAACCCAACCGCTACGTCTTCCACGACAGTGGCAGCCACTGCTGCTGTCATTGCTGCAGCCCCACCACCACCACCCCCTACAGAACAAGTGGTTCACTTAGAAGATAACGTCGTTACGTCTGAAGTTATGGCTATTCCTATTGGCAATGGACAACAACAACAAGGGGAAGGAGGTCGCACAGAAAACAACCATAACAGACGTTCTTCGCTTCCTACTACTTCAGCTACAACTACTGCAACTACATCAACAACAACAACAACAAACACTGGCCCCCCTCCACCACGTGATGGGGGTCTTTTATTTTACCATCAACGAAGGACTCCTCGATCGGTTCGTAGTTTGGCCTCAGGCTCCTCTACAGAAGTTGAAGCAGATACTGATAACTCACATGACCGCCCCCGAGATTTAATGGACGTGGATTAAAAGGGGCGACATAGTAATAATAATGAAACTACATGGAAAAATAGTTTATAGTTTATAGTATATGCAAAAAAATAAAAAAAATAAAAAAAAATAATAAAAAATTATATGTTTATTTTAACGGTGAATGATGTTGGCCCTAATTTTTGCGTTTGTGATCTCTGGGTAGTATTCAGCGCGAGGACATCTTCCCTTGAGACAGAGAGCTACATCCACACCAGCTTTTGCACCAGTAAACCAGGCGCCTTGCAAGAAACCAAAGTATTCAGTAGATAAAGCCTCACCAGCGAAAAACACTCTATTATTTAAAGGTGCTTTCATGTTGGCATGATGTTCATCCAACTCTCCAATAGGCCAGTTAGAATAACTACCACGGAAAAGGGGATTTGTATGCCAGCGAGGAAACATAAAGTCTGTAGGTTCGGGAATATCGTTACCGTACATCTTTCGCAATACCACCATGATTTCCTCCTTGACTTCTTCATCTGTCTTGTTCTCCACCTCGTAAGACAAGTCCTGTGTGGTCGTCACAAAAAAAATATTGGTACTGGTATTCTTGGGGAAGTAACCGGGTGCATTCAAATTTTGCCAGGCATTCATGTAACCACGGCGATCAGGATCTGCCCAAACCGTAAACTGTGAATCGTCCCAGAATTGATAGGGGAAGTTGAAAAAGATTTTGGTATAAGTAGCCATATGGAAACCGTAGAGACCTTCGCGCTTCCAGTCAGGGAGTGCTGGGCTCCATTCAATATCGTCATGTTGAAGTACGCCAAGAGAGAATGTAGTGATGGCATAATCTGCATGGATTGTATCACCCTTGCTGGTATGCACAGTAACCCCCTTGTTATTATACGCAATCTTGGTGACGGTTGTGTTCAATAATAAACGCTTGTCAGCATCGGTCTTAAAAACCTTTTTGGATTCCTCTAAAAAGATGTGCTTAAAACCACTATTATTTTCATTAGTTCATATATTAAGAAAACCCACTTAAATTGTTATGCAGCTTACCGTTGATCGACAACATAGTTGTTACCATCTCCATCAGGCCCAAAACCAGAATAGGTCCAATTATCATTGACAGCAGCGAACACCGTAGAAGAAAGTTCAGGGGTCTCTCCAAACTCCCAATCCCAATAATAGAACTCAGCAGCCTCTTCAAAAGCGTTGGATGGTTGCCAACCGACAAGATCAAGGCCAACTCTACCAGAGATGTCAACCTCGTCATTCTGAAGTTTTTCAACTAATTAAATAGACAATTTATTTTAGCTTCAAAACATTTTCCTATTTTTTTTTTATTTTATTTTATTTTCTTGGTAACTTACAGCCAATGTCCAAAACTTTACTGAACGCATCATCCAATGTATTGTAAATTTCAGTACCGTTGTATTTTCCCTTTTCACCGTACCACTGCACATCGGCACTATCACTAAAAGCTGTTGAAAGGTTGTACTTGAGCGCAAGCTGATTGATGGGGTTGGTGCCTAGACCTTGTACCCAATTACAGCCCAACTCAACATTTACATCGCCAAATTGGGTATCTTGTGCTCTTCCGCCGAGAATATCACGGGCTTCAACCATCATGAAATCCGTGACGCCAGCTGCTGTCAAATTTAAAGCAGCACTAATACCACTGACACCACCTCCAAGAATTACAACCTTGGTATGATACTCTTTTGCTTCGGCAGCAACAAGTAAACATGCAGCGGCTAATAGTAAGGTAGATTTTACCATATTTAGATTTAACACCGAAAAATAAAATGCAAAAAGAAAAGGAAGAAAAAAAAAAGGGTTGTTATTTATGTATGTTTTCAATTGTAGGTTACACGTATATTGTTAGTCCCTCCTTTTTACAAAAAAATCAGGGACTGCATGAGAATGTCTATCTATTAGTTAGAATATTACTCATCGTAGTAGTACAACGTATCCAATTTGTAAAGACTGATCGAGCACAAATACTATTCGAAAGGGTGAGAGTATTCCTATGCTTATCAACTATAATATATAATTTACATCATGTACAACAAAAAGTAAACCTATCAGCCGTATGTCACACGGCTTATCATGCTTTTTTATTTTTAAAAGTGCGCAAACCGTTTTCTTTTTCTTTCAACCACAATTTATTGGTTGTTTATATGTGTATATCTCACCACTTTGCACTTTAGTAAAAGAATTGCTATTAAGACCGTTTTTATCAATAAAATCTTTGTTCAAAAAGCTGCTGGAGTCAATTTTGTGAGTAGCTTCAATATGCGCCCCAATGATTAAGATAGTCACTTGGCGGGAAAAGAATTAATGGTTTCCCACCTTCTCCTGCAAGTTGAAGGTCAATGTTTGGAAACTATATTTTTCAGCATTTTGTTTACTGGTTTTAGAAGAGAAAAACGGCGGTAGTAGGCAAACAAATAATACGGTGCTTAAGACAACTAGAGAAATTTCCAAAGCAGACATATAGTCTCTTAATTGAATGGTATTGTCCTTTATATCATAAATGTAAGCTGGGTTTGTACAATAAAGTGTACCTTTATTAAGCTTTTTGTATTCTTTGACATTATTCGTTTTCTTCTTAACACGGGGATAGCTTAAACTGCCAAAACAGAAAATGTATGCTAAAGAGGTTAAATGTTTACTTGTGATACAAACATTAACAGCTTCTGCGTGGATCTTCTCATCCCATTTTCCCGTCTGAAACCTTTGATAGCAGATCCAATACTAATGCCTCGATCACTAGTAAACATTAATGATTTTTCTTTCTTTATCAGCTGAATCCATAAAGCATGTTATTAACAAATATGTGTTTATATCAAACTTCCAGTTTAGATCCTTTGCCTGAAGAACACAAACGTTTTTTTCTTTTCTTTATAATAAACACGGTGAGTGAAGTTGTATTTTTGAATTTCTGCATCCATAAATTTATTACAATAATAAATATACCTAATCGTGACGATAGCTTTAATGAACTTCCAAGTTGCCTCAGTATTCATTTAAGGATGGTGTGCCATGGAGTCGAAAAAATGACACTTCTGACCAAATTTCTAAAAATGACTTTCTTACCATTCGTCACGAAGAGTCTATTTTGATCGGTATTTTGGATTTGATGTTTACGGGTTTTTTATGCGTCTCCCAACGTAAGCCCAAATGTGCCCAATCGGATTGAAGTCTGGGTTTCGGGCAGATCAAATATCGAACCCGTCGACATCACATTCCGTTTTGTGCCAGCTTGCTCCATCTTCTTCACCTAGATTTCTCTTGAGTTACTTTTGATCCAGATAAGGAAATGATCATTAAAACAGTCAATACAAGTCTCTTTATTTATGATGTCTTTCATGACAACAAGAGGTCCTGATCCTCTACCCAAATCATCATTAAATCCGTGCTAAATTTCACAATCTTTTTACCAAGGTCTAGTTGATGCATTTATTCTTTTCTATCACCCGGATCTTTCCATTACTACCTTAAACGTTGTACTTCGACCCATCCGACCAAATATTTTCCCGTTGTTCTGGTGTCCTGTTCACTTTCCTGCTTTTTTTTTTATCTAAGAGAGCTTAATTGCATGTATCGAGACATTAATTTTCGTACACGGACTGGAGAGTAAAAACTGAAATCCTTCAGGGTGGCATACTTGCTCAAAATTTGTCGTTGTATACCGATTCCAGCGGCCTTCAATTTCTCTTTGTGAATTACAAACGGCGCGATGGGTTCATTCCTAAAGTTGCGTGCAACTGAGGATTTGTCTCTTTCAGACAAGTCCAACATTTAACGCAATCGGCGATTGAAGATCTAGGTATCACGATGTCCCGTCGCATGGCAGCACTTTGATTAGCTTAAAATAGCCCCAAAGGTCAATTTACAAGTATACAACGCTAAGGGGTGTTGCTAATAGAAAATGTCATTACCCGTCCTTTTACCTTGAATTTAAATTAAAGTGGCTACTTTCCATTTTACAACCAAGGGATACTCGCTCCAATCCAAAAAAAAAAAGAAAAAAAAAGCGCATGCTCGAGTGCAAAAACTTGCTTCGGGCTTTGTTCGAACTGATACAAGCTCGAAAAGTTCGAACACAATAGTATCATAAAGGTCTAATTCAGCGTAAATGAGCAAGATGATGCGAGGTAGAAAACCAATGAAATATAAGACATATGCAAGGCTTAACAGAAGTCGTAGTAAAGGTTATTGATGATCACAAAAACTCATCCTATAAATCTATTTTTTTATGACGACATCATAAATTAACCGCATACATTCAGCATAATAGCTTCATATTTATCTTGTCACTCACTGAGAAATCATTATGGTAACGATAAAAGTGTATCGGCTTCCATAACTATTCTCCTTCCTGTAGATATGTTACTGTTTATGTTTTCCATACAATGAGCCACTTGTTTTTTTTTTTCTTGAAAAAATGGCCCCTCTACAGTCCTAACTAAAGGGAACAATGAGCTTGTACGGAACTTAATTTTCACACTTCTTGTACAAATGAAAGCTATATCGCAAAGTGTTAATAGTGTCTGATTTGTATCGATTAATTATTATATACGTTTCTAAATATTAAATACGTGGATGCTTCAGACAGACCAAGTGAGAAAAAAATAGGCCAATATATAACTGCAAAGAGGAATACGGATAAAAACGAAAATGATTAACAAGATAATCACACTTTGATACCTTCATGGTGATTGTGTTGTCACTGGTGTGATTATCGAACTAAAGTAGTTTCAACGGTAACTCATTATGTGGCTACGAAGATAATTTTCTATAAAAAGATGGTTCAAATGAAGTACTGATGATGACTTTTTTTTTTTTTTTAAAAAAAAAAAAACAAGATGGGGATGATTAAATCTAAGGCAGCAACGACGGACAACTTAGTACCTTTTATCTTTCCTCAATTAAAGTGCCCCATTCCCGCTCACTTGGAAGGAATTGTCCGGTTTATCACACCTGCGGAACAGGTTGCTTTAGATTATAATGGCCACCTGCGGTATTAAACAATCATCACTTTTTTTCAAAATAAAACTTATAACGCAATAAACATTTTCTGAAAACCGTAAATATATGATGGATGTTTTTATTATGTACGTTTCTTGGCTTAGACAGGTGGTTGCCAGGTGGTATTGCCTTGATTACTCTGGCTCCATTCGTTCCATTCTGTCCAATCCATGGAAGACGGAATACCAAAGAAGGGGTTATTAGGATTATTTCGAAACAACCCTTCGTTATTGTTATCCAGTATACTTTGTATAGATGTAGTAGGTGATGCAGTAGGTACATATGAGACATTAACTTGTGAATGCTGCATGGAAGGGTTATGGTTGTGATGTAAGTTTGTAAAAGGTTGTTGTTGGAATACGTCGGGCATCGCTGGTAAAGTTTCCATCTCTGAGAATGCTGAGACGTCTTGCATAGTATAATCAAGTTGATTGGGATCACCTAATGTGTTATTAAAACCGAATTGCTTTAAACTAAAGGCTTCGGACATGGATGTAGGCGACGGAGCGGACGAAATGGCTGCCAAAAAAAAAGGGGGGGGGGGATTAATCAAATGCAAAAGTCAAACAAAATTGTGCTTTACTTGAACCATCCATGTGGGGCGGGGCAATCACCTCTGCTAATGATTGCTGGAAATGTCGAACCGAATGCTGTTCTTTTGGTGATTGCGTGAGAATTCTAGGTGCGGTTGGAGGTAAAATAGGCTGTTGGTAAGCACGAACATTGGTTTTATTTGTATTGCTTCCACGTCCAACGTCTGATATACGGCTCGACATGGGCGTTGTGTCCACGCTATTATCTCTGGACCTATTCGATTCTTCCGAATCTGAAGCATGTACAGGCACTTCGATTTCCTTATTATCCATAATCGTCTTTAGCAACCTATAAAGTCTTTGTGCTGTACTTGACATCGGTCTTAATTTTGAAATCAAGGAAATTCCCTTTGTTAAATCAGTCTTGGCGGGTGTAGATATCCTTGCGTCCAGGTTTTTTGTATTGTACATGTGAATAAGACAGCATTGCAAGACTGGATATAAACTGAAAGAGTATGGAAACATCATGAAATCTCGCATCGTCATTTGAGAAGCAATTCGGATACCTCGAGTAGCAGCACTTGTACCGATCCTGAATGATGAGTATGATGATCTTGGTTTCTTACCATTGGCTGCTGCCTCAATAAATGGCCTATGCAGTAAAATTAACAAACTAAAGTAACACAACAAAACCGATGCTACACATAATTATCAGATGATTATCAGATGTCAAACAAGAGGGCGTGTACGTTTCTTTTTCAATACCTGTAACAGGAGCAAGATATCCGGTGCTTTCATCGAAATCTTCAAAATTAGCCTTTTGTAAAGCGTCGGGAAAGCCAAATCGCCATTCAGTTAGTTGGTGATCTAACCTGGTCACAATGGCATCACTTCCTCGTTCTAAGCCTACTTTCTTTGCCTTTGGGGTATATAAGCCTTGAAGGATAGTACCGAGTATTTCTGACAGCTTGATGAGTTCGATAAATAATTGATAAATTCCTACTCGTCCTTCTAACTTCTTGGGCCTACACATCGCTGAAGGAAAGCGTGGCGAGGAGGGTCCAAAATCGTTATCGTCTTCTTCATCTAAAACTTCTTTCCAGCTTGCTGTTGAATCCGGGTAACCCACATCATTATCCTATGTAAAGATATCAACACATGCAGATAAAATCAATTTAGCGCTATTTACCTCGTCTCTAATACTGATGGGTCTTCCTAGAGAAGCTGAATGAAATCTATCAGCTACATACAGTGACCACCAAATTCTTTTTCTAGTTTGCTTTTCATTCTCTGGTATATCCCATTCTTCACAATCACGATTTAATCCCAAGCCCTGAGCCAGTCGTATGGCTAATCCACCCAGTAGCCAACAGGCAGATGATTTTGAATCCAAATTCCCACTATGATTATGTATAAGAATGATAGACTGAACTTTTGACATGGTTGGAGTTGCGGAGGAAGTGGTAATAATAGTCTGAGCTTGATCAAAAAACTGGTCTGACCAACCGACAGGTACATCCCAAACAGCATCTGGTGGTCGATTTGCTTTTGATTTCTGAATTAAAGCTTCACATTCGACAAATCTTGCAGCTGCACCAAACATGGCGTTTAGTAAATCTGAAGGAGGATATGTATCTGCTAAATCCCTATATTGCTGTAAAAATCTTGTTTTATTGACTACTGGTAATACTGGGTGGACATTTGCAAAGTAACTATTGTATCTTAGTAACTAAATTTTTCGTGGGGGGTTGGTTACTTACATTTTTATTAACCGGTTACTTGTATGTCTGTCTACACCGGTGACAGAGTAAATCCAGTAATGTATTGGTTTCACATGAGGTACAAGTTGAGTGTCTGGTATACTTGGATCATCAACTTCATCTTCTTTCCCGTCCTCTACTAAAACGACTTGTTTACCAAATTTACGTATATGGTGTCCTTTCCATTTTCTGTTGGTATCATCCAATTGAATTTTGTTTGAGAATAGCTGAAAACTAGACATGTCCCCTAAATATTGTACTTTATCAGATGATGCACCTTCAGGTTTTTTTATCCCACTGTTAGATTGTATTGAATCTTGTCTATGTGGTCCTGGTGAGGGTGATTGTACTGGTGCAGGCGATGTTGCTGTAGCCTGGTTTTGTAAAGAGTCTTCCATTTTTCGAATTCTTTTTTCTAAAGCATCAATATATCTGTAATTCAATAAAAGTTTAGACTAATAGATCATAGACAGCGTGAAGAAATTACCCTTTAGGCGGCCCCCGTTTTTTAGCACTAGAACGAAAAAGAAGTGTTAACTACACAAGAGTTTTGACCCTACAGCCCCTCCTTTTTTCTTTTCTTTTTTTTTTTTTTTTTTTTACTTTTCATTGAATCCACAAACAATGCCATAAGATACACAATTTGTACAGGCTTGGCCAGGTGTAAAATAACATTTAATTTTCTTTTTTCTACAATAATCACTGGACAGAAAAGAAAAGAAAAGGAAAAAAAGTAAATCAACCATTACACCTGAAACTTTTCTTCATTCAATACCAAGCACGGGTTATTCTAAGCCTTGTTTTATCAGAAGAACTCAAGTCTGGTTCAGAAACATTATCTGGCGTTACCACGTCAAAAAAATTGTTATTTAATGTATCGTCCATGGTTTAAATGAACCGATTATAAATAGGATTTTTTTTTTTTTTTAAATCAAAAGAAAAAGGGCTGTCTTTCCGGGTAAACTTATTTGCCTCTATATAGTTTTAATTTTTTTTTTTTTAATGCAAACAAAAGGGCTACACCATTTCTTCTTCTACGAATGATTAACTATTTTCTCTGTGTAAACTCATTTTTCTATCTCATTGCATTGTCTGCCGGGCTTTTTATGAGCATTATGGATTTGGTGGCCATTGAAGCGAACGGCAACCTTCGACCTGTCGTATTTTTCAAGACACGTCAAGTAACCTACGTGGTCTTCAACATGTGTATTGTTGTCATGTTCATTTGTATTGTAGCCTGCTTTATTTTGACAGGAAATATGGTTTATTTTAATGCAATTGCTATGGCGCTAATCTGCTATGTGTACAACTGGCTGATATTTATGCCTAACAATGATCGCCTATGCTTTTTGGAGACATATGAGGAGGAGGATTATTCTCGCAAAGAGCATAATCATTTGATCATTCGCTGGAGTTGTTTACAGGCAATTAAAATATTTATGGTATCTGCGACATATCTCTTTGTTTCTATGGCAAAAGTTCCTACTGAACAATAGACTTACTCCTAACGTCTTTCAAAATCTATATTTCACGATCTGATAATGTTGTCGGTATCCGCGGAATAATAATAAAAAAAAAAGTACAAGCAGGTTCTAGACTAAACATTATATTTGTAATCAAGCGACTTTCCTGTTTAATTATGTACATTTAAACAAGGCGGAAGTCTAAAAAGAGTTTTATCCTCCTAAAAGGTAGCAGTACAGTTTTAGCTGCGAGGACAATTATGATTATCAATCATCAATCAATTAGTAAATGATAGCTTATTTGCGTCATTTAGACTGAGCTTGCACATAAAATGAAAGGGCCTCGGTTTATCTCCTGTATGTCACGGGTTATTGTATGGCCAACGATTGCTGGTAGAAAACACAGCTATACATTTTCTCTCGTATCATAGCTACTTCTGTCTAGTTACAGCCCATACCTTCAATCTGCATTATTTCCAAACGAATGAACTACAAATAAATAAATAAAAAAGTTTGGTTCTTTGAATAGTAGCTAATGATACTGAACCATGTGTTTCTTTAGGAATGTAAGCGTGTAAATCGTATGGCGTAGTATTTGTCTGTATCGTGATAGATACCATGTTTAATACTGGTGATAATCTTTCTTGTAGTATACTTGAGTGTGGTCATCATCATTATCGATTTTATTTATGATGTGCTTCATTATAACCATGAATAGATAAATTAACTAACATGTCATATTTCAAATATAAAAATGCATCATACATTTGACATGAAGCTGATCCCATACCGACATGTGTTCTGTACTGCTGATATGTGTGATAAAATTAGGTTGTGATTGAGGATCAGTAAAATAAAAAATCCCTGCATTTATCTAAGCCTTGATCTTTTAATTTCTGACCTGGTCTTTCGTACCACGCTTCTCATACATATATGCTAAGATTTATCATGTGCAAGAAAGACATTTAGCCTAAATGCCATTTTATCGCATCTGACGAGGGTGATACTTTTACCCCAACTACTGTGATACAAAAAAAACAGATGACGGGTTACTGCAACGCTCGGGTAAATAGAAAATGCGGTGTTTTAAAATTAGATTTTTATTTTATTAAGGGTAGATTATGAAAGCTTAATTTGTTGTTGAATGCAACTATAAAAATTTGGCAAGGTTTTTGATCGGTACAAACCCAATTGTTCCTGTGTCAAATAATCAAATTTTCCTGCCTTGAATAGTTGTGAAAGACAGAAATTGTTTGTAATAACGTCTCTTTCGATAGACCTATCTTGACGAGGCATCAATCTATAGATCAAAGAACTAGTGTAGCTATCATGATAAATAAACTGAGTGTTTATAGGGCAATGGGGTTTAAACACTAAGCCATTTTGGATTGCCTTAGTCATGATCCAGTGCAAGGACTGACTTGAAAGCACGTTATCATACGGACCAGATTGTTGGCCGCCAACATCGCTATGCATACCAGGAAACCAAACCTGTTCTAGTACTTGCTGATCACCCGCTGCTGAAATTTGCATCAGGGTGGGACGAAACCATTCACGTTGTTCATGAATTGATACTGCATGATAGGCGTTTTTGACGATTGGTGACAATTTTGTGTCATGGAATTCGTGCAAACCTGAAAATAGGCTGTAAACTTATTTTTATACGAAAGGGTCAGTGAGAGGGAGAATATTTCATCTATTTATAAATTTATACTTTACATGCCGAGCCACCAAGATACCAAGGAAGTTTGGGGACTCCTAATGATCCAACCGTATCAAAGCAACCCAAGAAGTGAATGGAAGGCATTCTGCAATTGAATTTTGTACGAAATTTTAGTGATAAGAGCTCGCCAGGGCGAGAAGCGTCACCTCGGTTCCGATAATGTTGATATGCATCCTTTGAATGGTGTAACTGATTTTCTGGCAAAAGCCCAACATTATAAATTAAACCTGTTAAGCTACGTGCAGCATAAGCTAAAATGAATCAAGTGTTAATATAGTGGCAACTGATGGCCCCAACAAAATTATACCTCCACGACTAAAACCAACCAGCCAAATTTCATCATTTTCGTTTCGATAATTTTTACAGATGTATTGATATGCAGATAAGATTTGATCCGTAATGCCGTAACCAAAGAGACCGCCGAGTAGAGGATAGTTACCTTTTGTGCCTAAGCCTGGACAGTAACTTATTTTATAATCCCAAGTTTGATCCGTAGTAGAATCTAAATTGGCATAAAACTTGTAGACGTTTGTTTTTTCTATTGTTATTGTTGTTGTAGTATCAGCCACATGCCTGTATAATGTATGTGTATTTATTTACCTTGGGGTGTCTCCCAGGTACCATCCAAACAAACGATAATACGACGACGACGATGAGCTAGAGTAAGCATTTTAACTTTTTTTATTTTTTAAATGATTATACAATTAGAAAAAAAAATCAAGCCTTTTATACTGAAAAGAAAAAAACCCCCATTTTAGATATACTAAACGAAGCGAGAACTGTAACAATGTGTATAGGTCAGTATATCGATGTTTCGAGAAAACCACGATTTTTTCATAGAATGACCCGTTTTGTGATATTTTAGGCTTGTGTTCACAAACAAGGAAATCATAATTTAATTTTTTTTTTTTTTTTTTTTGTGCCTTTTCTTTTTTTTCTTTTTTCCTTCATCTCGCAAGATTAGACATTCTTTTTACAAAGAAGAATATATTTATATTATGGACACCTTGGAAGCAAAAGTTGTCATTCTTGGAAGTACAGGTTCGCATAACTATATTTTTTTTTTTATTTTCATACATTTTTTTTTCTTTTCTTCCCGTCTTCCCTTGGTTCTTTAAGAGCGACCCTTTTTTTTTTTCTGTCTATCCAGAGGGAGTTTATGACACACAAATCACTCATATGTACTTAGTTAATATATTTGATACACTCGTTCTTATGTGATTGCAGGTGTTGGAAAAACATCAGTAGCTGTTAGATATACCCAAAATACGTTTTCCCCCAATGGTACCTCAACAATCGGAGCTTCATTCATGACAAAGAAATTGCAAGTAAACAAGAAAAAAAAGATTGTCATGCACTAATTTTTCACTATGCTAACACTTTAAAAATAGGGGCGTTAATGAGTGCAGTGTAAGGTTACAAATATGGGATACGGCTGGACAAGGTAAATAAAAATTATTTATCGTACCTTTTCTCTCCTAATAATTGTACCCCTTGTGGCTATAGAACGTTTTAGAGCAATGGCGCCTATGTATTATCGAGGAGCATCAGCCGCCATTTTAGTATATGATATTACATCTGAGGAAAGTTTCAAGGAAATGGTTTCATGGATGGAAGGTAAATAGACTTTAAATGGAAAATAAACATACCTAAAATTCATATCATTTTAACTTTTTTTGTAGAGTTGAACAAGAACATGACGGATGATTTAGTGATCCATGTTGTTGGAAATAAGCTTGATTTAGAATCAAAACGTGAAGTCTCGTTTATGAAGGTATTGGATTACTGTGACCAGCTTTCTCATGGTGTCAGCGGTATTAATGAAGTGTCTGCCAAACACAACATTGGTAATTATAATGTATGATTTTTTTTTGCTGTAACATTCATCCTAATTTTATTTTATTTTCAGGCATCGAGGAAATCTTTTTGGATATTACACAAACTCTAGTCGGAAGAAAGTACAATCTGAATCTCGACAGAACAACCACCACTGATATCCACAGTGAAAACGTTCAATATGAAAAGTCTGGCTGCTGCTAACTAACTTTTTAATATATTAAAAATATCCACGTTTTTCTTATACACATCTCTCTCAGTACTTGATAAAAATAACTTCATATTTTTTTATTATTTATTTATTATATAAAAATTACTGATTAAATATTAGTTATTACGCACAAGCCCGTCATAGGAATGGGGAGGCTGTACGGATTCGGATGGGGAAATATTACTATAATTTGCGGGTATCTCCTCCACATAAGTCTTGGAAACCTTTCTAGATCTTTCGTATCCCCCATTATTCACTAACGAATCATGTTGTCGATACCCCATATTCATATGCTCTTCTTGTACGGGGTTTAAATAATAATCGTTATTGTAATCATTTGAAGTATCGTATGTTTGCGGTTGTTGCTGGTGGTAATAATACCCGTTGTTTTGTACAGGTGGTGTATAGGACTGATGATGATGTTGTTGTTGTTGTTGTTGCAGTTGTTGGGGTAATATGGGTGATGTGTAGCCACCTTGTGATTGATGTTTGGGTGGTGAAGGAAGATGCTGAACTGACGAAGGAGGGCGTACTGCCATGGGTACATCCTCTTTATAATCATAGGCATCATAGTCCTCATTATACACATCCGAGTTTCTTTGTACAAGTGTATAGAGTGCTAATAGCAACCAAAAGAAACCAACCACAATCGTGCCCATCCAAGCTCCATTGACGAGCCCTTGAAAAAAAAAATTATTTGTTTATATATCTTTTTAAATTGCTGTTTCGTGTTTCAACAACTTACAGCATCGGATTGAAGTTCTATTATCTTCATAATTTGAGCAATATGAAGCATAACCTTTGGTGTTGGAAGTGAATTGCTTGGTCAAATTTCCTGTCCAAGGGATCGTGCCTGATTGAAGCGAGTTGTAGACGGCAATAGCGATAAATAAAAGCAAATTGATGATGCTCATCACCCTATCGCTTAATAAGGATTTTGATTGTATACAACCTAAAATCAGTAATATAAAAATTGACAATATCGACACGATAGGTCCAACATAGTATAAAATATACTGTTGTCACGATTAATATTATAAAGTTCACTGTTAAAAAGATATCGTGTATATTTACAGGTATGAAATCTGGCCACCATGGTCCTGCTCCAGAATCTTGATTTAGTAAAATTAACTGAGCTGTAAAAATTATACAAAAAAAAAAAAAGAAGAGAGTATTTGTTTATTACTGGCAACTACTGTATTTGTTAATATAATCTTTTATTTTTTTTACCAACATGACAGCCCAAAGTACCGAGACTAAGCACCAAAGTGATACATCTTAATAAATATAATATCACAATTCTAAGGGCCATTTTTTTAAAAAATCTTTAAAAAAAAAAAAAAAGGAAAGAAAAGAAGGGTTATGAAGTACAAAATTACCACTTGGATCATTAAAACTTGTACAATGCTCATAACACAAATTTGCGCACTTTATAAATATCTAATTTACGTACATTTCATTGGCCAATTCGCGTCAATCTAAAACTCAATTCGCGCTTTTTTATTTTTATGTTTTGGGAACAAAAAACATTTCGCTTAAAATAGTAACTTCAAAATTCTATATACGAGGAAAGTGCATTTTACATTTATGGATGTGCAGAAAGTTGATGTGTACACTTTACTAAAACGTACAAAGGAATCCATATGACGTAAAAATTATTGTGTTTGACTACTAAAGTAACTAAACCAATCCAATAATTAAACCTAAGCTAAAAATATAATCTGAGGATAGTACTTTAACGTAGTACTAAGGTAGTACAATATATTTAACAAATTTAGATTTTCTCTTTAAAATCAGAATTAGGAATCTCTCTTCAGATGTCCGTGCTCCTTCAATGGGATCTCTCGCAAATTGTTTCCATTACGCGTATACATAACACAATCATAACATTATCTTTTCTTGTGCTTCTGAATTTTTTCTATTATTGATCAGTGTTATCTGTCGTAATATAATAGCAAGGCACTGTTTCTAAGCCAATATATGTAAGTAAAGGATGATTTTGTTTTTTCGTATTTACATGAAATATACTATTTTTAGTATGGATATAGACTACAATAAACGATTAAAAGAGACATTTGTCATAAGAGTACACTTCATTGGGTTATTGTTTCGTCTTGAATAGCGCAGCTACTGTAAATTTAGAAATGCAGATGATGAGGAAAAGCCTGTAATACATTCACTAAGATATCAAATGTCTGTATGTCAAGCGGAGCATTATCTTTCTTTTTATCTTCGGCTTATAAAAATACACATTTACCGAAACGAGAGGATATGACTGCATTAGTTTTCTTTTCTATCTACGCGTTTTAAATCCAATTAAAGAGTTTTAGTTAGTTTGTAAGAGCAAGCTCAGGCGATGACTTACAGCTAGTAGATGATCTACACTCTAACACATGATCGTTCTTCAAACAAAATTTTCGTTTACTTCTGGACTCAACGAATTATTGACGTTAGGCATTATATGAACCATCGGCGTTTCCTATCATCAAAGATGATGCTACATTTGTGTGGCCAACCTATGCATAATAAAAAAAAAAGTTATAAAAAGGTAGTGCCGCTTATTGTTTTAGTCTCTACCTTTTCTTTCCCTTTCGGGCATGCTGTTTATGGGAGACTGCATTTGCCACCGCATATGATTTATTAAACCATTCTCTATTACACATGGATACATTTTTTCTACTAGAGATGCCGAAGGAACAGATAAATTGAAGACCGAAAACAAAAGGGGGTATTTTATTATTATTATTAAATGTAATCTTCAGTACCCTTTATGAAATGGGAGTAATGTCTTCATCAAAAACGACTCTTGGGTGTTGATAACCGTCTTCATTACTATTTCTGAATCCGACCGCGTCTGGCTTCATGATTAGCACCAGAATGGTAATTAAGACTAAAATTGATAAAAAAGCAAAAAGTGCATTCCTTGAACAGGTTTTCCATTTTTTGTCAATAGATTTACTTGCAGAGGTTCTTTGAGAGGAAGGTACGTACAGTGCACCGATCAACCAAAATGGCGGGAATAGGAATCCCAAGGCGAAATAGAGAAAGGAAGCACGATTTCTTCTTCCTTGTTGCTGTGTAGGTTCGTCGTTGGTGAAGGAACTTTTTTCGCATAGATCCTCCATACTAGTGCTGTCTATGGTGTCGTGGTGATCCAGCATTATTTCCTGCTTCATCTGCTTGGTCTTGTTGATAATTTGCTGTTGAAACCGAGCAGCAGTGGAGTATTGTTTATATGGATTATTGTGTGTGCCATCATTTTTCTTGTTAAACCCCACCTCTTGCAAGATACGACGGAGTTCGAGTCGATCTTGGCTGCAGCAGGAAGTTTCGTCGGTATGTTTATCGTATTTGGGAAAGGGACGTGGTAGGATTTCTATTTCTGCTTCATTGTCTGTGGGTCTATGCATGAGTTGAATATTTTGAATATCGGGTAAAGTAGGTTCTTCTACAGTATCAAGCCGGGTATCTTTCTCATCTAGTGGCCATTTGCCCTTGTAATAGACATCGGTGACAGGTTTGGCAATACCATGTTGGAACGAACCAAACGTGTACTGTGGATCGAATAATGACTCCCATTGTTTGCTTTCTTCGGCGATCGTCTTTTTCTCTGTCTCATATTTATTACTGTGTGGAAATAATTCCTCGTCCATTGCTGTTATTTATTTAATTTGTATATATGAAAAGAAAAGTGGATCATTAAAAATAAAATGAGCATTGCTTTATATCCAAGTTAAAAATATACGGAAATTTTATTATTTCCAAAGAACTTCCGATTTTTATGACACTCACGTTTTAAGCTATATTTTTTGTCGCTATAATGTACAAGTGTGGTTTGACCAGATTATTTTACTAATTTTATTTTATTTCAAATGGAGCATAAAAAAAAAGTGGTTGAGAAGTGTCATGAGGACTCACCTTGTACCGAGTTTTCGGTAATGCGAGAGGAGATTGAACATTACCATGGTTACCAAAGGGAAATTCCATTGTGGCGTTAAAATAACCAAAGCGCACATCGATAAAATTTACATACTAAAAATGCGACGGGTAATAAGATTATGCATTTTCCAGATCTTTTATATAAAAAGGTGATATTTTTTTTTTTTTTTGGGCTGGGAGAAAGGTATGATGTTACAGCTACACAATCCTTCCCCTCCCCCCCCCCCAAAAAAAAAAAAAAAAAGAAAGACCGGAATATGCCATTTATAGGAAATCTACTGAAGATTTGATCTTTTCTGCAGATACAAAAAAAACATCTCTCCTGCGTCAAATGCAAATGATACATGGTAGGTACGCACGTGTTGGGGAATGGGGGCACAATGATACCATCCACGTCATGAGAAAAGAAAAAAAAATGGATTTAAACTCAAAAGGATGATCTCCCTATCAAACTGTCAGAAATACAAAAAGTGGAGCGTTGGGATAGCGGGAAAGTGTATAACCGGAGTAGCAATTTTAATAGATTCCAGGAACACCAACAAATGGAAAAAGAAGTAGTAGCAACAGGGTTGGGGTGTACTACCTTTTTGGAGTAATACCGAGTTACCTTTAAATTGATGAACTCTATTTTACCAATGATAAAGTTTATGTTAATATTAAAAAAAAATTAATTCATATTACCTTAGCCCTACTCATCCCGTTGAGTTGTGGGGATTATCGTAGCGGTGCAAGAATAAAAATTCTAGATGAAATAAAAAAGGAAGAGGTTGAACAGGTGGTACACGGTATATGAAATTCTTACATCGATAAGTGCATACAGGATATATACCAAGATAAGCGTTGTTATAGTAACCAATTAATATTTCCTCTCACCTCGAGCAATTCCCAGTGTGAATGGAATATGCGGCTGGGTTGATACGGTAGATGATTCTACCACAATGGATGATCCTTCTGAGTTCCAAGTTAAGTTTGAAAGCGACATTTTAAATAATTACACCAATAGTATATTGTCTCGCTGACTCAACAGAAAGTAAAATAAAATAATCGATCCAAAATAGACTAAACCCAGTCTGAAAAAAAAAAGAAGCATGAATAAAAAAGAGAGTTCAAGATGAAAAAAAAAAAATACCGGCTTTAAATAAATTAAAAATTGGATACCAGCTTGGCGTCCGATGAACGACGATGATTTATCATGTCAGCTCAATGCAAGATCCACACTAAAAATAAAATATATAGAACAATTGGGATTTCTTATTCCTTACAACTAGTTTTTTTTTTTTTTTTTTCTAGGGTAAGGATACCCCACATTGCCATAAGCGGAACTCATGACGTGAAATAAAAGAGATGAGCTCCAAAATATATATATAAAAAAAAAAGAAAAAATGTATAAAAAAGAAAATCACCCTTTTTCCCCTCCTTTTTTTTTTTTTTTTTTTTTTTTTTTTTTCTATACTTTATTATTACATTAATCATTACGTTCAAAAATCGTTTTCTCTCATACAGCAATGGCCGATCCTTCAGAACATAAACGCCAACGTGTCAGTAAAGCTTGGTAAAAAAAAAGAAAAAAAAAACAAAAATCACTCTTTATATTGTACGTAAACTGAAACGACCTGCTATGATAGTGAGCAGTGTAGAAGAAAGAAAGTAAAATGCGATGGTTCTTCGCCGCACTGTAATAATTGTATTACGTTGGGGCTGGCGTGTCACTATAAAGAATCAACAAAAAAGGTACGCCCATCCTAGGTACACACGCACATAGATATTAACATGATATAAAAAGCGAGGACCACCGAAAGGATATATTGAAGCTATTGAAGGCAGATTACATCGATTAGAAGCACTATTGGGCAGTATTGTTCAAGAAGATGATCCGCGATCTCAAGCAATTATAAATGAGTTAAATGCGCCTTTAGAAACAGCGTATGGTGAGCTTGTTCGACCACGTCCGATGCGTAGAGAAAATGTGTCTGGATTTGAGGCTGAATGTGGGCCACTCACAACAACAGAACCCATGCTGGCGGGTATGAAACCTGATGAATCACACCATCATGATAGTGACGAATCAAATAATATGGGAAATCTGTCTATCGATGAAAGTGGACAGCTTCGTTACTACGGCAAATCATCTGGATTCTACATGTTACGAAACAGTAAAAACTTTCAAAACAGAGCATTTCAATTCAATACAAAAGGTCGTCAAGATCAGGAGGGAACAACTACCTTTCCCTTTGTTGTAGATCCGTTTGAGTTGCCTCCCAAAGATCTTTCCGATCATTTACTGAACCTTTATTTCAAATACTTTTACCCTCTTTTACCCATCTTACACAAGAAATCATTTATGGAATCTGTCACAGATGATACCAAACCTTCACCTCCTCCCATCTTGTTAAACGCCATCTACGCTGTCGCTTCTCGTGTCTCCTCCGATGTACGTGTAAGATCGGTCGCTACAAAACCTGAAACTGCGGGCGATGTCTTTTTCGAGAGAGCTCGTATGTTACTAGATTTAGAGTGGGATAGCTTTCGAGTTTATACCGTACAATCATTATTGCTCATGAGCAGTCATCAAAACGGTGCGTTAAAAACCACTCGAGGCTGGCTTTACAGTGGCATGGTTAGTTTTTTTTTTTTTTTTTTTTTTTTTTTTTTTTGCCTTGCTTACTAACCCGTCTGTTTCTTTTCCCACGCAAACATTCAGGCCATTCGAATGTCTCAAAATCTGGGTCTGCATAGAAATTGTGATAGCTGGGACTTATCAGCAACTGAAAAAGAAGATAGAAAACGAGCATTTTATGGGTGTTTTGTGCTGGACAGATTAGCGTGTGCAATGCATGGTCGATCCCCCATGATTGATGAAAGAGATTATGATACGCCTTACCCCTCTGAAAATGACATTGATGCACCACGTATCATGGAGAACTTTCATTATCTCGTCAAAATCTGTGAGATTTTGGGTGATGTCATTCGTGAACTCTACATGGTCAAAGGAAGAAAGCAATTATCCATGATGTCCTCACCCGATAATATCGTCTCTACTCTCGATAAGAAATTAAATAAGTGGATGTCGAAATTACCCGCCAGTTTACAGTACAGACCTCCTAATACACGTCTCAATGAGCGTGCGCCTGCACCATCATTACAGCTCTGTCAATTACACATGTTATTCTATACAACACTGATATTATTGCATCGTCCATTTATTCCAGGACCACAACAAACAGTGGCCCCCTCTGTGTTTCCATCCGCATCTATATGTACATTTGCTGCCAACAAGATATTGGATATTACCGGTTCGCTTTTGGCGGAAGGCAGATTAAAACATGTGAACAATTATTCGTTGTTCTTTATGTTTACAGCCGGCATCATCTTTATTTATAATGCAGCTTCTTCCGATTCTATGTTTGCGTTCGAAGCCAAAATCAGTATTAATAAGATTATGCGAGCCATGGATGTAGTCGAAACCACCTGGATTACGTCTGCTCGTCATTGTAATATTTTGGGTGCGCTTGCTGGATTACGCGATATCGATTTAGATTGTGTTGATCAAAGTTATACCAAATCGTCGACACAACAACAACGTGCTGCGCCCCCGCCTTCTATCGCCGTACCCAATTCTCCCGAACCCGACGGTGCTGATCCACGTCACTACGATTTCCATCAACGTAGTATGGAGGAGAAATATTACATGGGAAGTGCAGCAACGAGTACGGGTAGTCATAAATCTCCTAGTGTCGATTTCAATTCGCCAGAGATCTCTCAAGGTGCAACAAATTCATTTCCTATGCCTAACTTTGACAATACAAATTCATTTGATCCAAACGGTACTGCCTTTTGGGGTGTACCAATGTCGTTCGATATCGATGAATGGAATAGCTACTTTAGTAACCAAAAAGGTGCTGATAGTGTCTTTACTCCTTATGAATCTCATGAATCTCGTCAACCTCAAGTACCTCTTTGGGCTGATTAATACCGACTATCCCCCCATCCTCTTTTTTTTTCTGTTGTAATTATGCATATATATCTATACTCTCTCTCTTTCTCCTTTAATAAAAATTGAAAAAATATCCAAAGGTGTGTCGAAAAACCTTATACATAGGAAGCATATGTTTTTGAAACCCAGATTGAATGGGAAGGTCTTTACGAGATGTATGGATCTAGACACTGACAAAATTACGCTTTGAAAAAATTCGGGATGTAATTTATACTACAAATTATTAGCTAGGTTAAAATGTCTCTGAGAAGCGAAAGAGTTAACATTCATTTGTAACCTACATGTTAAACCCTATTTCCTATAGAATACTTCTATCCAGGATATGCTCTATTATGATATAAGGAGAGTACATTTTATTTAAGGGAGAAAAGAAAGAAAGAACTTAAAAAAGGTGATCTCGCGTAAGATGAAGTGGTGGTGTACATATAGAAACATAATAAAAGGAATGGAAGTACTACATATTTAAATTTTGTGTGGGTGAGTGGATAGGTGTAAAAAGGGGTATAAGTATTTTTTTTTTCTGTTGGGTTGGGTATTTTTAAGATTTAACTTGGGTAAAACTTGTTTGGTATCTAATTTCATTGGTAAGGAACAATAAGCGTAACTTGTGCTCTAATTCACTGTAAAGAAATTAAAAATACAAAGAAGGTAAGACTTTTTGTTGAAGAGCACACATCAAAAGAAATAAACTTACGTTGCTCTAAGCTGCCATTGATTTCTTTCTAAGAGTGTTGTCTCGAGTTTATGTTTGATTTGAGAATCGGGTGAAGGATGAGAAGGTCTTTCATCGCAAGAAAATTGATACATGGTTGATAAATCTTCGAGCTCGGAATTGAATTTCTGTTGATGATTACAGTTAGTAATTTTGGGTGTATTTTTAGTTTTAATAATTTACTTACATCGCACACCGTGCCTAGTTCAGATACGGAATCATCCAGATCCGCTTTCAATAACTCAATTTCTTCTTCCTTCTACTTTTTTTATTAGTACATCCTCTCTATTTTTTTTTCTTTAAAGATGATTTACCTTTTGCAACAAAGATGTCAATATCAATATTGTCTTATTTTTATCATCCAGCTCCCTGTACAATTCATTTTTATCATCCACATAATAGCTGGTTCTCTTCGCAAATGAATCAGCGGAATTTGAATAGTATTTGTTGTCATTGGGCGCTGCAATAGGAATCATCAAGTCAGACACTGGACGAGGCGACTCAAACTAATAAAGAAAGTTAGTTACGAAAACGTAATTAAGAAAATATAGCTTACTCTGTCCATAAATAGTGAAGACCGATGGCTGTTTAACGTTGAAATAGAGCTGTATCTACTGTTGATGGTAGAACATCCGCTACTCGACTCAATCATGGCCGGTGTAGACTCTCGCATACCAAGCGGAGATCTTGATCGATACATGACAGGCTCCTCTGATCTTTTGTTGGCGACCGATTGAAGTTCATAAGAAGCTGTTCTACTCGGATGAAAACTTGGCTGTATAGAATAGAGTGAGAATGATTAGAATACAAAGACAAGATGGGAAATAAGAGTGCTTACACTAAAATGTCTAGCCTGGTTCATAGGTGTGTCTATTGCAAAACGACTGAGGTTAGATGAAGGAATGTTGTCAGTCTGAGAAGAGGCCAAGGACTGTAGAGTCAGCCTAGATTCGAGACTTAGATGGGACTTGATGGAGCTGGCACAGGAGGAGGAAGAGGAGGGGGAGGACGAAAGATGAATTGAATGATTCGGTGTTTCCAGCCCATGGATGTAGTCGGTATATGTACTCCGCGGTCGAGGAAAGCCCGAGGATGGCATAGCTGGGTTAGCCAGATTGGGTTGTTGTTGTCTTGCGTTACCTGAAAATGAAGTAAACAACTTAAAAGTTGATTTACTCTTTTTACGGATCAAATCCTGTTTCATTGAAAATCGGGATGGTTGCGCTTGGGGTTGCACAGCACTACTGGGCATTTGACCTGATTTAAGAAGATCTCTATCACAAAGTAACACTACGCAAAAAGTATATGGTCAGTTTTCTTACATTATAAGCGTGTGGGCCTTTTTTTTTTTTTACACACAATTTCCAAATAGTTGGTTTTGAGCATTTTGAACATGATGAGTGTCATTTGCACGAAAGGTCAAAAGTGAAATTTCTTCATTTGTTGTATTACCAATAGCACATTTGCTACGAATGGCAAACCTAAAAAGCAAGTTAGTCATTTTCACATTGAAAAAAAGTGCTGCTGCTTACCTGTAACTGTCATCTTTTTCATGAGGCACAATAAATCCAACCATATTTGGGATTACAAGGCAACGGCTCAGCACGGTTTCGATGTTGACAGTGTTTTTTTCAATATAAAACAGCGCAATTTCATTCTATAAAAGGCTTCATTAAAAAAAAAAATCTCCCCAGATTTGTAGATTGATTCGATATTTACTTTATTTGACACCTTGTCATACATGGAAGTCGGATAAATATTTGCAAAGAAGTGGTGATGATTCCATTGACAGTAGGACGTTTGAATGAGTTGGTCTAGACGGTGTTTGAAAATGAGAAAAATAACAAATAAACCTAAAAAAAACTTACCACTTTGCTTTAAACTATTCTTTGCCTTTCCAAATTGATGAATGAAATGGGCTCTTGTCTTTTCAGCAGTTTGGAAGTACTCTCTGTTAATCATGTTACCGCCTTCATTTAAAAAGAACGAATGCTTTTGTTGATCATGTTGAAAATAAGCTTCCAGAGATTTTTGTGTCGCTTGATCAGTATCGGTTGAAGATGGCAATGGACCCGAAGAGTTACACAACAAGGTAAATGAAGTTTTCGAGAAAGATGGGTCTATTTTAAAATACTTATTTTTTAATTATTTTTGTTATTTCATTATATATGTGTACATATGCTTTATTTGATCTTTTTCTTTACCTGGTCCGTCATGGATATCAATGTCATTTAAACTTGCCCAGCCAATAAATTTCATCTTGCCTGTCACAGCCTCTTTACGTATACAGAAATCCTTTCTTTCTGACCCTTCGTACATTCTTTGGTCCAATCCACATAAATCCAATCCATCCGATTCATACGAAGGTCGTTTCACCACCATAATTTTATCAGAAAACAAAAATAGAGTGACTGGTTGCACAGGTTTCATTGTTTGTTGATCGATTTCGGTTACATCAAGGTAGCATAAAAATCTTCGTTGAAAACTAATTAAAGATTCCTATTATAAAATAATAAAATAAATTAATTCATTAATGGAATAAAATCAAGTAAAAAGAAAAAGAAAAAATTACTTTACGGGACAATACTGAACAGCTTGTAATAAACGTCGAAAGATTTTCATGATTTGGGTATGAATCTCTTCCGTCATATTGGCAATCTCCTCCGCTTTCAATAGTGAAGCATGTAAACCTGGCAAATCCACATGATCATCCGTTGTGTGTTTTATAAGTTCCTTAAAATACATTGTGTATCTTCCTACACGTTGACTGGGCAATGCAAGATAATCATACACTGTTTGGTTACCATTGCTTTGATTGTTAATGACTTTTTCCAAAAAATGATAGTAATTGGGATTCTTTAATTGTTTTTCATTGATAATCTGTGCATTATGAACTCCCAGTAAAAATCTATTGTAACAAGTAAACCTCCTCATCTTTTTTAGAACGGAGCTGTTAGCTTACAAACAAACAAACAGAAAGAGAGAGAGAGAAACTTACATGAGATAAGCATAGATCACCCAGATTCTTACCGCCTGCGCCATGTTGAATCAAGTCATTATAAAAATCCTGGGTGACAGCAGCCAATTCATCGATATTCATAAATATATTAGCACACTCATACTGCCCAATAATAGCACGTTGCCTATCTTTAGACTTTTGTCGAAGAGGCTCAACAATTAACTGCAAATATATTTCATTGTTAAGATATTAAACAAAAAAGAAGGATAAAGAAAAACACCTACGTTGATAAACGTTCGGAGACTGGATAAATAATTGGCTTCCGTCATGATGAACTCATCTAATAAGTATTGTCGTCTCTCATCATTCTATTCCCTTGTGGTTTAGTTACATCTGTATGTTTCCATGGTATTTTTTTCTCTCTTTACCTTGACGTAATCTCTCTTGAGAGAAATAGTTGGTGGTGTATGATAATGTAAAATGGAGGGTGATGTAATGACTTGGTTGAATTGTTGGAATAATTTTGAGGTTTTCTCTATATTTGGAACAACGTGTCAGATTTTTTATTTTTATTTTATGTACATGTATGCTGTACCTGAACTTTCGTTTGGATCGTTTACTAGGATATCATAATAGTGACACTGCATAAATGTAAGTGTTTGAAGGAAACGTACAGAAAGATGAGTCTATTTCTTACCACTGAGTCCAAGTTGAAAGTTGATTGTTGTGAGTTGAAATCTAATAACTGTCTACTGTAGATATAACCTATACTGTCTAGGCTTATATCAATTTGTTGCATTCTTTCTTTATCAATAAAAAAAATGTGTATATGAACAAAAAAGAAAGAAAAAGAAATAAAAAAAATGAATTTATGCTTTTTTTCAATTTACAAATCTCGGTTGCCCTTGTCTTCCCCTTTTTTTGTACGCGTGTAACTTGAGTGTTCCGGTTTAATAAAACAACAACAACGAACAAAGCTATCGTCATTCAGGGCAATTTTAGGGTTTTTGTACACTCTCGCTGTTCCCATCTAAGGACACTATTTCCCTGCTGCTCGTGCATACTAACCCGACCATCCAGCCAGGAAAAAAAAAAAAAAAAAAAATACCTATTTTTACAATAAAAAAACACATGTTACACCATATGTCGGATACTGGCTTCCTGATACTCCGAGAAAGTTATGAAAACGTACATCTTTTGTGCTATGGATGCATAACACCCTTGCAATTTTTTCTACAATACCCGTTTGGAAAAAAAACAGGACACTTTGTGTCACGTATGTCAGATATGTATCTTCGCCATTCTACCATAACAGCTTGTCGCTTTTTCAATAACATGAAAAAGAATCACTTTTTTTTGTGCCTCGCACTAAAAACTGTCTAGCTTTTATTGTTTACACTTTTAATTATACATGCACAAAAAAAAACCTATTTCAATGGCCGTGAATTATATGTGACGTATAAATTTCAATTACGTGCCTTGCATATTCATTTTTTTTTTTCTCACTTGATAACATGTAGTTTTATTTATAGACAACAATACGTCATGAGCAATTTACAGAGTACTATGTGAATCGGGGCTTCCTTACCCGAATTATGAGACATTTGTATTCCGTTCGATGAGACATTTGTATTCCACTACATGAAACATTTACACTTTAAAAGCGTTGTGGCACAGGGGCTACTTCTCCATGTTTTTCAATAAGGATATTCATACCAAAAGTCCAATCTCTCGGTATACATTACCCAACATAAATCGGGCTCACAAAAAAAAAATCTCGTGATCTCGCAGCATTTTATAGATTTATCTCAGTTTTCGTTATGTTAGCGTGGCTCAACGTAAACTTTTACACAAAATGATCGAATTACGTTCTTTTTTGAAGTGTAGAACACACAAAAAGCGTTACACGGGCTCTGAAGTATCAAATCGCACACTGTTTTACAGATAGCTGCTATAGTTAGTAGCTTAAGATTTACACAAAAAAAGTCCGAGGTATCTGTGCTGCACTTTAGTATAAATCATGCGTTGGCTTTCTGTTTTCGAGTAATTTCCGTATATTATTAAAACTATCATTCTATTACGTCCACGCTGCGACTAAAAACAGAAGCAATACGCGTTTGTCAAGAAAAAATGGCTGCGTTCTAATTTAAAAATCATCTTGAATGTTTACACTAAATATCATAAAACGCAGAAAAGTAAAATGTTGGACGTCCCACTTGAATGTTACAAGGCTTAGCCTATCATGGACTTGTGATAAATTATAGTGTCTTTTATTTTCGGTTTTGCTGATGTAGAGCCGCACCACGTTGGAGTCTTGAAAGGATACCATTTGGACAAGGAGTTCAAGACGTAATACTTACCCAAGCATCTCCAAATTGAGTTTTGAATTTGACTTTAAGCATTCACTTTGCATAGTTCCGTCTCTATGTTGCCTGTATATCAATATATGTTTGCGTTATATCTTATAAAGTGACCATTGCAATGAATTATCTCTGTTTCTATTGAAAAAAGCTTTTAAAGAGACTCGGTAATTAATGATAAAACTTACTGTTCTGAGAATTGGAATACGTGATCATCAGTCAGCCATTGCTGCTTATAGATTTGTTTTTCCAGACTTATTTTACAAAAAAAGAAGTTACATGCACGTTTAAACAACCATTGTCACATATGCTTCCAATATGTAAACATGTATATAAACATGTTTGATGGCTCTCTTAGTGCTATCACGGGCAAAAATGGTCTTTTTGATAAAAATCTTCTATTACTCGTAATAGAAATAATGGAAACTACAGTAATGCCAGAAAAAAAGCTGAGATGTTCTTACTGTATAGTAGTGATTTTATGAGGCCGTAATATTGCCGTATTTTGCAAAAAAATTGGGCCTTTTGTAGCGAAACAAAATCCATAACAATTACTAGATATATACAAAGGAAGAAAAAAGTGTATACGAATACGGATTTCATTTATATACAATAACCGGTTTATGTCAGGATAGGATAGTTGCCCATTGGAATAATCAGCGGTTTATTTAAAGCAATAGCTTCAAGTCGGATAAAGTTACAAGATTATAATAGTTCTCATTTGTGTTAAGTAGGAATGAATATTTAAAATGACCGTAACCACGGTTATTTCCAACGATGTTGTAAGCTTAGAAACTAAGTAACTCTAGTCGAGTGTGAAATATGAGCTTTGAATTAGGTGTCATAGTAAAAGTATAAAACCCAAGATAACAGTAAATGATAAGGACTGACCGAAACACAAAAAAATTGGTTACGAATTATAAGATTTAAAACTGACAGGAAGTCTTTATAAAAAAGTGGAGGGTATATATAAAAAAGAAATTGACTGCTACACTGTCTAACTTGAATGTCTTTATAAACTCTGAAAACCATCAAACTCTGTAGACGAATAACCCTTCCTTAATAAACACAGTTGCTTTTTGGGCCTTTTTCCATAAAAACTATTTTTTAAATGAAGCAGGTTCCTAGAAAGTGACCAAATGGAGTTCAAATTTTTAAATCCGAGCATTCTTTTTTAAAAGAGTGGACGCACTGTGTAGGCTCTCTTTTTCCTTCTAGGCGAGTTACACAGCATATCTCTTTTTTTTTTCTTGTCTAATGACGATTGACCAAGAAACATCAGGGGAGTTATCTTGCATCAACTTTAATCAAGATTACAGTTGTATTTCAGTTGCATCCAAGACAGGATATCGCATTTATAATTGTGATCCCTTTGGAAAATGTTATTCGATGGGTAAAGAGAGTAAAAGGGGGGGGATAACGCGTCATTCATATCTATCTATTTCTAGAGGATCAAGATATAAGTATCATTGAAATGTTGTTTAGCACCTCGCTTGTTGCTTTAGTAGGTGCATCACCGAGAAGATTGCGCATCAATAACACGAAAAGAGAAACCACCATTTGTGAATTGACTTTTCATACGCCTATTTTATCAGTAAAAATGAACCGCAAAAGACTGATTGTAGTGTTAGAGGAGCAGTTATTTATCTATGATATTAGCAACATGAAGCTATTACATACCATTGATACGATTCCTAATCCATCAGCGATTGTTGCTCTGTCTCCCTCGAGTGAGAACTGCTACATTGCTTGTCAGCCCTTACGGTCATCTGGTGATTACTATGCGCAAACACCACAACAAAATATCGGTGATATTGAGATTTACGATGCAAATGCCATGAAGTTAGCAAACATTGTACAGGCTCATAAGTCTCCCATCAGTTGTATCGCAATGAATTCTGAAGGAACCTTATTAGTCACGGCTAGTGAAAAGGTGATATAATGTTGTTTTTTTTTGGTATGAATCCGGGTGGGCTAATCATGGCTTTTTTCTCTCAACTTTAGGGAACTGTCATTCGAGTATTTACTATTCCCGGCGCAGAAAAGGTTTATCAGTTTAGAAGAGGAAGTTATCTGGCAAAGATTTATAGCATGTCATTCAATCTGGTAAGCACTTTGTTATGTGTTTCAAGCGACACAGAAACGGTTCATATATTCAAATTATCAGACTCGGATGGCATGACAAATGATGATAAGGATCCACCACCTTTACAAAGAAGAGTGTCCTTACAACGCGGGATGAATTTCTTTATACCCGATCGTATTTCAGATATTTGGGAATCCAATCGACATTTTGCATCTTTAAAGTTACCTAATGCGGGTGTACGCAGCTTTGTCGCTTTAAGCAGGTAATTACAGATAGAGAAAGAGAGAGAGAGAGAGAGAGAGCAAGTGCACTTCTGGAAACTTATCTATACTTCCTATATACTAGCACTACCCCACAAGTACTTGTAATTACTAGTGAAGGATATTTTTATCAATATAACATTGATCTGGAAAATGGGGGTGAATGTGTACTTCTTCGACAGAATAGCTTGAAATAGTAATAAAAATAAAAAACAGCTGTTAATCAGTCAATACATTGCTTGAGCATTTACGATAACTGAATTTGAAAGTGACTGCTTCACCTAGACATGTCTCTTTTTTCAGCCAAGGAACGACTGTGTTTTTTTTTCTCTTTTCTACTAAAAAAAAACTTTGTACATACAATGGCTCCTAAAACTAAGAAGATCAAGACGAATCATGTGCAAGAAACAGCACAACCTGTTGTTGTTGCACCTGTTGCACCTGTTGTCGAATCAACTGTAGAAGAAAAAGAACCTGAGTGGTATCTTTTAGAAGATCTCGAGGCCGAGGATATTGACGATGAGTATGGTGACATGGTTATTGAACAACGACTCTTGGTGAACAATGTGGTATGTTAACCGCTTCTCATGTTTCTACTGTTACATGGTTGCTAATAAAGATATTTATAAATTTACAGGACGCTTTAGAACGTATTACCGATGACATTCGTTTGCCTGAAGACATGCCTTGGATCGAAACCAATGTCGTGACCTCTACAGAACCCACCAAAGTCAATGACGTGTACGATGATAACGAACGTGAAGATGCCTTTTACAAGCAAGCGTTGGAAGCCGCCTATATTGGACGTGATCGGACATTAGCAGCAGGAGCACCCTTTTTCCGACCCGATAATTTTATTGCAACCATGTTGAAAGATGATAAACAGATGGAAGCTGTACGTCAGCGATTAATTGCAGAAGCTAAAGATGGTGACGAAGATGCTTTACGTAGATTACAGATTTTCAGCAAAGAGCAAAAGAAAATCAAGGTGAATGAGAGAGCAAAATTGTTGATGAGAAAGAGAAAGGATGGAGCTGAAGTGACACTGGATGATGAATTTAATGTTGATTTGGATGAGGCAGAGAGATTAGCTGCAGCCACATCCAGTGCTAGTACAAATTCCAAATCGAAAAAGGAGGATAGACCTGCTAAAAATTACACAAGAGATACCAAAGATGCTAAATATTCCTTGGGAAGTAGCAGAAAGAAGGACAGTGCTGCTGGTTCAAATCCCGCTAAGAAGGGTATGTCCATCAACAAAAAGAGCGCCATGAAGAGACCAGGAAAGGCAAAGCGTCAAACTATGAGAGGCAGATCATAGACCTTTTTTAAAGATATACATAATAAATAGCATAGATGTACACTTTAAAAATCAATTATAGAATTTCAGTCATGAGGAGGCAAAGAAAGGAAATTCAACATAGTATAAGGGTGTTTCTCATAAAACAACTTCATGTCATTGATAATAAATAATTTAAATGGATTACTAATCGGTTGATAAAAAGTTGCGGTCTTAGGTTTAATCACCTCTAGTTCTGCGAAATGAAAGCTGAGGAGGTAATTCAGGCATATAAGTCGTAACCAACACAGTTTTCCTACTTGAGTGATCAGTTTAAATCAATGGCAGGTAAACATTTAAAAAGTTGGACTGAGATTGAAATGGTCATAATAAAAAGAGTTTTTTTTTTTCTATTCTTTTGAAACGTCGGGTTCACCAAAATTAGATTCATAAAATGGGTATCGTTGAAAAGATCTCTGACATTGAGAACGAAATTAAGCGTACTCAAAAGAATAAGGGTAATGTATACATGCACTTTTTGTCAGCTGTCAAAAAGAGTCTACCATGATCCAAGAGTAGCAATAAAAAACTTACCCAAATGTACTGTAGCTACCGAGTACCATCTCGGTCTTTTGAAAGCCAAGTTAGCAAGATACCGTGTTCAACTTTTAGAAGGAGCCAAGACCAAATCCGAAAAGGTACATGAAATCACCTTTTTTTAATGTCACAATAACTAAATCAAAGAGAAAAGGGTGAAGGTTTCGATGTCATGAAATCAGGTGATGCGCGTGTGGTCATGATTGGTTTCCCATCCGTCGGTAAATCCACCTTATTGTCCAAGTTGACACCTACCGAATCAGCTGTTGCAGGCTATGAGTTCACCACCTTGACTTGTGTTCCTGGTAAATTTCAATACAAGGGCGCTAATATTCAATTGCTCGATTTGCCCGGTATTATTGAGGGTGCTTCTCAAGGTAAAGGTCGTGGTAAACAAGTCATTGCTGTTGCGCGTACTGCTGATGTTGTCTTGATGATGTTGGATGCCACCAAATCTGCACAACAAAGGTAACTATCGGCAAGAAAGGAGAAAAGCCGAAGACATTAACCACCTATGTAATAGACCTTTATTGGAAGCAGAATTAGAAGCAGTCGGTATTCGTTTGAACCAAGGATTTCCTAATGTTTCTTTCAAAATCAAAAAGGCGGGTGGTATCAGTTTCAACGCAACTCTTAAATTAACCATGATTGATCAAAAGATGGTGCACAACATTTTGCATGATTACAGTGAGTGTGGGCAAAATAGCAGATAGAGAAATAATATTAACGAGTGTATGAAACAGAAATCTTCAATGCGGATATCGTTATTCGTGAAGATATTACGGTAGATCAGTTTATTGATGTCATTCTCGGCAACAGAAGATACATCAATTGTATTTACGTAAGTAGGAAAAATAGAATGGGATTATGTGATATTCACGCATGTATTTTTCATAGTGTTACAACAAGATTGATCAAATTAGTTTGGAAGAAGTGGATCGTTTAGCACATGAGCCTGATACGGTTGTTGTCTCTTGTGAAGATGATCTTAATTTAGACTATCTTATTGAAGTGATCTGGAGAAAGTTAAATTTGATGCGTGTGTACACAAAAAAGAGAGGAGAGTACCCTGATTTCAGTGACAGTCTCATTGTCCGAAATGGAGCTTCAATTGAGCATGTGTGTCATGCTATTCATAGAACTTTGACAGATAATTTCAGATATGCTTTAGTTTGGGGTACCTCTACAAAACATAACCCACAACGTGTTGGTATTCATCATTTAGTGGGCGATGAAGATGTAGTTCAAGTTGTCAAGAAATAAAAATAAAAATAACAATAGTCTCTTTATTCTTCCATCATTTCTTCCTTATCCCCTTCTACTTCCTCAAACGCATCTAAATCTTCATCATAATCGTCAAGTGTCTCTATATCAAGGAATTCATCATCTAGGTAAAACATTTAAAATTAGTATTTTCTTATCCATGCTAATAATCTTCATAGGGTCTACATACCATGAAGCGGATCTCCTTTGACGAGTTCATCCATGTATTCATCCACCACTTCTGTCAATCTCTTACTGGATCCAGGCTTATCCATAGCCTGCATAGCTTCTTTCACGGCATTTTCTTTTTTATCCCTTGAATCTCCCTCCTCTCCATCGTCTTCTTCGTCATCATCATTGCCTTCCCCGTCCTTTAACTTTTCTCTCTCGATGGCTTCCAACAGTCCATCCTCAACATCAGTTAATGGATCAGCATAACCATTATCCAACAGAGCTAAATGTTTCTTTCTGAGGCAGACACGAATACGTCGATTAACACATTTATAATAATATCCTCCATCTTTGGTAACCTCTGATTTGTAGTAAGCTGGATTGTCAATCAGCTTTAAAATATCAGGGTCTGTGATATCTATCGCTTGATAGGTGATTTTTTCAATAGGTACATTTTTACCATCAAATATAAATAGTCCTTGTATTTCTTCGTCACTAAATATAACCATGAGTATATGTACGTTGTCTGTAGAAGGGGAGAATATGCATATACTTACTTTACTTGACGTTCCTCGACTTTGGTTGGTACGCCATCCAAATGTTTACGCAATATCGCATGTTTCTTGGGTTTTGGTTTGGAAGTCGGAGAAAAGAATCTTCGTACATCAATGTTTTGATACCTAACAAAATAAAATTGAGTTGGGAGGGTGGGCTACTATATATGTAATTTTTTGACTGTACATTCTATACTTGACATCTGTTCGAGGATCCACGCCATACTTTACCCAAAAATCACGCCATGGACCGTCCGTAAATACAAAGGCATTGTGACAAAGTGCCCTGATTGATTTATATAATATCAGTAAATGCCTGAAGAAATAGAAAAGGTTTAACTTACACTTTTATCTGTTTCTGGTACTTGCCAGGCAATAAACAACTGACGTTATGTCTTGACCAGATAGGACGTTCTTCAAATAGCTTTTTGACTGCTTCAATAGTTTCAAGATCGACTTCCTTTGCAGGTTTTGCCAAGAGTTTCCATGATTTTGTGGGGTAGTTTTCTTCGTGGAATCGAACAGTTGTCATATCTGATGCTGAGCGAAGAGATCGATTTACTAATTTGATTGTATACTGTATATAAACATTTAGTTAACACGCAGATAAAAACGCAACAAAAGAGAAAACTCACAGTGCCATCGGCCTCCTTCATTCTCACTCGAACGACAGGCGCATTCTGTCGGTACCTAAATAAACAAGGTAAGGTTTTTTGTTATATGTCTCACATTTTGAATCATTACTGATAAGTAAAAGGCACTTCAGTAGCAGTAAACAAGGGTGGTGGGATATTACGAAGATCGTCATGACTATCATCATCGGCCACTTTGTAGTCGACAATGTGTTGTACTACAATACTTTTTTTTTAGCATGATTGTCATAAATTCAACGCTTTTTTAGTTTACCGTCTCCTTTTACCAGTGCTTCTTTTAATTGACGAATTTTATCTGTCTTTGGTACAAGGTACTGGAAATCGGCCAACCCTAGCATAGCACGAAGAGAAAAAAGTCAATACGTTGCGTACTCTAAAGTGAGCTTTTACGGTAATACCTCTGAAACGCAACGTCTTTGAAATGACACCTTCTACTTCAACTTTCCAGGAAGGGTCTTCAATGATGGTGTCTGAGTATTTGACTTTTTTGACACGTCGAGTGACTTTCACTAGTAACTTAGAAGATTTTACAACGTAACCATTGATGGGGTGAGAAAACATGTCTGTGGCTCTGAATCGAAGTTCGACAAAGGAGTTGTCAGCGACGGCTTCTGTTAAACTTTTGATACCGCCCATAGTCTCAATGGCACGTTCTGTACGTTTCACATAGCCTGGATATTCTACACAGAAGTACTTTTTCTTTCCAATAGGGATAATCTCACTTGTTGGATATTCAGGTTCCATTTTTGTACATAAAAGAGAGAGAGAGAAAGAAAGAAAAAAAAGTTTGTTCTAAACGCAAGTCACGACAAAAAAAAAGGGTCAGATATGGTTATTTTTTACTCCTGAGTTTTTCTTTTTCTTTTCTTTTCTGCTTTAACTCTTTTTATTATTATTTTGGGAAATGTCTGAAACAGAAGATTCCTCATTACTACCTAAAACTACCGAAACTAGACTAGAAATACATTCTTACACCACTATTATACAGGACGTCGAGACAGGAACTATCGTAATATCCAAAACAGAAAAGAAAGCTTGGCTTTGGACCAGTAACTCATATGCATGGTCTTTAGCGACACTTGTCTTGCTATTATTGACATTTAGTGCTCTGGAATATACCTTATTAAAGTTATCTCTACCGGCAATGAATCCGTAAAAGTCCCTAATCAAATTATCCTTAGACGAAACAAAGTATTGACCTCTTTTCTGTTTTTAGTGAAGATAAAGATGGCATTAAATTCCCTAGAAACCTAGAAGAACTTCGTCGACTCAATGCGATACTATCACTCTACATAGACCAGTATTTTCTAAATGTTTACTTTACATTTGTGATAACTTACATCTAGTGAGCTTTTGAACACAAAACATCAGAAAGAGAAAAATACTAACATGCATCCGTAGTCTTCAAAGCTTTTCAATACCTGGTTCCATGTGGCTATCCATTCTAGGCGGTACACTCTTTAGTTTCTGGCTGACACTTTTCACCGTTTCATTGGTAAAGATGACTTTATCGGGGGAGAGTGTTTGAACTGAATTTCATTTATTTATATTTTAGTGCTCTGCGATTGGAGCAACGATAGCCTATATAATTTCGGCTAGTTTAGGTTCCGTGGCAGTCATTAAGCTAATTGGTGAACGTATAGAAAAATGGAATCAACAGGTAGGTTTATTTTTGATCATGTTTTTTCTTGATATTTTAAAAAAATGACCCTTCTTCATTAGCTTGTACAACATAAACAACACATGTTTAACTACATGATTGTCTTGAGAATATCGCCTTTTCCTCCTAATTGGATAGTCAATCTAGGTTCACCTCAATTGGGCGTACCCATTGGTGTATTTTTTTGGGGCACTTTTTTAGGTATTATTTATTCAACCCACCATATGTAACCTTTTTAAAACTCACACACATGTATGTAGGCGTGGCTCCACCTTCTTTTATTCACGTGCAAGCAGGCGCTGCATTAGACAGGCTGTCTTCATCGGATAAATTAGAACTATTAACTCTGACAAACGCTGCCTGTTTATTTGCCGTAGCTATTGTCGCTCTTATTCCCGTCTTTCTCAAAAAAGATTCAATTCATAAATTTTCCTTTGTCTTCATTGTATCATACTCAACTGTCATCATTCTACAAACTCAATAAATTAAAAAAAGAAACTGTTCGTGTCACCTTGCATCGGAATTTACTTTTAATGCAGCTGAAGTTACACTTTCAGGCGAACGCAAATATATTTTTTAGGCAGTAGTAAAAATATACTCAAACAAATACTTTTAATTGATTCTAGTATTCAGTCGAGACGGTCTTCTGCCTTAAGAGTTTTATAAAACGTCTAAAGATGAAGATTGGTTTACTTTGATTTGATTAGAAAAAAAGGAGTGAATGAAGACTTAAACAAATGTTAATTCACTTTTTTATGGAAATAATAAGTATGGCTTTTATGCTCCTGAAATAACAAGCTACTTTACTTCTGATTGAATTATTACAAATTCCAGCCTCATCCTCGCCAATAGTAATTTATTTTACACTTGGTTGTTAATTTCCATCCATGAATAACAAGATTGAGCCTTCTTTTTTCATTTAATTAATAATCACTTGCAGCAATGCATCGTAATTAAATTAACATTTTTAATTCCCACTTTAAAAAACTCTTTTGACTAAAGTCCTTGAGTGTTAATTGAGGATTAAGATCATCTTAACATTGTTTTCAGTTTATCGATATTTATGACCATGCTAATTTATATATACAATTTGTTTTAAAAGTCATATCGTTACTTGTGTAGTTATGGATAGAGATATATTTGCATCATTTAAGTTGTGCGCTGCTTTTTCACCCCAAACTTTTATTTGATTTCGACAGGCCGGGCTGTACTAAAGAGTAAAAACTATCGTATTTTGTTATTTAAAAAAGCTATTGCGTAGATTATACGCTAAATATATATATATTATTTGAGCTCATTGAACCATAGTATACTGCCTGTTTGTGCTATAATAATAGCGGTGGTGGTAATAGAACACATACATTTGAAAAACGGGTCTCTTAGGGACAGCCAAATTTTCTTAGGGACAGCCATTTTTCTTAGGGACAGCCAGGGTGCACGTAGTCGTAATGTTGGGATTATGATACTTTAATAGATATCAAGAGGTCAATAGAACTTAATAACTTGAAATATATACACATTTATCACAACTAACATAGTTTAAACCAGTATATGTATTTTAAAGCTAACTTTCAGCTTCTCGTTTGGACTTAACATTAATATTTCTGCGTAAGATTTAATTTAAACGAGCTCAAAGGCGAAAGAGTGATAATAGAATTGTCAAAATAAGTATAAATCGTTTGATGTACATTTATTTGTAATTTTTACATTGTTTTTGATTGTATATCCTTGTTCCCATGTCTACAGAACATCCAAACCATAGATCTTACGTTGCGACTACGTGCACTTTGGCTGTCCCTAAGGAAAAATTGGCTGTCCCTAAGAAAAGCGTTTGAAAAATGTGACTTTATACAGCTGATATCTGGAGTTAAGCGCGTGTTATTTGCATATTAAGCGATAGTTTGCTGTAATCAGAGTTATTTTTATCAAAGAGAATTCTCTTTTTGTCTAAGCGTGCTTGATAATTTGATATTTATAAAATCAAAAAGCTTTTTGTAATTTAATCCTTCAACATCTGTCGGCACGGTCCGGGTCGGGCTTATGGTAGTCCGGCTTAATCACGTGATTTTTTTGTGTGTTTGGCTATAAATTTAAACAATTGCTCACCATTTCATCAAATAGCCGATCTTAGCTCAGTTGGTAGAGCGGGAGACTGTAGTGTATATTGTCATCTCTAGGTCACTAGTTCGACTCTGGTAGATCGGAATTCTTTTTTGTTTTTTTTTACTTTGTGTGTCGTGTATGTAGTCTTGGATTACAATTAGACAATACAAAGCAATAAACATCAACTTTTATCCACTACTTTACTTTTCTATCTATCAAACATTTATTAGTATTATACCCCAACATCTGGTAGTACCATTTTTATTTAGGACTATATCAAATGACAGAAAACAAATCAATATGTTCGTTATTAAACAAGCGAAGATAATGAAATACAATCTATTTTCTCTATTCATCGACATGGCATTGAAAAGGCACGCGAACTATTTGAGTATGTCATTATTGATGAAATATATAAGACTAGTTCTCATAAGATAATACTTTTAGACTTTGTTTTATTGGTACTTTGCGTTCCAAAGAGAAACGTAATCAATTGACGGCCGTGGAATTTTGACAAAGGAGTATCTGAGATTGTAAAGGTTTTGTATTGTCAGTTTTTCTGTAGATACACTCTATAAATGTAAGCATTTTAAAACATTAGAAAATGTAATGTGTTTTAACAAAACCAATTTGATTATCCTGGTGAGAAAAGCAAAATTTTGGGTTTGGTATCAGGTAATTGCCCTATGTGTGTGGATAACCGATTTTTTAACACAGTGGAAACAACACCTGCAGATACCAAGCACCACCAAGCCGTCCTCTGAGAGTCTCACCATTATCACTGATAAATTATTGCTTAGGATAAAAACGGGTAAGAGTTCACTTATTATATTTTATGGTATCAATTGGAATATTTGATAAATTCATCAGATGATACAATTATATATAAATAATAAATATAAGAGAAGTATCGCGACTTGGAGTCAACAGCCACCTATTCAACCCAAAAACCCCCTATTTCAACCCTGTGAACCTCCCATTCAACACACATGTGACACAATTCAACCCATTCAACCCAACCCTGTGAACCACCCACCAAATTCAACCTATAAAGAAATGCATTAACCCAATAGTCGGGTCTACTCGTTTCGGATATCAGAACTAAGTTATACTATCCAAATGAACATCAAACTATCGATTTCTCCAAACTAATCAGACGACTACGAAAGTCGTTTGTGGATGCGCTTTGGAAGATTTGCTTTGTTGCTAAAGACATTTGAAAATCAGCAACGTTTGTCCCTTTTTATGAGTTGGACACTCAATATTATTGACGAGCCCAATTTTGTTTGACCAATTCCCGTTTTCCTCTTTTAAACGTAAAAGCAATTATAAAAACGACAAGCCGATTGTCTATGAGTATTGGACTAAATTAGCTCTCTTCTAAAAAAAGCTATAACAGTTAACAGAGATGTCTGGACAATCGATTTTTTTACTTTTTGGGACAGCCAATTTTTCCTTAGGGACAGCCAAAGTGCACGTAGTCGTAACGAAAGATCTGTGATTTGGATGTTCTGTAGACCAGGGAACAAGGATATACAATCAAAAACAATGTAACAATTACAAATAAATGTATACTAAACGATTTATACTTATTTCGACAATTCTATCATCACTCCTACGCCTTTGAGCTCGTTTGATCTTAATCTTACGCAGAAATATTAAGGTAAAGAGAAGCTGAAAGTAAGCGGTGACATACATATACTGGTTTACACTATGTTAATTGTGATAAATGTGTATAAGTTATATTGACCTCCTGGTGTCTATTAAAGTATCATAATCCCAACACTACGACTACGCGCACCCTGACTGTCCCTGAGAAAAATGGTTGTCCCTAAGAAAATCCGGCTGTCCCTAAGAGACCCGTTTTTTTTACTCTTTTCATTCACTTAACCATTTAAATATTTATTATCCTTACTAAAAATCACACAAAACAAAAAAAACCTAAGCCGGAAAAAAGAAACGCCGTATGATTACCCTTTTTAAAATCCATGAACTCTCTGTAAAATCTGCTCATGAAAGATTTATTATTTTGTCAAGAAAAAAGAATCAGTAGTTGTATTAATATGCGAAGGGTAATTGATTATAAGGGTGATGATCTTGGTGAGGTAGGAGAGGTATTAAACCATATGGCTCCATCTTGAACATCTCCAGTATATTTTTCAAACAAGTTTTCGACAAAGGTTTCTCTAATGAAACAATCCAACACATCGGGTATAGTTAAACTATAGTCGCGCCAGAAACTAGCACCTGGTGCATTGCCATGTCTGCCCACAGCATGCAAAATGAAATCGGGAGACCTGCGAGTGTGACTGTTTCAAAAAAATAAATAAATCATTTGTTTGCTCCTCACTGAAAACAAAATTACCCAAAAATTTGGCCAAGCCCATATTTATGCTTTTCAATCAATTCCAACACATTACTGTCCTTGACTAACAGAATAGATTCTGCTTCATATGCATATTTTCCTTCAAAATGCATAGCAATCTTTCTCTCAAATTGGATATGTTGTGATTCTGTATTTTGAACCACATCGTTTTTAAGTATCTCCACCTGACTAGGTACATTATAATAAGCAGATAAAATTCTTTGTAAATTTCCATTTGCTTGAAGTATCATCCTCTCAAATGGTGAGAAGGCTTCGGGTAGCTTGAGAAATACATTTTTAGACGACACTGTGGGAAAATAAAATATTCAATTAGATTGTCGAAAGTAGAAATAACAGTCAAACGCCATAATTACACTCTTCTATAAATTGAAAAGGTATCCTCTGATAATTTTCTGTATTTGATGGTTCTGGTAAAGTTCCTGACATGGTTAACGGTAGACGATATAATAAAATTTGGAAGGTTTTTTTTTCAAAAAAAAAAAGTTTAACAATCCCTTTGAAAGAAAGGAGTAAACCAACCCGGTCTGGCCCTTGCCTTTTGATAGCCCCCATACACTCAAACCAAGGGATTTTTGGTGTTTTGACAAAAATAAATATCGGAGTGAGAAATTGTTGAAACTCATTTGCCTTCCTTTGAGGATGCACTTGCCATTCTTCCTACAATGCTTAAATAAAAAATAACTAATTTATAATATACTTCAATAACTACACCAACTTAAAATTTACAGAACTAACATTGGGTCTGCAGATATCATTGAGTTATCTCACTGATAAATCTAAGCGTTATTCCATTTTCTTTTTTCTTTTCCCCCTTTTTTTTTAAAAAAAAACTACATCTATATTAGGTCCATTCCTGAGACACTTAGCTTCGTCTGTTTATTACTGCTTGCATGATGCTCTTCTTCAGTTCCATACTACATGTAAATTAACTTTATCCCCACAGGTTTATTTATTTGTTATTTACGAGTTGACTCTTCTCCTTTTTAGGAATGCAGTGAGACGTACTTTGGAGGAGAGAGAGTAAAAAACTAAATGCATCAACATAACAAGTAAAAATAATAATAATGCAAGCGCAGTTTTGGGAAACACAACCGTAACGTGATATAATTTATAACAGAACGAATAAGTGGATGTCACTATTGTGAAAAACGCATGTTAAAGTATGTGAAGGTTGTAATTTATAATTTATAATCAAAACATGTTCAACTCATCATATAACATGAGTATTAAAACCGTCTATTGTTAGGCAAAAGAGTGTTTTGAAGATGAAAAAGATGCATAAATTTCAAATTAACAAACAGTTATTTGTAAATAGAGTACACATTGATCATCTTTGCCATCGTAAAGGAAACAAAGAAAAAGTAACTGTTTACTGTTTGATGTTAGAGCTGTAAATTTCATTACATCATCCTTTTTTTTTCAAATCTCTTAAGGACATCCAGAGTGTACGTAATTGTAATGTCGGATTACTATACCTTAATTGACACCAAGAGATCGATATAACTTATCGTCTTGAGTTAGAGGCAAATTTATCACAAGTAAACATATGGTAAACCTGTCTGCTTACTTTCAATTTCTCGTTTGGATTTTACCCTAATATTTTTGTGTAAGATTAGGATCAAACAAGCTCAAGCTCAAGGGCAAAATAATAACGATGTAATTTTCAGAAGCGGTATGACCTGTTTAATATACATTTATTTGTAGCTATTACATTGTTTTTGATTATATATTCTTGTTTCCAGGTTTGAATGGCAGCTTAGACACATGACTATGTGCACCTTGGCTATCCATAAGAAAAGCGAATTCTTATCATAGCCACGCTTTTATCAAAAAGCCTAAAAGAAAAAGTTATTTAAGTATTTTCAAAGAGCTATATACGAAGAGACATATTTTCAACTGTCAAATTTGTATTAGGATTTATTATTATTGTGTAGAAGTAAGAAAAGATTAGAACAAAATTCATATATTAAATTTTGGAGATGTTTTTGTTTAGAGTATGGAACTTCCCCAGAAATCAAAGTCGTCCAAAAGAGATGCATTATCGTATTTAATATTGACATTGTTTGACAAAGAGGATCCAAAGTTTACATCCGTAGTAATTGAAGGTGACAAGACATCGGTAGGCAAAGAAATGTCAAACATCGAATTGTTCTGATAATCGCAAAATTGATCTGATAGTTGCTCGTGTTTCATGTTTTTTTGATTTTCAAAGAAGGTTAGAGCATCAACAAGTGGGGATAAAGGTGAATTAGGGTGATTCAAGCGAGGCGTGCTCATGGCTTGACTTTGTGGTGTAACTTCACAATCGAATTGAGAGAAAAGCTGTCCATCGCGATTTACATACCCTCTACTGTGCATGTTGTTTTTGGATAAATTCTGGTCATACGAGCTGTTATAAAAGAACGAGCTGTTGATGTTGGATGCCATGTTAGTAGGGTAATTAAGGGAGTTTACGTTTACATCACCAAGTGTAAAAGTAGCGGGACTGAACATAGAATCATGGGAACTAAGTCCAAAATTAGGATTTTGAGCTTCATTGAGCCCAGATAAAGAATCCAATATGACCTGTTCATTTGATAAGTATGCGCCCCAAAAATTTGAAGTATTGGCTGCATCTTCTTTCGTTTGGAATAGCACTTCATCAGTGAACATATTGCTTCCATTATAAACTAAGTCGTTATTATACGTAGCATTGAAGGCATCGTTGTTATTAAATGGTACAGAGGTTAAAGACTCATAATTGCCGTTGGATTGATGTAAACGTGATTTGATAGCTGTTGCAGGTTTGACGAAAGGTCTTGTCCTAGCAGAACTACTAGCAAAACTATTATCTTGTGTCTGGTTGACTGGTTCTGCGTTCTTTACAATACTCTTCTTAGATCTTTTGGCTTTAGGACGGAAGATATAATCAGGGTACCTAACAGCACAACAAAGCAATTAGTAAAGCAATAAGGTGCACTATAAAAAGGCTTACTGTTCGTTGTGAGCATCTTTGGCAGCTTTAGCTTTTTCGACAAAGATGTCCTTCTCGTGACTTCCGACATTGTGCCACCATTTGGCAACCATTCTTGAGATATCACGATGATTGGCAGTTGGACAGAACTTACGAATGATAGATTGCTTTTCAGTGCGGTAAGACATGAAGCTGTTGACTGGGCGAGGAATATGGTCTGGTTTAACTTTTCTCACTCTGGCGCGTCTAATTCGTCCAGGAGGATTCTGCATACAACTGATATCCATGTCAATCATATCTTGTTGTTGGGATTTAGTGAAGTATTTAGATAATTCGTTAAGGTCAAGCATAATTGTAAATTATAAGAAGGAGTGTAATGGGGTTATTTAAAGGAAAGGGAAGAGGTGATTAGCTCTATGATATTGAAGAGAGATAAGTTTGTAGCAAGCAACGGAATGGCTCCATCCTTTTATACGAATACAATTGATTATATCTGAATGTCTCAAAAAAGAACCCTACAACAATAACAACATCCACCAATTTGAGCATGATATATAAATAAGTTATGACAATGAAACAGTACCACGTAAATCCTCACATAAAAATCGACATCGGTTACTATCAAATCACAATAAAAATGACAATGCTGCTACACATTATATATAATACTACTTTTTATTTTCCAATTTCAGAGTATGAGAAAAGTTTCGAAAAAGGGAAAATTTAAGCCTTGACAGCATACTTGCGGAGAGGGAAGTGAGCTAACTTCTTTTGCTCACGAACAGTCTTCTTGGACTTCTCGAAAGGAGTCAAAGCTCTACGCATAGCACGGGTCTTCTTGACACGGAGATCAAGAGGGGTGAAAGCCTTCTTTTGGTAGAAAAGACGGAGTTGTTCGCGTTGGGTTTGGTTGATGACAGTCAAGACACGAGCAACGTTCTTACGTGCTTCACCACTATGTTTAACATGAGTTCCTTATTCAACGAAACTATCTATAATACTTACACTTCTTGGGACTTACCACCAGCGACCTTTTGGACGCGGATGTTAGCAAGTTGTTGCTTTTGTTCGTCGAGAATCTTGACAAGCTCGGCCTTGTTCTTGTTGCGGAGTTCGTGAGCTTTAACGGCAGCCTTATTACACATACAACAGTTAGTTCAAGTGTTCCATTTAATTACATCCATCAATCGTAAAGTCCAAAATATAAAACAATCAAACGATGGTCAACATTATCAAGTACGTATCTACAATTTCTGCATTTAAGTTTTTCCGGCGCTGCTTTTACGTGTATGTAATGAGTGGTGGTTTCCAAAAGATAATGTTGCTAATATCCATATAAAAAAAATGCTGGTATGTATAAATTTCGGTGTTTTGAATATATAGATCGATACGATTGATGGATTTTCTACTATAATATAGGATGGATGAGCGACATCTTACCATTGTTATGATGCTTCAAGTGTAAGAGGGGGTTCCACTTTTAGTGCTGTTGCATACTTCTTTTGTCAACCCGATTTTTTTGCTTGACCAGAAGTGGGGGTACGATTCCCGATCCGGATTATGTAATGTCCGGACCGCACCAACATCCGTTCCGTATAAAGTATTTAAGAAATGTGTTGATCACTTGTGCTGATGTCGCGTACTGCGCTCAAACCAGAAGATATAATTCAGATTTAAGAATGAACAATAAAATTGCCAACTCGATTAATCGAAATAATATCATTATCTGTTTAATATTAGATGACACGAGCAGCCCACGGGGATGACTTTATGAAGCTCATTGTTGTATTCAATATCAGAGTATACAAAATGAGAGCATTTAGGCATAAGTTTGGGCTCTTTGATACAGCACAAGGATACGAAGATTAAATAATTGACATGCCTAATAAAAGCTTGGTTCTTTTTCTCAACTTATTTTACAGAAGCTGTCTGGTTATTTTAACTATCAAATTTATAATTAGACTTTTAATGAACCCTCGAAACAATTGCCACCGATTTGGTTACCTGTCAACAGGTACTTATCATGCTGCATCCGTTTTATCCGCCAGGATCCTTCCTAAATTTTGGATTCGCATATGTTATGATTCTATTATATTTAGCTGTTCACATTAAAATGCATATCCACAGAAATAAGTCTATATTTCCCGTCATTTCTAATCTAAGGAAATATGTCCTCGCAGCGCTCCCAGTGATCTTATCAGTATTTTAGATCATTTTAATAATTCAGTAGAAACATTTGGTGTACAAGTACGTAAATTAGCAGAATAAAGTAACATCTTTAGAAAGCAGGATCGGATCGTCTCCGCTTATAGGATGGTTTAGTTGCCCAGAGGCTGGAGTTTTTAGACAATCAAAGAAAAATAGCAGATATATGATAAACAACAACAGCAAGAAGAGTCAGAAGTAGCAGCTGATAGTTTGTATATACAATCTGGAAGATAATAAGGTAACCTAAACCATGAGTATTAAGGATACAGAAGAATTTACTCTACCAAAAGGTGTCAAATGCAAGAACACTTTAAGATAGAAACAGAACAAATAAGCTGTAGAAAGGGTACCGGTAACGCAAAGCACATCATGTAACTCTGCTAGTATAAGCAAACGCTCGTCGACGGATAGCAGGCTATCAAGTTGTTAGTATCGATATCATATGGGCATATGTTTGATCGGTCAAAGATTAGATACGCGTGTACATATTACGTATAAATTAATAAATATACTGTTTTTTTTTCCAAAACTTGCAACAACTTCTTCAAAAAAATAAGCACATGTCAACTGCGACATCCATCAGGTATCGATCTGTAATAAATGTAATATCTTTTAAAGTCGCGATGTTATGGCCTCTTAAAAAAAGGCTACAATTTCGAAAATTATTTGTAGCGGTAAAAATCAACCGAATGTCTTTTGACGACAAACACCACTTTCAATGTGTTTGCATCACCCACAAAGGTGACAGCCTAAGTTCTTCTTTTATACTTGAATTCTAGCTTATATGTCCAGAAAAGGTAAGTTACTGTCTGAAAGTGAAATTTGATTCGCCCGAAAAAAACTAACACTGTCTGAATTTGAAGTACGAAAACTGTAGGCTGTGATACAGCGGCACCCCCCAAGTTTGAATTTCCGGGACGGCAAAATAGGGTCAAGCAATGCGCAAGCAATAGAACCTTCTCTTTGAACAAACTCGTATATACGAAATGGTAAAGCTCAATGCATCCATCCATCCATCCATCCCTTATGGCGCCACTGACATGATTGTTTTATAGGCTAAGCGCACTAAGAAGGTCGGAATTACCGGTAAATACGGAACCCGTTATGGTGCTTCTCTCAGAAAGACCGTCAAGAAGATGGAAATCACCCAACATAGTAAGTACACATGTACTTTCTGTGGTAAGGATGCCGTCAAGCGTACCGCTGTTGGTATCTGGAAGTGTAAGGGTTGTAAGAAGACCATGGCTGGTGGTGCATACACCGTCTCGTAAGTTTTTATTAGCATAATTGAGTACATGACTTTAATTATTTGTTCTGTTTTAGTACCACTGCTGCTGCCACTGTTCGCTCTACTGTCCGTCGTCTCCGTGAGCTTGCTGAGATCTAAAGAAATCATTGTTCCCTTATTTCATCACTAGATTCCAATAAAACTCAACTCACTCGTCTAATACAAGACAGATACACTTTATTTAAATTTACATATAGCATGTAAGGATTTTATTAGAAGGATCAAACTTCTTCCTCGTCGCTAAAGGATTTGAAAAGTGAAGCAAAATCTTCATCTTTCAACGTATTAACTTCTTTAGGTGATGCTTGAAATCGATTTAAAAGCTGCTCTTTTATAAATTCTCCAGTACCAAAATATCCAACACGATTACTCATATCTATCGAAGTCTGCATGAAATAATCAGATGTTTTTGGCGTAATCAATAATTTGCTCATTTCAGTATATCCGTGGTTTGCTGCGTACAATAAGGGTAAATTGGTGGTATTGGATTCGTTACCAGGCATGAAGCAAGGATCTGCTTTCGCATCTTCAATAAGAAATCGAACAATGTCGATTTTCCTTTGCTGTACAGCTAGATACAATGGTGTCTCGTCTAAAACGTTTACAACGTCCACGTCGCAATTAAGTTCAACTAGTTTTTTCACAATTTCCAATCTATTCCATGTAACAGCATGATGCAATACCGTTGCAAAACGGGTCTTTCCATTAACGTCGGCCCCTCCTTCTATAAGTGCATTTGCGGTTTCTATATACCCTAGACTAATAGCAATGGCGAGTGGTGAAATACCGCGTCGATTATGCTTATCCACCGGGATCCCTTTTTCGATCAGTAATGGAATGGCATCTATAAAATCATTTGATGCTGCGAGATGAAGTAATGTATTTCCTTGTTCATCAATTGTATTGACATTAGCCTCTCCTGTGTCGATCAAATACTTTACAGTTAACAAAGAGTTGGAGAATATCGCGTTTGTTAGTGGAGTGTGGCCTAACGAGTCCTTGGCATCAACCTGTGATCCATTATCTAAAAGTAATTCTACTGCATCGTACAACCCTTTTGAACAAGCAGCGTGTAATGCTAGTTCATTATGAGGACCGTTGAGTCTGTTAACATCTATATCAGATTGTAAAAGTAAAATGCGCAATGCTTCCAAGCTTTTATTGTATGCTGCCAGGTAAAGCAAACTATATCCTTCATCGTCAACTATGTGTACACTGTCTTTAGACTTAATATATTGATAAAATATTTTGATGTCTAAATTGTCGAGGTTTATAAACTTCCAAATGTCGTCCGATGTTTTTTGTTTCTTTGAAGGTAAATCTGCGTTATTGTCATTTAATTGTGTGCGTTTCGGTCCACTTTCTGTAACTGAATTGGACATCTTTCCGAGATAAAAGAGAACATGAATAGAATCAAAGCGTTACTATTTATTTTAAGCCCAGGAATGCGTGACGGTTGCAGACTATTACTGAGTGTCATGGAAGGACAATGTCTACACCCGCATCTTTTTTATAGTCACGTGATTTTTTTAATACGTATTAAACACGGCCCAACCTGAGAGGTTTTCATCGTATTGCTCCTTTTTTAATACAAGATTGCTTGACATTAACGAAAGAAAAAGAACACCGGTTCCAAAAAGATGCCTGTCTATTATAAGCAGTTATTAAGGGCAAAAGCATTTTATTATACCTTAAATGGGATCATTTTTCCCATCCTTTGCCCAAGAGCTTTTTTAAGCTCTCCGCATTTCATCTTAAACTGAAGGCTTTTAAAAATTATGATGAGCAAAAAAAAAAAAAAATTATGATGATCTATAAACTATACTATTAAGTGCTTCTCCTAGTTCCCAGCATAAAATATCTGGTTAACAGGCCAGACCACGAGAAGGTGGAAGCACATCCTGGCCCAAAAAGTAAATTCTGATAAACCATCTTCAATACAGAACCTGATAATCCTACATGCCACCTGCCCACAATGCGCAACATAAGAATTACCAGGACCAAATACCCCCTACACCATGTTGGGGTGGTGCTTTTTACCCTGGCAGCAAAATCATAGCAACCGCACCTGGACGAGTATTGGCTTTAAGGTTAACATTCCGTGTAGATGAGGTAACTGTCCAACAGGATGCCAATCTATGGCTGCCTATAGAATGCAATATCTCTAGCGTAGACGTAAACAAAGCAAAGCACTTACAAGATGCATTCGGGCACTAAACTTCCTACTGTCATTAGATCCCGATCAAAAAATACAACCCACACCATACTAATGACCAAGAACGTATCGACTGGCTTCAAACGGCTGCGACCATCCACCGTCTAGTAACACGCTCTATATTCACCCTCCACCAAGCAAACGGGTGTGGCACTAGTTTTAGTAAGAAGTTCCTGGAACAAAGAGCGACAAGCCCCAGTCAGATTGTTGTACTGAAATCCGAATGAAGCGATACAGACAACAGCCAAGGCCATTGCCTAGCGACTTTGACAACCAGCAGACTCCTCAATGTAATCTTATTAGGGATTACTACGGCCTTTGGAACACTGCCCGATCTGTAATGAAGTGGATAGATTTAACGGAAACGAACAGAGACGAGGGTGTCATCCTTGTGCTGAAGCCATGCTAACTTCCCTGTTCTAAGCTATAAAAGAGGATAAAGAGATAAAGAGCGTTTTTTTCGCAGCAGTCTCCCTTTTATACGAATTTTTTTGTTTTTGTTTATTTTGTTGATTTTGTCTAGGCTACTTTTATAAACTTGATTTTTTTTTTCACTACTTTTTGAACATATGTGTTATCCTTTAAATAATCCATAAAATTCTCATCACATCCGTGTGCATATCATGGTTACTTTCTTCATTGGATGTCGAGAAAATGATCATTGAAGTTTTGCTTTTGTATGCGAAATGTTCTTTTTGTGAAACGAATGAAAAAGTGATCTGCAAGATGAAACAATTTTTTACATGATCCCTTCCGCCATGATAAATAACTTCAAGAAAATGAAAGCCTTGTTAAGATAAATCATCTTGTATGTGTATTTACAGGCGATATCTGTTTTTATAAATGCCGTATATTGTCAAGAGTAGTGAAATAAAAAAGAAGAAAAATGGACACTTGTATGCGTGCGATTAAATTTTTGGCTTTCTGATACACCCAGTGACAATTAGTACTGGGATGTATTTGTCATGACAAATTAAAGCACTCGGTGATAATTTAATCCAGCAAGAAATACGTCTACTGAATAAACTACAGTGTTAGACTATAATATTGTCTTGTATTATTGGGTGAAATTCGATATGCGGTCGTTAATCAAGACATTCAGCGACACGAAATAAAGATTTAACAACATTTTACAGATAATCACTATAAATACAACTTATGTCGACATAGTTGCTCATCAAGATGCTTGCTGGTGTGTAAAACTATCAAAACCATACGTCTATTCAAGATAATATTATGTCAGCAAAGGGAACAAACTAGCATAAAAGAGTACAGTACAATACTGAAGATAAAGATAGCGGGAAGCTCAATCCAAAATTCGCAGATAACTCACGACGAAACCTTCAGCGATAAAGCAAAATACACATAACTTTGAGTCAGCACATCACTATTGGGTGGATTCAAATGATTTAAGTTGATTGATAGGCCAATATAGCTTTGGGCAATATAACGTCTAATTAGTAGGAATTACCCTAGCCATTTAGACTGCAAACACACACCTGGCGAAGATTATTAGCCTCAGCCGTAACATTGTAGAAATGCACTACATCTTTTTCTTTTAAAAAAAGAGGTAATATTTCAGCCTTTGAAAAAACAAAAGTGTGATTGACAATTTTCATTATTTTCCGTTACACAATAGAAAAGGAAGTATGTATAGTTTGGTAAAAAAAGAAAAAGGGCAAGACAAGAAGGTGGGTAAAGGAGTCTTATTTATAGACTGAAAACGCAGGCTTATGTCAGGATGAGTTAATTGTGTATTGAACCATCCATTATGTTTGGGCCTTTAGTTATGGCACGTCAATGGACGTAAGCCTTTTTCTTCAAATTATGTGTAAATTTTACGAAAAAATGTAGGTGTAGACATCGTCCATAACAAACAGAACAAGTAGCCACTATCTGTTTTTACTAGGATGAGTCGACACAAGGATAGGGGAATCAAAGAGATAGAAAGGAAGGCTGGAATTTAAACTTGGGCAAGAAGGGGGACGTTTAACAACAATGCTCAATATCTGAGACTGACGTTATTCTTTTTTGAGATCGCTTTACTTTTTTAGACATCTTTCCCATAAAAATTCTGAACTTCTAATGTAACTATCTTGAACAATATTTAGCTATGGCACAGACGAGAATTTCTTAAGACACTTATGATACTTCTACTTGCCCAGTCATCTCGGGTGGTAATTTGGGGGGAGTTATCTTTATTGCTAGAAGCAAGTATAATTACTGCGCTCGAGTGCATCGAAAAGGCTTTGAATAAACCAGCCAAACCAATTATAGAAAAAAAAAATCTCAAATGTGACTGACTCTGTAGAGCACGCTCACCTTTTGGAACTTGCGAGAAACAATTCTGTGACTTGTAAAAACTTTTTGAAATTCCATTTCCTTCTTTTCTCCAAATGGTATAAAAATAACAGAAGTACTTTTTTACGGTTTTTTTTTCTTTACTTTGTACTAAATTAAAATGTCTAACGAAACCGAGACCTTTTCTTTCCAAGCTGAGATTTCTCAGTTGATGAGTTTGATCATCAACACCTTCTATTCTAACAAGGTAAATAATATATGTTTTCTTTTTCTGAAACAATGAATACGCGTCGCTAACCACATCTTATTTTTTTTCAGGAAATTTTCTTGCGTGAATTGATCTCCAACTCTTCTGATGCTTTGGATAAGGTTCGTTATCAATCTTTGACTGATCCCTCCGTCCTTGATTCCGAGAAGGACCTCTATATCCGTATTACCCCTGACAGAGAAAACAACATCTTGTCTATCCGTGATACTGGTATTGGTATGACCAAGGCTGATTTGGTTAACAACTTGGGTACTATTGCCAAGTCTGGTACCAAGTCTTTCATGGAGGCTCTCTCTGCTGGTGCTGATATTTCCATGATTGGTCAATTCGGTGTTGGTTTCTACTCTGCCTACCTTGTTGCTGATAAGGTCCAAGTTATCACCAAGCACAACGATGATGAACAATACATCTGGGAGTCTGCTGCCGGTGGTTCTTTCACTATCACCCGTGATGAAGTCAACCCTTCCATCGGTCGTGGTACTGAGATGCGTCTTTACATGAAGGAAGATCAAGTAAGTTATATAAACAATCAAAGGGTTTTATGTAAATAAGCATGACACTTATTCATCTTTTAAAAAAGCTCGAATACCTCGATGAGAAGAAGATTAAGGATATTGTCAAGAAGCATTCCGAATTCATCTCCTACCCTATTCAACTTGTTGTTGAGAAGGAGGTTGAGAAGGAGGTCTCTGATGATGAGGAAGAGGCTGCCACTGAAGGTGCCAAGATTGAAGAAGTTGTCGATGAAGAAGACAAGAAGGATGACAAGAAGAAGAAGACCATCAAGGAGACTGTCGTCGAGAACGAGGAACTTAACAAGACTAAGCCTCTCTGGACCCGTAACCCTGAGGATGTCAAGACTGAAGAATACTCTGAATTCTACAAGGCTCTCTCCAACGATTGGGAGGATCATTTGGCTGTCAAGCATTTCTCTGTTGAAGGTCAACTCGAATTCCGTGCCATCCTTTACGTTCCCAAGCGTGCTCCTTTCGATATGTTCGAGACCAAGAAGAAGAGAAACAACATCAAGCTTTACGTTCGTCGTGTCTTCATCATGGATGACTGTGAGGATTTGATGCCCGAATGGTTGTCTTTCATCAAGGGTGTTGTCGATTCTGAGGATCTTCCTCTTAACATTTCTCGTGAAATGCTCCAACAAAACAAGATTCTTAAGGTTATCCGTAAGAACCTCGTCAAGAAGTGTCTCGAAATGTTCCAAGAGATCTCTGAAGATAAGGAGAACTTCGACAAGTTCTACGAGGCTTTCTCCAAGAACATCAAGCTCGGTATTCACGAAGATACCCAAAACCGTACCAAGCTTGCTGAGTTATTGCGTTACCACTCCACCAAGTCTGGTGAGGAAATGACTTCCTTCAAGGATTACGTTACCCGTATGCCCGAGAAGCAAAAGAACATCTACTATATCACTGGTGAATCTCGTGCTGCCGTCGAGAACTCTCCCTTCTTGGAAGGTTTCAAGAAGAAGGGTATTGAGGTCCTTTTGATGACTGATCCTATTGATGAATATGCCACTACTCAACTTAAGGAATACGAGGATAAGAAGTTGGTCTGTATTACCAAGGATGGTCTTGAGCTCGAAGAAGATGAGGAGGAGAAGAAGGCCCGTGAAGCTGAACAAGCCGAATTTGAAGGTCTCTGTAAGACCGTCAAGGATATCCTCGGTGAAAAGGTTGAGAAGGTTGTTCTCTCCAACTTGTTGACTGACTCTCCCTGTGTTTTGACTACTGGTCAATTCGGTTGGTCCGCTAACATGGAACGTATCATGAAGGCTCAAGCTCTCCGTGATTCTTCCATGTCCAGCTACATGGCTTCCAAGAAGACTCTTGAACTCAACCCTAACCATCCTATCATCAAGGCTCTCCGTGCCAAGGTTACTGCTGATGCCAACGACCGTACTGCCAAGGATCTCGTCACTTTATTGTATGAGACTTCTCTTCTTACCTCTGGTTTCACCTTAGATCAACCCGCTTCTTTCGCCACCCGTATCAACCGTATGATCTCTCTTGGTCTTTCCATTGATGAAGATGAGCTTCCTACTGCTGATGAGCCCGCCACTGAAGCTGTTGCTGAGGATAACGCTGAGGTCTCCAAGATGGAAGAGGTTGATTAAATGCATTGCAATTCGTTATTTTTTTTTTCATCATTATAAAATTTCCCCCCTTTATTCTTATCACCACCATCACCCCATGCTCCTTTTTTTCTAAAAAAACAGGCGGTATTTTGCTACCATCTTCTTTGTAATAAATATTAAATATATAGAATTTGACTTTTTTCTTTTCCAGAATTTATGGTAAATTCAGGCCGCTTTCTTTTTTCCAATTTAGCTAAGCCTGACGGGACTTTAAATATGCATTTATTATATCATATAATTCGTGGGCTTTCGAGAAGTGAATGCACTTGTTTCACACCAAATATAAATCGTAAGAATGCAAGCACCTCCACCAGCAACTAATGGCCCCGTCATTGCCGGCTACTTTGCCAACTGGTAAACATGTTGGACAGATTAAGGGAGTTCGTCATCTAACTCTCTTGTGAAATGTCTAGGGGAATTTATGGTAGAAAGTTTAATGTCGTCGATGTCGCTGCTCAAGCAAACAAGTTGACACATATTTTATATGCTTTTGCTAATTTACAAGAAGATGGACAAGTGGTTATTGGGGTAAGTAATGCTGTAATAACAGCTGTTATGAAGGGTCGATTATTAACTACTTAGAAAAAAGGATCCATTTGCAGATAAAGAAAAGCATTTCCCGCCCGGTAAGTTTGATTTGACCTCGAGAATACATGTATCTTAACTATATACACAGAATTGACTGTGGATGGAAAAGGAGACAGCTGGAACGACCAAGGAAATAATCTGTACGGAAACTTTAAGCAATTTTACTTATTAAAGCAAAAGAACCGCCAGTTGAAGGTGTCTCTTAGTGTGGGTGGATGGACATGGTCCAAGAATTTTGCCACTGTTGCCAGTGATCCTGGAAAGCGTAAAAGATTTATTGAAACAAGCGTTAAGTTGATTGGAGATCTTGGTCTTGACGGCTTAGATATTGATTGGGAGTATCCCAAGGATGACAAAGAAGCATTTTTTTATGTGCATTTGTTGTACGAGACACGTATAGCATTAGATGCCTATCAGCAGCAATGCAACCAATTGAACCAACCTCGTCTGCTTTTAACCGTAGCTGTTCCTTGTGGACCTGAACACTACAAAAAGCTCCGATTGGCTGAGATGCAACCATATGTAGACATTTTCTATTTGATGGCTTATGATTATGCTGGTTCTTGGGATGCACAAACAGGCCATCAAGCTGCCATGTTCGGCGGCCCTTTAAATACGGACCAAGCCATTAATGCTTATTTGGCTGCTGGTGTTCCCCCACAAAAATTAGTTATGGGTCTGCCCATGTATGGTCGTGGCTTTTGTAATACAGATGGACCAGGTTGTTGTTATCAAGGACTGCCCAAAGGAACCTGGGAAGAAGGACAATTTGATTACAAGTGTTTGCCTAAGCCTGGTGCTCACGAACATAATGATATGCAAAAGATGGCTTCATGGTCTTATGACCCCAATAGTCGTGAATATATTACATATGATTCCCCTCAGATTATTGCGGCTAAGTGTGACTATATCAAGCAAAGACAATTAGGAGGTGCTATGTTCTGGGAACTGAGTGCTGATCATAAGCCAGACCACCCCCGTAACTTGGTCAACGTTGTTTATGATTCATTGGGTAGACGAGTCGACCAAGTGCCTAACCATCTTGAATATCCTCTCAGCGAGTTTGATAATATCAAAAGACAAATGAATTGAAATCTAAATAGGAACGATAGTAAAAAAATAAAATAAAATCAAAGTGTTTCAAGAGGGGTACCTTTTTTAAAAACCGTTATTTTCTCCTTTTCTGCTCCCTCCTTCTCCTCTTTCCCTTTCTCTTTATTTTTTAGCAGATGAGTTATTATCAAAGCCATAATAACACTTTGACGTTACCGACAGTTACAACACGTTCACTATCTAATAACGTCAGTTTTTACGCTTCCCTTTCAATCGGCGAACGGTTTGAACGACTGGGGTCGGGCCAAGAACTTGATTTATTTGGCACCAGCGTAAGCCGAACATCCGTAAAATCACAAATGAGTATGGGTAAAGTTTTCCACACGCGTTTTGCTTTATTGACTCATTTGACAGGATTTGTGAGGAAAGTATATTTAATCATTTTTATACAACTTTTATCAATAACTGTAACGATGTCACTATTCATACGCTTTCTGTCGCACTGGCAAGAACAAAGGTATTTTATGTTAAAGAATCCAACGACAAAAAAGTACCCCACTAAGCAGGTTACACCAGTAAATATTTATGGTGGGTCATCTTATTCCCCGCCACAGTTCTCTCACTCATAGCTTTATGGCAATTGTGGGCGCAATATTACCAGTTATCAAGAGTGGTCCGTGTTGTTCTACTTTGTATTTACTCGTTGCTCATGGCTTTTATCCTTTCCGATCTAAGTATGATATAATTGTGCATTACTACTTGTTTCGTATTTTACTCATACAATTGTCTGTGGCAGTCACGGTCTTCTTTCATGAAGACGGACTATTGGTTCTTACCATGTCATGTTTTGGTTCTGTGAGTGTCCTGTTGTATACTTTCCAAACAAGATATAAGTTTCGAGGACCAACACCAGTGTAAGTAAGTTTGGTATTTTTTACAGTTTTTATTAAAAAGAGTATTAAGAATTCTGTGCAATCTAAAAGGGTTTGCTGCACTGCCACAATATGTGTTAGCTCGATTGCTCTACGAGATATATATCAGATGAACCCTGTGCAGATTTTAGGTCCTATCGCAATTTCTAGCTTGTTATGTACATATTTCATACTCGAATTATATTATGCTATGGGCGTCATGACAATTGATGACTATATACTGGCATACATATCACTTTATATCGACTTGGCATATCCAATTAACTGCCTGCATCATTTATGCGAGATATCGGAAAACGTGGATGACTTTACAGAATATTTTAACCCAGATCCGCTTAGGAACCATGGTTGATAAAATGGATGCCAAGATTTCGGTAAATTTATTCCAATCAATAAAAAAAGGGTGGGGAAGGAAGGATAGTACTTCTTAAGCAAGTCTAATTACGATATTTAGATTCCATAGTTGATACAAATATTATTGCTTTTATAATGCCCCCCCAAGTATTATTATTGTTGCTATAAATATGCACAAGTCTATTTTAGGAAAGCAGTAATGGCGACTTACAGGTTTTCTGTAATTAAATATTTGTACTAAAGAAGTGCAACATAGAAAACTACTATTTCCAAAGTAATGAATTTATTAATATGGGTTTTTATAAAAGTAAAAAAAAAAAAAGATAACTGGAGTACATAATAATAGAAAATAAGGAGGGATAGGGCGAGCATGAGGTTCTAGATGTACCAATTTAAGAGGTATAATAAGCAGGAAAAAAAAAAAGAAAAGAAATATATACATTTGACGAGCTTGATCTTTCTTTTTAACGGAAACGAAGATAGAAATTGACGATCAAGGCACCGACCAAAAGGAAGCAAAGAACAGCAGGACCCCAAAGATCATCATAACGACCGACAATACGACGATTAATCATCCTAGAAAACACAGAAAATTAGTATATCTAAATAGAATGAAAATATGAATAAAGTAACATACCATGCACGCTTCTCGAATTGATACAATGCATAAATAGCAATTGCAGCAGAAATGCCGATAAAGATACCACCACAGATACGAGAAATATTATCACCAAAATTGAGCAGATTTAATGCAACAGACAACAGCAAGGCACAGAATTGTAACCAAGAAATAAAAGTACGTTCGTTAGAGAAGAAAACTTTAGGCTCTACCTTGACTTTTTTCACAGGAATGACAGCATTGGGATTATTAGGATCCTTGACAAACATGGTATCCTTTTCAAACATTCTTCTTGTAGCAGGATCATTCATGTCTAAACGGATATCACCATTATCAAAGTTGATATCTTCACCAAGATTACCTGCTTCTCTATCTTTTCTTTTGATACGCTTTTCGCTCAAAGGACCGTAATTGAGAGGATCATCGCCTTTCACAACAAGAGTGGATTGCATACGATGGACTCTGTTTTCCCAACTAGCATCAGAACCAGCAGCAGGTTTATCATCCCCAATGAGAAACTCTTTACTAGCTACTTTTCCGGAAGTAGATGAACCGACATCAACTAGATTCTTTGTGTCACCAGAGTCCAAACTTTTTCTTCCTTGTCCTGCTGACTCATTCACCATATTCATTCGAAGCTGTTCCGCCTCCATTGCACGACGGTATTGACCGTCAATGAGGGGTTTAAATGATTTCGAACGTGTTAAACCAAAGTTAGTAGCACGAGGTCTACGAATATCAATTTCCATTTCGGACAACCACCAAGGCAAAAGGGGAATACGATCACGGAAAAGGTAAGAAGCACCATGTAAATATTTAGAGAAGCGGGGAACTTCATGCACGAGGTGGGACTCCAACAATTTCTTGAGCCATAATGGTGTGGCTTGACCTGTTTTAGCTTCTAACACAGCATAAGGAAAACGCAACACTTCATTTTCATCCAGATAGCTAAAAGGATAGTCAATGCCAACATCGGGACGACGCCAGTCAGTAGGTCCTCGACGAACAACACCTCCAAAATTATCTTCACGAATAAATGTTAGTTCATTGTCAATATTGATACGAACACGAGCATCATCAGGTAATTGAAACGATGTGCGATTATAGAATACACGACATGAAGGCTTCAAATGCTTTTCCTTTATGGACTCTTGAATCCCGGCGGCGACAAATTTACAGTCGTCAACAATAGTTGAGTCCACACCTTTAGAGGATAAACGGTTAGCAAATTCGTCGGCAGTCAAAGCACCAGAAATAAATTTATGAACTTCATCGCTGGCCAATTGGATACGTTCTTTAACAGAGTTTCCATCGGCAAATTCGGCCATGTGTGTACTACGTTCGGCAAAGACTTCTGGATTGGACAGAGGACCATGCCACTTAAAACGGATAGCCTCGCCACCTTCATCCCGTTGTAATAAACTTGTATAGAGACCAAATTCATCATTATCAAGATAAACGCTGGAAATTGCGGAATCTGATGCTTCGTAACGCTTTTCTTTGTTGTGAATGTTTACTGGCAAATGAAGCATAATAATCGACTTGACTTCAGTGATATTATCAGGATGGATCCAATATTTGGTATTGTTGTTGCCACCAATGGTGTTAGGGTCAACACTGACAGTACTAGCTGGACGAGGTTTGCCTCTTTGACGACAAAGGTCATGAAGAGCGGAGATGAAGACAATGGCAACATCGAAACGTTGCTTATCAAGTGGCTTGTGTCTTAACTGAGGAATGAAATCTTGCTTGAGGGAAAGTCCAGTCCATTTGTCATGCTTCTTGATAATTTTTTGGAAGCCGATGTAGTTGAGTCTGGTAAATTTGGCCAGGTCATTTACGTCGAATAAAACCTCTGTTAATGCATCGTCCATGATTGCCCAATTTTGATCTGAAGACCACGTGGGGTTGTTAATAAATGTTTGGATTGTACGTTCACAGTAACTAATTCGGGCCTCCACCTCTCCTAATTTGGCAGACACAAAATCATAAACTTTTTCAAGCTCATTTTCCAGCTTTTTCACAAATTCGTCTTCATCATCGCCATTCCATTTATGATCAAGCTGTCTAGTTTTTAATTCTTTCTTCAATACATCGTATGAAATATAAGATAATCGCCAAGGTGGAAAAATTTCTTGTTGTAACTGTTCACCAAATTTCATAGTAAAGGTGATACGAAATGAAAAGGGAAAGAAAGAGCGAAAAAGAGAGAGAGAAAAGAAAAAAAAAAAAGAAAGAGAGAGAAGAAAGAAAGAAACGAAAATAAATAAAAGTTTTTTGTGTTATACCCAGTTTCGGTTCTTGTGGCGATAATTATAAATAACTTATTTTTGGCTTTGCCAACAAAATGGGAAGTGGGATTGAGAGACCGAAACTAGTACATGACCAATAAATATTGTCCTCCCGCTTGTAGTTTTTTTGTGGGATGTAGTTGAGTCGGTTAAATCGAAACACCGAGTTGAATAATAACGAAAAAAAAAGCTGAAATGGATCTAAAACGTATATAAGACATGATAGAAAAATGACGTTTCCGTTGTTTTTGTTACTCATGGTACCTTAATAATTTAGGGTTTGCCGTTTTGTTTGTTTGCTGAGATGATGCTCAGCTTCTGTGTAGGATTTACTTGGCAAATCATCATTGCCAAGTATGCGCAATTCTTTTTGTCTAAACCCAGGTATTAATAATTTTATATTACACAGCATTGTTATATATTTAGGGCATTAATAATAGCATATGAGGTAAGTGTCATCACCATCCCTTTTTCTTGTCTTAATTCAAAAACCGATGGGTTTCACATCACATAATTATTCAAAACATGGATCATCCCAACCATGGGAAGTACTACTCCGATAGTAAAATATATAATATTTATTGTAAACGTGTAACCTCTTATTATAGAAATTATCGTTTAGGGTATGAATTAAATGTATACAATTTGTATGGTGTATGTGCATGTGTGTTTTGTTGTTTGTTTGTTGTTTAGAGACCGACATCAGTAGCAGCAGGAGCAGCAGGAGTAGCAGCAGCAACAGAAGCTGTAGATGTACTATTGCCAACACCCAAAAATGTCGTATTTTCTGGAGGAGAGTTGTATCTCAAAGCAAAATTGGTCTAACAATAAAATATATATATAAGTAATAATAATGACTTGATTGAAAATAAAGAAAACTTACGATCAATGCACCAAGTAAAAGGATACATAAGAATACGGGACCGAACATATCATCGTAACGGAGATGTGGTTTATTAGTGATACGCCATGCACGCCATCTGTAAAACGCGATAGCATAAATGGAAAAGATGAAGGCGATACCAAAGAAGACGGCACCGACAATTTTGTTGATATGATCACCGAAATTCATGAGCGTCAACGCAACGGATAAAAGCAAAGCAGCAAAATGAAGCCATTGAATGAAAGTACGTTCATTTGCAAAGTAGATCTTGGGTTCTATTGTTGCACCGCCTTCTTTCTCCTTCAATGCCTTCTTCTTTTCTTTCTTGATTCTTTTCCTTTCAGCGGCTTCTTCCTCAGAATCATATCCCCCGTTACCGGCTTCCAAGTTTTCATCAAAGTAAGAATTTAAACGAGAATCGCTAATTTTGCCGCTCTTTTCGTTTTGAGCATATGATGAGCGAGGGGTTTGTTTGCCTCCCATGAGAAACTCTGTCGATGAAGTGTCGAATAAGTCATTTGTCCGTCTACCATCAGGAGTCATACTGCGCAAACGAGACGTTGAACCGGATCCTGCTACCGAGTTCCGACCTGCTAATCCACTAGGTGTGTCGTACGAGATATCATGTTGAGACCAGATAGGGTCGTCGAAAGGATTGCCACTACGGTGTGAACCAGTTTGAGAAACAGGCGAATTGCTAGCTCCATTCATAGTTCCTGGCGTTGTCGAACGAGTTAATGTAAGCTTTCTTCCGAGATTTCCGGTTTCAGCAGAACGAGGCATTTTACTGGATCGTTTGGAGGCATTGCGAGTCAAGAGAGGCTTTTTGGTAGTACTTTCGACACGTTTCAACGTAGAACTACGTTCGAGCTGAGATTCAAGATAACCCATACGATACTTGCCATCGATTAAAGGCTTCAAACTCTTACTTCTTGACAATCCACTAAAGTTACCAGTGGGAATTTTAGCGTTGCGGATGTCCAATTCTAATTGACTGAGCCACCAAGGTAACAAGGGAAGACGGGGGTTCCAAAAAAAGGCAGCACCTTGTAAAAATTTTGAGAAGCGAGGTACTTCATAGACTAAACGTGATTCTAACAAACGGGTTAACCATTGTGGGGGTTCTTGGCCTAGATGGGTTTGTAATTTGGTTTCAAGCACAGCATAAGGGAATTTGTAAACCTCGGCAGGGTTCAAGTTATCAAACGGATAATTAATACCCATATCAGGGCGACGCCATGAACCCTTTCTCCTTTCAGCCTTGCCGTCTTCACGGACAAAAGTCATGTCAGTATCAAGAGATAGACGAAGTCTTTGATCACCGGGAATTTGAAAAGCTGTACGATTATAAAACACACGCATGATGGGTTCGAGGCTTTTCTCACTAATAGATTTTTGAACACCAGATGCAATGAAGTAATTTGCTTTGACAACATCTTCAGTAGCGCCTTTTGCTTTTAAGTCATCAGCATACTTTTCGGCAGTATAAGTTCCGTCAATAAAATCATCCACCTTGTCAGCATTTAACCGAAATCTGTCCTTGACGGAAGCACCGTTCAACCAAGGAGCGTGATGGGTTTTACGCTCGATAAAGATACTATTAGATTCCATGGGACCATACCAACGAAAACGAATAGCTTCGGCACTTTCATCGCGTTGAAGACGACCTTGGTAAAGATCGAAATTCGGATTATCAAAATAAACACTTGAAATAGCGCTATCTGCAGGTTCTATTGGTTTCTCAGGATTAAATACAAGTACAGGTAAATGGAAAAGTAAAATAGCTTTCAGTTCAGTCACATTATCAGGATGGATCCAGTATTTTGCAGTTGCACGTTCAAAGTCATTTTGGTCCAAACCAGCAGCAGAATTTCCTTGGCGTACTTCACCACGTAAGCTACATATGTCATGTAAAGTGGAAATCTTCACTAAAGCCACATCAAACCGTTGTCTGTCTAGGGATTTAGAGCGAATGATGTCAACGAATAAGAGTTGGTTGTTATAATCAGTATATTTGTCATGCTTTTTGATTAATTTTTGAATAGCCAAGAAATTGTAACGAGTAAATTTTGAAAGATCGTTAAGATCCATTAGAATTTCGGTCAGAGTATCGTCGGTTGTATCAAACAAATTGCGTGCGACGGATGGTGTAATGTTTTTGCTTTGTTGAGTTAAAGACCGTTCACAGTAAGCTAAACGTGACTCTATCTCTCGTTGTTTCCTAGTGATGAAATTATCAACTTTGTCTGCTTCTGATCGTAAGGCGGTTTCGAAGTCGTCCTCGTCCATATCGTTCCATTTATGGTCATCTTGACGTTCTCTCATATCAAGTTTAATGTCATTATATGCAACATATTCAGACCTCCATGGCTCATAGATATTATTTTCCAACTCTTCGCCAAATTTCATGATTAAATTGAAAGTGATATATAAGAGAGAAAAGGGGGAAAATTAAGATCCCTAATAAAAACTTATTTGTGTATTTTTAGGTACATCCAACAATAAATAGGGCACACATGGTCTCACCTGGGTTTTTTTTTTTTTTTTTTGCCCAACCAAAATGGGTTTGAAACCCAAAAAAAAACCGCTTGTTGTGCACATTATTATTGATTGTTTTTCTCTAATTTCTGTATCACAAACGTTACGAAATAAGAATAACTCCTAAAATAAAAATCACGGATCATCAAGACAGCACCAAATAGCAAAAATAGATTTTTTATGTAAGCCAGGCAAGTCGACTTTTTAAGAACTCAGCCACCACGGCACAGAAAAATTTTATTTAGTTGACTGCTACAAGCTTTACGGCGCACTACAGACATCTTCCTACGTCACGAAGCTGGTAGACCTCTATAATTTTTTTTTTTTTTTTTTTTTTTTTTTTTGTTATTTGATAAAGCAAACAAAAATATTAAGAAGTGCATTTTTTCGACATTTTCTTTCATAAAAAGTAGTTATATCCAGAAACCACAGTAAAATTCGAAAAACAGTAAACATTTCCCTTCATAAACTTTTTTTTTATATATAAATAGTAAGTGGAAAAAAGTTTTTTTTTTTTTTTTTTTTTTTTCAAGATGAGAAATAAAAGTTACAAAGTCCTTTCTTTTTAAAAGTTGTTTTCTTTTAGACCTTTTACACTACATAAAATGAGTACCTGGCAACCTTCACCCCAAGGTCTTTCGGATTTGTTGCAACTCTTACGTGAAGCTATCAATCCTACTGCAGACGGCCACAATGTTCAAGAAGTAAATGCCTTTGGTTTATACGATAAAGCACAACATACTAATGCTCTTATTTAGAGACTCGAATATTTTAACAAAATCCCTGACTACAATAACTATTTAGTTTATATTTTAACTCAAATGCCTCAAGAAGATCAATACATTCGTTCTGTTGCAGGATTAACTCTCAAGAATAACATTAGATCTCACTTCCCTACTATCGCCCCCGAAGTCATTGAATATGTTAAGGAATGCTGTCTCCTCCATATTGGCGATAGTAAAGTCGGTAAGCCTGTCAGTTTAGTTATCGCTGCTATCGTTGCCCGTGGTAATATTCAAAACTGGCCTCAAGTTCTTCAAGTTTTATTAGCAAAATTGGATGACCCTAATCCTGTTTTGGTCGAGGTAAATTTTGTTAACTAAAAAGTGTATATATATATGTGTGTGTATGCGTTTGTGGACTATTATTAATTCTATATATGGATTTTGTCGCATAGAACGCGTTTGGTACATTTGCAAAGATTTGTGAAGATTCCGCTCGCGATCTCGATAGTGTCATTAACGGTGTTCAGCCCTTAGAATATATGATTCCAAAGTTTATCGCATTCTTTGATCATCCTAACCCCAAGATCCGTTTGAATGCAATTAGCTGTACTGCACAATTTATCAACCTTCGCTCAGAACCTTTGATGACTAGAATTACCGATTTTTTGGTTGCCCTTTTCAAGAGAGCCACTGATGATGATGTTGAAGTTCGTAAGGCTGTTTGTCAAGCTCTTGTGGGTCTTTTAGAAGTGTGCCCTACTGTTCTTTTACCTCACATGCCCGATTTAGTCGATTATATGCTTTTCTGTACTCAAAATGATGATAGTGAACTTGCTCTTGAAGCCTGTGAATTTTGGCTTGTGTTTGCAGAGCAAGACGAACTTCGCGATAACCTTCGTCCTTTCCTTCAAAAGGTCGTGCCTGTTTTACTTAAGGGTATGGTCTATTCCGATGTTGATCTTATGACTCTTGGTGGCGATGAGGACGATGCCCATATTGCTGATGATGAGCAAGATATTAAGCCCCGTTTCCACAAGGCAAGTGTTGTTGAAAACGAACTTATCAACAAGGAAGAGGAAACTGCCGAAAAGAAGAAGAGTTTGCTTGACGATGATGATTCCGATGTTGACGATGATGAGGATGATGAAGATTATGAGGACTTTGAAGACGACGAATTTTATGGTGAATGGAATTTGAGAAAGTGTAGTGCTGCTACTCTTGATGTGTTATGTACCTCTTTCGAAACTGAAGTGATTCACATCTTAATTCCTCTCCTTAAGAACGAATTGGAAAGTGGTGACTGGCTTCACAGAGAGTGTGGTATTTTGGCTCTTGGTGCTGCTGCTGAAGGTGGTATGCAAGAAATTGCTCCTCATCTTCCTGAGCTTGTGCCTTACTTGCTCAACAACTTGAATGATCCCAAACCTCTCGTTAGATCTATTACATGTTGGACTCTTGGTAGATATTGTGGTTGGATTGTTCAAACCGCTAGACAAAGCCCCGAAGCTCGTCAACACCTTCTTGAGCCCCTCACTCAGATTTTGTTGCAACGTATTTTAGATAACAATAAGCGTGTTCAAGAAGCTGCTTGTTCGTCCTTTGCTTTGCTCGAGGAAGAAGCCGCTGCTGATTTAATCCCTTATCTTCAACCTATTCTTAGTACTCTTTGTACTGCCTTCACGAAATACCAACACAGAAACTTATTGCTCCTCTACGATACCGTTGGTACTTTAGCCGATGTGGTTGGTGAGACTTTGAATAACCCTCAATATATTGATGTCATCATGCCTCCTCTTATCAGCAAATGGCAAGAAATCTCAGATGACAGTACTGACTTGTTCCCCTTGTTAGAGGTTTGTTATTATGCATTAAGGAGAGAAACAAGAAGAAGACTAACATCCTTTTATGTATATAGTGTCTTTCATCTGTTACCACTGCTCTTGGTAAGGGATTCAAGCCTTTTGCCGAACCTGTTTACACTCGATGCGTTATCCTTGTGTGCAAGACATTAGAAGAATGTCGTTTGTGTGCTATGAACCCTTCTTTGGAACAGCCTGATAAGGACTTTATGATTGTTGCTTTAGATTTACTTTCCGGTATCGTCCAGGCTCTTAACACCGACGCCGAACCTTTGGTTGCCAGCACTAATCCTCCTGTTGTTCAACTTTTATCTCTTTGTATTCAAGATGAAGTCGCTGAGGTGCGTCAATCCACATATGCTTTATTAGGTGATCTTGCTATCTCTTGCTTTGAACATATTCGTGCCGTAGTTCCTCAATTCATGCCTCTCCTTCTTCAACAAATCGAACCTCAAGCCGAACACTTGTCTGTATGTAACAATGCTACGTGGGCTGCTGGTGAAATTGCGCTTAAATGGGGTGCTGAAATCAGAGATTATGTCGATCCCTTATTGCAACGCTTGTTCCCTCTTATGGTCAATCCCCAAATCCAACGTACGCTTTTGGAAAATGTCGCAATTACCATTGGTCGCATCGGTCTTGTCTGTCCTGCCTTAGTTGCTCCTCACCTTGAGTTATTTATCCAGCCTTGGTTGACTGCCCTTACTCCTATTCGTGATAATGATGAAAAATCCTCCGCATTCAGTGGTTTGTGTGAGATGATTAAGGCAAACCCCCAAGGTGCCGTCAAAGAATTCCCCGCTTTTTGCACTGCTGTCGCCAATTATCAAAACGTCTCTCCCGCTTTACATGAAGCTTTCGGCAATGTAAGTTTTTTAATATATATATGTATGTCATTTACACGCGCAATTAATCATGATTTGACACAGATTTTATTGGGATATAAAAACATGTTTGGCGAAGCTCAATGGCAACAAGGTTTGACATCAATGCCACAAGAAGTAAGAGCTCCCTTACAAGAACGTTATGGCATCTAAATCATACACCTTATATATATATATACTCACATGTATATATATAAATATAAAAAGAGTAAAAATTTAAAATCTTGAAGTGTGTCGTTTATTTATCAATTCTGGAAAATAAAAAGAATAAAAAAAAGTGTATATAACAGCCCTTGAATAGTTATCAACTATACTCTTCCTATCCCCATCCTCTTTACTCGCATACGTGCAAATCAGGCTTCTTCGTCACTAAAGTTTGGCTCATTGTCAATATCTATGTTTGCCATTACAGTGGGATCATAATGATGCTTGAAATACTCTTGAAACATGTCGTCTGTGAAATTAGAGATAAAAGCGTATGCAGAATCATCACAGCCTGAAGGAAAACGTTCATCTTGAATATAGTTAGTCTCATAGAATTGTAATACAGCATCATTAAGGGCCCGAGCAATATGATCAATTGTGTTGAGCATAATATTCGCTGAAATCAGGCGCTTTTGTTTTTCATATTCTTCATTTTTTGCTATTATTAAATCGATGTCATCAATATATTGTTGAACAATTTCTTCTGATACATCGTGGATATCGTAACAGATGATCTCCATGGCTTTGGGAGCAGTGAAGTCACTAGAAGAAAGAGCACGTATAATTATATTCGACAGATTGTTGGTGAGAGAAGTATCAATCGATAGAGCTATTCTACGAGTGTGTGGAGACATAGTAAGAGGACCTGCTTCACCAGGGAAGATTACTCCTAACAACTTTCTGACAATTTTACCAAAGTACTTATTCCTTCCTCTAAAAGTTGTTGCAGTAACTTCCCCAATGATTGATGCGTATATCTCTTTTATGGTTCGTTCGTCGCTTGACATAGGATGAATTTAGTTTTGTTGTCGTTATTGGGCAAAAGAGATTTTTTTTCAATGCGATGTCTTATTTAACAAAAAAAAAAAAAAAATGAACGCTAAAAGATTTAATATGATAACACTGCTGGTAAAATCGAGCCTTTAATGTAATCCAACACCCGCTATCAAGTCTCTTTAACGTCCTCACAAATGCCGGGTAGCTTAAATAATTTTAAGAGATTTTTATTTTTAGTAGTCTGAAAAACCGATCAAGCGGCTTTTGTTGTGTAGCATAGCGCCAATATGAACATGAAGGACTTTGCCCTTTTATAAGTCAACCACTGTTAAATTTATGCCGCTGTATTATATATCTTAAAGACACAGGTTAATTTCCTGTGATTTTGGATGTAGCGAAATTGCTTTAATATCCCTTCATTGTCATGGCCACTGGAATGAGGGAAAAAGAAAAATCTCACGTATGGTTACACTACCGGTTTTTTCTAAACCTTAGTTAGGTTACAGAACCCAAATTATGTTTCACGTTCATTTGCAAATTATGTGCCTCATGTCTGTTAATGATATCATATAAGACAATTTTGCCATACATTTTCCCTTTGGAAGATGATTGTTTGGTTCGGTCCGCGGAATTCTTCAGACTTGACAACTTATCTACGTTACTGTTGATGTTAAATGATGGACTTAGTCAATTGTATTCTATGTTGTGACACTATAGTTTGAGGCAAAATAACGTCACTTATTTAATAGGTTCACAAACAGTCAACAAATATCAAATGTGGGAGGAAAAAACCCTTTTTAATCTTTTTATTACTTGTGATCATGCTTTATCAGAAATCAAGGGATGATTATCGTGTTTCTCCTTATTTAAAAAAGGTTTCAACAACCATAGGAACGATCTCGTCTTTTTGAAACTACAATGGCAAGCTGCAGATGTCTAATCCTAAAATATCAGCATCTTGGGACATAGAATAAAGGAGGCGTGTAACTACGAGAAAACGATTAATACGCCATGCACAGATACAAATAAATACCGTCAAATTTCCACTTTTAAATTTCCCCCTTTTCTCTTTCTTTAGTTTTTTTGCTACTAATACATCTAAAAAACATGCCACTGGCAAAAAATAAGAATAATGAGACGATACTGAACACAACTTTTACCAGATATTTGTCACCAAATATAAGTACCTCGTGTTCAACACCATCATCCAACGGCGATAGTTATTTTACGCCAACACCCACACCTTCACGCAGTAAAAATTCTCTGATAAACCCCATTCCATCCACATCATGTAAAAGTGCATTTTCTGTACAATCATTTCATACAGCAACAGGAGATTATGAGGAAGATGATCACTTACTAGACGATCCAGGAATTGCTAAAAAGGCATTTGAGTCAACGTTATTTGTGGTGGATGAGGAAGGCTCGTCATCGAATAAAATAAATAACACAATCGGACAGCAGAAACATTACTATAGACCCAAAATGGTCTCCACAAACTCCTCGTCAACAACGAATGATTTTGTGATGGGATATCCCAATGGTCTGTCAACCACCACTACAAATAATAGTATGATGATTCACCCCACGTCATTATCACATAGTTATACCAGCAACAGTATGTTCAACAATTATTTTTATTATGGCTCCTTGGGTAGTGCTGCAATATCAAGATCCCCATCCGGATCATACATGAACGAATATTATAATGAAGATTATGGAGTTGTCCTGGATGATGGCACTTTACAAAAACGATCTGTTTCATTATCTACTATGCCGATCTCAACTCCGCTGGAATTTAATAAAAAGAAATTCAAAGGAAACTACAACCATTTTTACTACCAAAATAACGAAGATGATCCTAGTCAACACAAATCAGCTAGTAGAAGCCAGGCAGAAGAGTAAGAATAGAATATATATGTATTTTTTAATTAACTCATCAATATTCTTTTAAGATTTTATGCTCATTTGTTAGAAGAGGAAAGGAGAGGACTTTTGCTAACGACTGTAACTTCCTCTGATCCAAAAATGATTATTCAAGATCTTCAGCCCAATGATTATGGCGAGACTAGCGATGACAATACAGACAATCTCTCTAATAGTAGGAAGAGAAGGAGGAAATATGAGCAACATTCGCAAGAAAGAAATTGCATCTCTTCTATTTTCATTTCAATTTTCATGTGGATAAAACGTCATGTATTCACCCTGTCCTACAAGCAAAAAATGGTTCTAAAATGCAGCTTTGCATATCTTTTGGGGTCTCTTTTTACATTTGTTCCGGTTTTAAACCAAATGCTCGGAACTGCAAGATTGTCAAGTCATGTAATAGCAACCGTCACCGTATTTTTTAACCCCTCAAAAACGGTAGGAGGTATGGTTGAGGCAGCAGGGTATGGTCTTCTTTATACGGTTTGTGCTCTCTTGCTGTCTTTATTAAGTATGGTCATTGCAATTTATTTGAGGTCCGAAGAGTATTACGTTACATCCTGCTGTGTTACACTTGGATTTTGGTTAGCTGGTAGCACTTTTGCTCTATCCTTCATTAAGGCACACTATAATAAGCCTTCCATAGGAACAGGTAATTAAAAAGAGAAGCTGTACCGAGTTAATTAAATATTAACGTCTATTTATAGGTTGTGGTTTGTATTTCATGATTATATTTCCAGTTCTCGTAAGAGAAGGTTCTGTTATACCTTCTGATTTCGATCCGACTTATATTGAAGAAATGTTTTCTATCGTCACAATTGGCACTGCTATTTCCGCTTTTGTATGTTGGTTTATCTGGCCAATGACAGCCACTAAAAAATTAAAGTGAGTTATTAAACCGGTCATGTTTGTAATGCTCACCATTATTTTATTTTTTTCCTTGAAGAACCGATATCAATGATACGTTGATTGCTGTTCGGATTTTAGTTAAGTTGCTTACAAAAACGTTTTTACTCGATTCGGATTTACCGGAATTTACTGCCAACGAACATTTACACACTGCGATTAATTCACATCGCACTAGCTTCATTTCTCTAAAAGCATCCTTGGCTGATGCTAAACGTGAATACTACAATCTGGATATATGGAAGCATGCTGAAGGATATGACTCAATTGTTTCTAGTCTACAAAGGCTTGCACAACATATTGGAGGTCTTCGTAGTAGTTGTGGTTTACAATTTGAAGTAATGAAAGCCACAGATAACAAAAAGAAAGGGTACGGATCAATTGAAACAAGCGAAGAGAACATGCCAAAAATTGTGAAAAAGAAAAAGGTATACAACATCAAGGCTGGTGATCAGAGAAAGAGGATGGAATATGAATTGAAAAAGGAACATCGGTCAACCGGATCTTTACATGGTTCTGATGAGGATGATGTAGAAGAGGAAGACCAAAGTTTAAACGCCACAGATAAAAAGCCTAAGGATGGCTATTATCATATTGAACAAGATCAAAACGAGAATGAGGAAGGCGCACTGGTGCAATTTATAAAAACAGTAAGTCCGCCAATGAAATCGCTCGCTTATACTTGCAAGCAAACAGTCGTCCATTTGGAATCTCGATTTACAAGCTCGACTACGGATAAGACACCTCCATTCAATTTGTTGAGACAAAACTTGGCGATGGCAATATCACTTTTTGAAGAGTCTCAGCAACTCGCATTAACTCGGATGTATCGTCGTAAAATGAAGAGTGGCAATAAGAAAAAGAGGAGATCAGAACAAAGCTTGCCGATTGATCCCCAGGAGTTACAGTCACATTTAATGAAACAGTTTCCTGCTGAGGATGTATTTCTGGTTTACTTTTTTGTATTTTGTCTACTGGAATTTGCCAAAGAGCTTATGGTGTTAGTAGAATGTGTAAAATCCGTATATGAGTATGATGAAGAGCAACGAAACAAAGGCGGCATTTGGACATGGATCAAAAGATATTTAATTTCACCATGTAAGTTGCATGACATAATTCTTTATTCATTCATATATCATCCCTAACTCTATAGCCTTAGTCTGGTGTTTGTGCTGTTGCTTCTATACCAAACCTTATTATCCAAAAGAAAATGGCGAAGAGAATATCATAAACAATGACAAGCCAACTACACCAGTTATTACGAAAAAAAGCTCTATTGATTCTTTTGTACCTAATAACAATAACACATTCAACACACTCCATACACCCAAACCCAAGACTAAAATTAGAAGGTTCTTCTTAAGTCTTTGGGGTTTTTTCTCCTGGTTCAGAACACACACAGTTCGATATGCACTGAAATCGACGCTGATTGCATTAGCTATTACTGTGATGGCATTTATACCAGCAACTAGAGAGTATTTTCTGGCTTGGAAGATGGACTGGACTTTAATTACAGTTATGGCTGTTATGTCGCCTACAGTGGGCGGAACAAATCAAGTAGCAGTTTTGCGTGTCCTCGCCACAATGCTAGGATCTATTATTGCGGTTCTTTTCTACTTGTTCTTACCTCACCAAGGTCCGCTTTTACTATTTATGTCATGGGCGTTCTCTATCCCTTGTTTTTGGATGATTTTGAATCATAAACATGGTAGATTTGGTATGTTCTCTTTATTGTCATACAACCTGGTCGTCCCTTTTATGTATAATCATATCAACGAGGACGTAGTCATTGATGTTGTTGAGCTAGCTTTTATGAGGTGTGCAACTGTTTCTGCTGGTGTATTAATTGGACTTGTTGTTACTGCATATATTTGGCCTTTCGAAGCAAGAAAAGAAATGCGTAAAGGATTATCGGATTTGCTTATTAGACTTTCATGGCTTTATAAACAACTAGTATCTGAATATTCAGAATATAACAACCCACCAATAAGTGAAACTCGTGATACTCAAGAAAACAACTACAGTCACATGGTGAAAAGAGTTATTTCCAATACAAAAGTGGAAGAGGCTCCAAATAGAATAGTCACATCAGTTGAAGAACTTGAAGCCTTGGCAAGACGAAATGAAGCACGATCAATTCAATTTCAGCATGTGGAACTCGAGTTACAGGTTACTCTGGTTGAACTGCAGGGATTATTGGTGTATGCTCCGGATGAGCCACGTCTTAAGGGTCCGTTCCCGGCAAAAACATATGAAGCCATGTTAACATCGTGTCAAAATATTTTGGACAAATTTTTATCGATTCGTATTGTAATTTTAAAGGATGTGTGGGCAACACAAGTAAGAAGAGACCTAATGTTGCCCGCAAGTCGAGAATTGATGGAGATGGCGGGAAGCGTTTTACTTTATTTCTATCTATTGGCTTCTGCTTTGCAACTGAAGACACCCTTACCGCCTTATTTACCACCTGCAGAAAAAACGAGAGAACTATTGATGATAAAATTACAACAGCTACCCAAAATCACAGCAGATTTAAAAAAGAACAACAACGTTGCAAACGGTGACGCTGTAAAAGATGAGTGCTACATGGTATACTACGCGTATGTAATTATGATGGAAAGTATTATCATCGAATTGGAAAATTTGGGTCAAGAAATGAAAAAACTCTTTGGATCTTTGGTCCCTGATGACCAATGGGCGAGATGTTTTGGTTTAGATTTAGAAAATAATACACTGCATAATAGATGATTACAATTTTAATAAAAAATAACTAGGTCTTTTTCTTAATTTTATATATTTATACAGTCAACGAAGCCAAGTAATTCTTCATGTTAGGGCGTTGTTCGAAAGATTGTACAAACTTGGCAAGATTTGGGGATCCACTCAAACGGTTGAGAGCGAAATCGTCATCAAGAAGATGGTAAACCAAAAAATCCACGTATGTAATCTTGAATGAGAATAGAAAATTAAAAATGCATAGCTTACATTCGAAACTAACTCACTTACTTTTTCTCCTATAAGGTAAGGTCCTGTATATGTAGTGTATAGTTTTTCGAATAGGTCGATATACTTGGGTGTTGATGTTACCCTGTGTTCAGCTTTTTTCTCCTATATTATAGCGGTATTATTTTATAAATACCCATCCATTATTACGTATAATTTACTTACATCATCTCCAAAGAAAGCATTTTTAACACAATCAAACCAACATTCAGTTATCTCTGTGACGTACTCCAAAAAATGATTTTCTTCAGCGTTTGATCCATTGTATTTGTTATCCAGCTTTGCAGAAATATAACGCATAATTGGTGCGGTTTTCCCAAATCTACTACCATTTATCTCAATATACGGCAGAGTAGGAGATATATAGCCATCTTTAAGGAGCTGGGCTTTCTTAATTCCCCATGCTTCGCCTTTAGCCAAACGAACATATTCATGATTTAATCCTGCATCTTCGAGCATTAGTTTGACATTTTCACCGCGACCGCGGGGAACTGATGAATAAAAATTAGAAAAGATTTAAGCATGGCAAGCACATGAACTTTACCACTGTTGCCATTGTCAAAGTAATAAAGAGTTATTTTTTCCATATAGCTGAAAAGATATTGTTAAATGTCAATAATAAAAAGAAGAATTAATTAACATCTGATTTATATAAATTTAGAATCTTAAATGTAACAGTGCACAAAATGATCTTACACGTTGATTAGCATAAACAATTAGCTGCCTCGCAACCCACAGCCTAATAACATACACAACTTTAAACTAGCACTTAAAGCAATATCCTAGTAGCATACATGACAAGGCAATAAGCTACTTCAACCGAGATTTGAATCATGCATGAAATATAATATATAGTAGTGAGCAAAGAAAGCTTTTGACTTTATACATATTGATCGAAGGGAAAATTTACTACGCATTTTGGTTCACACGCGCATATATCTCAGATGTGCCGTGTAACATGTTAAATTGCGTAGTAGATTTTGCCTATCCACATTAGCTTTACTTTTCTTTTCTTCTTTTGTGTATCAAGTGTAAAGTATATGAGAAAAACATTTTGTTTGCTTCACTGTTCTGATATATTCTAGTGGAAATGTAATTGTTATCGTTATTTTTTCACAGGATTATCTTTAGAGTTTATAATCGATTTCCACAATATTCCACAAAACAAGTTTTTCAAACTAAGTTTTACTACGGAATCAACGTAACCTAATAAAAAAATGATGGGGTTAACCGAAGAGAGACTACGGAAAAGACATGACAGATATGGATAATAAGACATAAATAATCAGTTTATTCAGTGTAAATAATTATGATACAGTAATGTTTGTAAAAGTACTCTAAACATCTTCAATATAGTTACTGAATTGAAAGTAAGTCTGCTCCAAGTAAATATGCTAATATTCTATCATCCAAGCAGTTGTTAAATGAAGTTAGTCGGCATTTGTCAAACCTCTAAAAATCTTATAGGACAATTCATCTTGGAAGGATCTTTATTTTGACGAGACAAAGGACGGGCCCATTTTTTAGCAAAAAAAAAAATCGCCCTTGTATCGACCCGTTTTAAAAAAATTAGCCAGAGATTCAACTGTAAAACACCATCCACACTCTTCTACCCCGCGCGCACGCGCACGGTATATCTTTAACTCCTATTGACAAAACTTTGATCTAAGTGCTTTAAACCCCCAAAAGTGAAAGGAGTAAACATTTTTATAATATACTTTACAAACGTTAGTTTTTTAACATTAAGCCAGCCAGAAAAGTTCATTTGTTTTACACGACTCTCGCATAATTATAGTAAGAACATTACCCCATTTTGCTGTAAATGCTACCGGGACTAATTTACTGCTAGCAGATTATTACCAGGCAATCGTAACTTAAAACAATCTGGCAATTTGTCACGTAGATGATGTTGAATAATGGGTTTTTTTAAAAACATGGTCTTATGGATGATGACTGATTGCGCATAGACCTCAAATTATGTGTAACCGTAAGCATTCAAATAACATAAGTAAATAGCGGATGGTCTTTTTTAACAATTGATCCTTTCCAATTACATACATGCAGCCGGGTTTCACCCACGAATGTTGTTTTTTTTCGTTATTTAAGCGTGACTTATATTTTATTAAATTTAAACCTAATGCATAATTAGACAAAAGTACCTGAAGGCCTGACTGTTATATCGTCAGAAAAGGGGGTAGGAGGAGAATGTGTAAACAAATGCTTGTTACAACAAGAGAAAATGGATTGGCGCTCACTAAAATTCGAAGGAGAAAAGCTAAAAATGTCGACATGATAAATATTTATTGCGAATTTATAATACGGATGGGTGGGAAAGCAGTAAAAGAATTATCTATCAGAGGGTAGGCTTCTAATTGGATGAAACGAATTTTCCTCCAGAGCAGTTTGTAGAAGGAAAAGTGTCTGAGCATCATATGTGCCATTTTAAGGTAAGCACGATTCGTGATCTGTACAGGGATTTACAGAAAAAGCAATAAATTTTCGGGTATCAACGTTCTTGTGTTCATAGATCAGAATGCGCCCGCCAAGAATCGTATTTATTTGTTTTAATATTTGTCCCTCAATATTTGTTTTTGCCTTGAAACAAACAGAAATACTTTTAGACGCATTTGAGTCCAAGTTAAACAAAATACTATCCTCCTCAGTGATATTTCTATCGTCATGTTTCACCACAAATCCTTCTTCCTCCTCTTCGGACGACATGCTGAATAGATCTTCCTCCTCTTGCTTTTTAAGCTTGATTAATTTCCTTCTGTATTTCTGAACTTTTTCGGGTTGGTCCTTTCGCACCGCAATCTTTAATTTCTGTTCCAAATTTTCAATCTCTTCTTCCTCTTCCTTGGACAACAACAAGCCTTCACTTTGTTGATGTTCATGATCAATAAAAAATTCAAATGTAAATAATTGTTGTGGTTGTAGTACATCGTCCGCATCTATTCGAATTTCAAACATTCTAGACTGCTTACTTGTATTTGTTACAATAATTGTTTCCTTTACATTACAACTTGTGCAAGAATTGAAAATAAGCTCGGATGATTTGATTGTAAATGATTCTGGCCTGCGTACCATTGCCTTGAGTGAGATTGTATTTTTATCTTCCTTGTCTCTTATATTAATCACTTCTAACTGTTCCATAAAAGACCCAGGTAAAGTGGGTATAAAGATAAATTCAATTTCTCGTTTACCAAACGATCGAACCACACCGTGCCGTCCAACCCCTAGATGAATATCGCCTGATGCAATCGATCCAGATTTTTTGATGGTGTAAAGTAATGGTGTCTCAGATTTATTATGTAATACAATTGTTTTGTGGTGCCTATCTCCACGATCCACTATGCCAAAATTAATATTTTTCTGACCCAGTTCCATGGAAGACTTGCAGACTTGGGCTCGAATGATTACCTTACGTAAGACGGGCATCAGGCCATTATATCTCCTTCGGTGTTGTATATCATCATCCTCATCCGAAGTTTGGATAGCTGATTGATCAAAATCAAGTAAGCAAAAGGAGACGGAAGCATCATTCTTGGAAGTCAATGACTGACTACTTATGGGTGTATATACAATGATGATATCTTCTTCCTCGTTTGGGTTTAATTGCAAAAGAGAAGTAGGTACCAGTTCACCTTTTTGAATCAAACGATTTAACTCTGTTCTCCAGGCAAGTTGATATCGAACAAACTGTTCCTCCAATGGTTGCCTTGCAAACAATGGGGTTCTAGACAATGAGCCATATTCAAGAATCGATATCAAATCATCTAATGGTACACGCGTTTTTCCTGCTATATCTGGCCAATCTATAATCTTTTTTCTAGCTTTTTTTAACTGCGCTGTTGTGCCTGTGATTCCCACGCACGCCTGTTGTTGATGTTGTTTCTTTTTTTTGTAACGCTTACACTGTTGTTGTGATGTTTTTTCTATCAATGCTGCTGCTCCTGCTGCTGCTGTTGTTATTATTGCTGCTTCTGATGTTGGTATCTTGTGACTTTTGTTTGATATGGATGATACTGTTGTTGTATCATCGTCCTTATTTACACTGAGCTTATTTTGAAGCCTGCCTTTACTAGAAGCCATATGTCTCGCTATTTTGCGCTTATACTTTATAGATGAAATATGCCCTTGTGGAGCTGTTGCAAGATCTAAGTAAGCTGTTGCATGGTATTGAGTATGTGTCATCCGCGTACGATGGTTTTCAGTTACGATTGTATCTATAATTAGAAGATGAAAAAAGAATGGAGGAGAGTAAATAAACTAGGTTGTAAAGTATTTGTTCTGTTTACCTGTTACAGAAGGTGTAGAATCAATCTTTTGATTATCAGAAGGATTAGCTGATGTTTTTCTGGAATGATTTCTTTTCTTTTTGGTATAAATAATAATCTCTTGCTGAGAGGAAGTAAAGATGCCTAATAACAGAGAAGCATCTCTAATATTTACCAATGTGCAGGTTCTTATAGCGGGAGAGTTCAAAGCGATGGGACCAAAGTCCAGAAAATTTGCTCCTGTAGGTGTCAGAATTCGATAAAACAATGAATGAAAAGTGACTCTATGTTTATCAACATTTGTACTCGAGACTTCTATAATCTGATCATTGTCACGGTTCAAATAATTCATCAGGGTGATCTGCCATTTGTAAGCATGGTTGACTTTACGCGGATAAATATCTAATTTCAAATCGACCGTACTTTTGGGTTTGATAAGTAGTTCGCCTTGAGTACAGTTCAGTACCTTGGACTCAAAGACTAATTCGACATGAGCGCAAATATCCGATTGGTTGATGATTTTGACTGGTATTGATTTTTGTGTGCCAACATCGGTGTCTCCGAAATCAATCACCTGCGGTGTGACTTTAACAAATGAGGTACATGTTTTGGCTTTACATTGAATCAGTTTAAGCTCTTTTGGTTTAGCGGATTTATTAGGCCGGTATTCCAAAACAATGTTAAAGTTCTGTCGTTGAAATTGGCCTGCATTCACACTGGAGGGAGCATCTTTGAGGGGTCGATAGGATACGCTAATAGTTTGCTCAACACCTGGTTTCAGCAGCATATCTTCAATTTTGTCATTACATTGTTCTATAGTCGAAAATGTAATTTGCCTACTTGAAGCAACAGTAGTGGTGGAAATGGTGTTGATTGAGTACAGCTCGTTAAATGCAGCTAGCATGTTCATATTATCACCATCTGTGAGAATTAACAATGTGTTTAGTTTTATACATATTTAAACAGGGAAATATGTATAAATCTACCTGTGGAGGCAAAGGAATGGATAGACGAATATTCTTCAATAGAGCCAACTGTTTCATGAGATGTGGTTGGAGATTCAGGACGAGTGAATGAAGCATCAGTTGATAAAGTAGAATGACCATCAGGAGGAACACTTGATTCAGAAGATAGAAATTGCATATCTGGTTTTGCAACAATATTAAAGCCAAGCTCAATATTATCATCAGTAACAAAATGAATATCAATGGAAGATTCGCTAATGTTTTTCAAGACGATGTGTTGTGTTGTCCAAGATCCCGAGATACAATCCCCAAAATCAAGCATATTTCCACTGGTAACGACTAATGTATCTTTGTGCATGATAGTTCTCATGGTTGCATGAATCTTGGTCTGAATTATATTTCGAACATCATTTGTGTTTTCAATTTGAAGGTCATAATTGAATTTGCCGATATCCTTGGGAGTAAATATGACTCGAAATGTGTAATGCGAGAAGGGCAAGATTGGATTTAAATCGTCATTATCTAATGTGATAAAGGATGATGCATCAACAAATTGTAACCAATCAAACACTGGATTAGATACTGATAAAGATTTATTCTTTACAAACATCAAATCTAATGTGTTTAATCTCCAGTGGAGATCGATAGCAGATTGATTACGTATGGTGATGTCCTTGATATAGCTTTCTCCCACCAGACTATCTTCGAATATGAGACCGCTATCCAATTCATCCGCAGCGAGAATAGACTGACAAGCAGTTGCATAGAAATCCGCACTTAATGTATAAGTATTAGATGTAAATAAAACAGAGCCAGTGATTTCTGTAAAGGTGCAAGTATTTTGGATGAGCGGGAGGAAAGCAAGCACAAAAATACACTTTTGATTCGGTGGAAGATGGATTGTATCTGTGTGATTGACGTAATTAAACACCTGGTTAAATTGCGGTGTAGCTACAGAAAAAGTGGCCCAAGCTGCAGTATTTGTAGCCATGTTTTTTGTAATTAAATCTAAATCCTTGATATTTTCATTTTCAATTTGAAATGCGATTTGGTCTTTTAAGGTTGAGTCGAGTCCTATCACGATTGTTTGGGGAGTCAAATTCTCTATTTCGAACTGCTTCAGAGCGTGAAACCCATTGCAGTAAACGTTTTCAAACACAATCTTGTTGCTGGGTAACCGGAATGGAGGAGAATGAACCCTTTTTTTCGTCATTACGTTCAAATGTGAACAGAAAAGAAAAAAATACAGGGACAAACACCTGGCGCATATTTTTTTTTTTTTTTTTTTGCTAACCACTTTTTTTAAAGTGAGACACGTGAGGGAGGGCATTGAGCGATATACTCGTTTAGGAAAAAAAAACCCCACAAATGAAAAACGCGGAAGATAAATCAAAAAAGAAATAAGCCCAAAAAGTGTACCTGATGATTTTGACATTAGAAGTAAACAAAAAATTAGTATATATACCGCACCGTTTCCCTATTTTTTTTTTTTTTTTTTTTTTTTTTTTTTTACTTTATTTTATTTACACAAACACACCATATCCAATGGATCCATTATTCTCTTATACCAATGTACATACCTCTTCCTTCAACATACTATTCTCCTTATTTTACAAGAAGCACCATGCTCAGTCTAAACCAAAGACTATCACCATGGCTACCATTACACCTGCACTGACCACCACCCAATTATTAACACCCCGCACGGAGCCATGTGTATTGCCGCAACAGATGATTGACTTGTCAATGCTTCTACAAAATAACAGTAAGATCCCAGTGTGTTCAAGCGGTGTAGGTCATTTGCAGCCACTGAATAACAAAAATGTGATGCCAGTAGAAAACAAAGACCCACCTGCAGCCCAACAGCCTAAAAGGCCTGCTTGGACAGAGTCTCATGCTTATCTCAGAGGATCGCGTACAAATGGTGATAATCTCAGAATTCTTGCAACTGAAATCAACATGATTCGCGCTTCTAAAATCACAAGGTCTCTTAAGCCAAGACGTCCATACTCTCATAAACGTGATGATCCCTTTGTCTGGGGAAAATCTACTTCATTAAGGATCTCCTGTTCCAGTCAATAGCGTGTGTGTATATGTGTGTGTGTGTGTATATAAATATAAATAAACTTTTTTTTTTCCCTTTCACATTAATTGAAACGCTTGTCTATTCTGGGTTTATCACCGTAACAAATAAAAAGCTATATTTCGCCATCCATCGTATGCACTTATTAAAATCACGTGTTTTCAGTTTTGCATTGGAGCCACAGATTACTAAGAATTCTTTTTTTTTTTAATTTTTTCTTAAATGTTACGTACTGCTTGTAGACCTATTTTAGCTCGTTATTCTAAACCCATTACACAAAAAAGCTTTTTATTATTTAAACAAATGTCTGTTAAAAGTGAATCTGAATGGAAGGTCGTGCTTACACCTGAACAGTTCCGTGTACTTCGTCAAAAAGGTATTTAGTGTTTAAAGTGTAAAATGCAGATGGCAATGAGACTCATTAACGCAAAAGGAACGGAGCCTGCCGGAACTGGTGAATATAACAAGACTTATAAAAAAGGTAAACATATACATGATGATGTTCCCTGGTCTTCCTGCTGACCTTATCTTTTATAGGCGTATATCATTGTGCGGGATGTAATGCACCTCTTTATGTTTCGGATACAAAGTTTGACAGTAAATGTGGTTGGCCTGCATGTAAGTTAGCTCATTTCTAATATTACAATGATAAGTTAATTATATTGGATTTATGTGTTATTATAGTTTTTGATAGTATTCCCGGTCAGTAGTTACATAAAATAACAAACATACTAAAAAAGAAACAATCTACTGACAATCCAATAATAGGTGCACTCACAAGAAATGTTGATGTGTCTCATGGTATGGAGCGTACAGAGATTTGTTGTGCCAAATGCGGTGGTCACCTCGGACATGTTTTCAAAGGAGAAGGTTTTAATACGCCCACTGATGAAAGACATTGCGTAAATAGTATTAGTCTCAAGTTTAACCCATAACACAAGTGTCATCAGATAAATAATAAACTTTTCTGACACATTTTCTAAATAAGAATCTAATTGGTAATTATGTGCCATAAGATAGAAAATCGTCATTTACAGTCGTTCCCCACTCCCGTTTCATTCACGTGCGTGACTGTGAAAATAAGTTGGATGCCAAAAAAAGAAACAACCAAACTGCCAGGAAAGTTTATCAGACCCCAAGCTCTCTACAAAGCATTGTAAGAAGTACGGGATTAATACAATGATAGCTACTATTTCTCTGTCCAAATGGTCAAACACTGAGGATTTGATTTAAGCTTAATTCTCATCAGGAAGAGCTAAATCAACAAGCTTCCGACCGTGTTTTGACAAATAGGTTCGATGCTTCTCTTTAGTTTCCTATTGCCTTCGTAGACACCCACAGATTCAAACATATGCCTCAAATGTGGAAAGTTATCTAGAGACGTTGTCTATCAAAAAACAGTTGGAATCACTTTACGAAGATAAAATTTTGTTCGCCATGCAAAACAAGCGCTTCTGGATTTTTGAATAGATTGAAGTGATATATACACACTATATATCCAGCCTATAATCTACTTGACATTTAATAGCAACCCAGCACTGAAACATAAACCATTAACGGATCAAGATATTAATGTCTACTTCCAATCCACGCTCCCATCTGATCTTCCCGGATAACAATCTATTTCAATCCTTCCTTATAAAAAGGATCCCCTTTTCCATTTAATAAAAAGATATCTAGTTTTAGTCTCAAATAATTTAACCGTTTATTTCTTGGAATATTTCATGAAGCATTGTTTTACCCCGCTTAAAGAAACCATTTTATAGATAAGCAATCCCGGACAGTACGTCATTTGAATGCTCATTTAATTCTGCGTCTTCTATCTAAAAAAAAAACAAAGGAAAGCTCAACCGACAAACACCTCTTATAAGCCAAACTGAAGTAATGCTGGAAAATCGAAATAAAGTTTTAGAACTTGGACAATTGAGCAATTCGGAATCGTACTCTGCACAAAAATTAATATCACTGCCTAAGACATCCTTCTCTGCGAATATTGAAATGAGAAATGTTAAAGAAATAATATTTAATCACACAAAAGAGCTGCATCGCCTGTATATCAACGGGGTGATGACTTACTGACTGAACAATTGGAAGCAATGTCTAAAGGCCTAGGTCTTAGTGAGCCAGAGAAAGAAGGCACTTTAAGGTATTTTTTTTCTGATAGATTGTGGTCAAGATCAATTGCAAAATATACCAATCGTTTCAAGACTGCGCCATCAGTCATTGATATCTCATTAGAGAGTTTTGAGTGCTCAAATTTTTACTAAGCGTTACACCGCTTTTCTTTTTTTTACAGCTTATGGTCTCCGTTTAATAAAGCTAAGGGCCGATTTTGACGATTAGTTCTCTTACGTATCAGGATCTTCTTCGTACTTTCTCCACCAATTTCGGGCGGTGCTTTCTCTGACGCCCGCGACTATAATTGATAGTAGTTGTTGTATCTTATAAAAAATCATATATCTTTTCTTATTTGAGTGTTTTCTGTACCATGATCTTGTTCATCAAGCTTTTCAAAGGTAACTAGATTTGAGTTCTTTTTAAGGTACGATTCAAGATTAAGTAATTGCCTTACGGACTCGGAATCACCTTCCTCTTCCACAAGGACCACAGCTTCAAGACCATCCTCTTGGTAAATGTTTCCATGCCCGTTTTCGTTCAAAATACTAACGAATCCATTATTTTACTTAAAAATAGCTTTATTATTTAATTGAAAGTATATTTAAAAAAATCCTCGGATTTTGCTTTATTGGGAGTGGAACGACTGTATGTCACTACTCCTCTTTGTTTGACGCGTATTCATTTATCCACAAAAGTGGCTTTCACGCCCTTGTCCAATCAAATCTACCATCTCAACAAAAAATTTTGAGTAAACATGTAGCAAAAATTTTCAAAACCGTTTTGATTCCTTCTTCTTTTTAGCATTTCTGACTTAGTCACCGCTGGTAAGAGATGCAACTAGCAAATTCTCGAAATAGCAACTCTTACTAACGATTTGTTTACGTTATTCTTTTTAGAGAATTCACATTAAGAATGTCCTACGTCGTAAGTTATTGGGATGAAGAAAAGATTAAATAATCTCTTTTACTAAGTGTTGCTCATAGGCTAAGAACACCACCCAAAAGCCTGGTCTTGAGGAACAAGAACAACCCAAGATTCACCGTATCCGTATCACCTTGACTTCTCGTAATGTCAAGAACTTGGAAAAGGGTAAATAACGATCAATATTTTACAGCTCTAGAAAAGTTGCTAACATCCACTCAAGTCTCTGCTGATCTTATTCAACGTGCCAAGGATAAGCAACTCAAGGTTAAGGGTCCCGTTCGTCTCCCCACCAAGGTTCTCCGTATCACCACTCGTAAGTCTCCTTGCGGTAACGGTTCTGAGACCTTTGATAGATTCGAAATGAGAATCCACAAGCGTTTGATTGATTTGCACTCTCCCTCTGAGATTGTCAAGCAAATCACCTCCATCTCCATTGAACCCGGAGTTGAGGTTGAGGTCACCATCGCCTAATTTTTTTTACAAAAAAATTTAAACCTTGTAGCCTTATAAACGTTTGCCTCATTGAGTTGGGGCCAGGCTTTAATAAAAACACCAAAAAAAAAAAAAAAAAATGTGTGAGCGTTTGATTACATAATTGCAAGTGTAGTATCAAGTAGATGGTTGTCATGGTAGGATGTTACAACATACTACCAGCGGATTGGATCGTGAAACATGAAGTGTTTTGCGATGTATAACTTACATTCAAACAAAAAGGTTCTACTCGGCGTAAGAAACTGCCCATAATACCTCATTCAACTCGTCGGGAGTAAAGTACCTCATCCAAACTATATTGTCTTGATCTATTATTATGGAATGAACTGGGTGTTTAATAAAAGAACATTTCATCAATGCTTTCGTTTTATTTTCAAGAAAGGTACTGGTTTTGGATGCCACTTGTTTTCTTCTTTAACGACATCGTGCCAGGCTAGGACGCGTTTTTTCTCCTCTATTGATAGGCTGTAATTCGATTTTGTAGTATTTGATTAAGAGGACAATTGGTGTTCCTTGATTAAGACCTTGCTATCAATCCAAACGTCTTTATTAGATCTTATAATATTGTATTTAGCAACATTGGCGATCAATTTCATTTTTTTTTTTCAGTCACCTTTGAGGACGATGTTTACATTTACCTCCTTTTGGAGTCACGTAATTTTTTTTTTCTTACATAAATTGAGTTCCTATAGAAACCATATGATTTAGGGTAATCCCAACTAAAACCTGAGAGCCCAACCTGAAAAATCTTTATCGTATTATAGCGAAGACTAGCCTCAGTAGTAATACCTCGAATTCTGCAATATGCCAAAAAAAAAGGCAATGTTTTAACGTTTCTTGAGAACACAAAAGTCATTATTAAGTAACCTTTTTACGATATTGACAACCCTCATATAAAAAACGGGATTAAGTATGTAAGGGAAAAGAACAAGGGAGGAAAATAGAGTGCGTGAACGAGTTTTGTTTATAGACTGATAAGCAAGAGCTTTTTTATGTCAGGATGATTTTTGTTTCCTCTGCAAGTAGCTTCATGATTATATGCCAGCAACTCTAAATTCGGCAATTGTCTATCAACATTTCAGTAGTAACATGTACCAATAGTAGAGCATTACTTTAAGATGAAACGGCATGTTAATAAACGTAAACTTTTTTTTTTTTTACTCATGTCTTGACTTATTATATAAGTTGAAGTACATAGATCTCAAGAGCATGCAATTCAAACCAATTTTATCAAAAAAATCAGCCATAATATCAATTCAATTTAACAAATCTTATGGTAGTAATTTCGTTGTAAAATAGAGAGATTATAAACACTCATAAAATATAAATTATGGATCCGTGCCATCTACTCAAGACTAAAATAGTAGACTGCGTAAACAATACAATAAAACTATATATCCGCTTCCTATCATAGATGTACCCAATGTAACTATCATAATACTCCTTTGGCGGCTATGTTTTTACTCTTGGATCATATACCATATCGTCCTACCATCTATCAAGATCGTATTTTTCATGGCATACACTTGTATATATGGGGTTATTTTAATGGGGATAAATACAACTGCTTTTTAAAAAAATTATAAAATTTTGGGGACCCGTCAAATATGGGGTTACGTGTTATGTCGAATATTATGGGGAATCCTATCCTAAAAGTCAGGTTCCGCAAATCCAGCGGCATGGGACAGTGTGTAATCAAGGGGATTAAAATCAGAAACCTGGTCATTTTTTATATTTGCCAATAAGAAGCTGCTCTTATGTACAAACTATGTAACGGAACTGCATAGATCTAACTTTGCTGAATAATCAAGACTTGTTACTGCGGCAAACGAATGCATATTTGTGTGATAAACTAAATACAATTGTTACACTGTATTGAATTTAGACATGGTTTAATGGTCTTAAAAAATTGTTTAAGGCTTAGGCGTTCTTTCTTTTGTTATGAATTCGGATTTGAATAAAGAGTTACATTTGCCTTACTATTTCATAAATTTAGCCCTGACTCAGTTCCTACACTATAAATAGTTTCAATTTCCGGCTTTTCCAAAACGCATAAAAGACAACAAGTTTTGCCCAAACTCTTTTATTATTCAAACACCTTTTTTTAAAATGGAAAAAATTACACTCTACTACTTTCTTGTTGGCGACAAAGGTATTTTACAACTCTTGTATATATATCTATATCGGTTTATTAATCAGTGACGTATAATTAGTCACTCGCGCTCGTGGTGAAAATGTAAAGTTGTTACTTGAAGACGCAGGTTTAGATAATGAGTATGTTCGTCTGAGTAGAGATGATAATTGGTACGCCAAGAAGGCTCAGCTTATCGAAGAAGGTTTCCTCTCTCCCACTCTCCCTTATATTGAGGTTGGAGGCAAAAAGTTCGGCAAGACTATTCCAATCATGCAATACATCTCTGTGAAGTTGGATAATAAATATCATGGTTCAAATGCTGAAGAAGATCAGTACTTGGCTTATGTTGCTGAAATTACCAACGAATGGTTCGAGTGCCTGAAAAACGCCTTCTTTGGTACTGAAGTAAGTTAATATAATAAGCGTAAACGCGATTGGTTTTAATTTATGTATGTCACCGCAGGAGAAAAAAGAGCATCACAAAAATGTTGTAACACCTGGCTATGTTGATTTGTTTGAAAAATCCTATGCCAAACATAGCGGACCTTATATTCTTGGTGAAAAGGTAAAAATGCATGCGTGATATAAACTTAAACAGTTACTAATTCTTTATACAACTAGATCACCTACCCTGACTTTTTGATCTATCACCTTCTTGATGATGATTTGGCTCTTAATCGTTTGGATGGTTCACCTAACCTTCAGAAATTTGTTGAAGCTTTTGAACAACGTCCTAATATTAAGAAGTATCTTGCTACCCTTCCTGCTTATTCACCTAAATAATAAAAGTTCGTTTTTAATAATTAACATATTGTTGTTTGCTTGTTTAATATAATAAAGCAATTGCTGCGAAGAATAAGATTGGTATTACTGCTAGTTATCCACTTGCTAATATTGACAATGTTCATAACTTTTACCAAAAAAAGCGTACTTTTAAGTTTGCTAAACTCTTTAGGGCCTTTCTTTCATCGATCATGATGTCTAATAGCTCGGTTCTATTATAGATAAATTATTTATCTTCACACACTCTATACATTGATAAAACTTACCGTCCAGTCTGCTGCTTTTTTAACATTAACGCATGCTTGAGTATGAACTGTTCTATAAAGGTACGTATGTTTTCGATCTAATCACAGCTTTAACACGTAATCTAGAAGAATAATTTATAGTTAAAATTTCTTTATTTAGTAAGGCCTATAATACTAAGACTTGTGAAACAAAAGAAACATGAATTATTTCGATGGTATATTCCCTTTCATTTGATTGAAGTATACAACAACAATTCCTTCCTTTATAAAGTGAGAGCTTAATAAATAGAATTTATCAAAAGAGATTTGGGGCAATGTTACTATCATACCATTGATATTACCTTGGTTCACCTACAGATAAAGTCATTATTTACCGTATGCACTTTAAACAATCATCCCGGATTGGGATATATTTTGCTGTGTGGCAAATTGATATGATTTAGAAAATTTTCGTTCGTTACAGTTTTTTTTAGCCTTTCACAGGTGTCTGTTATCTTTGTTGTCCCTTATTTTGTGTAGCTTTTATTATATTGGTAAATCAATTTAGGAGCCCAAAGCAGTTTTTTAGCCATAGCAATTCTATTGACTTGTTTAGAGAAATTTTCCAAATGAATTTACGGCTGTGTTATATAGTTTAGCTGATGTCGATTGGCTTTTTTTTTGCTTCAAAGTTGAAAATTTAAATATTGTAGTAATCGATACTGCTTAGTCACGACTAAAGTTACAGTCTATTACACTCAAACAGAAACATTAACGAAGCTACCCCAAAAACCACGACTCCCTTCTTTTATTTAGCAACAGCTTACACTTTGTAGTAGTACCGCCTGGTAACAATATAATTGTCACAGCTACCTAATGCATTCAGTGGGGAGTATTATGATGGGGGTAACTTCGCGTCTAAAAAGATTTACAAAAAAATGGGGACTTGTCAATGGTGGGGTGTCTGTCAAATATGTGGGGAAATCCATCCAACAAGAGCGGGATCCGGAATTTTAATGCCATTACTTTTTTTTTACAGTGTGGGATATTGTAATGTGCGAAGAATGCCATTACAAGTACATTTATTTGTACAGATCACTTTTATTCTGATCGTAAATGCCAAGCTGCTTTTTATACTTAAAGATTGGCAAGTAATGTGTAGGCCCTGCTTTGTTAAATACAACGCGGCAAAACGAACGTGTAGTTGTGTACAAAATTGACAACCCAGCAGTTTCGATTTCCGTTATACCCGCTGTTTTTTTTAAAAAAAAATACATATATAAGGTGGCATATTTAGCCAAACTTTTATTGATGTTATTATTACCATTTATCGTATTTTCTTGAAACAATGGACAAAATTACTCTCTACTACTTTAATGTTGGCGACAGAGGTATTTTAAAGTCAAATATATCCATTAACTTTTTACTTACCATACATCATGATACCAACAGTAACTAACGCTCGTGGTGAAAATGTCAAATTGCTGCTTGAGGATGCAGGCTTAAATCATAATTATATTCGTTTACCTAGAGGTGAAGTTTGGGCAGCAAAGAAGGCTCAACTTATTGATGAAGGTTTTCTCTCCCCAACGCTTCCTTATATTGAGATTGGGGACAAGAAATATGGTAAAGCTATCCCTATCATGCAATATATCTCAGCCAAGTTGGGCAATAAATACCATGGATCAGATGCGGAAGAAGATCATTATCTAGCATATGTTGCTGAGGTTACAACCGAATGGTATGAATGCTTGCGAACTTCCTTCTTTGGTACTGATGTAAGTGAATGTTCTTAACAATCTTAATATCTTAAGTTAATATGGAGTTTAACTTAATTTTTTTATGCCAAAACAGCAAGATAAAGAACATCATACAAAGAATATCACACCTCATTACATTGATCTTTTTGAAAAGTTTTATGCTAAACACAACGGACCTTATGTTCTCGGTGATAATGTAAATGTAGATTTATGACTTTAAACAAATGGCTATTAACTATTTCGTCCTATTAGATCACTTATCCTGACTTTTTAATTTACCACCTCCTTGATGATGATTTGGCTCTTTGTCGTTTAGCCGGTTCGCCTAACCTTCAAAAATTTGTTGAAACGTTTGGAAATCGTCCCAACATTAAAAAATATTTTGCTACCCTTCCCAAATTATCATCTAAATAAAACTTATATAAGAATATATAAACTTAATACATTTACTACAGTATCGTTATTATTTTTCTCTTCTTGTTTCTCCTATTTCAGTTATATTGGTGTCGCCGTTCACAAGAATATTTACCATAGTTCTCTGTGCCCTTTGTCATCCCTGATAAAGATGGAGACAATTTTTGCTATACTGAAATTATAGAAGTTGAATAAAGTATAGTAAAAAAACGAAAGAAGAAAGTGAAAGAAAGTGGAAGCAAGTAAAAAAAAAATCTGTCACGTAAACAACATTTATCATTTACTGATAGCAATTAGGATCTCGCCGAGCATAAGTTGTCTCACTCCTAATGAAAGCGAGTACAATTAATATTTTATCTGTCTTATGTTTAATACATTTCAGATATTATGATACTGATACCAGAATGTAAAAAGCTCTTCTTTTTGTTTTATAAACACAGTAGTTTGCATAATATTCTAGATTTTGTATTCTCTGTCTAAAAAAAAAAAAGAAATATCTAAAAATGAATTTTGTCTCTCTAGAAAAAAGTATATATATATGTCTGCAACTACCAATTTAAAAGTTACTAAAACACAAAGTTCAAAATATTATTGGGTAAGTCTTACAAGCAAAAAATGAAAGCTTGTCAACGATTTTAAAAAGTTTAAACTCCGACAAAAGGGCGTAAAAAACCAAAAAGATATTAGTATCTGTGGGGTTTGAACCCACGCCCTCTTTCGAGGAGGGGATCTTAAGTCCACCGCCTTAGACCACTCGGCCAAGATACTATTAGATGTCAATTTAAAAAATTAAAAACATTTTATAGTTCACAACATGTAAAACAATCACGTGATAGGCACGTGATTTTAAAATCACGTGATCCGTCCTTTTTATGTTATGTACTTTTTTTAAAAAAGTTTCCCAGTTTACGGGTACATAGTCATCGCTTTTCCTAGGGACAGCTAAAGTGCGCATAGTCGCAACGTAAGATCTGTGATTTGGCTATCCTTGAGACCTGGGAACTAGAATATACTATGAAAAAGAATGAAACAATTACGAATAAATGTATATTAAACGATTTATACTTATTTTGACAATTCTATCGTTACTCTTTCGCCTTTGAGTTCGTTTGATCTTAATCTTACGCAGAAATATTAAGGTAAAGTTTAAACGAGAAGCTGAAAGTAAGCCGTAAAGCACATATACTGGTTTACACTATGTTCGTTGTGATAAATGCGTATATATTTCAAGTTGTTAAGTGATATTGACCTCTTGATGTCTATTAAAGTAGAAAATATGTATATACCACCTGAGCTATACTATATATAGTAATTTCTCTTATATACCACCTGCCGGATTATACCCGGACAATCGACGCCCGGCAGGTGGTAGATAGCCCATTATACGTGTAGATTTGGATTAATAAAACGGCATTTTTTAGGCTCATAAAGTCAATTACCACCTGTCTGTTATGTGAAGTCTGGCAGGTGTTAAATAGGCAGAACCCTCCTACCACCATTTCTTTACAAGATTAACAGTGCTCTGTCTAGTAACGTATTTTCCTTCATACTTTCCGTAGACAAGAAATGGCCGTGCAAGTGTTCTCGGTTAACCTTATCAGATTGATCTACTGCTTGTACCCGTAAAAGCTTTCAATGCTTGAATCTTAATTGGATTGGATATTTATTCTTACAGCTTGATCGTTTGTTCTCTTTTTCCTCAACGATTTCAATAGTAGTCTTACGAGCATTTCCATGCTTACAGCGAAAGACTAAGTATGTTAATTCACTTTTATCGACATCTAAAGCAAAGCTGCTTTTGAAAGTCTGTATTTAAAGTACTGTTTAATCTGTGCTAACTGTCGACGAAAGGCCTCATTTATAGCATTTTAAAAAACGATATTCAAATTAATTTAAAGTAAATTAAAGTGAAGCATAATAAAGTATTACTGTGTTCCTATTAACTATTTACGTTTACCGTAAGTCAAAAAATAACAATTTATTGATCCAGCTCTACACCTTTAAAAAAAGGGTGATAATTAACTTTATGAGCCTAAAAAATGCCGTTTTATTAATCCATATCTACACGTATAATGGGCTATCTACCACCTGCCGGGCGTCGATTGTCCGGGTACAATCCGGCAGGTGGTATATAAGAGAAATTACTATATATAGTATAGCTCAGGTGGTATATACAGGTTCTCTTAAAGTATCATAATCCCAACATTTCGACTACGCGCATCCTGGCCGTCCCTAAGAAAAATGGCTGTCTTAAGAGACCCGAAAATGAAAGATGCCCTTTTGGCTTATGAAAAACCGCCCTTTGATAAAATAGAAACCGCCCCGCAGTGGAAAAAAAAACCGAAAAGCCGCCCATTGTAAAATTATATTATCCGCCCTTTGGTGTTGGAACGACTGTATTTGCCCAAACATCATGGATGACAAAATAAATAATTAAGGACAGCCAAATTTTTTTTGAATTGGTGTTTCCAGCATTTTGTAATTATCGAGCTTTTACATTACATAATAATTTAGTAAAAAGTTGTCAGCATCACTGCCATATTTGGAAGTCTTGCTCCCATAAAAATTCTTTAAATGGATTGTGCTGAGATAAGGTATATATCAGATAATAGTATAATGTAGCTGCCATCAATTGGTAACAAGCATCAGGAGCCAGACCGTTCGACTCGATGTGACGGAGCACTATAATTGGTACAGTCAGGATGATCCTCAATAAGGCAGTTAAAAGTACCTTTTATGATCCAGCAAGCTGGGTTTTTTTTTATTTACCCGGGGCCATTGATAAAAATAAAAAACCCCACAAAAATTAGAAAAGGTTTTTCTTCTTCCCTTCTTTTTTCTAATTATAAAAAATGGCCATTCACCTTAATAAAAAAAGTGGAGCGCCAGTATACCATCGTAACGGCGAAGCATCATCTAAAAACTATTCAATTTTTGGGGATAATGGCATGATGAATTATGCATATGTATCTTCTGATGAGGATTCTGATAGCCAAGGACATTACACAATGCCTACCAAGACACCTGAATATTTTAACAATGAAGAATTAAAGAAAAAAGGGACTTCATCATCCAGTGGAGATTATAGAAAGAAGGATACAACAGTGGACCGACCTGTCATTCTCTCAAAAAATAAGCTTTCTAGTAAAAAGGTACGAATAAGCCGCTCATTGAAGACGGTGACACTCACACATGAACTTTTTAGTTTGTCTGGCCTTACGGCGGAAAAAATGTTTTTTTGACTGGCACCTTTGATGATTGGAAAGGTAACAAAAAAAAAAGTTACTTATTTTGTGGGTGTGAAACCAAAAATTAATATCCTCATAGGTTCAATCCAAATGACACCTGTCAGTTCAACAAACATTCACAATAATCTGTTTTACGTTACGGTAGCGGGGCTTGATTTCTCTAGGGACATACTTTACAAGTTTGTAGTAGATGGCCAATGGTGCTATGATATTAAAAGAGATCATGTCACAGAAGCTTGTAAGTTTTTTTTTAGGTTGTATCTCTCCTTACTTCTGCATTAACATTCATCTCCTTAGCCGGCAACATCAACAATATCATATATGCCAATAGTTCATAGCGGACCTTTCTCAACATTACATTATCCTCATTACTTAATTATACACAAGCGCATCAAAATAAACGAGTTTATTCATATACGTCTTGCACTAAGACATCACCATCGAGTAGCGAATTATACACTTCATTTTCGAGCAGATCTTATTGAGGAGGTTTCATTCATAGAAACGAGAGGTAGCTGGTTAGCAAGTGTGCTCTTTTCTTATTAACCAAGAAGATTATGCTTGTCCAAGAAAATCATTTATCATCGCTTATATGGCTTTTGACCTCATCAAGCGATAAAGGTCAAGATTCACGCCTCAGTTATAAGCCCCTTACATAACGAGATGCTTTACCTGAAGCAACTTTGCTCTTTTTTCTTTTTTGATGTAGACAACTTGAAATACACATTCTGTCGACAATCCTTGTCGTTGTACACACACACACTCTCACACAAAAGTAACCTCGGCTCCCCATTCGATAAATTTTGTATCCATGTGACGTTTGTGACGATGGCGCATTGTTCACCCACAGATTGTTAAAAATTCCCCGCCCGACCACTATATATGAAGTACGTCCATGACACTTTTCTTCTTTCTCTCTCTTGTTTTCTATATAATGCCTGAAAATAAATTTGTATCACAGTTTACTATTGCTGAATCCGTCGTTGTTGAACGATTAAAAGAAGACTTAAATGATATATTGAACCAAGCCTTTGGTGATACTCAAGTCTATAATTTATGGGGGGTGCCTTTGGTCATGGATTCGGAGGATGAACGTCTCAAGGTAGTTTTAGTAAAGTTTGCGAGAGCCAGGTAAGCGTAATTTATATTAAGATGGCACTTTTGTATTTAATAAACAAAAATAACAGAAACTTGGATTTTGATGCAGCAAAAGCCATGTTGATAAACACGTTAAAGTGGCGAAAAGAGTTCTCAACAGACACCATCCTCGACGAGGAATTTGATCAAGATATATTTAACGAAACGATAGGATTTCTTTGCAATACAGATAAACAAGGTAGACCTGTCACTTATAACTTTTATGGTGGATTAGATCAAAATACAGTCTTTGCCGACGTAAATAGGTAAAAAGAAACGGCGATTTCTCTTATTCTTTTAAGTTACTGATAAGAGATAGATTTATTCGTTGGAGAGTTCAATTAATGGAAAAGGGTATCTCACATGTGGATTTCATCAATATAGATTCCATGGTCCAAGTGCATGATTATAAAGGCGTGTCAATTTTTGGACGTACGGCTAATGCCAAACAGGCAATAAACACAATTATTAAATTACTGCAAGATAATTACCCTGAGTTTTTGGTAAATATTCACACCTGCGCTTCAAGTGTTTCTTACTAGTGATACTAAATTTATTGCTTCAAGTCTACTAAACTCTTTGTCAATATTCCAAAATGGGGAACGTAAAGTGTATTAGAAAAACATGAAGAGAAATGTAAAAACTGATTAAATTATATAGCGTGATTTTTAGACTAGTTCGTCCGCTACTTTCCGAAGCTACTCTAAAGAAATTCGTCATATGTGCCAGGTAAAATATATTAGGTAAACATGAAGTAATTTTTGTGATTAAAAAAGTTATATTTTATAGCGATAATTTAAACGAAACACTGCTTACGTATATAAGTCAGGATAGTTTACCCCCCCATTTATTCTAATACCTTTGGGTAATCAGAAAATCCGTCTTTTGTTTACCCACAAGATCAAGGAATTGAGGCGTACAACTCCACCAATGATTATCTATGAACACACACTCTGCATTAGGTCCTCACTCTTTTCTTTTTTACTTTAATAAATACTATGATCTTACCCATACTATCTTGAGGATCACAACTGCATTTCTCAGCAGCTAACCATCCTGGTTCACTAGGACAGTTTTTGAAAGGATTATGATAATAACCAATATCGTAGAAGAAATGCACCTCTGATTTCTTTAGCATGAGAGCGGCAGCGATACTATGAACAGGTGCATCACCCCATCGCTCATAAAAGAAACCACCGGCTTTATCCAGATGATTAAAGTAATCGATGTATTTTTGAGAACGAAGAAAGGCCAAGTTGCCAATTTCAAAGTTACTCCAGAAATGACACAAGTTGTAAGTTTCACCACCGTCATTTGTTACCCAACTCATCAAACTTTCGGTATCGTTAGCAGGTACAATATGTTGAGGATATTTTTTCATGAAATCTTTGGTGGTCTCCCATAAGGTGGGGATTGTGTTTTCATATTCCTTGAGTGAGATGGCAAATCCATATTTCAAATCCTTATCCTTCATCACTTTAAATGGATCATAATCAATATCGCAAGTAAATTTAACGTCAGGTTCAACTCTCCTAAATAAAAAGTTAGTGGTCAAAGAGAAATACCATAGTGATCCTAGTTGTGGTTACCAGTAGTAATCGAATTGATCCATGAGAGGGTGTCTGAAAAAGAAACCGCTCTGGAATCTACAGCGGTTTTTAGTTTTCACAATACTTTTAAACAAGTCTCTTCTTTCTACCTGCACATGTGTCGATAAGATTCCATACCACCGTAAATGACTTCCTCGGCCTCCATTTTAGCTCTTGACTCTCTTGCTTTTTCTTGATCAATCCACTCGGGGTAACCCCACATTTCCTTTGTTAATTCACCGTAATAAGTCTTTCCAGAAGCCAGGCCTGTTGTCCATTCTTTAAACTTGTCGTCAAATGGGTCGTTATTTAGAAAGACCCAAGGGTAATGAAACTTGTGATTGAAGCGGTCTTCCATCATTTGCATGGATTCACGCAATCCGTTTAAATCCGAGTTTCTAGCTAGCACCACAAACGCGGCATTTTCTCGCTTGATGTTGGCGTCTTGTCCAGCATAATCGTACTCATATGCGGGATAGTCGTTTTGCTTTCTCTTGTAGCCAGTGTTATTTTGTACACCGTAGTATAGCATGAGTATTAAACATATCGGTAATAATACTAATAGGCCAATTCTGCCATATCTCGCACTAATCATTTAGGTGATAAACGAAGAAAAAGAGGAAATTTATCTTTTAGTGCACTTTTTTTTTTTAGCTTTATTTTTATAATTGGCGTGCGGGATCTTTTTATGTGTAACAATTTATCTTGTATACGCAGGAGGAGGAAGATGATTACTAGCATAAGAGGGTAAATCACATACGACAGGCGGTACAACCACTTCATGCAACGTTTCTCCGGAAGCTTCACTACTACTGGATGTACTACCATCAGTTTGATATTCTGGTAAAGGACCCATATCATCTGTGGAGATATCCAGTGCATCATCTACAGCTACCCTTCCCGTGGTTTCTTCAGCAACAGCAGCAATCGCAGCTCTTGAACCCATTCTCAAGATGGATATTTCCCTATCCAAATTCTGATCCAGTAAACATCCATTGATTCTCAGATGTGCTTCCAACAATAAAATCTGATGATCAACCCAATCAATTGTTCGTTGCTCGAAATGAAACTTGGCCTTATTATATCCATTTTCCAGACTATTAAGTCGAGGGTTCAATTGAGTTCGTAGGATGAACTCGATCTTGAGTCGATACCCTCTGTATTCTGTCAAAAGACTTAGTACATCTGTTTCTTTTGCTGTCTGATGCGATATATTGGGTACATCATCGGGACATAACTGATGTGCTTCCAGTACAAGTTGATAACCTTGTTTGGCTATGTCATCAGCCTTTTTAATGGGATCCAATTGAAGTAGCGCTTTATCAAAAAAAGAACTCGATGTATTGGGTGCCAGTGCTTGTCTGTCCATAAAAGTAGATGCGCCGGGTAAAGATTTCATGGCAAGTTCTATTAACTCTCTCGCTTGGTATAACTTGGACTGTGCTTCCTTATGTTGACCTATCTTTAATTTCAAGTCGGGTATCTCTTTGATTAATTGGTCTACATCATTTCGCAAGTGCTGCTCGAATATATAAGAGGCATCTTCCATATCCGGTATGATGAGCTAGAACAAATCGTTTAAATAAAATGGATGTATGAGAAGAGAATGAACTTACTTGGTCAAATAATGAGTGTAGCTGATCACAGTATCCATCCAGTTTTTGTTTTTCTATATTTAGCTCTTCCATCTACTCAAATTAGGTACAATGACAAAATAATTATCATGAAAGCCTCATACCATGACCTTTGCTTGATCCATCTGAGTCTGTAACTGAACAATGGCATTATCATAAAAACGAACGGATTCAATCACTTGACTATATGTTTTGAGCAAATTGCCAGTCATATTTGGACCAGACGCATCCCTCTCCATCCTATACTTTTTGCTGGTTTTATGGGTTGTTTAGCCTTTTTATTTTACAGTGTAGAGCAAAAGAGAAACTCACAGTTCACTTTCAGAAAATTCTTTGAGATGTTGTTGTTTTTCAAGCTTCTTCTTAAGTCCCTCATAGTACTTTGAATGCGAAGGTAATGACTCTCTGACCCATTGTAACGCAGTGATTTCTTTGACGAGTTGAAGGTAGCGATCTTGTACTTGACTCATGGAGCAAGGAAAAAAAAAAATGTAAGAGTGAGAGAGAGAAACAGAAAACGTCAGCCTCTTTTTTTTTTTTTTTTAGCTCCCTTTTTAAGTTGTGGAAAAAACTGAAGCGATGATTCTATATTCTTTTTCTTTTAATTTACCATATGGATATGGGACCTTCTCAGGCTCCTCAATGTGATATATCAACCGCTTTTCCCTATGTTTCAAAGCTAAATTGTTAACGGCCGGATTACATTTTCCCGATCACGTGGCGGGTGCGTAACTTTTACCCATTTGCAGGAATTTTAACTCACTCAGTAGGCAGATATTGTTGATTTTTATTTTCAGCTATTCATGTCAATGCCACAAAGATTTTTTTTTTTTATACATCAGCTTATGAAGCAGACAATGACAATAAAAATAAATAAATAAATAAAGAATAACCGATGATTAGTTCCTGTGCTCCATAGCTTATCGATATGCACATGTGAGTAGTTGGGGGAGGACCTGCCCAGCCAAGAATTCATTAACTTGTATAATACCCTCCTTTTACGTAAGCAGTAAATACAATGCTGTACACATAGTCTCTCTTGTAAGCATATCCCAAGTAAATCCAAATAAAAGTGTTGCAATTTAAGCAAGTAAAGAATATCAAGCTACACAAAATATTCTACCCTGTTTCACTCTCGCAAGGTTGAGATTGATATTGTGTGAATGTAGACATTGCCATGACATGTATTAATCCGTTTAATGTAACCCCTTGTTTCTATGGCCTAAGAGTAGTATGGATAGTCTATCTTCCAAAGCAAAAGTCAACCGCTTTTAAAGGCTACCTTAGTAATCAAACAACCGTCTTTTTTGGTTTAAAAAAGCATCAGACCCAATTCTTGAATTGTGCAACGTTGCTTTTTAAAACATGCCATACTTTTTTTTTTTACAATTTCTCGGGAATACCTTTTAACCAAATCCCAGCCCTTTTTTTCTTTTCTTGTTTACCAACAAATAAAAAAAAATATATATAAGACCATGGATCCTCATGGTAAAGCATATTCGGATACGATTGAAATAGCAGACCTACAGCAAGAAGAGCCTTTATTGAGAGGAGAGGATAGCTTACCGACTGTATACCAACCATCTCGTTTTCAGCGTTTCGGTCAGCATTTCACAAAACGTAATGTCAAGAAACAGATATACGCTTGGCGTTGGCCAATCTTGTTCATTCTCGCTAGTTTCGTTATGGGTTGTATTATGTGGACCTATCGAAGACAAGTGTTCGAAGGGTTAGAAACACTTTCTGCGGGTTTAAAAGGCATGGGATTCAAGTAAATGTTCTTCGTATTATCGTTTTATATATTCAGCTAATATTTATCTTTTTCTTTTTGTAGAGGTTACGTTGTCATGTCAGCCTTGATTTTCTCTAGCGCTTTTCCACCATTAATTGGATATGGCACTTACCAGACTTTATCCGGCTTCACATTTGGGTTCCAAAAGGGCTTTCCCATTTCTTACTTTAGTGCACTTACAGGTGCTATTGTGTGCTTCTCTTTATCAAGACGATTTTTAAAGGCAAGCGTCACTCGTACGCTACACAAATATCCCAACTTGGAAGCCGTCGTCAAAGCCGTCGAAAAAAAGGGATTTAAGGTAAAAAAATTATATGGATATATATTTTAACTGGCGTATTCAAAATTACAATGTGTGTACTTTAGTTATTTATCCTGATTCGTCTTTCACCTTATCCGTTCAACCTACTCAATGTATTATTTGCATCCACCAATATCTCGTTATTTCACTTTGCAGCAGGTACAGCACTCACTCTATTAAAAATCGCTTTCCATGTATACATTGGAGCCAACTTGACATCGTTTGCCAAGCACATCTTGGGCGAGGATGAGGATATGACAGAAGGACAGATCAGGGCTGAGAAAGTCCAAAACTTTGTTATGGTGATAGGTAGTATCATTACCTTTGTGGGTATGGCTTACATTTACCGTGTCGCCAAAGCCGCTGTGAAAGAGGCCAACACTCCAGATCATGAAGAAATGGTTGGATTTTTACAAGAAATAGAGGAAGAAGAAGAAGAAGAAGAAGAAGAAGAAGAAGAAGAAGAGGATCATAGAGAAGAGCACGAATTAGAACCTAGACAGAGTGTTTCTTTAGACGTATGGGATGCTTGGGGTGATGATGACGACGATGAGGAAGAAAATGAACCAACCTTTAAAAAGCAAGTGGTTGGAAAAAATGACTAAAAATAAAATGTAAATATAATATTTAATGAAAGAATTTGTTGTGCAATGCCATGATGGAATATCGGAGACGATTCCTTTTAAAATGGGTGGCATTAAAGTCCAAAATCTTGAAACAATGCAAAAGTATAATTCATTTTGATTGGTCGACAACTTGGGATGGTAACTGACTCAAAATAACATAAACGGTTATGGTCCATATTTACAACAGGTTTATCAAACTTTTTTAAGCGTCTTGTTGGTGTACGATGAAATACAATTGCATAAAAATGAGAAAGTGAGAGAAGGAGTGTGCTGGCTTTATCAACAGACTCCTTATTGTTGCAAACCGATTAAGGAATACTACGGCCTTTGGAACACTACCCAAATTAACAAGTTTTAAAGATTGATAGGAAATGCATGGCCCGAAAACTTTATCCCAACTCTTTATATATGAGAAAAAAAAAGTTAGTTTTGTTCAAATTGGGTGGGTGAGAAGAAACTTAGCATGTTGCTTTTACTACTTTTCGAAAGAAAATGATCACTGTCAAATCATTCGTTGTACTCTCGTCAGATGCATGTGCGATACATCGTACTTTTGTCAAGATACAACTGAAATGCTGTAGTGAGTAGTAAATTGCCCTCATTTGTTTGTACAACCAAACACTGAAGAACAAGAGATCACTTATCAGCCAATCACATTATGGCGAATACGGCAATGATGAAAGACACCTGTTCAAAAATAAAAATAAATTAGTTATCGCTTTTAAAAAGAGATTAGATGATTTATAATTGGATCAATTGGGCAAACCGCATCACTTCAGTTATTCCATAGTTCATTATCAACAAAAGCAGAAGTCTGCAATCTATTTTTCCCTATAACTGCTAAACAATATTAACAAAGGACAGTTTGTGGGTGTTAGTTTCGTAGGCGGTATCAATTGTTACTGTTCGTGACCTGGTGAATGACTTTTTATAAATGAAAAGTATCCCGTTTACTTCTTCATCGTCCTTCGCCTGTAGACATATCATAATTAAGGCCTCCTACTTTTAAACAGACGAGCATATTTCCCCTCCCCCGCTGTTGTCATTTAAATACAAAGCTTCTGTATTCCTGGACACCCTTTTTACGTTTTTTTTTTTTTGATTATAGGAGATTTTCTTCTGCTAAAAAAGTAAATAGTTACTTTTAAAAAAGAGCATAAATTCATACCTTAATATCTAAATTTTGCTTACTGTAAAAGGAATCATGGAAAATGTGATGGCTATAATCAATACTAAATGTTTTGTAGCAGAGAAACTGAACAAAGTAATCGAAGCAGGGCAAATAAAGTTTTGACTATAGTATTTTATCAGACGCAAATAAATGCGTAAAGCCAATTATTTCTTCAACAATTGGCTCGTTCTTCCCGAGTTTACGTCTAGTTACGTACCACATACTTAAAAGACATGTCCACGCCTATGTTATCCTTGAAGCTACGAGATGACAGGTTTTAGTTTTTATAAAATACACTTCAAATCATTATTGGTACATCCTACTACGGAGATACTGATAGATAAGTACAAGTTCATCATTACAGATATGTCAGAGCATGGAGTTATTTTCGAATGTTTCTAACACAACTGGTGAGTTCAAATTTTAGAACTGAATATTATCCTGACATAAATCAGCTTTTGTTATCAGTTTGCACTATTATGTCATTCTGACACAAACAGGTTTTTGTTTATCAGTATCTCTTTCTTTTTCCTTTTTTTCACATACTTATGTATGGTATCATCTTTGCGAAAATAATAATAATGAATATAGTGAAAAGGTTGGTTAACAATGACGACTCAATCAAGAAAACGCTAAAATATATCTGTTTTTCTTATAAAATAGATGTGTTTTATTTTTCGCTATGTAATGAATGCCTTGACCGGGTTTACTGTCCGTTCCATACTTTGTATCACGACTTTGAACAAAGATACTAAATCGTCTCATTCTTTTGCTAGTATGGCTCGATGTTACACAGCGTAAGATTATTCCTATAAAATCTCTTCAAATAAATATTCTTTAGTTTTGTCTTCATCTAACTTTGATTTTTATCTTGTACTTAATACTAACAGAAGAATATATTCAGATGTATAAAATAATTAATGTGATACAAAGCCCCCATCAAAAACTTTTGTCTATAGACGTATACTCGTCGTTGTTTAAGAAGTGACAACGCTTTAGTAAATGCTTCGCCACAGCGTTGCAAATTTATTCTAGGAGACAAAAGTAATTAAATAATATATATCATGATTTTTGAACACGTTTAGATAGCCATCCGGCAGCACAGTGACTTCATTATGTGCCTTGTTAATGGTCAAGGGAACATACGTTGTAGGATTATCTGGTAAACGTTTGATGAAAACGTCAGCCAAAGTAGCAAACAGACGTATTGAGAGGAATTATAATCAATCAAACTTGGAAAACAATGAAATAAGCCCTAGTAATACACTCGTTTTATCTTAATTAAGAACGAAAAGACAAACTCTTGACTGAAAATACACCGCCAAGTAAATAATATCGGTTTTATTTTTCTCTTCGTTACGGTGGTATTAATAAACCAAAAGTCGTTTATAGTCTATTCGTATATACAAGAAAAACCATTCATACACGATACAAACAAAAAGATAGCAAATTTAATCCGTAAGTAAAAGAGTAAAATCAGACAATATCTGCTGCATGATAAAAGGAGGTCACCGAAAAGTTTATCTACCCGTATTGCAGCTTCCAAACAGCCGGTATTAGTAAGACCTCGGTGATTATGAAAATCATAAAATGGAAAAAAAAAGACCAGCCGGAATAACTGACCTGTTTTTAACCTCCAGGAACTCCACAAACAGCATTGGCTCGGGGATAGGGGAGGGAGGGTTTATGGGAACCCTTTTGCTGGGCTTAATTGAAGCAGTAGATAAACTATCTGGGGAATACATATGGGAGTGTGGAATAGGACTAGACATTAATATGTTGATCCTTTAATAGTCTATTCTTTGTGGGGCTGACATTGCCAATGAAGTAAATCATAGATCGGGCTGTATATACATACACACTATTTATATCTCCTAGTGAGAGATAATCGAAAATAAAAACGGAGAATATACATGCCTATATCTTCCTCCGTACTCTCCAGAATCGAATTCGATTCAGCATAAAGTAAAGCCGAATTAGTTCATAAAGTCTAAAACACTAGTCAAAGGATGACATTTAAGCATGTAAAATTACCCCTCCCTATCTCTCACCTTGGCAATATTACTCGATATTTTAAAGAGTATTTAGAAAACTTCTTAAACAAAGTACCTTTTTAAATAAAGGTTCCATTATTCCCGAAAAGTTTTTACGTTCACGTCCACAGTGTGTTTCAATTTTATTCGAAAAATAATGTTCCCAAATTTAATTTTCAAGAGTGGACTGCACTTGTTAAAAAGTGTTTAAGTTCGATGCGCGGAGTTATAATCACACAAAGGGATGTTGTGTTGATCAACACACGCCCGATTATTTAAAATGTTCTACTTCCCGTAAGATTATATTTGACACAATAATTGCGTAGCTTTTCTCCTATAAAAATATCATGATGGTGGCGGATATGCGATGTAGGAAAAAAAAGGGATTGTTATTTAAAAAAACTATAAAAATTGTCTCCTTTTCTTCCCCTTACCCTGCTAAAATGGTAAAGAAGGTGCTATAAATATATACATAAAATGTAGGTGAACGAAATGTATGATGTATGTAATAGCATGATATTAATAATACCATTATAGTCATTTTTATTAGTCGTTACCATAATAAAAGGCTTCCTATCATGTTATATAATACATCAAAATATGGTGTTACAAAGACGGGAATGACCCATTGTAAAGAGGGGGTTATTTTTGGGAAATGAAACTAAATCGAGGTACAGACTGTATGTATCTATGCTACGCCGAATTGCATGTTAATATGACAATTTGTATTTAAACAATGATGCATATATAAGTCAGCTTCTTTCTCTCTCTTTTTATTTCTTTTTTCTTTTTTGTCGTTTACCCCTTCTATTAATTTTATAATGCCTCGCAAAATTTTACATCGTATATCCCGTATATTTAATCATAAAGATAATGAAACAAACCCAATAGTAAAAGAACCATGTATAGTTCCAACAACCACAATACATAATAACAGCTCATTGCCTATACTTCTTCAAAGAGCACCCTCGTCAAAATTACTGATCGATGACTATTTGGACGTTTCTACTATAGAATATAGTAGCAGCTATAATAATCTGCATCAACAAAGCCTCAAAGAAAATCGACAGTCCTGGCTCACAAGTATAACTAGACTGAAGACTCTTAAGAGAAGCAGCCACCGAAAGCGTAAAAGTACTGAATGTTGGTTTGTTACTCAGGGGGAAATTGAAATCCCGGATCAGCAGCAACAAGGGGTTCGACTGGAAGAAGAATTACTAGGCTCGTCGCCATTATCAGTTACAAGCTCGCTTTGTTCAGCGAATAATAGACATCATCTTTCATCATCTTCGTCATCTTGGTTACCGATAGAAAGCGATAGTGCCTCTACTGCACGTACATCTATTGATTCACAAACGGTGAAAAGCTTAGTCGTCACTCAACCACAGCTAAAACAGGCATCTTGCATTAGTCTGGCTGAAAATGTAAAACATATTTTAGGCGATGCTATATTTATAGCTGACCAAGAATTAGATATTTAAGTAATCACTATATATATATATAAAACCTTTGTACTATATTAATAAATAAATAAATGTACATGTATGTGCATAGAAAGAATGCTTTCTTCTATCAAGACGGCTGACTGTTTCATGGCTACAGGTATCACTTTTAATATACGTTTCAAGTGTCATATTGCAGAAAGAATCCAATGAAATTTTTAACTTCAAAATCAAAAATAATGACCCATCACTTGGGTATATAAGGTTATCGGCGGAATCTTTTTCCTTTGTTAATATGAGGTTTGCTTTATTACCGAAATTAATCCGTCTTTCTTAACTTTTTTTTTTAATAAACAACCAGCTCTTATATTGTATGTCTTTACGGTCGCTTAAAGCAAGCTGTTGTTAATATGTGAATTTCGCCACATATATGGCTGTACACACAAATTTTACATTAATTTTAGTGGTCTTAAGGACGGAATGGTTTTAATTTAAAAGGTCAGAACCTTGATAAGCACCTGGAAGCATGAGCATACTTTTCAAGCAGTCGGAAGAGCCCTAGATAATCCACATATTTTTAATTATTGGGGCCTGTGAATATACAATGATCACATCAGATCATACGAGTCTGAACAGTAACTTTATTGTTCCATTTTTTTATTATTTGTATACCTGCCTCTAAACATATGCTACAAAAAAATAATATCCTGGTGCATGGAACGTCCAAACTCTTCTGTGGAAAAAATGATGTATGAACAAAAACCAATGCAGATGGTTAGGTTACGCAAATAGGGGTTCTAAACTTTAAATCTTCAAATAAACCGGTGATGGCATTGTACTTTGAATGGTAATGTGTACATTCCCTCTCATGTGATTAGCTCTTTTCAAGTATTTCATCTTCTTTTCAGGAATAAAAATGACAAAATCAGCCGGTTGTATGTGATGTCTACAGATGTAATGCTTCCGTGGTTAAAGGTTGCATATATGCGGATAGCATTGCTGGTGAATAACGGTCATGGTTTCTAAATTGCTGATAAACAATGGATAATATAACGGATAACCATATAATATGCTATAGATTTGAGCATATAAAACAAAAAAGAACCCACAAAGAATGCTATAAAAACGCACATTTACATGTTGTACATAATTCAAACGGTACCTTTTATTTCAGACTGTTCTCAAGCAAGAAAAAAAAAAAAGACCTGAACTGAACTGAAGTGCGGACTTGACTTATATGGGATTTTGTGTAATAAAAACTTTTTAATTTCACAAACCAATATGACTTTTATTCTTGTCATAATAATACGCCAAATTCAATATGAACGAGGCCAAAAGAATAGTCGCACACAGAAATAATAAAATCAGGATTATAGTTATGTACCATATTTTCACACATTATATATCTGGATTGTCCCTTCTGTCATTTAGTTACGCACCATAGTATATTTCTTTTCAATTCAGGGCCTTGAGAACAGCTTTAAAAGGCATAGCTTTTTGATACTCACCAGACAGAGAAGTGTCATTAAAATGTCAAAATCAAAGTGGAATCAAATACACCATTTCATAGGCTAGAAGAAATGGAGAGGTGAAAATAGCAATACTCGTTTTAAATCTATGTCGCAAAGTTTTACATACATATGAACCACAATGTGATACAAATATTCCTAACAAAACTTTTAGGATGGCCGCACGGATTATGTAATTGTCCCTTAAGAAGCCTATACAGACATTATTCTATTTTAAATGTAAGGCAATAATATAACAAATGTTGATCATGATTCAGGTACCAGTTCGATTATTGTATTTTTCTAGTGTCTCGAAACCCCTATGAGTTTGCGGCCTCATCTAAAGTACGAATACCGAGCACACCAAAAGTTAGACAAACTTCCCAGATTTAAGTAGGAAGACATTTGAAATGATGCGACATAATAAATGTTTGCTAATAAAAGACATTTACTAGGCTTTCATTTATCTTCGACCGAAGGAACCTTTTATCTAAACTCTACCCGCTGAGACGAACAATGAAAATAAATAGGGGGGGGGGGGACGTTGTCAAGGATACCCGAAGCATGATAAGAAAGACAGATTATATATGTATTGTTAGATATTTATTAATAGTAGGAGATCAATAGAGAGCATCCCAGTTTATATATAAAGTCTACTTTTTTATGGTGAAAAGTCTAATGATTTAAACAGATGATTTAAGCCTCTTGATCCTAAGATTGAAAAATATATTAGTCTTTCTGATTGCGATTGAATGAATTATTTGGGGTTTACCTTTTGGAAGACATAGGTCAAGTGACATTTACCACAGTATTGACGGTCACTGTGCTTGGCCATGAAGACACCAGCACCACAAGTGGCGTTAGGACACTCACGACGGAGACGGGTGATCTTACCAGATTCGTCGACCTTGTAGAACTTCAAGATAGCCATCTTAACCTTGGTACGCTTGTGCTTGATCTTCTTGGGGGTAGTGTAGGTCTTCTTCTTTCTCTTCTTACCACCACCGAGGAGTTCAGCGTTCATGTGGAGGGTAGAGTTGTCTTGGACACCATAGAGGGCAAGGGTCTCAGAGTTTTGGAGAGACTTACCAGCGAAAGAAAGACATTGGAATTCAGCATCGATACCTGATTCAATATACAAGATGTCAACAAAGGTTCATTTTATTATTATAAAAAAAAAAAAAAAAAAAAAAAAAAATAGTTACCTTCACGGGCAGCGATCATGGACTTGACATTCTCAACAGAGGTGGTGTTGGAGACCTCGAGAGCGAGGGTGTTACCGGCAAGGGACTTGACGAAAAGTTGCATTGCTGACAAAAAAGAGAAGGAATCTACACCCTGACACTGTGGCTCACAGGTTTTGGCACTAAAATTTTTTTCCTCCGGGATTAGAATCAACATTAGCAGTCGTGCCCTATAATGTGGCTTGGTATGAAAAAAAGGGGGGGAAACGTTGGATGAGGAATATTAGGGTGTAATTGAATCACTTTACACTTTTGGAAACTCCCTTTTGTTTTTGCAGGAAAAAAAAAAAATGGCTCCTTCAAAAATTTACGACTTTGACCCGATAGAAGCTGATGATGAACTAGAACTCGTAAATTTCAATACGCTCTTCCTAATGTCGCCATTGCTAACGTATTACATTTGCGTTTAGGAATTATCAAAACTATACGCGAACCATCGTGCTGCCGCAGAAAATAAATCTGAATTGGAATTGCATAATTACCTTCAAGACAGGGTAAATTTAGTATAGTTTACTTGTTTTAATAGTCTAAACTAAATACGTGATACTCTATAATACCTATCAGGCATCTATCAACAAAAAGGAATATCATGACGTTGTTTGTGCATTATTGTACGGCGTTCTCACTGAACCCGAAAATGCTCGTTTGGTAAATGATTGATTTACAAAAAAGCAGCTTGTGTCAGACCAACTAAAATCGATAGCAGTTCTTCCAATCCATTAGTTTTGTCAATCGTGATCATTTTGGAAATATCATCATGAAACTTCAAGCATTAATCATATCTATCAAATTCCCATGCATGAAAATTGCAGTCCGAGAACAAGTAAATAATGATAACAATAATAAAAAAAAGTTGGATGAAGAGGAAAGAATTGATATTTTCTATAATAGATATTTTGGTTGATTAGTGAATTAACAAATCTTGGTGTGCAGAATGTGGATTCACTCTATCTATGTTTATTGCGACAAATCCGTAGTGGAGATATGAGTCAACCCAACTTATTATTATGCGATCAATTACTAAAGTTATTCGAATTACACAAATCATGGCTTGATTCCAACATCAGATTAATACCAACCTTTGTATATACCTACCTTAAAGTCATTGCAGACCACCAAAAAGTCCAACTTCAATCACTACAACAAAAGGAAATCAAATTTGTCATGACCTTACTTAAAGAAAAGGTAAAAAAAAAAAAAAAAGAATTGGTCCCTATGTAAGTGGTATTGAAAAAAAAAATAGTGGCTAGCCTGTTGTGATATTGGTAGAGACCTGATTCGAGTATTACACGATTTATCATTGACAATACCTGAGTTTACCCAATTTTGGGAAGTGTTACTGAATAATCCACAAAAACTATCACCTCGATTTGGAGGCATAGAAACGCTATTGAAAACACCCACAAAAAAAGAGTACCTGAGATGTAGATTAACACCTGATATCGAATTTAAATTGTTATTTATTTTACAAAATGTAAGGGAAATTGACTTACGATCCTTCTTTTCGTTTTATATCTTACTAAAGAGGTTCTATATTAGCTACGATCAAACCAATACCAGCGAAATCTCAATTGGTTTATCCAAAGATATCTCAGTACGCCCGAGTCAGAGCCTTTTTACGTGGATGTGGTACGATACTTAGTAGCTGGATGGTATCCTTCCAACCAAATCCTACAAAGTGACATTGTTCCTCGATATGTCGTCATCGGCAGTATGATTCGATCCATCAAAAACAAAACAGTAGTTGCCAATGTAAAGACTGCATTAATTTACGATTGGCTTTTTTTTACTCCTACAGATAATATCATGTTCATCGGTAAAGAAAAAAAAAAAATACAAGCGCATCATTATCTTTTCTTTTGTACTTATCTCGTATTTAGAACCTGCCATGTTATTAATGGAAAGATCGGCGGAAAGATATCCATACATCACATCTGTCATCATGGAGTTTCTAAAAAATTCAGTCGATGATTACTTTCCACCCTTAAAAGAGTATATGGCTCGTTGTGTTGCTTGTGGTATGCGAGTATTACTGAGTAAAGGTGTGATTCGAAGCTTAATGCCTATTTATAAATGCCCTTCTACTGAACCTACCACACGAGAATATATGCAAGCCTTATTTTCAGAATTCCTTACGGATGAAGCATCAGTGCATGCCTTACCAATGCCTACCCATCTTCAAGCTACACCAAGTATACCGGGCACACCCAAGACCGAAGGGTACGTGACCGAGGAAGAATTGGAAGAAGGAGAAGAACCTGCTACTACTAGTACTACTAATACCACTGCTACTGCTACTATTACTACTACTACTCCTGCTGCTGTACATCATGTAGATGATGATGATGTAGATGAATACCTCTATGGAGACTCTGACACAAAACCAAAGACAGCTGAGCAAGAAGACGAAGATATGGAAGAAAACCCTTTATCAACACTCAGCACTTCATTCGAACCTGATCAAGAAGACAGAGAGGAGGTACAGACGCCTGTGAAAGAGGAATCAGTGGCACCAGGATCGATTGCCGGTGACGACCCAGACGATGTAGAGCAAATGGCGACTGATGACGATTTTGAAGACGAAGTGGATGAAGTAGAAAATATTCAATCGAATCAGTCGTATTGGATTTTTGGTGATTCCCTAAAGAGATTTAAAGAATCAAGTGCAGCTGTGACACTTGCACAAAAGAAGGAGGGAGATCAAACGAATTATGCTACCAACTTGCATACCGCAAAAAAGAGTTTAAAAGAAATTTTAGCAGTATTCCTTCGTATGGCTATACCCCCCGAGACTTTAGTGCCCACCATCGGACCCTATGTACGCAATATGGTTGCTTCAAATATGTTGGAACATGTCACTACTTTTGAAAAATCAAATGACGTAGAGGCGATATTGGAAGATCCATCTAAGGACGTCTTTGACTTGATCATGGCTACCTTTTGGAGTGTGCGCGATAACGATGCTTCTAGAGAAAAATTGATCCGATTAATAGGCTGTATATCTCATACAAAAAAGAATAAGGGAAAACGACATATTATTGGGATGCGATGGTGGTCTTTTATTGCGATGTATGTATGATATTAATACTATTGATTACTGTTACTGAATTGTGTTTTTTTTAGACAATTGGAAGCCGACGAAAACTCGGATATACCAAGTGCTGATAATTGGTTCCCTGGGATCTTATCTAATTACGAAATTTATGTTTTACATGCGTATGCGATTGAAGAATCTACGATCGACCAGAGTGAATACTTGAAAGACTATCTCAAGCAAGACTTATATGTAAATTATGGATTTGAACCTAAACGATGATGAAAAAAAAAAGCTAATTATTTTTGTGTAGATACTTGCTGAGCAAAGTGTTGTTTTCTTTAATGATATTATACCTCTCTTATACCAATATCTTCCAAATGCAACTGTCGGAAACATGGATATCTTAAATCTTACGGTCATGATGCTATTACCTGAATCCGTAAGTCAATCATATTCATTATTAATCGGTATCAAGTTTTTTAAACATGGATGTGTTTTTACTAGATGGGTAAATTGGTGTGTCGTTTACATTATGGGTCTATCAAAGTGTTTGGAGATAAAGTAGATGTAATTTTATTAAATAACTCGCTGTCACTTGCTACATATGAGACCATGTGTTTCTGGCAATTGCTAGCAGCAGAATTACAAGGCAATAGTAATTATATCGAATTGTTTTTCAGTGAACCACAAATTCTTGATATCTTGAGAACCAAATGTAAGTTTTTTTTCTTTCTTTTTTGTATATGAATGGTCAATAATTCACACTTCTCGACAGTTAAAAATGAAATCATCTCCTCCTTATTCTCTATACTTACAAGTACGAAGCCAACTAAGGATTTAATTTATTCAATTATACGTATCATTCCTGAGAATTTCAAGACGACCGAACCTCAAGTTCAATTCGCGCTTGCTTCGTTTCAATACTGGTCTACCAATATGACTAAGGTGTTTCTGACGGCCGTGTCACAATTGACAAATTCATTTGTCAAACAAATTGAAACTGGTAAAGAATATGATGTAACCTGTGCTGCTACATTTGTTTCTATCATGATGACTTGGTGGAACCAAAAACTGACTTCAGGTAAAAAAAAAAAAGATAAAAAACGAATAGGAACTTATATCTCTTTTAGAAACTTTTAAAAAGGACAAAGCATTATTAGCTGTCTTATCGAAACTTGGAGATTCAGTAAACCAATCTTATCCCAAAGAATGGCAAGGTAAATGACACGCTCAGATAATCGTGTGTATCGGCTCTTTTACTTACTTTATCACATAATTACATAGCTGCACCAGTTGAGAATCGTAGAAAGAAGAGATCCATTATGTTAGAATCAGACGAAGAATAAACCGTTTTTTCTACAGTGGCATTTTGTATTGATTACGATGTTTTACTTTTCACAGACAAACCTAAATAAATAAAGCTGCGCTTTTTAATACCTCCACGAGGTTTTTTTTTAAAAGATTATCAAAAAAGAACTAAGAGTATAGTTAACGCATTAGATAGCAATATCAACAAGGCATAGAAATGAGGCACGTTAATTACTAGTAAATTATCGCCTATCCATGATATGTCGAAAGTGATAACATACACTTTAAAGTTGGACAAGATTAGTTCATCGGCTTATAAACTCCTTCTTCTTGCAACTCCCATTGAAGCATCAGTTGTATAACCCTTAATCGGTACAGTGTCATTTTTTCATGCAATTACTTTAAGTTAGGCATCACCGACACCGACACCGACACCGACACCGCTTTGAGACAAAACAACGGTGGCTGCTTAATGTCCACACGCCTTATATTTTTTCATATGGCAGCTGTTTTTCTTTTTCTTTGCCAATTTTTAAAAAGCCAGTTATACCACTTGTCGGGAAACGATCAAGCCGATGGCGACTTTTTTTATTTGCACAAGCCAACCCTGATACCCAACAACAACGTTAAAAGTATCAAGGAGAGGATAATTAGTACCAGCAGGTTAATGAACCTCTACCTCTTAAAGTACTTAGGGCGACGTAAATATATAAAAATTTAAAATGTAAAAAAAAAAGAACAGATAATAGAGAGATCTAAAGCGTTTGGAATATAGGCGTCGGAAATGTATATAATATGGGTCAGATGTGATGTAGTGCAAAGTACCGATGCTGATTGTCGTCGGTCACATTTGAGAAGATTATAATTTGTTTTAGACAATATACTTTCTTTTAGATTAACTTCATTTCAAACGAAAACTACAATAATTTTATTATTGAGTAAAAAAATGAAGGTCGATGAGGTTACTGTTGAGTTCGATAACATTGAGATGCTTAGAAGAAATGAGTATGACTTACTACAAAGAAAACATAAAGGTACTCCAAAATTCAATCATGATAACTGAAAGCATTATTTTCCCAGCCAGTAGATACATATTGGCTTTGGTACTGCTCATTCAACAATTTAATGGCTTCATTCACTCTGTCCTAAATTCTTGCTTCTTCTCTCGAATTTGAAGATGTCGATATGGTACTGTCAGTGCTGCTATCTGAATCAGATTCATATACAAGTGAGACATTTGGAGCCAGGAAATTCAAATTATCTTCATGGATGATTTGGAGAATGGTTTCAATAATGTCAATGTTCTTCACTATGGTTCTCTATTGTTATTTTAATATAAGAATGAGTTTTTTTTTTAAATAAACGCTATGCAAGCTGTCTTTACCATTAATGACATGACTACTGATATATAATCTGCAATAGCTCCACCGCTTTTTTCTGGAACAGGGATGCTGACTTCTTTAAAAGTTGTATGCATAATGGTGCTATCGATGATTTTTGTGATAGTGATTGATAAATTCAACTTGTTGACGCGACAGGAAGTTGATGACAAGTGTTCTAATGCGTTTGAAAAGTGAAGAATTGATCTCCAATAAACTAACAATTTTTCCCGTTGATGTCTCCTCTGTCTACTATGTCCCTCTCTTGTTACACCAGAGAAACTCTGGACTTTTCATCAACCACACCCTTGCCACCATAACATCACGCCTTGCAATACACCCTTTCTTGGACTCATTCAATCAAGCGTTTTAAACTCTTTCTTGTGTAAAACTTTTCTTTTCTTCTGTCTAGGTGATTCTTGTTCTTCAGGTACTTCTGTTCTGTCCACAGAATTGGTATCATTTGCCAAACTAGTTTCTGCATTTTTATAACCTTGATCCAATATGTCGTCTCTAACAAAAGCTCTTCGCTGCTTTTGAATATAATGTCTTTGCTCTGCAATATTATTGTTCGTGATCATTTGCACAGGCCTCGAATTAACCACGTTAAATGTCTTCGTTGCTAAATTGGTCGCTTTTCTTAAAGCTTTGACTGAATTTTTGTTTTTAATGCATTTGCAATTTCAAAAATCCGGCAAGCTTTTTAAAAGGACTTCTTTTGTCTTTTCTTCATCGTGAAAGCTAAAGCTATGGCTCAAAATTTCAATCAATTTCATGTTATTCCAATTGTTAAATGGACACGAATTTAAAACTAGAGTAACGTCGTTGTAAGAAGCCAAAGAAAAAAAAACAATAAATATAATGAAAAGGATGGTGGATACTCACCTTCATTCAGCAGAGGTTTAATATTGTTCATTATATTGTTTAAAATTTGATCTGAAATCAGGCGGGATTACCGGAAATGTCCAGAACTCCGTATTTTTTTCAGACATATTTTTTATATACAGGAATTCTGGCCAGAAGACCAGCATGCCAGTATGTTTGCACCTATTTAAAATGCATCCCTGCTATTTACAGTCCATGAGTTTCAAAAACTCAAGAACCCTGCCTAGAAGGTCGCCCTCCTATAGCAAAGACTAGCCGCAGCCGCAATAAATCTTTTTCGATTTAGCGTCTTTTCAAAGAAACAAGTGTCACTACTAAACAAACCCTTTTACGTTATCGGTTACTTTTAGACAATAGAAGAAGTATGCTAAGTGAAAAGAAAAGGGGAGGAATAAAGTGTGCGAACCAGCTTTATCTGTAGGCTGATTTACAAGCTTATGTCAGGATGATTTCATTTGTCTATTTTACCATCCAAAATGTTTGAGCCTTTACTTAAAATGGAAACACTTGCAAAAACCTCTCAAGCAAGTCAGAACTCGGTAATTGTCTATCTGCGTTCCAGTAGTAGCTTTTAATGACAGTGAAGCAGACTTTATGGAAAACAGAAATCGATCATCCCATGAAGTTTAGATGATATGGCATGTCAATCAACGTGTAGACCATCGCGTGATTCTAAAAAAATACGGTTGAAAAAAATACGAAGTTCTAGACATTTCCGTGAATCACCCACTGAACTTAAGCATATCAATAAGCGGAGGAAAAGAAACGGAAAAGTTTAAATTGTGAAGGCCTAATAATCATAAGATTCGTAAACAAAAAGTAAGATAAATAATCGTAGCAGGCATGGCCGATGCACCTTAGTTTTTTTTTTTGGAACAAAATAGATCGTTTTTTCTTTATTATAGCATTTTATTCCATTTCCCGAAAGCCCTACCTGCAACAATAACAAGCTACTACTGGATCACAGATATACAACTACCAAGTTTTGATTTGCTTATGGGGTTTCTGCAAGTGTTTCCATTTTAAGTAAAGGCCCAAACATTATAAATGATGAAACAATCAATTAAATCATCCTGACATAAGCTTGTTTATCAGCCTTTAAAGAAAGCTGGTTCACACACTTTATTCCTCCTCTTTTCTTTTTCCTTAGCATATACTTCTATCGAATGAAATTAACTGATAACGTAAAAATATTAGTTAGTAATGACTCTTTTTTCTTTCAAAAGACGTTAAATCGAAAAAGATATATTGCGATATTGTGGCCGCAGCTAGTCTTTGCTATAGGAGGGCGACCTTCTAGGCAGGGTTCTTGAGTTTTTGAATCTCACGGACTGTGAATAGCAGAAATGCATTTTAAAAAGGTGCAAACATACTGGCCTGCTGGTCTTCTGGCCAGAATTCCTGTAAGTGGTATATATATATATAAAAAGAACGTTTAAAAAAAATACAGAGTTCTAGACATTTCCATAGGTGTCACTACTCAAACAGACAAAATCGTGTCTCTTGAGTCAATCAATAATGTTCAAGTTGTGAAATGAACTTATAAAATCAACTCACTGTAACAAAAGTTGCAGCTTTCGTTACGGCTTTTATATAAATCTATGGTATAACTCAAATCCTAATCCTCGTAACAAAGTAGAAAAATTATATCTCTTAAACAAAAGTTATGCAAAGGAGAAGCTGGAAATAATGAAACAGGAAAAATTTTAATCAGAACAGACTGCTTCCAAGCAAAAAAGCCAACCTTCTGATGGATAGACAGTTATCATGGTTAGCTTTCAACAGAAATTAAAAGAAGCGAAAGCTTCAGAAGAAGCTAGTCAACAAGCTCTCCAGAAACAAAATGTAAGTTTACAATACAAACCTCTTTATTATTTAAATGATACTATAATTGTTCTCTTGCCGTAGGTATATATTAAACAACTGGAAGCAATGAATGAAAAGTTAAAGCACGACATGCATGTAAACAAAATGCCAAGATAACATACAAGCACCGTCAAGAGATTACGGAAAAAGATAATATCATCTGCTCTTTAAAGAATACGATCAAGAAATTAGAGACGGACACAGCAAAAATGACTGTGCTCTACCAATCGGAAGTCGAAACTGTACAGCTATACTTTGACAAGCTCGAAGACGACTATATGACGCTTGAAGTGGAAGCAGGCCTTTCAAGCAATGAAGAAGAAGTCCCAGGAGTTAAAAGTCAAACTGGTTCAATTGGAAAATGATCAAGCTGAGGCCAAGTTACAAATTCACCACCTCGAATCGAAGCTTTCTCCCGCAAACAATGAAAAGCAAACTTTGAGGAAAATGCTTGACAAAGTCAAACAAAGCGCAACACAAAAGGAAAAAGATGGATCACCCACACAAAAAACTACCAGCAGAATCAAAGTCGTAGAGACTTTATTCTGAAATCCCCACCATACAGCTGATCCTAATACGATCTTGTCCCAAGCTGTCCAACCAACTTTATTGTTCAATGCAACTTCATTTTTTTTTTATTTCTTTTCTTTAAACCATTGGAAATATACCTTCGAGTATATTATTATCACTATTTAATTTAAACCCTCGTGGTAAGATTAGGCTGTTCTTTTGGGAACTATTTTGTTTTATTAATCATGACCTTTAGTTAGTTCTTTATGTTAAATTACTTGCACAGTAAGACTTGCACACAATACCAGCAGTTACCATTATCATAGTTTGTAGTATTATGCTGCATATGATATGTGTCAATAAGCTGTTCTGGCATACGACAAATACCGAACGTTTCTGACGATGCGGCAAGAAAGAGTGTATTTCCAGTTGGATCACCATAGGATGGCAATATATTTTGTTTCATTTCAGCCCTGAGAAAATTAATCGCTTGGTTGATCTAAGGCGAGAAATGGGTCTTGTGAATGACGCCATATCTGTTTTTTGACCCAACCTAAATTAAAAATTAAGGTGACATTAGATGAGGTACTCATAAGTACTATTAATTATTTTTATAGCGGCTTACTGTTATGTTGTGACAGAGACGGTAATCTGCTAAGACACAATCGGTAAGAGCGGGATTGGCATTGAAAGACGAGAATTTTCGGATAATATTCTGATGGACACCTCCTTCAACAGAATTCGTGCCTCTCACGCATCTGTACACTTGAAGACCATTCTGATCTTTGCTCATTTGATAATACCAAGAGACACCAGGAGGATCCGAGACATGCCCAAGTCGAATGGCTTCAAGTACCATGTTTGACACCTTCCAAGCCTTTTTGTCAAAAAGCTTGTTTCCAGAGACAGAACAAATGGCATTTCCATACACCTCAAAAAGTTTTTTCACGACAGGGTATAGCTCGGATGGATTGGGCACATATCGTCTAACTCTCTTGAGCACCCAGTCGGAATTTTTCACCATCATTTTTTCTAAAGATATGTTTCTGGTTTTCAGGTATTCCGTCACAAGTCTTTCATCTTCCGGGTCATTTACAAACAGGACATCTCTAAACTTTCTTGAGAATTCTTTGGATAATCCATGCGTTTTTTGAATCGGAATCATATCCATGAGATGGAAAACATCTTTAAGTACTCTTGAAGGTAATGTGTTTTTAGCATCAGAGTTGTTTAAGCTGGTATCCCAAGTGGTTTCTTCAAGGCGATTTGCATGACTAGTTGTATTTTCAAAACAATCTTCACTAGCAATAAAAAGCTGGTAATGATTTAAATCAACTACAACTTCAAAAGGTGTGTCACCAAAATCACTCAGGAATTTGTTGTTGGTGTTGTCGAAAGAGTCAATCATCGTGGTACCAGGAACATCAATTTTTGTTATCTTGATTACCGCTTTGTTCTTCATATTATGCATTGTATCAGTAGGCACCGTCGTGTAACCAAAAGCACAAGCTGGTTTGCTTCCTTTCACATGAACAGATACAAAGGTATTTGGGTTAGGATTTTCAAAAATTTGAGTACCAATTGGAGTAACATGTTGTAAAAAATTGGATATTTCCAATGTTACATAAGCATCGCATGCGGCATAATTGATTTGAGTTTCTGATGGACTGGTGGAGAACCAATCATTTAGTCTTGGTGAATTGCTATCTTTTGGTAACCTTTCTTTGAGGATGACAGAACAAATAAAATTCAAATCGACGCTTGCTTTTTCATTTGCACCCTTGTCCAGGTTATAATCGCGCTCTAATTCTTTGATATCTCCAACAATTTCGATACTTTTATTAGTTACGAGGAAGACCTTCAATAACTTTGGGAGAGTGGTTTCATTGAACCTGTTCAATCTCAAAAACCACACGTTTTTTTCGTATGCAATTTGAACCAGAGCGACTTTTTCAATCGAAAATGGAGATCGACAACGGTACCATTCGCAATCAAACCCAACGCGACATGTGCCACCATCTTGAGAGAACTTGATCAAATCATGAAGTACTGAATTTATGGTTGTTGCATTGTATAAAACACAAACTATGACATCAAAAGGAGCAGTGCAACTCGGAAGAGCTGAATTGATGTTCACCATGTGATTAGTTTAGGTCGAAAGTTCTGTGATGTCCAGAAGCTGGTTTTTATCGCAATTATTCAGGTCAATGATTGAACTGGGTTCGAAAAAAAAAGAAACCCCTGAATGTTACAGAACCAAATGTTGATAACATCATCAATGAGATCAGCCCCCAACTATAAGGTGATGAAATCTGTCAATAATCTACATTTAAAGACACTTTCCAAGTACAGAATCGATGTAATATATTAAATCAACGTATTGGATAAATGGGATTTAAGAGAAAAGGTATATGCTTGGATACTTTGTGATTACTCTTCTCAAAACGAAAGTAAAAATAATATGCATGAAAAAATTAGCTTTTACTAAACTGTACTTTTATGTTGTAGACAAAAGCCTATCATAACATTTTTAATAATACTTAGAGCAGAATTGACCAAATGTCTTAAAGCAAAACTTGCCGACGTATAAAGTTCTTAAGTATCTATAGTCAATGACTGTTAGGGAGTGAACGAATAACAAGAGGGGTGAGTAGGGTATATCTAACCTTGTATTCTTTTTGGTCGCGACTGACATTTGCCTTGTTTTTTGTGTAAGTCTCGCAATGATGTTGAACGTTTTAGAACACTCAGTTTTAATACTATTCGCGGATCCACTTGCAATAAGAATACATTCGCGTGTTTAAACAACATTGTTTGTGGTTGGCAAGATTGCCTAGTTGTCACAAATAAGGGGCCGTCCTTGTTGCTTAAAGCTGTACATATCAGTATTCAACATATTTTCGGCTACTCGGATATTCCTGATAAGGTAAAGGTAATGTATGCAGGAATTATGAAACGCTATAATTGGACCGCGATACAACAAATCCCTCCAACAAGTGTAGGTGATTGATTTAGTCTTGGCTCAACTCACGGATCTCGAAGGTGTTCCCGTGACAAGTGAGCAGTTTTTTGAATACACCTCATAATTTTACTGGTCGCCTTTGACTGTTTAAGAGTTGGAATCGTAAAGTCCTTTCAGTTGGTTTTCTACGTCCTTGTTGGCTAAAAAAAAGTATAATGAGTTTATCTTGGTTAGATTGTGGCCCTTACTAACAAGGGACGTGATAGATGACATGAAATTATAGAAACCATGAGTAACAAATACATTTTACTTGGTTTGTCTTTTCTATAATGTAACCAGTCTCTAAATCTATACATTTTACACAGACTTGTATTTTAGCACTTTAACTACTGTTTGTCAGTACCTTTTTGGTATTTAATTGCGTTGTCCCAAAACCAAGTTTAGATCTCTTAGGGACATCCAGAAGGTACTTTATCCTAAGCTATGTCTACGTGCAATTCGGCTGTCCCTAAGAAAAGTGTAATGAATCATCAGACCTAGCCATGAATGGCCTTATTAGGTCTGATGATCAATAGCATAAAGAGGCTTTTAAAATAGCCATCAAATCTAAATGTTATGCAATACGGCATTATATCGTCATAAATGGGTGTTTGAATGCTATCACTTGCAAAAGTGAGATATGTCATATTATTTTTTCTACCACTATCGCTTTTTTTTAACCTTTTCCCTTTCACATGCATGTTTAAAAGTATCAACTGCCAGTTAATAGGGTTATTTGGTTTATTATAAAAACGGCTAATTGTAATGCAAGATGAACAATAGGAATGTATCGTGATTAGAAATTTATTATTGTCTCATGTAAAAAAATAAAATAAGAAAAAAGCTTGGTAAATGGAATCAAGCAAATGTAAATGTGATAATTGTCATTTGCCAAGCCAAAAAAAAAAAAAAAAAAAAAAATGAATCCGCAGTAAAACTAAATAATACATGAGGCAAATAAGAATATCAGTACTCTTATTGCGCGTAAAAATCTGTATCCTATCTTGAATAATTAAAATCGTTTATGGATTGCATTATTGTCACTACCAAATGTTTCTTTTCGAGTTGTCTGTAAAAAAAACTCAAAATTTTAGACAAAGAAAGTGTTTCAAGGATTTGTTTGTTTATTTGTGTACTATGGTTACCTCAGTCTCGGTGGAGCGAATAAAAAAGCTCTTTTTGTTTACCAAAGAGAGAACCTCGTAACAAATGTATCGAACAATGGGGAACTTTATTGCGCAATTCCGATGACGGAAGAATATTTAAAATGAAGTGTAACACGAATCCACACGTACATCTTTTAAACTTGCCAAGTATATAAAAAGCCAAGAAAGAGAAGGGGGACCAATTACGTATACATGGTAACAAGGTCAAGACTATTTTTGTTAAAAAGCTGAGCCAATTTGGGGGAATAAACTAACCGAACAAGAAAAAGCTACATCATGTATGGTTACACAGACAATGACATGGTTTTCAACCAGATATGAAACTTTTTTGGCGGCACGACTCTTTACCCGCAAACCAGAAAAAAAAAAAAAAAAAATTCAAGACCTTGCATTCTTTTCTTTTCTTTTCCTTTCTCTTCTTTCCTTATCTAAAAATATACATAAACAATGAGTTGGAAGGTAAGAAATATCTGTTGAAACAATTGACATAATATTGATATCAATTGCAGGGTTTACAAAAAGCCGTATCAAGATTACCATATCAATTATTATCTAAAAAGAATGAAGGTAACGTGCGCTCTAAATAGAGAGAAAACAAAAGGTTATCTGACATTACAAGATTAGGAACAAAGGATGCCGAATATATGCAATTAGAAAAGACATTTCACGACTTTTCAAAGCTAGTAGATGTTTTTGCTCAAGACGCAAGAATATTTCGTGATAATATATCTGGTAAGGTTTCATATAAAGAAAAAAAAAAAAAAGGTGTCAATAACTAACCTATGCTATTTCAAGCCATGTTATCGAACCAAGCAGCCATGTCACAATATCTCAATACAATTTACGACGCCAGTATTGGAGCAGAAGCAGCAGCAGGCACAATTCAAAAGCGATTCCAACAAACACCTGCTTCACAACTTCAAGCCGTCAATGATGCTGAAGTAGCAATGGCTTATTGTCGGGACGAAGTATTACCGGAATTGGTAAAGAGAATGGAGAGAAGTTTTTGTACACCAAAAAGCGGGCGATGGGGGATTTTGCTAAAAAGGTTTATTTTAGGATGTTGTGGATCGTGATATTGTACGACCTTTATTAGAATTATCCGAAATCCAGAAACAAATCGCCAAAACCATGCTGAAGCGAAACCACAAATTGATTGATTATGATAGACATCGTATTGCTTTACAGAAACTCACAACAAAGGCCGAAAGAAGTTTTAGTGAAGAAAAGCAGATTTTCAAGGTAAAAAAAAAAAAGGGAAAGCAGAAATAAGGCACGGATACTTATTTTTTTTTATTATTTTAAGCTGCAACAACAATTAGATACAGCAACACAAGATTACAATTATTTAAATGACATGTTAAAGAGAGAATTACCCGTGTTCTTTCAACTCAAGTCCAGTTTTATTCAGCCAGTGTTCGAGCACCTTTATAATATGCAGTCACGTATATATGGTACAATGTACGCACGTTGTTTAGAGCTGTTAAATCAAAATATGGAAGCGTTTGTGACGAACACAATGGGTATCGAAGAAGGATTCAACTACCGAAGGGGACAGCGGGATGTACGCTCTGAGTTTGAAAATATGGATCTTTTAAAGTCGGGAGGTAAAGCATGGTTAGCTGTCTCGGGAGGAGCGAATAGTTCAAAATTGACACTACAAGAGAGAGCAGCGCTGAAACAACAAGAAAGACTTGCGATTGGAGCTCCACCCACGTCACCATTACCTACGGCCCAACAAGCGATTGAATATGGACAGTCTCCATCGACGTATGCTTCACCACCGCCTCCTGCGTACGCTCCGGTGTTTCATGTTGCACCAACACAACCTCAATTTGTTGTTGCATTATATGACTATGTTGCTCAAGCGGAAGGTGATCTTAGTTTTAAAAAGGATGATAAAATCCAAATTATTGAAAAAACCGCTGATACCAATGATTGGTGGACTGGCAAACTTAATGGCCAAACGGGTGTATTCCCTGGCAACTATGTACAAGAATTATAATAAAAAAAATGTTGGAGGCGCATTTCTTTTTTATTTATTACTATAATAAAAAAAAAGAGCGGGAAAGAAACAAAAATGATGGGAAATGACAAAGAGGGTTCATAAGAAAAGAAATCATAACAAATACTAATAGGAGTTGTAAAAAAGAAAAAAAAAAAGTGGGAATAGGAGTTTTTTCTTTTTTTTTATCAAAAAGAGGGAGCATATGTTGTGGGTATAGAGGGGAAAAAAAAGAAGTTGTGTGTGTGTGTATATGGTTTTGTGTAATTTTGAGTTTTTTTTTTTTTTTTTTTTTTGAGTGTGTTTTGTTGATTTTTTTTTTCTTGGTGCTTATATATAAATTTTTTTCTTTTTTTTTTTTTTTTTAAGAGGGAGGTAAAACATGGTTGATAAATCTTGCAAGTTCAGCTGAGGTAGAACATTTTAATAATCTGCTTTGAACATGGGCCTCGATTTCCTATGAGATGATGTTAGTAAAAATAAAATAAAAAAAATAAAATTCAAATTCAGCTTACAGAAAGTACATCCTTAGAAGAAGGTCTTGTGGATGGGTGTTCATCCAATAACCAGGCAACCAAACCACGCATATACATTGTAGGGTAGCTGTAAGTGAATGTGGGACTTGGCTCTGACAAGATTGTAGAGAATAATTCCATTTCATCCTTGACAAGATAATGAGGAGGAACACGGTCCATCATTTCAATGACCGTAATACCAAGTGACCACATGTCAATTTTTTCATTATAATATTGTTCCCGAATCACTTCGGGTGCCATCCATTTGCTTGTACCCAGACGGTCACGATTACGCTTTGTCGTACGAGTAGCCAAACCAAAGTCAGCTAATGATAATAGAAGAAAAAAGGGTGAGAAAAAAAAAAGAGAGAAGGGAAAGAGAATGGTAGTTACCTAGTTTCACTTCACCATTCCAACCTAGCAGCAAGTTTTCACACTTGATGTCACGATGGATGTAACCCTTATTGTGAAGATAATTTAAGCCTTTCAAGGTTTCACATGCAATATGAATCGTATGCTCTTCGGGAATTCCTCGTTGACAAAGAACAGCAAAAACAGAACAGCGTTGTAAATCCATTGCCATCCATACATCGTCACGCCAGAGAGTGACTTCACGAAGGCGAATCAGATTGGAATGGCCAGAAGACATGATACGTAATTCTCGTACAATAGCTGCTTTATACTCTCGATCGGGGTCTAATCTACATCTTTTAATAGCCAAATGTTGTAGATTATTTTTTTTGTACTTGTGCGTAACACGTACAACGGAGCCATTCACACTAGGGGGGAAGCGTTAGTAACTAAAAATTTTTTTTTTTTTTTTTTGTTATTGTTGTTGTTGTTGTTTCTTACCCTGTGCCAACTTCTTTAAATCCAGTATATTTGTTTCTAGGATCTAAATTAGAAACTTGGATCTTTTTTGGTGATAAAGTTTTACGGACTCTGCGTTCAAATTCGTTTTCGGCAGAACGAATTAAAGGAGGTAATTGCGGTATCTCAGTGCTAGGACCGACAGGATACCAAGGTTTTTCGGATATGCGGTTAGTTGCAGGATATTCACGTAAATTGTATGTCTTTTTTTTAATGTCTGGTTTAAGAAAACAATCAGGACCAAATACATTTGGAATTTCATAGAATCCAGGAGGACGCCAAATTTCCTGAAAATAACACAAAAAATTAGCGTTTAAGGAGTAGAAGAAAAAAAAAAAAGAGAGAGAATTTTTACCTTGCTAATATTATTACTAGAAGAAGAAGTAGTTGAATAAATGGAGGATGATCTTCTATTGATACAACCAGTAGATCTTCTCTTTAATGTCATATCGATTAAATTCTTTGCACCGGTTGATGCAGTGGTTAATGATTTTGATTTACGAAGTTGTTGCTTGGGTGAACATGAAGAAGCTCTCTTCTCAAACAAGCCCTACAAACAGGAGATATTAATACACCATCATCATAAAACTGGAGAAAACGTCTTTACATTCTTTTCGTGGTCTTTAGCTGAGGCAAGCATATGCTTGCCAAATTTATTATTATTCGTTGTTGATATATGAAGCATAATTTTTTGTTTTTAGAAAAAAAGAAGAAAAAAGAGGAAAAAAGAAAAGAAATTTTTTTTAAAAAGGCTCTTATTTAAATGAAAAAAGACAGGTACCACATGTTTAGCACACTCACACACACACTTAATATTTTCGGCTTTTTGGCTGTACACCAATCATATTTATTCTTTATTGTTTGTTGCAACATGATTATTATTATTTTTGTCAAGGCACTATTAATAAAAAACGTGGTTTGATATATTATCAAACGTGCTTTGCTTGTGTCTCTCTCTCTCTCTCTCTCTCTCTTTCTTTCTTTCTCTCTCTATGCTATTCCACGTGCAAAAAGAGTGGCATTTTGGCGTGTTTTCTTTCACACTATAACAAACAAACAACCTTATCTCTCTTTGACTTTACAAGCACAGTTTATAGTTAGCATATATTACCCATTATTGTTTCTTTCTCTCTTTTGGCTTGTCTTGATCATCTTATATTTTCTAAATGCACGACGGGTTCATCCCGTATTGGAAACGAATCTCGTTCTTCCTTTCTAGTGATATAGAAAAACTAAAACAGAAATAAAAGCGTTTCAAAACAAGTTCGGAAAATTTATTTATAAATTTTTAAATGTTATTCAAGTCTCTTTTGACACTTCTTGTTGGATAACCATGTCTGACTGTGTGACCACAGAAATTATGCTCCTTCACATCAGTGTTACGCTGATCTGGTTTTTCTGTACTCTGCTTCTTTTCTTTTTTCTCATCCGCCACTGCCGGCGGTTCATCGGTAGACCATGGAAGATCCACCGTGCCATAGCCAGAGGACACTAACTCTGGATGCTGTCTTGCCTCCTTGCTTCTATTCCAAGCGTCTTCTCCGATTGGATAATTGTCTTGTACATGTTAAAACTTAATATATACAATTGGGATGGGTTTTGCTCATTTACCTGCCATAGTAACAATAATAATAACGATGAGAAAAAAACAAAAAGACGAGTTAGATTTATTTAGGTTTCTTTTATTTTTTATTTATTTCCTATTTTCTGATGTCATCTTAAATCAGTCTAACTTTCTTTTCTAGCAAAAGTTGTCGGATGTCACGATAACGTACAAATATAATGTCATCCTTTTCGAATAAAACAGTATGGATCATGGTTCTTATAAAAAAAAAAAAATAGATGTTGTGAGATTATGGGTGGAAACAATTTACTAAACCCTTACCGACGGACAAGATCTATTTCGCCTACTGTGATCAGAGCTTTGCAAAAGACAGCCGCTTCAAAATTGGGTTCAACCACCATGTTCATATCACCACTCTTCTCATCCTGTCGATGTTGTGATAATGGTATTTGATGTAAAAATGAATTGTGGTTGTGGCTCTCTATTAACTCTTGGTATCTTCGTACATAGATAATCTCCTGCGATGATAACAGTTCTTGCAAATCGGGTCGTCGTAAAATGTAGAGTGAATATTTCTCCATCTTTTTTTTTTAGCGTGTATAGATCGCAGACCATGTTAGTCGATATCTACACGCATACCCTTTCTTATTATTTACTACCTTGAATAATCGTGTGCGTAAATAACTCTTGATTAGGTATTTGATTCTTTCGATTTCGGTCTGAAAAATCATAATCATAAGTTTGTCGTCCACTTTGTCCATGATATATTCAGCCTACTTTGTTTATTTATTTAAAAAGTTCTGGTTTAAACATTGTTCCTCTTTTCCCAGTTTCGTACCTGTTTTTCAATAGCGTCAATCAAGGGTTCCACTAAAGTTCTTTCGTACGGCAATAACTCAGGTGCATTACGTTCATTCATCCAGACAAGCATAAGTTGAGGGATACTCTCAGCTGCTGCTTGAACCACCTTACCTGCTTCTCCATACAAACCCATACTAGGCGTCTTAAAACCATGATCGATAGAGCTACGGCTTTTGTTCGAAATCGAAGGATTCGAAGAGTTTAATGTATCTTCGGAATTGACATTGTTCGACATTTTAAATATGGAAAAAAAAAAAAATAATGTGAAAGGGACGAGACGTGTTTATTTTTTATTTTATTTTTTTAAAAACACGCTACTCTAATTCTATAGGTTGTAATTTCAATATGTTTGTAATCTCTCTACGACTGTTCACCCATGATTTAAAGGTAGGCACTTTATCCATTGTACCGTCTTGAACAATAGAGTTTTCTCGATGAATTCTTTCGGGTGGTACAGTGACCAATTCTTCTAATAAATAATTGGCAAACACAATTAGATAAAAGTATCGAATCAGGTAATTTAGTGCTGCTAATTTCGTCGCCCTATATTGTTTCGAGCCTTGGTCTTCCATTGCATCCAGTCGCAATTTATAATCATAAATAGCTTTACGAAGGTTCTGCATGTGATCACACATGTCGATGGCTTTATCTGTCAACCGTTTCGCAAGCTTACCAAACGTCAACATACTGACTAATTGTAATATAATCTTGAATTCTCCCTTTTCATAACTCTCCTTCAAATAATCTACATCTGAATTCATTGGCTTAATAACCATGGGTGCCACATTACTGATGGATGAGCTTCTTCTATCCATAATATGACTATTGTTCATGATCATCGTCATCAGACAGGCAGTCACCATACCTGTCGTTGTTCGTCCACGTCCCATCTGACAATTATACAAGACATCTACACCGTTTCCTGCTGCTTTTGTTCTTTGAATCAGTTGATCAAATACATCCAAAATAGGCGCCTGTTCATCTGTTATGGGAATGCGCAGATAATCCACTTGATAACCTTGGTCAATCATAGACTGAAACACTTCTTTAGGCGTTTCTATATCTTGAATACTCTCCCATAATCCCACCGTTTCGAATTCACCCTTATCATTGGGCTTTTCATCGTGAAGCAAAAGTCTTCCTTCATACTCCTTCCATTCATGGATCGCATCCGACTTCATGCGCTCCTCCATAGACTCCACTCGGTCTGTCGTGATACCCGTAGACTCCAGGTTCTTAAGGGGGTCTTGGAATAATCGGAGCACATAAGGCTGCTTATTCACATACAACACGGGCTCTTCTCGAAGACATGTCCACAGTACTTTTCGGTGTCCACCGGGACCTGCATCCATTGATTTTAATACAGCCTCAATCGCGTCTTTCGAAGGCATAGCACATCCACAGATAAAAGGCGCTGGTAATGTTCGCTGTTCTTCGTCACTCCTCTGAAGATCTGCTTCCAATCCACTCACCACCGTCTTGTCATTGACAGAGTCCTTCACTTGCTGTACCGGGATTCTTCTAAAATTGTAAGCACCTTCGATCTTTTCTTTCAAACTCATCTTTTGGCAACCCGGGAAAGCATCGTGTTTCAGAATCGTCTGTTGACCAAGCACCTGTCCATGACGCGAAGCAACCACGCTCATGATTTCACTTGAAAGCGCCACACCATCGCCAATAGACTTTTCAACAGGAATGATCAATTCAATGTCATGATCGTTAAATTCCAGTAACAGAGTTCCAATCTCGGGTCGTTTCTTGATCCACTCTTCAAATGTCCGGGTCGATTGCACTGACTCGTCGGGCGAAGTACTATCCAGATAGGCTTGGAAACATAGTAAAACAAAATAACGTTGTAAAGCAGACACGCCTCGTTTCACATACGCTGCCTTTTGTGCGGCATCTTGTTCCTTCTCCGCCTTGACATGTTCGGATTCGATCATATCACGCAAGTTTAAAAATGCGCCACATTTATCAATAACATGGTCTACCACTCTCTTTATCTCTAAACCGTTTTGAATTACACGTAATAAGCTATTGATGATTTGATAATTGAGGTATTCCCGTTTCTTGTAAGGGTCCATAGGCTTGCTGCCATCGTGCTTGATCCATCGCGTGATCAGCGTAGCAATGATTGTGCCCAAAGTAGACCGACCAAGACCAACCTGACAATTCCTAAAAAAAAAGCTATAAATTAGCTAGAGTCAATAGCAGAATAGACCTACTTATTACATGATGAGTGCAGTCTTGGAAAGATCCGTACTAGAAATCAGACAACGAATTTCGTCAAAATCACACCATTCTGGTGATTTTTCCGCAGTAATAGGCACACGGTGGTAATCAAGCACATTTTTAGAGACACTAGTTGAATCACTATCACTATCAAACTCATCAGTGACTTCGGCAGCCACAGAGTACATGACCTCACGTACCGTCAACACGTCGTGAATATTGACTTCTTCCCAAGCAGCCAAAACATTGCCATCTTTATCTTCGCCGTGCAACAAGATACGTCCATCGTAATTTGTTACCTCTCGAATGACATCTTGTTTCAATCTTTCTTCCAGCTGTTCCAGACGTTCTCCTGTAATGCCCTTATAAACCTTGATATTACGTAACGTAAAATATCGATCACGAAGAACATAAGGAATACCATTGATATAAATAATAGGTTCCTCACGTAAATTAATCCATTGAATCTTTGAGTTACTATCCGTGATTAATTTTCGGATCACCGTACGCAATCCATCCATCGTGGGCTGAGCTACGCCATAGACGTGGGTATGTTTGATTCTTCTAAAATTGTGTGCTCCTTGTACCAAAAACACATGGTGCGGTTGAAGCCGATGCGATACTTCGTCCTCCTGCGTGATATCGCTACCTGGCGTAGGCAGTTTCTGAAGTTGATTGTTTTCCTGGGCATCCAACTGGTGATGCGATGTACTCCAAAAATCAATCTTCAGGATAGTTTGAGATGTAAGCACAACGCCCGTACGTGATTTCAAAATGACATCTTCTAATTCCGAAGCAATGGAACCCACAGGACCCATCATATCAAACATACCGGGACCGTACCCTTTACGGTCATGCGAAGCACTGTAGTTATTTGTCTGGATCGTCAAATGCAAATCTTCTACCGGCCTAAACAAATACAGTTTGGGCGATTTCTTTCGCAGGCTTGTCAACATGGTCCAAATCTCGGTCCGTTCGGTTAACCAAGAAGAAAAGGATGTATTGAAATTGACATCATCCGATTCATTAATGTAACAAGCAAAACACACCAACGAAAAGTAACGTTGTAACCCTGCTGAAGCTTTCAGGATGGGTACACGCGAAGAGCTCTCCTGCGTCTGTTTGATTCGATTCATCAAAATATCTTCACGTAAATTAATCACGGCATCCGAGGCGTCAATGACCTGATCCAACATTTTTTTACTAAAGTGTCCACTTTCCAAAACAGCGGTCAATGCGACAATGCGTTGATAGTTTCCCATAATCGCTTCCTTTAAACTTTCAATCATGTTGCCGCGTGAAAGTGCCCATTCAATGGCCGACTTGGGCGACATTTTCGAATTCAAACCTTGCTCCATGATATACACAAGTCGTAATAATGCATGATTGGCATTGGCCACCGAATCTACTTCCTCAAAACCCTTGTATACCTCCAAAGGTAAATTGATTTGCGTTGTGCTATAATTGTATCCAGGTACGGGAAATGGATCAGGTGCATTACGATCCAAAAATTGCGCTCGACGAATGATTTGAGCAATAACAATACCAACAGTGGCTGAAAACCCCATAATTGTGAGATCATATGACAACCAAAAAAAAAAAAAAAAAAAAAAAACTTACTTCGAACGGCTCCCATACCGCAGTTGAAAATGAGCGGGTCGGTTGGTTCCAAAGTCTTTAATACTCGTACATACTCATCAAAATAACTGTCTTCCGGTGCCTGCTCGGGTGAAATAGGTATACGGAAATAATTTAATCGATAATCTTGCTTTTTAAACCCTTCAAATACTATTAAAAAAAAAAAAGATGGGGTTATGTTAAAAATGACAAAGTGACCTAAAAACAGCTATCTATTTACATTCTCGTGGGGTTTGCACTTGGTCTGCTGCAATAAAACAAGGTACAACCGTGCCGTCCGCTATAAGCCCGTTTGTCAGTTTACATGATTGGGATTCTGCATGAAAAATTATCTTTTTTTACCGAGTTCTTGGTGTACGAGTAAAAGCCCGCCCATGGATTTGGCTTCTTTTACAATATCGGCTTTTAATCTTTCTTCAAGTTTCTCTAACCTGTTGGCATTAATGCCTAAAAATGAAACCATGTTTTGTAAAGGGTCTGCATAATCTCTTAGCACGTAAGGATAACCGTTTAAATAAACTAATCATAGTAAAATGTGAGTTTGTTTCGATTCTTATTACTATTGTTTATGTTAACTGACTTAGGGGTTCTTCTCGAGTTAAAAACCTATAAAGGATATTAAAAAATCATGATAAACAATTACGTAATTTTTCTGGTGTTACCAAGTACAAGATGTCTTAATGTGGCTTTCGGGGTGGCAGTTTAATAATGCCAATACAGTTGACAAACCAATTGCCTTTGATGACCGAAACATGCAAACAATTAATACTTTATTTTCACGAACATCGAAAACCAAAAAAAAAAAGAACTCCTTACCGTTGGTTGTGCAACACCATATACATTTAGGTCAGCCATGCGAAAATTTGGTGCGCCCTGAAGATGAAAATCCAACTTTGTATTCACACCTTTTTCAAAATGATCCATTTTTAATATCGTGTTTCTCGAAAGAACGCTACCATGACGAGTTCGCATTAAATTCTTGACGGCCCCAAGTAGATACCGAGGATCTTGTGTCTTTTCGATATCCGTGGTTTCGGTTCGTGCAATAGGTGCTCCACGGCCATCATGACTAATCATCGTATAAAAAAAAAACGAGGTCAGTTCTCTACCAAGACCCTTTTCTTTCTGCCCCCCAACCCCTTTTCTTTCCTTGCTTACATGCGAGGTGGAATGAACTTGCTTGTTTTTTCGGATCGTTGACTTGCGTTTGTCAACATGTCTTGCAATGACTGACTTGAGCTATTTTTCCTTGGTGTTTTTGACATTGTTTCTGTACAAAAAAGAAGTGCTCACTATCGGAGAAAAGGACTTAGTTCATAATTCGAGTTTTGACGTCATTTGGCTTTACATTCGGACATATAAATCGGCCCCATCTTCCACATTTAATTTATTCAAGCGGTTCCCATTCAATGTGTCAACATAGTTGAAGAAGAGCATTAATACTATGTTTACTTTTTCGATCAGGACTACACAATTCGATTAAGTATGAAACTGTGGGGATGGAAATTATCAGTTCTTTTTAAAGTTTGAAGCATTTCTAACGAACTCAACTTATAATGCCAATGAGAAGAGACTCTTGCTGTGTTATCACATTTCTTTACCAATATGAAATTAAGAAAAAAAATGTGATCACTAATAAAATAAAATTAAACTTGAAATAAATATTGAACCGTGTCCATACAGCAATAATAAAATTAGCTAAGATATAAAGTAAACATAAGGTGGGAGAACAAGTGAGTACCCTCCAATTCGGATGATGAGTTGCGTTTATCGAACTTGCTTCAAATCTAAATAACTATAATCCTTCATAATAATGGAAACTCTTATTACATATTCAGGGTAAAGTGTCGGTACTTCACAAATAAGATCTGAAAAATTGGTGACAGTTGCCTATAGTAGCTATCGAGGATAGACAAAGGAACCCAGGAACCACGAGTTAACATATCTTCTGGCTTTGTACCTGCAAGAATTTCTCTAAAAGAACACCACTGCACGGCCTTCATTGCTTTTAGGCTTGTTGAAAAAGCAGTAGTAGTGGTGGTGGCTAAACTGAAGGTACACCTAATTAGTGTTCGGAATGAAGATCGAAACTCTCGATCGAGCATCGATCGTGTTCCAGTCGAAGTTCGCTCAAATGGGTTTTTTTTTGAAGATCGAACTCGCTCGAGAGTATGATACACAAACTGCAAGTGAGAATATTGTCAAATACAAAAAGTTATGATTATAATATTATTTATTGAAATATGATTTAACGTAAAATACGAATCAATAAGAATAAAATTGAGAAATAACACACTGTATATAATTAAAAAATGACTACGGTGTACACTGTAGTACATAGAGTACAGTGTAAAGGAGTAGGATCATACATAACCAAGAAAGCCTATGTGAAATTTAACAATCAAGATAAAATTATGGGCAAGCAAATATGAATCACAGTCAGCTTACAAAGAGTATAACTAGATCCCATTATTTCATACTTAAATCTTTAGTGAAATAAAGTAACAAGGAACTTATAACCGTACCTTTTGTATGATTGTTTTTTTATGCCTACTTTTTTTTTTTTAAATCAGAAACACTTAATTTGTAACAGAAGCCAGTCCCGACTGACTACGCTTCCAATGGTCTCGAAATATTTTAAATCTAGTTATCAGTTTTCGTGCGTGGAAATTTTCAGAAGGACTCAAAATGCAAACAATGAGATATTACAAACGAATTTCTTCAGATCTTTATATAAAGGACTATGCCGATTGGTTTGTGGATATAATAATCGTATCCAGTAATAATGAAATAAAATAATGAATTGACCAGAAAAATTAAGCATTGCAAGAAATGATTAATATAGAATTGATGCTTATTAAGTTAAATATGTTACCTGCAAAAAAATGAATGTAATTTTTAATGTAGAATTGATAAAGGTTCTACATTGCATCCGAAGCTTACAGGAATTATACGATCGCGTAAACCGAGTAAAAAAATATATAGTTATATAGTTATATATATCTACATAATTGCTTTATGTAATTTTCAGTCCCGCAACACGATGTATTCAATGGTCCAGTGTGTGCTTGTATTAGAAGCTAAGCCTACTTTACAACACAGGTTTCTTCTATTGAATGAAGTCTACTCATGATAGTCTATTCAATTTTTTTACAGATTATCAACACTCATTAAGTGCGACACTGTAGATTTAATTTATATAGGCTTCGAAAAAAAAAATCACCTTTGAAATTGCGATTCGATATAAAAAAGATGTACATGATTATTATAAGTGTGCTTGTCGACTCTAATACACATTGTATACACTAATCGTGTAAACTAAACCTATCACATTGATTTTATTTTCTAGAATCTAGAAACAGGTGACTGACAAAAGTCCATATTTCCTTCAAGAGCATCAAGATCAATACAGCCACAGTTTTATTTTTGAAATGGTCAATAATAATGATCGTGCTGTTATAAAAAGCATATCTCCTTAAATTGTAGAACACGATCGTACCATGTTTGATCATACTAATTATACTCTCGCACTCGTCCCATAAGCCTACCAAATTTGAAAGTACCATCCTCCGAAACTTGATGGCATATCTTTTTTAACGATCCATCAACATACATCATCCAACTGATGTACTCTCATAACACAGGGAATTTAAATCGCTCCAGTATATGTAGGCAAGTTATCAATGACTCCTCCATTCGTAAAACTTAATTTATGGTCATGTCTTACGTAAGCACCTTTACGAAAACATCTTCTTTTAACAAATCATCCTTGGGTCGAGATCTTGTGCCAGTCCGGTTTTTCACTCATATACTACCTGAACATAATATCCAATACTTTCACTTATGTTCGTATCTATTAGAACAGCTGCTATCCTGAATTCCGATTTAGCATCTCGAAGACTGCACGGGCTAGGCCTATTTGGCCCTACATAATTTATTGTTGCATTGCTTTCAAAACTCGTTTCTCTATGCTTCTTGTTGTTATTGTAGTATCATCTAATCTTCGATTTTAT